AGCTGCTGCTTGTAGGGCCGTTCTTCCATTCCCATCTCCTGGTGGTGCGTTGACGTCGGCGCCGGCATTAAGAAGAATTTCCATTACTTTAGTGTTACTGTTCTCAGCTGCTGCTTGGAGGGCCGTTCTTCCATTCCCATCTGCTGGTGGTGCGTTGACGTCGGCGCCGGAATCAAGAAGAATTCGCACTACTTCAATGTTGCCGTTCTCAGCTGCTGCTTGGAGGGCCGTTCTTCCATCATGATCTGATGGTAGTTCGTTGACGTCGGCGCCGGCATTAAGAAGAATTTCCATTACTTCAGTGTCACTGTTCTCAGCTGCTGCTTGTAGGGCCGTTCTTCCATGAAGATCTCCTGGTGGTTCGTTGACGTCGGCGCCGGAATCAAGAAGAATTCGCACTACTTCAATGTTACCGTCCTTAGCTGCTGCTTGGAGGGCCGTTCTTCCATTCTCATATGCTGGTGGTGCGTTGACATCGGCGCTAGCATCGAGAAGAATCCGCACTAGCTCAATGTTGCCTTTCCCAGAAACATATTGAAGAGCGGTTCGTCCTAGTAACTCTGAGTCAGGGTCCACTCCTGCATTAATGCACTCTTGTAGAAGTCTAGCGTGTTCATTATACGTTGCGGCTAGAAAAAGCTTTTCTGCAAAGGCCGCCACCGTTGGAGTCTGTATTGATAGGAGTGACCTCAGAAGCTGCATACCGGCCGTGTCCTGGAAATCTTTGACCATCTCCACGACTTTCTCTGTCATTAGCATATTATTGGTCACCAAATATATTGCTAGACTGAGATGTTGAATGTTTCCGTTCATCTCAAACAGATGACTCATTTCTTTGTTCCCTGGGTTCAGCTCCGTATTGGAATCTTCGGGTATTCTAGCACGGAGATAATTATGGATGCGCCGGGTGCTGGTTGACTGAGCTGGCGGAATTGAAGTGGTAATCCAGGTTGGTACAGCTGAGATAGCCTGATCTAGTACTGAGGGCGCCGTATTTACTGTTTGGACCCTTCGTGGTTCCGACAGGACTCTGTTACTGGTAAGATGGCTGGCCATGCTGATAGCAACAGCGGCCAGATCTGGGTAAGGATTGACTGGCATAGTATTAGCGGAGTATATAACTCGGACCAGTAATATACAAACCTTCAGACTTAATCATGGCTAGGAATCGGAGCCAAGGGAGACCACATAACAAAGCTGAATTTGCTTGTAAGGCTGGAGGCGTACACACGTAGATTCCTTCTGGCGTTGTTGGAGTTGGTCCTTGGCAAGTGTAAGCATTCCATGTTAGACGGTATCAACTTTAGAAAATACCTTGGTATCCATACGGAAATGCTGTGTCGTAGCCATATCGCGAGAGCTCCTTCCTTAACTTCTCTACGGGGACACACTCATGGCCGACCCACACATGACTTTCTTTTTTATCTCTTTTCCTTTTTGCAACCTTGGGTGCAACAGCCTCCCAGGTGTCCTTGTTCTTATACTTGCGAAACCCCCATTTCTTGAAACGTCTTTCGTACTGAGCCTTCCTAAAGTATTATTAGCAATTCTAAGGCACAGACTTGGATATATTATCATACGTCGCGTTGAACCCATACTCTGCTGACATTTGCTGTATTACGCCGTTAGGTCCTTGTAGCTTTCGATTCTCGATAAGGTACAAGCCTCGAATTGTAGCCTGGTGCAAATTCCAATCATGCTCAGTGAGCCCAGCGGTCATTCTGAATTACGCACGGCGTGAAGATAAAGGCTGAGAGCGGATCAAGTACTTCAGTACGGATGGATCTGTCGGGGACAAGAGCAGTTATTTGTGTTTGTGTTTGATGAGAAGGGGAGTCGAGGCGGCCGTGGGTTGCATATGCACCCTGACATGATTGGTTGGTACCAGAATCTTTTGGTCCTTGCGCTCAGTACAACGCGGCTCAGCCCCAATGTCGTGCGAGCGACAAAGAGTGAGTCTTCCTATTCGCTGTTTCCAGAATCTTATGGCCCTTGAGCTCAGTAACAACCCGCTCAGCCCCTAATGTTTTGCCTGCCACGCAGATTAAGCAGTCTCCCTGTTCGCTATTTCCAAAATCTCCTTGCGCTCCATTTGTTCCTTTAAATTTGTGACTGCGTATTGGCTATCCCCAAAATCTGCGTGCAGTCAATCTCGACAGATAAAGATTCCACCCATATATAAATCATTGCTTCCCCAACATGAAGGCTCTCACCGGCTGCTAGACTAGAAGTGCTCTTTACTAATAAGTGTATTGCTAGCATGAAGCTCTCTGTGGAGGCCATTGTCGCTATTGTTGCTCTTCTCGTCACGTGCCCTCCGACATTTTTAATTATCTGGAAGTTGTCTCGCCGTCCCATTCTACCCCGCAGGAGAACTGGTAAGACTATCTAAACCAGTGGACCAATATGTTTTGCTGTCTTGTCTATGGCACTAAGGGATTTGACGCAGTGTATGAACTTGAGGTACCGTCCGCAGCGAAAAGTCCACTTCAGCGTGACTACCTCATACATTACACATACACGGAGCGGAGAGCGGAGGCTAGCGTTATATCTTCCAATGATCGTCTCAGTAAGTTCTCCTGCGAAGTAAGTTGTCTCCTTTTCTTAGTGCTAACTGGCACATGTGTGACAGACGCGACTCTCGCATTCATATAGGGCGACTGGGTGTAATTCGCTTGGAATAGCGTTATCTCCGACGTGTAAGTAGGCGTTAACATACAAGCTCTCCGCGTGGTTTACACCAAAGCTTTTAGCAGGTGTAACTACCATGTCTTATTGAATTTATGCATCCTAACAATTTGCTCTTAATAGGTCGAAACTTCCCCGCCCCACATTCTCTTAGCACTCGGTTCCGGCGTATTCCATGGCTTAAGGAGCGTAAGCAGTTAGCGATATAGGTTAATTCATCCGCATCATAGATGAGGCGGGGTGCATGGTTATTGATAGGATACTTGTGAGAGGTGTGAGAGGGGAGGCGACACAAGACGATATTGTTTTTAAAGCAAAAACTCCAAGGCCTTGAGCGTTTCATGTGTCCTGAAGCCGTCGCAGATTAGTAATTGTGGTTTCCCTTTGGCTAGTTCTTTGGTCTCGCGGTCAAATACCTGCTTAAGCTACTGCAAGCTAATATAGGAGTTGTTATATACGCATAATGCCACCTAGGCGTTTCATAAGTAGTCTAGTTGCTTTGATGGGTTGAAGCTGGCCAGATTATGAGAGGGACAGTGACCTGCCGTCTCCACTAATACATTTAATGGGGGTCACCATGGTCTGCTTAACACCTGCACCTCTATAGTCACGCGGATCATCCTTACCTACGAAGACTTTAATGGACCCGAGCTTGCTCAGCATCAGTCCCGTCTCGTCCATGTTGTAGACATTTTCCGGCAGGACAGCCGGATCCTGTAGTACCTTTCTGATCGCCTCAAACCATTCTACCATCTTATCATACATGTTATTCTCATGACGCTTCCAGTCGACCGCTCTGACGTTTCTCGCTTTCAGTTCTGGGTGGCGTTCCTGGAAGGCTTGAACCCAGTTCTTGCCCGGAGGTTTGCGTGGGTTATTCGTCAGAACGTTAGACCGCTGGCGGGTGATACAAAAGGCTAGCGAAGGTAAAAACTTTATTCAGATAGGTCTCCTAAAAGAGGTCATTAGTAGCAGAAACGAAACGAGAGCTGTCTCTTCCTCTGGGGTGAGGTATTGCTGGCGTTGAGCCGTCTCTTTTTTTGAGGGTCGTCTATGGTTACGAGCATGGAGCGTAGGGCCAACGAGAGGCTGGCGCTCTGGTACTAAAAATAGCATGCACGTGATTATTGTTGGAAGTTTCTAGAACCACGCCATGCTGACGCTCGGAATAACCTCCTGCTGTTGTGGCGAAAGAGCTTGTGGTTTGACGTTGTGTGAACCCGCATGGAAGAGGCAATGGTTGCTCTTCTGCCTGCATCGTGCCGCCATCACTCTCCACTACTCTGCCACACGGCTGTCATCTGGACCATCTCCTTGCCAAATGGACTCGCTCAGTGCAACAGCCAGCATTATCTCAATTCTCCAGCTCTCGGCCAAAGTTCTCGCGTATGTGAACGATGTCAAAGATGCCTCAAAAGACCGTACACAGTATGCTGTTGAGATGTTAAACCTTCGCAGCCTGCTTTTCAAACTAAGAGACCACGTTGAGTGGGGAGATTCTACGGAGCCATGGTATACCGCCGTCCAAGCCCTTGCAGTCAAGGATGGGCCTCTTGACCAGTTCAAGCAAGCTCTTGAAACGCTACAGATCAAGATGACAGGCGGAGGCCGGCTAGGGGGGGCAGGTGAAGCGCTAGTGTGGAAGTTCAAGAAGGAAGAGATTGCAAGCATCTTGGGTCGGATGGAGCGTTTGAAGTCGCTCGTGGAGATCGCGTTACAAATGGACCACTTGTAGGCTTCCACTAGCACCGCAGAGCAACATCGCTAATATATATAAGCAAACTCTCTCAAGCCATCAAAGACGATACCAACTACGTTCGGGCCCATGTGCCTGCCATACAATCTGGAGTGGAGAAGATCCAGCAAGATCAAGATTACACAAAGTACCGCCAGGTGGTGGAATGGATCTCTCCCTCAGATTACCCGGCTCAACAATCCGATATTATAAAGCGCAGGCAAGAAGGAACAGGCCAGTGGTTTTTGGACGCGCCTGAAGTGGCAGGATGGCTCACCGAAGTCGGGGGAACCCTCTTCTGCCCAGGAATCCCAGGAGCAGGCAAGACCATGATAGCCGCCATCGCGATTGATCACCTATTGAAATCCGCGCAGAACAGCTCACACGGGGTTGTTTACGTGTACTGCAACTACAAAGCTCAGGAAGAGCAGGATGCTTCTAGTATGCTGGCGGCCATCCTAAAGCAGCTAGTGCAGGCTCAGCCGTCGGCCGTGGAGCCTGTGGAACGGTTGCACAAGCAGCATGCCAATAGGGGGACCAGGCCATCGCTTGACGAAATCTGTAGCACTCTCCAAGATGTGCTCAAACATTATTCTACAGCCCATATAGTGATCGACGCCTTGGATGAGTGTCGAGATAGTGACGGCACGCGTCGTACGTTTTTAGCCAAACTCCGACTCCTACAGGCAGGACGAGACATTCGCCTCATGGCCACCTCCCGGTCCATACCAGAGATTGAAGAGGCATTTAGAGATGCGATGAAGCTGGAAATACAGGCTAGTGGGGAGGATGTGAAGCGCTTCGTGGCAGGCCAGATATATCGACTGCCTAAATGCATTCAACGCAGCGATGCGCTGCAGGACATGGTGCAAGAAAAGATTGTGGAGGTGGTAGACGGCATGTATGTTTTAAATATGTCAATCGAAATCGTCTTATTCATTGCTAGGTTTCTTCTTGCTCGACTGCATACGGATTCACTATTAGATAAGAGAACACCGAAAGACGTCAAGTCAACTCTAGCCAAACTTTCCAAAGGCTCCGCCGCACTTGACAATGCATATAAAGGTGCTCTGATAAGAATCGAAGGGCAACTAGAAGATGATTATGAACGAGCTAAAAACGTTCTCTCATGGATCGCATTCGCGAAAAGGCCGCTTACCACAGCTGAGATTTGCTGTGCTTTAGCGGTAGAAGTGGAGAAAACGGAGCTCGACCCGGAAAATATATGCGACGTCGAAGACCTGGTGTCCGTATGTGCTGGTCTTGTCGTTGTTGATCAAGAGAGTGCTATTGTCCGTCTCGTGCACTACACTACACAAGACTTTTTTGAGCGTACCAAGCATGCATGGAATCCAGCAGCTCCGCAGCAGATTGCCACTATATGCCTCACTTATCTATCTTTCGACGCTTTCAGGAGCGGCAGCTGTTCTACTAATAATGGGTTTGAAGATAGGCTCAGAACCCATAAGCTCCTGGACTATGCAGCTAAACACTGGGGCGACCACGCAAGAGTAGCCGAGGCTGAAGTGTGCGAGCTGGCCTGTTCTTTTCTTCTTGACCACGGGTTACTAGCATGCGCTGGACAGGTAGTACTAAGGTCGGGATTCAAGTACAAAAGGCACAAACAGTCTTGTCCTAAAATCACAAGTTTTCACTTCACAGCGCAATTTGGATTGTCTAGTATCACACAGGAACTCTTGTCTAAGATGGGAGAGGAATCTACTAAATTTGTCAATACAAATGACGGCTGGGGCCGAGCTCCGTTATTCATCGCAGCAGCACACGGACATTATGATATGATTAAGCTGCTACTCAACGCTGGCGCCAACCCAAACGCCCAGGGTGGAAGTTACGGCAACGCACTCTATGCGGCTTCAGATAGAGGCTATGAGGCAGTGGTGAAGCTGCTGCTCAACGCTGGCGCCAACCCAAACGCCCAGGGTGGAAGCTACGGCAACGCACTCTATGCGGCTTCATATAGAGGCTATGAGGCAGTGGTGAAGCTGCTGCTCAGCGCTGGGGCCAACTCGAACGCCCAGGGTGGAAAGTACAGAAACGCACTCCAGGCGGCTTCAGAAGAAGGCCACAAAGAAGTAGTGAAGCCGCTGCTCGACGCTGGCGCCGATCCCAACGCCCAGGATGAAAAGTACAGCAATGCACTCTATGGGGCTTCATATAGAGGCCACGAGGCGGTAGTGAAGCTGCTGCTAAATGCTAAGGCCAACCCCAACGCCCAGGGTGGAAGCTACGGTAACGCACTTCAGGCGGCTTCAGAAAAGGGTCACGAGGCGGTAGTGAAGCTGCTGCTCAACGCTAACGCCGACCCTAACGCCCAGGGTGGAGAGTATAGCAACGCTCTCTATGCAGCTTCACTTAGAGGCCACGAGGCGGTAGTGAAGCTGCTGCTCAATGCTGGCGCCGACCCCAGCACCCAAGGTAGAAAGTGCAGCAACGCACTCCAAGCGGCTTCATATGGAGGCCATGAGGCGGTAGTGAAGCTGCTGCTCAATGCTGGCGCCAACTTCAACGCCCAGGACTTTAGCAACGCACTCTATGCGGCTTCACTTGGAGGCTACAAGGTAGTGGTGAAGCTGCTGCTCGACGCCAGCGCCAACCCCAGTGCCCAGGGTGGAAGTTATGACAATGCACTCCAGGTGGCTTCATATGGAGGTCACGAGGCAGTAGTGAAGCTGCTGCTAAATGCTAAGGCCAACCCCAACGCTCAGGGTGGGCACTACGGCAACGCACTTCAGGCGGCTTCATATGGAGGCTACGAGGCGGTAGTAAAGCTGCTGCTCGATGCTAACGCTGACCCTAACGCCCAGGGTGGAGAGTACGGCAATGCACTCTATGGGGCTTCATATAGAGGCCACGAGGCGGTAGTGAAGCTGCTGCTAAATGCTAAGGCCAACCCCAACGCCCAGGGTGGAAGCTACGGCAATGCACTTCAGGCGGCTTCAGATGAAGGCCACGAGGTGGTAGTGAAGCTACTGCTCGACGCTAACGCCGATCCCAACGCCCAGGATGAAAAGTACAGCAATGCACTCTATGGGGCTTCATATGGAGGCCACGAGGCGGTAGTGAAGCTGCTGCTAAATGCTAAGGCCAACCCCAACGCCCAGAGTGGAAGGTACGACAATGCACTCCAGGCGGCTTCATATAGAGGTCACGAGGCAGTGGTGAAGCTGCTGCTCAGCGCTGGCGCCGATCCCAACGCCCAGGGTGGATACTACGGCTACGCACTATATGCGGCTTCACTTAGAGGCTACAAGGTAGTGGTGAAGCTATTGCTCGATGCTGGCGCCGACTCCAATGCTCAGGGTAGATACTATGGCAACGCACTCCAGGCGGCGTCCTTTGGAGGCCATAAGGAAGTGGTGAAGCTGCTGCTCAACGCTAACGCCGACCCCAACGCCCAGGGTGGGCACTACGGCAACGCACTCCAAGCGGCTTCAGAAAGAGGCCACAAGCAGGTAGTAACGCTGCTGCTCGACAAAGGCGCTGTCTAGAGTACATAAATATTCTATAATATAATCTTTTAACCTTCCTATACCTAATATCTTTTGAATTTCGTTTTCTATGTAAGACATAGAAATATGTAACAACGGAAATACTATATGTAGTTTGTAGCAGCGACAATATATCACTTTGCTAATACGACAGAAATCCTTGTTAGCAAAATGCTGCGTGTAAGAATAGCGCTATACTCCATATAGATAGGGCATAGTGTTAAACGTAATACTCTAAGAGAGATGTTTGCTTGCGTCAAGATTTGCCTAGCAATCATTCGTTATTTGTTGACTGCTCTGGACCGGACCTTTAGATTCCGAGCGCCGTGCACAGCCTCATGGCCGAGAGCGGTGAACTTTGCTTATTGTTTGACAAAAGGTAAATTACGCAAGGATACAGGCGGGGTTGTAAAACGCTAGCCAGGGTTGGCTGCTTCTTTAATTGAAAGTACCAAACGACGTGGACCTTGCATGTTCTTCTTTATTCATAGCGTGGCGTAGCGGCAACCTCGCCACTAGCTAACGCCAATCCAACAAGATCAAATAGCCTCTCCTATCATTCAAAACTTGGAAACACCAAAGCCGTTAATCACATTCACTCCATAGCGCTCCTAATGAATGACCCAACCTTTTCCCTACCCTCCTTCAGCATACTGAAATGATCACTTCCCTCCAAAACCTGAATCCTCAACCTCTCCTCCCCAACCAATTGATCCCATCCATTCCCACCCAACTCAGTCCTCTCATTCAACAACCACCTCATCTCCCTTGTCTCATCCCCCTTAACCTCAACACCGCCCCTTTTCGCTACTCCATCTTTCGCCCAAAGAATCCACGTCTCCGGCCCAGCCTTGTGCTGAAAGGGGACCGGTTTGTACGTATCAAGCACATTGATGAATGCTAGGAAATGCGGCAACAGCCAAGCAGGAGGCTTGCGACCGGCTTCGCCGAAGAGATTCATCGAGTCGAAGAGTTCGTATAGGCTGGGAGGGAGCATTTCTAGGTCGATGGGGTTGGGTGAATCGAGTAAGATGAGGCGGGAGACGGTTTCGCCTGCCGCGGTGAGGTTCTGGGCACAGTCGTAGGCACAGATGCCACCTGCGGACCATCCTCCAAGGAAACTAATTTGATGTTAGCAAATATAAAATTGCAGGAGCATGATTGGTAGACTTACTACGGGCCGTGAGGTTGACGGCGGCGAATTTCAGCAAGGTATACGGTGCTGAGTTCGCGGAGTGTGCATTTCATTTCCTCGGCTTTTTTTATGAATGGGCTGTTTAGCCCCAAAACCACGGTATTTGTACCAATTTCTGGTAGGCTGAGGTAAGAAGTGGCGAGGCCGGAGCCGTCCGGGAAGAGCCAGAGTGTTTTCGAGGCGGTTTTGAGGTTACCTTGGAGAAGCACAGAAGAAGCGGGTGGCATTAAAGGGCTTACGGAGAGCTGTGGAATATGTGAATCGGTCGTCGTAGCTGCAGCTAGTCAAAAACAATTCCAGGACTTTTTTTTTAGGGCAAGAACTGTGACCTACCGTTTGAGAATTCTGTAGCATGTTGCATGAGCGATTGGCGAATCGCACCCATAGTATCATACGTAAGCAAGAAGTCGGGCTCCAGTTCCAATCCCAACTTCTCCTTTAGCTCACTCAAGACCGTCAATGACATCAACGAATCCAGTCCGAGACTCGAAAGCTCAGCATCATCTTTCAAATCAGAAGGCTGGACTCCGATCTCTTCGGACAGGATCCTGGTCACAGTATCAAGTAAGGTATGAGTTGAACCTCGCGACTCAACTAGGCCTAAAGCAGGCGGGTATATCGTCATTGGTGTAGTGTGACCGCTCTCGCTCAAGGTCGTGCTCGTGCTCGTGCTCATGCTCGTGCTCGAGTCAGTGAGAATCGGCGTAGTGGACGGTTCAGAAGTGGGCGGCTTTGGTGCGATAAGTTCGCAGAGACCTTTGACTGTGGTACCTTCGAGAAATACTCGGGAATCTATAGCAATCCCAACCTCTTCGCGAATCTTTTCCGACATCGTCAAGGACAGCAATGAGTCCACACCCAGATTTGTAAGTTCTTCGTTGTCGTCAATATCCGAAATGGGTACCCCAACTTCCTCCGCAATAATTGCTTTGACTCTATCAACTCCCAAATGAGAGTTCGTCGGTGTCAGCGTAGGTATCGGGGCAGGCATGGGAGCGGACATAGAGACCTGTGACTTATTATTTGGTGCTATGGATGACTGAAGCATGACCTGTTTTTTAGTCAACGGATTAGGTATTACCAAATCCAGCACCTTCCTTTCTATCGCTGCAAAGGTCACACCTTCGTAGACTGCGACAATTTCGCCTTGATCAAGAACGTAGATGTTACCCGAGTATTCATTTGCGCCCTGCTTCTGCATCTTAACATATGTCTGATACGTCTTCTCCGCCGAGAACGGAGCTGCAATTCTCAGATTCTTCCAGCCATGGTTAATGTACACCGTCTTTTTAAGGTCCACAAAATCGTTGGCATTCATTGTGAATCCAGTAATCTGGCCAATGCTATCGATCCAGTAAGGATTACAGAACCAGGTACCAGACTGACTTGAGGCAGGAGTGAACTTGACTTTTCCGGTAGCTTCGTGGTCAGCTGAGCGGAGGATGAGCTCGCGGTAACCCTTGAATCCGTCCGAATAGTCAACCAGAGCGCTGAAAAGCTTGTAGAACATCCTGGTCTTGATGAGATGAGCAGAGTCCGAGTCATGGAGGGTTTGCTGTAAATGTTCGATGCGAGATTTGATGAGAAATTCTTGACGTTTCCATTCACTAACCCAATCTTTGCGCGGGGAGAAAGCGCCTACACAATTTGCATGGTTGATAGTTGGCTTCCCGTCCTCGGAAATACTACAGAGACTAAAGGAGGATGTCCTTGTAGACCAGTTTGCGGACGCAGACATTCTTATGCGTTGGGACGACTGGCCAGCGAAAACTAAAGACTTCCCGGCAACCATGGATCGCACTTCTATTCCCAATTCCTTCTTGTCAGGGAGAGGCGATCGTTCAAGAAGGTGATGGAAAAGTGTCAGTGCCATATCAGCATACGCAGATGATGTACACAGTGGTTGTCCATTCACTCGATGACCTTCGAGTAGCTTTTGAAATTCAGGGTTGTTGAGATCAGAGACGGCTGTAACAGAGGCTTCTGTAGTAGAAAAAATCTCATCCGTGATCCTCTGGACAGAGGTTGTGAAGTTCTGAGTAGAGCTCTTCTCATCTGAAGGTGGAGAAGGTGCAACCTGAGGTGGGGCATCGCCTTTAGTCAGGCACCAGTCGTGCCTGTATGTAATCCAATAGTTTTTCAAGTCCCACTTGTACGATGGCAGTTTCAAAACTCTGAGATCGTCTTTGAAGCCGTGATGATATTCGGGCCAGTTGATTGGAATACCCTTTTCGTACAAGGAAGTCAATGTAGATGTCAATGTCTTCCAACTGTCCTCGGTTCTTCGTAAGCTAGGATAGGCTCTGAACTGAGAACCGAGCGTGGACCCCAGCATGGCCGAGCATACAGGATGAGGACCAACCTCCAGCCATAGCATTTTTTCTGAAATGGCCTTGGATGCACTTGCGGACGTCAATGCTGCATTGAAGTTCACGGTTTCTCGGCAGTGGCGGCTCAAATATTTACTTGGTTCACCAAGGTCTGAAGCAGCGGTAATAACGTTTCCGAAAAGTGGAGAGATTATTGGGATGGATGGCTCCTTGAAGATAATTGATCTTGTGGCATGTTCGAAGGCATCTAACATCGGCTCGACTTGTGCAGAATGGAAGGCAAACTGCACGCTCAGTTGTGTGGCTTTAATGGAGCTATTCGCGAGAGAACTTGCAAGGGCTGCAATATCGGCATTCGAGCCACTAATGACCGTGTCCTCAGGTCCATTGATGCAGGCAATCTCCAAAGATGTTTGGGACTCTAGATAAGAAGCCAAGGTCCGGACTGAAGCCTTGATAGCGAGCATGGCGTGGGTGCCCACAGTACAGTATTTCTCCAACAGACGGGCTCTCACACCGACGAGAAAGATCGTTTCCGAATCAGAGATAATTCCGGCAGCATTCATGGCGGCGTATTCGCCAAGACTATGCCCGATAACAAGCTTTGGGCGAATGCCAAGAGATTTCCAGAACTTGTGAAGAGCCATTTGTAGGCAGGTAATCGCTAACTGCAAAGTCGAGGGGGGCAGTGTGGGCAGTTCGACACTACAGCTTCCATCAAGGATTGGTAGAATTGATGAAAAGCCATATGCATGAATAGTCTCTTCAAAACGATTGATAGTAGCACAGATCTGAGGGATTTCCAGGAGGTGTCGACCCATTCCGAGGTACTGTGAGCCTTGACCGGTAAAGCAGAATCCGATGTCCGCGGGTGTAGAAGGAATAGATAGGAATATCTCGCTTTCTTCCTTAACTTTGAGCGCCTCTATGATATCACTAATCTGACTTCCACTAATCATGATCCGAAAGTTATGGTGGATCCTGCGGGCGGAGGTCGTATAGGAGAGCGAGCCGAGTGATATTTCTGGGTTTTCATCTAGAAATGAGCGTAGACTCCTGATGCTGTTTTTCAATGAGGTGGAACTCTTCGCAGAAACAGCGACCAGATGTAGTGGCCTTGGGTCGTTTCTTCCCGGATTCTGGACTGGTGCATCTTCAATCAAAACTGACGAGTTCCCTCCAGCGGCACTGAAGTTGTTCACAAAAGCCTTTCGAGGCTGGTTAGCTAGCGGCTTGGGCCAAGAAGTTGGTTTCATCGCAATATGAACATTTCTTTGTGCGAGGTCCGTCGGGAAATTTCTGTTGATTTTCGTCTTGATGCCCACGTGGGGAGGAATCGTGCTGTTCTCCATCATCAGGAGGACTTTGATGAGAGATGCAACACCTGAGGACGACTCAGAGTGACCGATATTGGATTTTGCAGATCCAAGGTGTAAAGACTGAGCCCGAGAGGTCAAATCCGGCGAAAACACACTGAGCACCGATTTCATCTCTACAGCATCGCCCTGCTGTGTCCCTGTGCCATGCATCTCGACATAGGAGATTTCGGACTGGTCTACTCCTGCTGAATTCAATATTCTCTTGAAAATTGCTTCTTGGGCGCCAGAATGGGGTCGAGTGATGGATACCGATTCAGCGCTGTGGTTGGTCGCTGTCCCTAGGATTGTCCCAAAGACCGGATCACCATCAGCTTGTGCATCTTCGAGTCGTTTCAAGACGACACTTCCCACGCACTCAGCTCTGCAATATCCATCAGCCGCGTCGTCAAAAGTATTGCAGTTGCCTGTCCGTGAGAGAAAGTGGCCTTTGTCAAGACCGGCAAAGTTGTCCGGGTTCGTCATCACATTCGTCCCGCCAGCAATGACGGTATCGCAGTCTCTCCTCCAGAGTGAATTGCAAGCTATATGGATAGCTGCCAGACTAGATGAGCAAGCCGTATCCACGCTGTAACTTGGTCCGCTGAATTTGAAATGGTAATTGATGCGGCCAGGAACAAATGCACGATTACCTCCTGCTCCATAATTAGCGAAACTCATCAAAAATGAACCCTCTTCGCACCTGGAATAAAGTAAGTATCCACATTCTGCCCGCTGTTGACTTCCCTCCAATCATCGCTTGTGGTCCCATAGAAAACTCCGACCCGGTTTCTTTGCGTTGATGGTGTCGCATCTGGGACTAAACCAGCCATTTCTATGGCTTCGTAGGCCGTCATCAAGGCAAGTCTTTGAGCAGGATCAGCTTGTTCAGCTTCCCTCGGGGACAATCCGAAGAATCTGGCATCGAAAAGCCCAGGTTGGCGAATAAAGCAGCCCTTCGTCACCGCACTGGTGTTCTTCTTCTTCCCCGTCGGGTCATAATACAGCCACGGATCGAATCTATCTTTTGGAATTTCCCTGTGTACATCTAGGCCATTCATGAGTAGCTGCCAAAATGCTTCGTTGTTGTCTGCATCGGGGAAGCGGCCTGAAAACCCAATGATTGCGATTTTTCCTTTAGCTGATCGTGATTCAGCGTTAGTCTCTTCACTTTGTTGAGATTGTGCAAAGGTCTTCTGAATTTCCGCTGTAGTGGATGGGGCTCGGCCTATCGCAGTGGCAAGGCCCTGAACACTTCCTGACGCGAATGGGTAGATCACCCAGGTCGAACTCTCATGGGCACATGTCGTGGCTAGCAATCCTTCCATGATGGCATCCCATCGGAGTTGCTTCTCCAGGATCTCAGATAAAGAGGAAATAAGAAGCTTTTCGAAGCTCTTTGCATATGTTTGTGCACCACTTTCATTTGAGAAAACTGGAATGAGCTGGGGACGATTTTTGAAGGAACGGCTTCTCGGACGAGAGATTCGTTCCACATCAGCGGTGCAGTATAGATGAGGAGCGTGGAAGAGACCGTTGACTGGGACACTCGTGGTCTTTACTGTCGGGCTCTTTGCGAAGAATCGACGTAATGAAGTCGGCGGTCCAGACATCGTGATGCTGCCATTGCCAACGGCGCTAATGTAGGGAGTCGAAGTCGATGGGACGCCTTCACAGCAACAATATTCTTTGACAAGCTCGGTGGCAGTATCTTCGTTGATACCTCCCACAATGAATGAACAGGACCCAGTGGAGGCATTGTTACTCTCGATGGACTCTGATTTCTCTTGAACAAGCAATCCCAACCGAAAGGCAGTCGCGATGGTTTGCGAGGCGATCGAAACGAGATCTAATACGTCATGACTGCAACTAACGGCGGTGGCTGCCAATAGGCCAATACAAATGCCGACAGTGTACGTCGTTGTAGGGTTGGGGTAAGTTATAGATGCTTCACTGAAATGACTATATCTAGTCAATATATATTTGAAAGATATATCGATTAACTGGGGATTACGAACTTAACGAACAAAGCGAGTTGATGTAAACAAACAAAGGCACTGTCGAGCGCACAATTGGTGCTTTTTGATGCGCCATGTTGCGTCAAAAGTTCGACGAGCGTTGAAAACGGCGGGAATTTTGCTTGCTCCGCTGGAGGAAGTTGGGCTATCTCTTCCCTCAAAGTATAGTGAGCCTCTTCAAACAAAGCTGATAATATTGCATTTCCCTTTTTTGAGAGAAGCTTCAATAATGATGAGTCATAAGATACAGCCTGGTCTCCAAAGACCAGGATGTCAAATTTGCCCGCCATTGATAGAGGCAATGTGGGAGTGTTGACGTAGAAAAGGGATAGTGTTAGAGAAGTGGGTGCCATCTTGGTGGGTAACATCAACTTATAGATACAATCGTGAAGGACCCCTCAACCGCTAGATCGAAGATTCGTGCGTCTTGTCACTCGAGAATGTAGCATTGGGACAAAACTTACCGGGGGGTCCACTAATTCACAATCATTGACTCGGGGTTGGCTAAAGATATCTACGTCAGTGAACAAGTGGAGACGACAGTTGATATCGCTTGGTCCCCGAGACAGCATCGGTTGTCATGATATTGGTGTGGCCCAATGGTACATTAGGGTTCGTGCGTCGGAGTTCACTCACATTCCCCATCAAGCAGAAGTTGCTCCAGGTAGTCCAGTTGTGACGATGAGAGTGGCTTCCTAGCGGGTGAGATTGTCCAGATCGTTCCCCAATAATGGTGAAATCTTAGATGGTGGTCAGACTGAACTGCTTTATTTGAGGAAACTCCGAACATACAGTGATCAATTCTCTGCCTAACCGCCACCAACACCTCTCTGACCTAGGTATGTGTTGAAGCTGTGCCAGTGGACACCGAGTTCGATGGATCCTTCTTAGCTAAGAGGCTAATACGAGCATGGTCTCGTAAATTCTGTGAAACTGCTAGATCAGACCCGTCAACTCGGGAACTTTCGCGTGTGCAGATGCGAGATAACCAGGCAGGCTACTCAGGTCCTAGAGACTCTTTCGGCATTCGCCGAGGCCTGATATTGTGATATCGGGAGAGGGGCCGAGTGAAGGTAATTAAAACTAGTTCGAAAATAACCCCAGTGGCACAAAATTTATAACTCTAATAATGGAAAATAAAATGACGGCAGTCTTGGACGAAAAACGATAGCCGTGACCATAAGTACTTTTGTCTCGTTCTTCTGGCAGAAGATCGAAAGAACTCCTGTTCACCAGCCCCATCTCGTTACTGATTACTACACGTACGAAATGGATAACCATCGCGAACTCCTTTGTCTCAACATTCTAGGATACAAGAAGCCTGGAATCAGTGATGAGGATTACCGCCAATACATGATCAACGTTCACGGACCCCTTGTGGGCTCTTTAATGGAAAAATACGGTTTCGTTAGCTGGAATATGGTATGTAGGCTGTATAGTTGATGTTAGATCGGCAACATCTACGCGCAAGTAAAATTCGTTGAAAAGTTCCTGATGTCTCCTAGACACACAACACAGCGAAGACTCGTGGGTTGATGCAAAATATATTTGACCCGCAGTTCGCGAATATTGCGCAGTACGACTCGTGCATTCAGATTGTATTCCCAGACATTGAGTGCTTCGTTCGCATGAAGGCCGATCCATTCTTCCGTGAAAAGGTTGGACCGGACCATGAAAATTTTGCCGACACCAAGGCCTCGCAGTACGTCGCCTTCAGAAGGTCTTCGGCGGTATGAATGATGCTAACATGAGTCCTAGAATGACAATTGGATGGTTCGCAGAAATTCTGAGCGAAGGGAAAATGGCTGAGGCAAAGCCGAAGCCTGGTCTCGTTCCTGACGCGGGACAAAATGTTGAAAAGACTCCTAGTGAAATTTACTGTGGAGAACTGTGAGATGTTACCTATTTTATATGAGACAGGGGCAAAAATCAATAGGCGGAGGGGATGATATTGAGATAAGGCTTCCATGAGGTTGAGCGCCTCTCGGAATTAGCCGATCGCTTGCTTTGTTTGGTTAGTAAACTGGATTAGTAACTGGAACGACCCTGCCGTTGGAGCGTTACCGTCACCTTTCGATGTGCTCCTAATAGTAACGGGTACCTTCTTGTAATACTGTACAAGCCACTTCCACTCATTCCCCTATATTGAATCCATTAATCCTCCTCTGTTCCCTTACCGTGTCGAGAGAATACTGCTCAACCTAATGTGGAATGAAAAAAAGTCTTTGCGCCGTACAATGCCCAACTCAAGTATTTTGCTCCCGATAACACTCCTAGATGACCGCAAAAGCCTACCCAATACTCCCAATCCTTATTATATCCCATAGAAATACAGTCCGACTGCCAGCAATATCCCCAGGCGCTTTGCAGGCGCAGCCCTCAATGAGCTGGTTTCATCCCCTTGACGCTCTTCCACTCCACGAGGACTGAACCAATGATAGATAGGGCACCGACTGCCGATGCGACGTAGAAGACACTTGTCAAAGAGTGATTGTATGCCAACAGTAACGGTGTCTTCTCTAAAGCACTATGAACCAAGTTTTCCAGCTCGGTTGCTCCGGTGTGAAGTACCGCCATTGGATCCAGGCCAGGTATTCTCGCCTTTGTCAATGACTTAATGAGCTCCTGGTTGAGGACATTCTGGCCGATACAGACACAGACCGAACCACCAAGCTGCATGCCGAAGAAGATGAGAGAGATCGCTGACGGTATGTCATCCTTCTTGAGGACTACTTGGACCGCTGTCGATGGCTGTTGTTGCCCAATACCAAGGCCAAACCCAAAAAGGACCTGGTATCCAATCCATTTTCCGGCTGCGGACGAGATACTGAGAGTGGAGAGAAGACCTGCACCAACTGCCATCATGACTGAGCTGAGTATCATGAATGGTGATGCGTATCCCACAACCTGAGAGACAAGTATGCCGCCGGAAATGGATCCAAGCGATTGTGAGATGAGTAGCGGGATTGTCATCTCTCCAGACTTTACGGGACTGGCGTTTTTGATTGCTTGGAACCAAATCGGGATCCAGTAGACCACCGTCATCATAGCGCCGCCAGTACATGTCGAATAATAAAAGCCCGCGGCGACAGTGCGCTGTTTAACGATCCGCGGTGAAATAGTTGCTATTTCTGGATTGAGTTTCTGCGATACCATGAATGCGATACCCAGTAATCCTCCAAAGACAAGTAGAAGAACGATTTGCCAACTCTTCCAAGCGTACTCAGAACCACCCCACTGCAATGCAAGCACTAAGCAAATAACAGCTGGAATCAAGAGGGCTGCGCCAAGTGGATCGAGCATCTTCAAGTGTTCCAACGGGCTCTTCTTTGAAGCCTCCTTCCCTGGGGTGGGCTTGACGATGAGTAGGAGGATGAGAATAGTGACCGTTCCAATTGGTATATTGATGATGAAGCACCAACGCCAGCTCGCGTTACTCGTTAGCGCACCCCCGATCAGAGGACCGACGATGGCAGATACACTCATGATTGCCATCAGCATCCCCATGAACAAAGGCCGCTTCTGAAGGGGAACATTGTCCACGAGAAGGATCATCGACCCGGAGAAGACGCCAGCGCATCCGATTCCTTGAATAGCGCGGCCGATGATGATGGTATTTGAGTTGAAGGCACCTGCACAAATAGCAGAACCGATTTCGAAGAGTACTACAAGCGATAAGAAGACCCATTTTGGAGTATAGAAACTGTAGAAGCGACCAAGCGGCAGCTGCATTGCGCATCCGGTCAAGGCATATGCACTGGCGTACCACCCAATGTCACCGAAGGAGTTGAAGTGGTCGGTGATTTTTGGCACTGCTGTAGCAACGATGGTCCGGTCCTTTCACCTTGGTTAGCGCCTCGCTCACAACGTTCTCAACCTCTACAGGCTGGCAAAGACTGGATTCTGCTGACCAGTGAGACCAAGAACATGGCTAAGGAGATGGCGACCATAAGCAAGGCAACGGCTGCAGAACTCAGATACTGAGTCTCATCGCCGGCTTCCCCGTCCTTGCATTCCTCTACTGCTTCCTCTGGTTTCGCTTCTTGTTGACTGTCCATGTTCATGGTCGGTGTGTTTGGTATGTCTCCTGTTTTATTCTTCACCCTAGGTTCAAGAAGTTCGTACGGCCCTTCTGGGGGCGAAGAGGTCATTGCTTTCTTGTTTGTAATTGAGGCACAAATCGGCGAGTGAATGTGAGATTGGGTTGAAGGTGTCAAGGAAACAAGCCTTTGCCGCGTAAAACCAAGGAAAGACTGGCGAGCTTTCCGACCCCTCCAAGTGATTTCAGTTATGAGGCTTGCATATGTTGGCGGAGATTCGAGAGAGACCAGGGATCATCCAGCTGCGGGAGGCTTGGGGCAGACAGCTCTCGGCTTTCGGGGGCCCCGAGCTCCGACATGCACGTGATCGGACGTTTTCAAATTCCTGTGGTTGAATCCCCTATCAGGCAGCCCAGCAAGCACAACATAATATGTCATGACGTTGCGGTTGCCTAGCCCCCTCTGAAATGATACAGTCAATTGCCCTTCGACAACTTCTGATTCGCCGTAGAACAGGACAGGCCTTTAATTAGTGCATAATTCAGGACAGATCCCTGTTTCGCATGTTTCCTGCAACGGTAGCGAACAGTACGCAACACGGTGTACGTGCGATATATTGGCTATCCCATCCATACTCGGTGCAACTGTTCGGGCTCACGATTTACCGAAAATCGGTGCAGGGAACATCATTTAGGCCACCTCACAGGTTTGCCGGGCGACTTTGTGAGCAGCGGTATACTTACAGTGCATGCATCCTCAATCAAACTTCATATAAATGCCTAAGCTTATCAACGCAGCTCCCGAACTTCTCCAATAGCCCCGACAACCGACGTCGCATCAACTCGTCCCTCCGTTTGTGTAACTTTTCTTTAAATTATTTTCACTCCTTCAGGCCGGTCACTTAGTCTGGCCTTCCGGCATGTTTCGGGAAATCCAATTTTTTGGCCCAGCGTAGTAGATACTGCGGCGGTTTGGCAGGGGAACGTTGCTGCAATTGAAATGGACTACGCCGTGTCGAACCTGAATTCGGGTGTTTGCCGTGTTGGGCTCATCTTTCACCACTCTTGACATAGTTCCTTGCTGTAGAATAGCGACTGCATACAGGGCAAGTCTGGCAGCTGGGACTATTAGATCCTCAGTTCCATACGTTCTGGCACAGGGCTTAATCCCACATTTCCACTCATTCGCTGGTAAACAACCAAATCCCCATTACCTTCATCCCCTCTGCAATCTTGTTAGATCTTCAACATGGCCGACGAAAATATCGTGTCTAAGCCTGACCTTAAAGCCAAAGACTTCGTCCCACGGGGCAAGAAGTCCTCTTCCCCGTTCAACACTACCTTATTCCTTGGTCTCAGAGTCCTCGATTGTTTCGTTCAATACATTCTCCTCTCCTCAACCTACGGAACCAATATAATCAAGTTTCTCGGTGGCTCCGTTATCCCTTCTCCCTCCCCGCTTCAAACCGGAATTGATCCTATCGATGCTCTCAACCTTTCGCTATACCGAGCCATTCTGTTATGTATGATTAGTACGACCACGGCAAAACACATATGGTTCGTCCTCTGCGTCGCCGAAGAAGCATGGACAGTATCGGGCGCCGTAATCGTCGCCATATTCAACACGTTCTGGAACTCCCTGAACAACCTACTTTTCCTCTGTGCTCTTACCTCTGCCACTTCGCACCCCGCTGGAGAATCTCTCTCCAACCCGTACCTTCTTTCCGGTGTCATTCTTTTTGTGCTGGGAATTGGAGCAGAATGGCAATGCGAGATCCACCGCAAGGCTTTCAAGAAGGATCCAAAAAACAAAGGAAAGCCATTTACGGAAGGTCTCTTCCAGGTCGTGAGACACCCGAACTACGCTGGGTACAGTCTTTGGAGAGCTGCTGGTGCCTTGGCTACCTCGGGACTGACTTCTTCCATCCTTACCGGCGCTTTCTTTCTCTATGATTTCAATTCAAGGGCAATCCCTGCACTGGACGAGTATTGTTCGAAGAGATATGGGGCTATGTGGGCAGAGTACAAGAAGAGGACGAGGTCCCTGTTGGTTCCTGGATTCTTGTAAGCACGGCCGCATCGTTTGCATGCCCCTGCCGTGCGCTTGCCAGAGATCCTGTCAGTTTTCGCATAGGAAAATCCCTTTATGTCGGGAAGGAACTCACAGTTATTTAGAGGGCGGTATAGGCTAGCTAGATAGGATTGGTGTTCATGGTTTTCCTGATAATTTAAGTTTTTAGGATTATATGGACCTAGTGGTGCGCTTATCAATTGAAGTTCAATGATGCTCTTTCCACATCCTTTGACTTTGCGTTCTCTTTTCAAATATCGTACATGTGATTTCCAAATCTCGAGCACTTAATTTTTAGCTCTTCTGTCATGTTTCAATTCTACCTCAATCATTGCATTCGCGAAATGGCACTTTATGAATGAGGCGTGAGGTAAACATTGGAAGACTTTTAGAGATGCCTCTTGGCTCTTAGAACCATTTCTTAGCTCTTTCCAATATCTCTGCTAGCGTCGTTTGCTAAAACATTTTCCAATAAACATGGTTCATAGAAATAGGAAGTATCGTCCGACGCCCCGTTATCTAAGATCGGAGTGATACTCTCCATGTGCTACCCCGAGTCCAAGCCATACATTGAAGCCTCGGGTCCGATGTCACATCTGAATCGGCCCAACATGTTTGCCCAGGGCCGGAATCCTACCTCAATGTTTGGACCGGTGTGCCGCCCCATGTTCTCTTACATCTCCCGTATTGGTATGGTCTCCGAGGCAAGCACAGTAAGTGTGATATTCTGACATGTGAGCCTAACGCCATTTCCAAGGTCTCGTAATGTTCTTTCAGCGCAATGCTACGGTATTAAGCACGGATTAGCTTACATTTGGACGTCTGGTGATCCTAAATTAGACGGCCGTATAAACTTCAGGTTTGGGGAATATGTGCGTATGCAAGTAATAGAGACACATGGCGCAGAAAAAGAAAGCGGCACGGCCTAGTCTTATGATAAATAAAAGGTCATTTCAGTATCTACAAGGATCTCAGCACATTCTCTGCCACTTTAATTTCCAATTGCTCTATTATTTCCAGAATGGAGTCTGGATTGGCAAAGATTCTCATCGTTTTCTTCTTAGCGTCCTTTGCTGCTGCAACCAAAGTCACCGAAACCTTGCGGTTGACTTGGGAAAATGGGGCGCCAAATGGTCAATCACGAAATATGATATTCACCAATGGAGGTTTCCCAGGACCGAACTTGATCTTCGATGAAGGAGATGAGGTAGAGGTACGGTTCCCTTGTGCTTGTTTGGTGGTGATCCGTCATGCCAATGTAGATCTAGATCACTGTGCACAATGACATGCCAAGAAATGCGAGTGTTCACTGGCACGGTTTAGAGTAAGTAGTACTGAAAGATTTCTAGGTATGAGGGCTAATGTAATAAAATGTAGGCAAACAAGAAGTCCATGGTCCGACGGTGTATCCGGATTAAGTCAAACTCCCATCCTTCCCGGGAAATCGTTTGTCTATCGGTTTACAGCGTCTCCAACTGGAACTCATTGGTATCACTCTCATGAACAGATGTCGATGTTCGATGGCCTCTATGGCGGGATATTTATTCGGTAAGACCTCGCACTTCGTGGTACGGCGAGCCGTACTAGTAGCTAACGAGTAGCTAACCAGTAATAGTCCTAAGAAAGACTGCGAAGCGCCCTGGCCATTTATCAGTGATGACACCAGGGATACTGATGCCATGGCTAGAGCGGCTCTCAATCCAGAGCTTGTGATGTTATCAGATTGGTCCCAATACACTTCTGATGAGTATTGGAAAGCAAATGTAGATTCTGGATTATTAGTCTTGTAAGGGATAGCGCCTAACCGCGAATTCGTCGTCCTTGACTAAGAGAACACCAGTTGTGTAGACAGCATCTTGGCAAATGGCCAAGGTGCTGTGTATTGCCCATCTCAGGAGTTTCTGATCGATCAAACGGCCCCCGGTATCAAAGACTCAGCCTTCAAAAATGGCGAACATGTCACCGATAAAGGGTACGCTTGCACTTATGAGGATAATTCACTCTTTCTTTTGAAACTCGCTAACAACGCTAGATGTTTCCCTTTTACAGATGCAATTGAGGGTGGTACAGTCAACACGAGCCATCCCGAAACTATCCCTGCAAGCTTGCAAGAGGGCTGTATCCCCTCGACAGGTAGCAACGCAACCATTGAAGTAGACCCGGCAGCCGGTTGGGTCAGCTTTAATTTCATTGCCGCATCAACACAAAAACAGGTTCTTATCTCCATTGACGAGCATCCTATGTGGATCTACGAAGTTGACGGACACTGGGTCAAACCGAAGGAGTACCTCTCCGCGGCCATATCAGCTGGCGAACGATTTTCGGCGATGGTAAAGCTCGATAAGCCCCCCGGGACATATACAATACGGCTCCCGGATTCCGGCTCTACTCAGGTTATTTCAGGATTCGCGAACTTGGTGTATAAAGGCTCAAATTCGACCATTGTACCGAAACCGTATGTTACATATGGAGGTTTTAACGCAACAATCCCTGCTGGTATACAGACATATACGCCCTGGGACCTACCGACAGACATCATGCCCCCCTTTCCTCCCATTGCACCTCGCCCAGGCGCGGCGGATGAGGAATACCTCCTCGTCATGGGGCGTCTAAATTCCTCTATCGGCTACACTGTGAATACAAAATACCTGTACCCAATGACGTGGAACGCTGATACCCCTCTCCTCTTCTATCCCGACCGGATCCTCCCCGAAGAAGACGGTTATGTAATCCGCACACAAAACGGGTCTTGGGTGGACCTCATCCTGCAAGTCTCCACGCTCTCTAACGACCTCGCAGCATTTACGCACGTGATGCACAAACACGGTTCCAAAACCTGGCGCGTGGGCATGGGCCCGGGCATTTGGAACTACTCATCCGTCACCAACGCCATGGCTGAACATCCTGAATTCTTCAATATGGAGGATCCGGGGTATAGGGATACGTGGTTGACGACGTTTAGTCCAGTCCCTGAGGGTGGGTGGTGGATTGTGTTGAGATACCAGGCTACGAATCCGGGGCCGTGGCTGTTTCACTGCCATATTGAGTTGCACGCGATGGGAGGTATGGCGATGGCGATTTTGGATGGGGTGGATGAGTGGCCGGAGGTCCCTGACGAGTATCAGTTGTAGAGTACTGTGTAGGGGGTTTCACGGGCTGTTGTTTGCGTATGTATTCCACTTTAAAGTACTATACACTGTGATAGAAAGGAGACTACAGCGTTCATGCACCAATGAGTGAAATTAGCTGCTCCTTGGCCTCGCTTAGCCACGCACAGGCCTAAGTAAAATTTCTTGTAAGTTAGTGTTTTAATAGTGTTGTATTCGTGTTTAGTAGAAGTAAGACAGGTGTAGGAGTAGTACGAGGCCTGTCTAATAATTCCTAAAGGTTGTGTAATATTTAATTCAAAACTAAATAGGGAGCTTTGGTAAACTAACCCTGACCAGGATGCACCAGTCACGACTTCAAACAAGGGCATCGGAGGTCGTCGGGCTGGTGCAATGCCAAGCCTCCGATGGTGCACAATTGGCGTTTTATCTGATCGGCTGCACTCCCTGCTAGCGTGATCAGGGTGTTCGCCCGCTTCTCAAGATGTCAGCCTGTGCGCGACCGCCAAAGACGACTCTCCTTTCGCAACTGTGCATCCGACACCCACACGGAGCCAACGCCAAGAAAATGTCGCATATTCATGCTTCAGCTTCAGCTGTTCCTGCTTCGCTACGTCCAGGTCGGCGGGCACAACGGTGTGCGGCGCATTTTGTGAGGCGCGGAAGGTGATCTTGAATTTCCCGAAGTGGCCACAGACTAGTAGGGGCCCCTGAGAAGAGGCTGAAGCTTGATTAGTTCGCGTCTTGGCGAGCCATTTTTTGGTGGGGAGAATTCGTGATTCACACTGACGTAATGTGCGCCCAGAATGAACACTTCGTAGTTGTTTGCTAAGGCAAGTCAGCGTAAAGTATAAGATTAGCCAATGGAATGAGCGTCCTGATCTTGTAGACAACTTCAAACGGTTTTTCAAGTCAGGCACGGCGTATAACCAATACCTCCTGACAACAAAGCGGGTCGCTTCCCTGCTGATTCAGCTCATTGCAGAAAAGACGACACTTATAGACCAAGCCAGCCTGGTACGTTTCTTGTATTGTTATTTTGTGTGTATATTCTGACATGAGAAGAACGAAAATGATATGTTTAAGAAGCTCGTTGATTTTGCGGACCATTGTCAATCTCAAAGAAAGAGTACTTTCGCCGAAAGATTCCGATTGTGTAAGAAAGAAAAGGATTGCAACCGATGCATTAATCTGCTAGAACGATGGAACAAGCGGCTAGAAGGATTGATTGAGGTGGCGCAGGAGCCACATCTAAGGAGAGTCACAGCGTCTCTGAGTCTCAGCTCGACGTCTAGCAGCCTAGGGAACGCTATTGTCCTCAATATAAAGGATCCCTCAGCTCGAATTTGCCGTCTAGCGAGAGATCTTTACATGGTGCTCTCGCGGTGTTGGAGCTGTAAATGTCGCGAATTTCATGAGGCTAAGTCTTATCTCAACATTCACGGTCTAGAGCAGCACTTCTTGAATACTGATGCCGAGTTCGAATTTCCCGTTTCCTTACCTCTAACGGGCCGTTCGGCCGGGTGCTGGAGAGAAGGTGTAGTGGGAATCAGGGCTGCAAATTAAATTGCCACGTCATCAACTTCGGCTTCACTAAAGCTAAATGTTCGATCTAGTTCACCTTTGGGAGCTAAGGACTTAGAGGTACACCAAATATGCAAGGCACTCAACTCAGGCATAACTGGGCTAGGACTCCAATTGCTAATGGAAGACATAAATGGCCAACATCGCCTCTAGAGGCTTGATCCTAAACCTAGGCGCATTCCTGTTAGATCCTAAACCACCCGCATCGCTGCTTGATTTACTATCAGGCAGCGCGATGATCGGCTCGTACGAGAATTGCGAGCTCGCCATCACCAGCGCCTATTCCGTACTCCTGCCCTACGATACCCTTGGTTGCGCTCTCAATAGGACAAGACCCACCTATCGTTCTTCTACAAGACGGAGAACGAGCCTAACTTCACTCGGCCGTTCACCTCAACGCGGTTCGAACTTCTTACTTGGGAGGTTGGCTCCGACGAATCTAGCGTCTTCCACCGAAACTCCCTGATTCTCTATCTTGGAATTCTCCTCATCGAGATTTTCAAGGAGAAGCCGATTGAAAGATGGCGGAGAGAAGAGGAGAGAGCCATTGTTTCCCCTGCTACTGAGTACGTAATCAATCTAGAGGTCGCTCATCGTGTTGTCAAGAAGATGGATAATACGCCTTCAACATTGGCTATCAAGGCTCGCCTGGATTTGGACTGGATTCCTCAAGGGCAACCTGTCAAGCTTGAAGATCCAGAAATGCGCAATGGGCTTTTAAAAAATGTAATTGTTCCCTTAGAGTTAGAGATTACTATGGTCAGTTAATAGCTGTTTCATCATGCTTAAGAAACGCAGACGCCATATTACGTCTCCTCTCTTAAAATTTATAGGCCACTAGAAGGTGGTGCGGATGCCGCTAGAAGTGGGAGCAGAGGTAAATGCCAAAGACGGAAACTTGGGGAATGCACTGCTAGTGACATCAGATACGAGCTGTGAGAAGGTGGTGTTGTTGCTGCTAGATGCATAATTATATCGGTTTTCCTTCATGTCTCCATTTCAAAGAATAGTCCGGGGATAGGCGTGAATATATAACTAACTAATTTGCCACTAGGCACAGAGAGGCTTCTGGAAATCTTTGGAACTGCAGTTAAGCTTAGAGATTGGCCACGGTTTAGTTTTAAAGAAAGTGGATGAACATCTCGACCACGCTGGCAGGGAGGGCAGCCGGCCCGCACTGGTTATGACCTTGTAGACGCTTCGAGATGTATAGATAATAGTGGTACAGTAGCGGTACATATGGCACAGCTCATAATATACTATTGATATAGCCACTTTCTAAGCCACATATGCTGCCCTGCAAAGCGCTAAGACTCACTTAGTAAGCGCATTTCTGAGCAGCGGTTCGCTCAGAATAACCAAAGTCCAGGAACTGGAAACCAATACCGGTCGCTACTGTATGGCTTCGATAGATGCCGACTTCGGTTGTGACTTAGTGTCACGAGCAGAACGCAGCCAGGCTTGAGCTCGGCCGGATGTGTCCATACCGAACTTGAATGGACAAGGAATCCGAATGCAACTAGGTATAGGGCAAAGAAGTAGCATGTATATAAGCAGTAACGAATCTCTGCCTTGGAGGGCAGCGATTCGTAAAGGTCAAGATCTATACTAGTGGCTTCGTCCAATCAATGCCCCCCAGAAGAGCAAGTTCAGCCTGTCCAGTGTATTGCACACTTCATTTTGACACTTATAATAAGTAGCTACCTACGTCGCATGAAAAAGCCTGGATTATTAAACGTAATACTACTAAATGCATAAATTTACAACAATCTACTAATTCATATATCCTGCTGCCATGCTTATTGCTAGTTAAAAGTATTGTATAAAAGTACTATAGCCTACTAAAATCTATACCTGTTTCAAATACTAATGGAAAGATATTTTAGCTAACCTTCGTATAAATCTTTCTAAATTCGAAGAATACACCAACATTCTCGCAAATACACCCCGACGTCGACGCCATTCCGCGCCTTTCTACTTAGTCGACCGTTCACCTAAAGTTCTGCCTTCCTCCCAATCTATCTTCCCTCTTTGCTGGAAGTCTTGGAAACAATTCCCTCTCATATTATACTCCTATTTGTTTGCGGCATTTCCCCAAGGATCCGGAATACATTAAAGGGTCTCTTTCATCGCATACCCACCTGAGTCTCCGCCAATACTAACGTTCCGTTCTCCTCATCCACAAACCGACGACTTTAATAATTACAACCAAAAATGGCCTCAGCATTACCCCCTCACTCCTTCTCTATAGCTCCACACTCAAATTCGTCACAAATCGGGACTTTATGTTAGAAATTGCATGCTTGAAAGAAAGTGAATAAGCGGCGAGCACAAGTAAGGCCGATGTCATGTATGAAGAGATTAGATCAGTGAATACAGCTGGTGGGGGCTTACCCTTTTGCACTATTTTCCCGGGAATTTATACTGTATATTGGAGGCACAATTCTGAGTGACATTTGGAAGGTTTCCAGGGCCGTGTTTAGAAAATTAGAAGCAGCATGGTAAGATGAATGATGAATGTACTGAAAAAGATTGGGCATGGTTGCCTTTTCTCGGAGAGAGAATCCAATTACAGCATTGCATAAAAGCCTTTGCATTTTCGACATCACAAAGCGCGAATATATCACCCTCCCTCCATCTCCCCAGTGACTTTACTCCCAGCCCCTCAATGAAATCTATTCCTCTCCGTAAACTCATCATTCTCAAAAGCACGTGAACCTTCTCATTCACCTTCGCCCCAATATCATTACATAAGCAACACGCCACAATCGCCAAAATACCAAAACTCAGATTAATTAGCGCTGTTACCCTAAGCGCATGGACGTAAGCCTATTGGAACACCGCGCCGGCAGCCACGGTGATGTCAGGTGTGATGCCGGGGACTTGGTTGAGGGCCGTGGAGCGTTTGGGGATGGAGGTGAGGGAGATGCCAAGGGGGTAGGGCTAGACATACCGAATCTACTCACACCAGCAAGAGTTCCAGAAACAACTCAATTCGACTTGCGGAACTCTTAATTGGATAAAGGTAAGAGACAGTATCCGTGCCCATCCAAAACAAGTCTAGGAAAGGAAGAAGAAGACCATCATCAGGACTTTACGGGTTACATCTCCGAGACCGAGAAGAGCACCAAAGAATATCATGATAGTAGCCGGCTCGGCAAGGCTCCACTTCCTACAGAGAATCAGCGCCGACCTATCTATGTTTGGCCGGAATGAGAGGATGTGAGAGACGTAATAGCATAATGGTTGACATTAGGTGGGAGCCGAAAAGAATATGTAGATGGTTGGGTCAATTGGAAAGGGATCTTCCAGAATTTCGCGGACTCCACTGTCTATCGGAGATTCATTAGGTCTAGACTCCAAGTACAATTCTGTGCCTGTCGATCGAGTTGGTCATGCGCTTCCGTAAAGTCCATAGCCTTCACTCGGTACAGAAGATCTTCCCCAAGCTATTAGGAAATCTAGGGACCCTCGCCGAAGGATCTTAAAGGTATTCCATAACCAAGGAATTCGGGACGAATAATGTTTTCACTGATTAGTCTCGTATATTACGAGCTGCGACTGGTCTAGAATGCGGACTGTCAAAGATCGATATTGAGTACAATTGAGTACATGATTTAATGTAGCTTCTGTCTCGCTAGCCCTTCAATATTCGTGCTGGGGGGGCTTACCCCTCTATCAAGTTGGCCAGTCCTTGAGACGTGGAGGACTTACAAGCGCTCTAGTTCCCCATTGGAACCCCCATAGTCAGTAGCCCACCCCAATTACCCACTGCACCAGCCACACTGCCTACCTTCTTTCTCTTTTCCCTACTCCTCTCCTCCCTTGCAAACACGCACACGGCGGTGAGAATCAGCAATCCACACCAATCCTGATCTCCTGTCACTTTGTAATCATACACCTCCAAAACTCCAAACTCACTAATCCCCTTCTGCGAGCCTCCAAACCGAGCCAAAACCGCTCCCGACTGTTCGTCCACCAATTTCAATCGCCTATCTACGCCAGTAATGGACTCTAAGTCATGCATCCACTTGTACTTCCCCAGTCCCGGCACCGAGAGGGCATAGGTACTCTTGTTCATGTTCGTGTTGCTCCCTGAGCGATCTAGAGTGATATCTGTACCATACGCATCGAACTTGCATTCCAAGAACTTTCCCTGAACCGTTTGTATGAGGCAGTGGCCGACGACGTCACCATGTTGTTGGAAGGTCGAGTAGATGGAGCGGTGAATTGCGACTTCAATTGTGTCACGCCATGCCTTTTTTACCGAGAGTGTGATCGAGTAGGAATACGAGTTCAGTGATTCCGAGGTAACGTTGAGTTTTCCGGAGAGATTTTGTGAGATGTGGTAGGTGACAAGAGGATCAGAAGAGGTGGTAACTGCCAGGGCTTCCAACGAGGCGTAGTACTGTACGATTGGGCGATTTTGAGGCCTGTACGGGTGAGATTTTGTGTACGTTCGTACAACAGGGAGGAGGAGAGGTAGGTGTACGTATCGTAACTGTTACGGCTCACGTAATCTGTACAAGTAGTACAATTTAATTAAAGTACGCTGTACTCTAGTTAAAACAGCTAAGACTATAGGTCTCTAGAGACGCAAGATTAAGGTCTAATTAATTCATTCTCCCTAGTAACAAGAGCAGATAGGACTAGATAAGGCCTGTAAGGCTGCAAGAGGCGTGGATAGATAACTCTGCAATAGAAAATAGTCTGTAATAGGCATTTTTAAGACAACAGACAGATGGATAGATTAAAACCCTTAGAAAGAGATTTAAGCGTCCGCAGGCCTCCTGCTCGCCAGAGCCCTTATACCCCTCCAGAACCCCTATACAAACTTCCCAAAAAGGTAATACAATCCGTACTACGTACTGTACCTAGGGCATTATTAAACGTACGGTACGGCTCACGAACTTGGTACGTTCGTACTGAACACGTGACCGTTACGGTTCACTTTGTACGGACCGTAGTACGGCCCGTTGGAAGCCCTGGTAACTGCAGGTTTGGATTTCCTAAATAGACCCATGATGATTTGGTGTTTGGATACAAGGAATTTCTAGGGTGGCCTCGGATAGGTAAACAAGCAATTCCTTAGGCGTTGTAATTGAAGCCTAATTAAAGATGTCGGAAACAAGGAATCCAAGTAGGCGGTCATGGTGAATTTGTATGGCCATTTGATGTACAAAGGTATGACGGCGTAGGATCAACGGACACCGAGCACTTGATATAAGATACAGGGACTTGAGCCTGTAGACTTCGCAGTTCGTTACCGTAAAGGGTATCCATCTGGCGATCCTGTGAGGCTCGGAAAGTGAGGTCATACGCCAGTTACGTCAGCGTGCTTAAACCAGTCGAGATGGACCGTGCATTCACTCTTCAAATTTCAGCTGCTTGTTTTTAGCACTCCTCTCGCATTTTGTTGCCCTCTCAAGGAGTCTCTACTAAACAAATCCGAGCACCGTTAGCCTATTCCGAACATTAACACTCACGATCCTTCACAACTGACCTCGTACGATCACTCTCACGCTCAACATCAAACGTGGCAGGTGTGATTTAGGCCAGAAAATTGCGTCCTGTTAACTCACATTCTCTCTAATCCTAACAGGCGGTTAACCAATCAAATCCATGCTGATGATATTCCATGGTGGGTGCGAGTATGCTGTATAGCTTTTCGGCTGGCAGAATTTCTGTCCCCACCTTTCAAATTTCCAATCCTAGAAGCCTACTATCTCATCTACCTCCTTAAATATTAAACAAAAACCTCGCCAAGTTTCCTTTATCCCCATCCAATGCTACACTAATATCCTCAATCTCCCCTGGCAACCTCACATCCACGCACGTGCAATTCTTTCCTTCCCCAAACACCGCAGTCACATTCCCCGTTGTTGAATTACTGATTCCAGGACACACCCCTACGGTCGTAGAAATCGCAGATGACTTGGAGGCAAAATATGTCTGCGAGTAAGCATATGCAGCAATGATATTCGTAGCATACAGCGCAAGGGCTCCTGCGTACGCGATGAATCGATGCGGGTTCTTGTTTAGCGGATGATACGCGTCTCGGCCCTTTTCTTTTGATACCGATTCTTGGACTGGTGGTGTTTGTCCTTGCGGAGGGAAGTACGGTGCTGAGTAATATCCCTGCTGATAGCCCTGCTGATACTGAGGTAAAGGCTGAGGGTGATATTGCTGTGTCGGCTGCGGAAGAGGCGGACACCCGTTCTTTCGCCAGCGCAACCATTCAAAGTCCTTCTGGATCTGGTATATCAGTGTCGCGAGGAAGTACAACCCTAGGACGCCGAGGAAGATACGGTTCACAAGGATCGGAATGGAATGCGGCTCGCGGAGGCCAAGTTGCTGCGGACTCGCGCAAGGGAAACTCGTAGCTGGCGTCCCGAAGGCCGAGTAGTAGGTACAGTCCCCTCCACCAAGTCCCTTGTCTGGCAGAATTGCCGCACACGACTCACTCTGCACTTGATACAGCAGCGCGACTCCAATACTCGGGAGTGTGAAGCACGCGAAGTTGGCGATGACAACAATGGCGACAATCCAGGCTACGATCCTCGCCATCCACCGTCCCCGAATCTTTGCGCTGTACATCTGTGCTCCTATACAAAATACAGCGATATATCCATTCCCACCGATCTTCCTTACCAGGTCACGGTGGCCCCAGTTCTGTCGCAGATGCACGAGCCCTGAGATGGACTGAAAGAAGGTCATGAAGAGGCCGAATCCCGTGAGGATAGTTTTTGCGCCATTGACGGAGGGCTGGAGAGTCCAGACACAGTCTGCAGGCTCCTGATGCTTCCATCCCGAGCTGATGGTGTAGACACCAATGAAAAAATCGAGGATCCCGCCGATAAGGGAGCTCCACCAAGGAAGGGTGCGGGTTATACCCACAGGAGAGATGGCCAAGGGCGAGGAGGAGTTAGTAGAGTTCGTAAGGGAGGTTATGGTGGTAGAGTTGCCGCGTGCCACAAGGTCAAAATAAGAGGCAGAAGCTGAAGCGAAGAAGAAAGGCAAGAGAAGAGTGACAAGACTAGCAAACTTGGATTTCGACGCCATGGTGGCAGAGAGGCGCTCACAAGCTTCACCTTCCAGACGCTGTGGAAAACCACAAACCGGCTCAATACCGCTGGGCTTGCATCATGAATAAGTAGGGCGGTCATGGCTTTCCGGCTCCACATACATCTCCCCCAGATGCTAGGGGTTCTCTCCTCCATCCTTCGAATCGTGGTTGCAAGCACGTTGCAAGTCCACACGCAGACAGCACTGCGCCTCGTCCGGGGTAAAAACGTTAGGATTCACTCATTTCTTTGGGTTCCTGCCCCTGCCCTTCCGCAAAAAGATTCTAAGCGACGAGCGCCACATCATGCAAAATGTCCAAATCAATAACTAGCCCTGTCAAGATGGTCGAAAATACGAATTGCGACGTTTCTGGCCCCCAGCCTTGCTGTAACATGAGGAGCATCACACCTAAGTTTCGTTATTTGTGCACGAACCAAGCTCACAGCCTTACCAGTCGAAAGCTATCATCGGCTACAAAGGGTGCAAGATAGTGCAAGAAATGCATCTTTCTTTCTTCAATCTCCTCATTCATCCACCTTGCATTTCACAAAGCATATAATCAACCTCTGCATCAAGACACCACCTAAAATACGATTCCAGGACCCTTGCTTGAACATCTGCACCTGCAGCAGGGTCAAATATTCGCTGCTCCGGAATTGCCGCAGTTCGAAATACGAAGCCAACATCAATGTCATTGGTAGATAGCAATGGTGGGGGCCGGAAACACGAAAAGGATGTTCGTATAAGCTTTCAGAGGATAGCTTTATTCGGGCGTGGCACTTGGCGGGTGAACGGAGGAGTGAGGCCGGCTCAGAGGTGGGATGCCTTAACGTGTCACATCTTATCATTCAACGCAGAATAACAGGGGGGAACTGAGGCTGGGAGTTGACCTCTTGTTGGCATTCTCCCTCACCCCAGAAAGGAATTTAAGTGACCAAATTCGCTAGAACAATGTTCCACGATAGGTGCAAATTATTGTTACATTTTCAAACACTGCGCTATTGACCAACAAAGACTCCAGACGGTTGAAGCGCTTCTAATGATAAGTGGTGGTGAAAGTTAGTTGTTACCTCGCCTCTGTATTCATTCTCATCTTTCGTCCCGTATTGCAACTTTTCTCCAAATTTGCTCTTAGTTGCTGCTTATCACTAAAAACAATATCATCAGTCACCATCCTCCCACACTCTTCAATTCTTAATGCTGTATCCCATTTATCTAGCAATAACGTGAATTAAACCTTGATTTCCTTCTTCCTACATCCCTACCAGCGTGGCCAACAGTCCGTAGTACGTAACGTAACTACGTGAACGTAGTAATCACGTGAGGCGTACAAAAGTAGTCAAAATGTGAGACGTAACTTTTGTACAGTGAATTGCCAAGTACGTACTGTAGTACGGGTCAGAGAGGTCATATTTTGGGAGATTTCCCTCCTGTTTATGGGGCCTGGCAGGAGGAAGCTTTTTAAATAGACTGGGTTATTTCTCAGGATTAAACCTTTAGAAACGCATCTTCAGCTGAAACCCGCGGGGTATCACTTGGAACCGCGCTAACCTTCTCGACGCTATACCATCTTCCCACACCACGCTCTCAACCTATATTCAGAACAGTCTGGTGCGCCGGAAGCAGGAGATTCGAACGATACTAAGATTAGCCTGTAGTAAAATCGCGCTAAGCGTTGATATATGGACTTCTGCAAAACCTTAGCCCAGCCGCGTTAGCGCGAAAATCAAAACTACAACACTGACATCCTCCACACAGATGCCGAATACCAGCACAGAGACCTCCTTATTGGCTTCAACAATCTATACGGAGACCACACTAGGGAGAATTAAGCGCTGGAGATTGTTATTGCTACAGTGTTAAATAATAGATAACGCAGAGACTATCGCGACTTTAGCTGAGGAGCTTCATTTGCCTCTCACCACCAAACACTGTATCTGCTGCGCTGGCTATACAATTTAAATTGTTGTCAAGGCAGTTGTATACAGCTAGGGAGTCTCTACCTTTGAAAAAGCTCTAGCCCAAGCTGCTCCAGATGATCAATTCAAGCTATACCAACAGCAGGGCGTTTCATCCAAGCCAAAAAGCTTCTCCCGGAACAATTTTGACCCGGACCGACGAAACTTCTCGCGAAAAGTACAAAAGTATAAGGATTTTGAGAAGTTACTGTTACATTACGTACTTGCCAATTAATTCACCGCTTACGTACAAAAGTACTACCAAATCGAGAAGTTACTGGCAGAAAAAAGCTCAAACGTAACGTACTACGTACTGTTGGCCACGCTGATCCCTACTCGCCCCAATGTCGCAACCGTAGCTTGCTCCTACAACTTATCGTCACATTCCATATAGTCCACGGAAGAGTGCTTTAATCCAGACCAGAAGCCGTCCATCTTCCATCACGAATGCCTCGCAACCACCTACTAGCCCCAAGAACGATGCTAGACGTGTATGGGAAATAGCAGGCACACATTCAGTGGGAGCGACTAATTAAACTGTCCCAGAATGCTGTTAGACACAAGAACAATGCCTTAGTCTACTACAGCTACTGCCGAGCATATCCTCTACAATCTCTCTCACAAGGACAACTTCCTCTCCAGAACAACCGCTCTAGTCCTTATGTAGCAACTCTTTCACTTTCTTACGTTGTGCCGTCATCTCCCGCTCCGTCTTCATATTCAGCTTCACCTCTGGCAGGCTATCCCTGAAATCCCAAACTCCCTCCACACCTCTCCACGCATGCCCATTCATCCCTACAATCCCTTTGTTCAGTCTAGCAAGCTGAACATTCACCCCCCTTCCCGTTACCGTAAGTCCACCTCCAACCAGCGTTAAACCCAACTCTGCATAAACTGCATCCTCCTTGCTCACAACGAAGCAGTTCGGAAACTAATGTATAAAGTCCCTTGCAGATATGGTCTACAGGGGGGGGGGGGGGGAGGGGAGGAAGCTCGTGTCGACATCAGAGCAGGCCGTATGTCTCGCAGGGTAGTTGAACGAGCAGCTAAAAACCGGGGCGGCAGTTAGAACAACAGGGGCTAACGGGAGGGAAAGACGCTGGTTTGAGATATAGAGATGGAGATGGGGTGTGCTTAATAGCGATGCATTTTATAATGCAATGCATGGCAGAAATTTGCTTCCTGTCGAGGTTTCTGCTAATTCCAACAAGAGCTTAAATATATTAAGGTCTGCTCTAGTCATGTTCCATGTTATGTGGTGACACGCTGTGAAGTTTAGTGGTTAGGTTGCGACTAGCCTAGAGTTTAGAAGATGAAATTGGTATAGGGATTTTAAACTGCCTAGAGTGAATGCAGAACTTGATAGATGTAATTCAGTACAGCAGTTTTTCACCCCGCTGACGTTCTATTCAATTCCAACAAGAGATTCAATTGATTGGTTATGCCTTGCTAATGTTCCACAATAGGTGCGAATATGCCCATCCCCTATTAACAAGACTTGGCACTCTCCAGCATATTGTCTTCCAAACGCAAAGTAGCGGCCTTTGCATCCCGGAATTGACGTGTCAGCCGCATCGCCTTGCGAACTTGAATCGTGGCGATGTCCCTCAACTCGTCGGCAACAGTTACTGCAGCGATGCGCCTGTATGCTCAGCAACACCGTATCCTCTACTTCAGAAGATTGAGTAAGGAAAGCAGCTTGTCATGATTCGTCTACTCTCCCGCTTGCTTTCTTGCACTAGCATTGAAATCCGTTCTAAAAGTAATAGAGAGAAGTGTAATGGCGCTATTGTGTTGAGAGAAGTGCGAGAAGGGAGGTAGCTCTTGTAGTTGACGCTAACATTAGCGTCTCAGATAGAGTTCAGTTAATAACCACACGCGATCCCCCCTTCTCATTCGAATCTGGGCACTCACTCACATCTTTTACCACACGCTTAACGTTAAACAACTCAATTCCCATTCTCTCATATACACTGTGGGTGTAATCATCACATCCATCTCCATCCCAAGTAACATATCCCATCCTCCATTCCCCCAATACCGAATACCCAATAGACAATGTCTAAGGGTTGTGGCTGTCAACCCATACTTAAGAAAAGCCTGCGTCTTCGCATAAGCCGTCCAAAACAATAATCATCATACGCAAGAACCAGCTGGCAAAATCACAAAAGAAACGCCAAACCACCACCAGCCATCCAGCTAAGCCCGAAACAAATCTCAGACCTCTTCATTTCCATTTCCCTTCCATTCCAACCCTAAATCCCCCATCAAGCCAGAGCACCGACGAAGAGACGAAGATTGGGAATGTTGTGACGGATATCAGGGAAAGAAGTGATGAGAGAAGAAGAAAACCGCCGTGTTTCTTTGAACGCCCTAGTACGCCTTTTAAAAACAATTTGGCCCCCGCCCCGTGATTCTACACTCGTGTAGTAAGGTGTTACGCTAAGGAAGATGAGAGACAGGAAAGATGGATATGTGCCGATGAAACATGACTCCCCCGATCGTGTATATAGCGCAATGCGAGAAAGGTGGTGATGATACATGGAAAGAGGACAAGACGCCGACCCATGCATGAACAAGCACAGGAAGGAGTCTCGGGAATAGGGGGAATGGGGAGAGGAACGAATTAGGGGAATGTACTCCTCTTCTACCTTCGTGAGGGGTGGTTATTTACCGGGGACCTTGTTGCGGTACTCCCATGCCCATACCAGGTTGCATCTGAGCGATGCCGTATGGGTTTTGATGGTTCCCGAGCTCGCCACCCAGGAAGGTATTCATGTTCATGCCGGCAAGTCCCTGGGCGTGGGAGACTGGGCAGTCTTTGTGAGCCAGAAGCAGAGTCTTTAAATTCACGACTTCTTCGCGAAGTTGGCCGACTGTCGCCGTGAGGGCGTCATTCTCAGTGCTGTAAATTTCGACCTTAGCTTGGAGATTCGTAAGCCACTGTTTCTTCCGCTGGCGACACTTGAGGGCAGCAACCCTATGATGTTGTTAGTATGAAGTCGCTTGAGACTACAACAGCACGTACCTATTTCGCTCAAGGAAGTTCTTTCGCTTCTCCTCATCAGTCATCTTCTTACCTCCCTCACCCTCACCTTTAGGGCTAGTCCCCTCATCCGAGTCTTCTTCCATCTCATCGAGAGTGCCATTAGATTTAGCCTTCTTGTTCCCTCCCTTCGAAGTATCCTCGGTCGCTTTTCGCTTACCACCAGCTTGTTTGCCATTAGCAGATCCCTTCTTCGACGCACGTGAGCGCGTCGTCTTTGCTTGCTCGCTATGGCCACTATCAGAGAAGTCGCCAGTGTCAGCGGAGCCCGAGATGCTATGGGATATTGAGCCTTTCGTGTTGCGTCGTCCATTTTCTTGTGCAACGGGCTGAACGGGCATATGACCCATGCTGTTCACTTGCTGCTGAGGTTGATTGGGCATGGCGAATGGTTGGACGCCATTACGAGTACCGTTCTGGGTAGCGAAAGAGAGTAGATCGTTGGCAGCATTGCTCACATCATGGCCATGGTTAGCATAGGGGTCATGCTGGCCTTTTTGCTGCTGCTGTTGGTAGTTCTGGCGATCCATTCCGGCTGGTGCTGCTTCGGGTTGGGAGGTGGGCGCGCTAGTTGTTGGCAGCTTGTTTTGGTTAGCCTGTGCGGCTGCGCGCAGAGCTGATTGCTGGAAGTCGGCAGTACTTGGGGTGACACCACCGCTTTGGAGGTTGAATATGGCTTGCGTATTCGGACTAGGCACTGGGAACATAGAACCCCCTCCTCCAGGCGTGAGACCCGTGCGGAGGGACGACTCGTTTGGCGTGGGAAATCCGCGGAATGACTCACTGAAATAGTCACTCTGACCTGTAGGGCCAGTGAGCATTGCAGGACTCAATGGGCCAGACCGTAATGACTGCCACCCAGGAGTAATACCTGGCAATGGCGACGGAGAAGTGATGTTGGCAACAGGTGGAAGAACAGTGCGCCCTCCCGGTGTCTCTAGTGACGGGTTCCCAAAGGACTGTTCGAAGACATTTGGCTCGAGCGAGAACGGGTTGTGGACGGTATTAAAGTAATCGGGCGTATCGTTCGACGCGTTGGGGCGTGGAGGAGGGGCGAGAGGTTGGGAAGCGGTATTGGGATTTGCTGGCTGATTGTCAGATTGTTTAGAGTCTTCGATGTTGGATTCTGTAGGGGCGCGTTAGTTGAATGATACGATGCAACCCGTCACAATAGTACAGTAACAATGTCATTCGAGACGACACCGCGATGGAAGGGGCACTGACGCTGTTCCTGATTGGTATTCTCTGCATTGGTTGGTTCTGTCGACAAGTCCATGGTTAGCGACGACTGTGCACGACAAGATCATTACATGAGGGGAATGGGACGATGCGATTGCGCTTTGGTCGCTATCTAGGTGCGTGGGGAGACAATGGAAAGATGGTGGCGACGCAATGGATAGGGCGAGAGTGAGGCTATACACACCTTCAGCCTTAGTCACGGGAGGAATGGACTTCTTGGAGTCCTTTGGGGAGGACATCCTCGAGTTGGATTGGGGAGAGCCGTTGGAAGGTCGTGCGGCAGTGGCAGCCATTGCAAGCGGTGACGTAGAGGGTGCGAGATGTCAAGGGATCGCCTCGCGTGTTCTTCGGTCCTTCGCACACACTCTCTCCTCTCCTGCGCTCGTCTGGTCGCGGTTTGCAACACCACAAAGGGACAACGATAAATTTCGCTGGTTGCCTAGTTTAGTCTGTCAGGAACCCATTGGAATTACAGCACAGGCGCGATGGATTGTAAGGCGTTGCGACGCAGAAGACGCTGTCGCAGAGACTTCGGGGATCGTGGTGAGGCGCACGACAGCGACAACAGGAACAGCGACGTACCGAACAGGCTTCAGGAATGTAGGCCGCCCAAAAGCGGGGTTGCAGTATTCGATGGAAGCAGTGATACTGAGGGTGGAGCCAAAACAGAGCCCAGGGTGGCCGCTGTTCGTCGCTGCTCGAGGGCGTGTTGAGGTTGTGGTGTAATGACGCAATGCTTCAGGCAGGCCCCTGATGACGGTCGACGGTCGCAGATTCCTTTGCAACGCGACCGCACCACCTTCACTGGACAAAGAGAAGGCGCACGCCGGTGCCGGCAGTTTAATGCGCTTTGCAGTCCTTAATGAGGCTCTTGGCTAGCGCTTGGGGTCGGGGGGGATTTGATTCTGGGAACGATGACGGAGGCGTTCGTTATGATGTCGATGGGCGTCGTTTGGCAAAATCTGGGAGGAGATGGCACAACGTCACTTTTTGCCAAGAGTATCACGTGCGCTGCATTAATAAAGCAGTCGCAAAGCGGTCAAAGCTCTTTCACCCGGGGTGCACTGTGATTGGCGCGCGACTTGACGATCTCTAGCCCGACTTACCCGTCCTGGAGCGCCAGCACGGAATTGCGCTTGCCACGCACGCCAGAGGCGAGGGTGAATGTGCCGGTGATATTATTGCCGTCTCCTAAGAGAACAAAACCTCTATTTGCCCGGCCACATCTTCCAGAAGCCAGGTATCACCGATATCGTGTGCCGTTCGAGGACAGAGTGTCATGCTGAGCGCGCTACGCGGTGGGCGGCATCCGTCGCGGGCTTGAGGATCTTTGTTCAATGGATGGCGTGAAGCATTGTCTGGAGGTTGGGGCCGAAACACATGAATTGACGCCGCCGAAAGCGGTAGGTGCGAGCTCAAGACGCGAGCATCTCCGATCTGATATGCTTCCACTGATCGAGGCTCCTAATCTCTTCAAATGCTAAGACAAACTTGCCATATGCAATTGGAGGCTTCCAGAGATTCCAATTGGAACCTGCAGGGAGTGAGAAGTGTTTAATAATCCTCCGTATGCACTCGGTGCGCTCTGAGTGTTCGTTAAGTAGGTATGCCATCGAGTCGTACACCCTGCGATTTGTGACACAGAGGTTCGTATTCTGACATCCACCCTGTATCATGCAAGTTTACATTTCTCACGACAAATCTGACAACAGCATCGGAAGACCCGCACATCAACCTCTCAGCCTTGCTAAAATCTTGATAAGCTTATCTTTTCCTCAATTGATCAACTCACACAACCACTAAGCATAGACTTACTTTCGAAATGTTGTACCTCTCATCCAAATGCATGTTGATTGCCCTCCTACCATGAGGGAAAGGAAGAAGCGTCTCCACCTGCAACCATCCATACGCCACACCTTCCTCCAACCTTCCCCCACCTTCCCAGTTTCCTCACCCTCTTTCCTCTTTCCCTCCCTTGCTTACTGCAGTATTTTCTCCCCCATAAACCCCATCCATTAAATCCACGCAATTTCTAAAGACCCAAATAGACAAGCCCACATCCCAACAGTGCACATCCACCCTCTTTTCCAACCCGCCGCCCCGATTCAGCGGACCTCCCTGCTTCACAAGAAGTAAGAAGGGCCCTGAAAGAATGACTCCCTAACCAGGAGGCCGAAAAGTCCCATGTGGGCCGCCGAGATGGGGATTAAGGCATTGGTGGGCTCGTCTGGCATTGGAGCTTGTCCCTAGACCCGAGTTGATTTTTGGTGGGTGGGAGCGCGAGTAAGATGAGGGAAGAATTAGTATTGCAGTTTGAATTACAATGCGGGGGTTTCTTTCTTAGTGTAGGGTGAGAGAGGCAGTGGGTTGGGAGAGGAAGGCGCAACGCATCTTCTCACTACCTTGACACCTTATGCCGAGGCAGCTGCGTAACCTGGAAGGAGATATATTGATTTGCGTTTCGATGTATGCCTGCCCAACTCCACCTCAGTATCAATATAGTCCTCTGCTTGCATCCTCAAACAACCATGAGATTGAGTATTCTTTCCCATTCAATCAATTCTCCGACTCCCATCCCGACCTCAATCCATCTGCGCCGAATCCTGTATCACCACTCCAAACATCCTCCTCTTCAATATCCTCCCACACCCTAACTCCCCCGATACGTCGTATACCCAAAGGGCCCCAGCAGAACCGGAACATGGTAATGCTCATCCTTCCCCCTTCCCCTCTCTCCTTCCTTCCCCTCCTTACCCTCCTGTCCATACCCACCCTCCCGCACCAAAAACCGAACCACCACCTCCGGAAAAAAGGCCTTCACCCCCCGTTCCCCAAAATATCTCTCCGTGTCAAATCTCAAGCTCCACGTCTGATCTCCCGGTCTCTTAAATACGACTTCCAGTCCATCCGCTGAGAACGGAGAACTTGGTTGCCAGGATGTTACCCGGCCGTCTGAGTTGGTTGTTGAGGTGAAAGTAAGTGAAGAGGTGGAAAGAGAGGATGGTGGGTTGTGCAGGGTTAGGGTTACCGGGATGGAGGAGGCTGGACGACCGAGGGTAGTGTCGAGGACGTGGCAGGTTATCGGGGGCTTCGGGGAGGGGGTTGTCATTGTGTGCAGCCGCTCTGGAGGTTTAGCGTGAGGATGGGGTGAAGTGGGCGGAGAGGTGGTGGGTGGCGATAGTTGGTTTGAGAGTGCTGAGAGCTGGTGATATGACTGCGAGAGTGGAGCGGTAGAGGATGTAGCGTGTTATAATATGCAATGCTCTCGACAAAGCGGATAGAGGCAAAAAGATTTTGGTGACATTTAGTGGTGACACCTAAACGTGTATTCCTTCTCTTCGATTCCTACAAAACAATCCCTGAAGAAAACATAGCTGGAAACTTATGTTTGCCAGTAAACCCCTTCGAAACATCCCAGAAGCAAAAAACACGAGATCGGTCTCCCCCATCGTCATCGGGCCTCTACCGAACCCCTCCCCCCACTATTCGCCAGGAAACCACATCTCAACGCGCCGATCCCCGTGCCCAAGTATGATGTGCCTCAAAGCGCACCCAGGGCCAGCTTCCACTCCTTGAGGGATTCAGAAGTTACAGAATCCGTGCTCGGTATTCGTGGAATGTAACCTCGATATATTGAAGGACGGCGGTCCCCATGTTTCATCCCAGGTCATAGCTTGTTTCAGGAATTCCGCCCGAGGACCAGGACGCAGAGTTCTCGGGAGAAATGAGCAGAACAGCAGAGGATGGGAATTTGTGGTATCAAATTCAATTCCATCATGATTCATTGAGTTCTTCTCTCAATGAAATCGTGAGCCAAGTAGAGTAGATTAGCTACAAAGAGCAGTGCCAATGTCATAATTGCACACATTCGACTCAATCTTCCACCGGACAATGACACCTCTCCTCAGTCGCTCAATAAATCCTCCATCCCTGTAGAAGTAAAGTATAAACAATAAACTAACAAGACCAAAATGTCGCCATGTAAGGCTTTGATATCTTATCCCAAAAAGCTCACGATTGGTGGCTTATTCCAAAAAAAAAAACGCCTAAAGCACCCAGAGGGAAGCGAACTTAATCAGTCGCATTGTCGTCTGAGAATGGAGATTGTGTCCTCCTCGACGCTCGACTCGCCCGCTTTGACGACTCTTCGGCGATAGGTGTCATTGGCGCACGTAGCCCGCTTGATGCCGATGCATGTCGTTGCGGGATGTCTGACTCGGTTGGTGAAGGATCAGAGAAAGGGCTCTGCATTGTCACGGGTGTGTCTGAGATGTCGGTGAACTCGGAATCGCGGAAGTTTGAGGAGGAGCTAAGGAGGCTACGTCGTGCGCGAGAGTGATCGTCGTCGTCGGACTCCGAGTCTGAATCTACATCCCTGGCTTTTCGAGCACGAGCGTGTGGAACACTGTCTTCCGTTGAAGCTACAGAGACCTCCGTCAATGGCCTCATTGGAGGAACCAGAGGCTCTGGGGATGGGGTATTTACGGCCGTGGTGGAGGAGGAGGAGGAGCTCTTTGGCGTCGAGTTCTCAAATGACGTCTTCTTCTTGGTGATGTTCAATGCCCGAACAGGACCCAATGTAGCCGTACTTCTGACCGAGTTTTGCGGGCTTAGTGAAGACGCGTTGCTGGTCATGCGTGGCATTTGGATGCGGATTGGCTGTGCGGTATGCTTGGGGTCAATGAGAGGAACCGGTGGAGTTTCCGCGCCCGGTGTGTCTAGCGGGCTATTAGATCCGCTCGATTTGACGCTGACAACAGCAGCCTTGCCGCGTACGATGGTTTGCGCAGGTAGAGGGGATACGATGGCATTCTGGCGGTATACAGTGGAAGCAACGCTGGTTCGTGCCATACTTGGCGCAAAACTGGTACGGGCATAACTGGCATCGGTGCTTTGAGAGGCCATGGAGTCTCGGAAGTCTGGGACAAAGAAATGTTGTTCGGAGGCGGAGTATGGGCTGCTGAGGCCAGATGAGGGAGACATTGCTGGAATAGGAGGAACAGGAGGAACTAGGAGATCAGGCGATCCAGGACCTGACCGGTTCGTAACTCCCGGGATGTAGGCGATCTGGATAATATTGGAGGCGCGTGTGAGAACAGATGAGGCCATGGATGCCACCGTGTGTGTGGATGCCCGAGCGCTGCGCCGCGATGCGAAGTCGTGGTCCACCTTTTCCTGGGTCATGTCTACTTCCTGCCATTCTCCCTCGTCATGCTTCCTCCGTCGGCCCTTCAGACAATATTTCCATATGATGAAGGTGGCAATAGCTATGAAGACTACGCCTCCTACGACGCCTCCAGCGATAGCTCCGACATTGGGGCCACTGCTGGATCGGTTGTTGGTCTCGGTGGGATCGAGCTCCTTTGCTTTGCAGGAAGCCGTTGCGCACGAAGAGCAGTTAGGGGGAGCCTGGACGCAGAGTTGGCCGGCGGGACAGGAACCTCCGCAGGAGGGGATCTGTTTGTCACATTGGACGCATCGGCGGAAGACGGTTCGCAGGACATGCTCGACGTCTGCAACCACGTTAGATGATGATCAAGAGGTATAAAGGGAGCCAGGTAGTACTTTTTGACGATATGGCCGACATGACGACGGTGTTCGCGGCGGTTAGAAATGGGGACAGATCGGCAGTGATATATCATATGCGATGAGCGGGCACGGCTGATACAGACACACCGCCCAGTAGATGTGCGACGTCCCTCAACTAGTACGAGCACTCAAGGAGGGTGACGGAGGACCTGGTGATTTGCTTCGGACAAAGGAAGGCTGATCGAAGACAGCGGCAAGGAGACAGCCAATGAAAAAACGGCGACAGCCGGAAACCGTGCAGGACGGGAAGAAGAGAATGAAGGGAGAATGAATGTAACGAGCGACAGTAATAAGGGAAGGTCACCAGTTGCACAACAAAGGCCGCTGGACGAGAGGGTGCGAGGAGGCGCTGGCGGAGGCGGAGGCGGAGGTGAAGAGGAGAGGGTTCGGGTGGTGGAGGGCTCTTGTTGGCTGTTTGGCGGGCGGACGTAAGCGGGCTAGTCGTGTTTCGAGATCAGCGAACGGGCCAGGGTCCGCGATGTGTGCCTGAGGACAGAGAAACGGCTGGCGAGTCGACGGAGAGAAGGCTTGCAGCGACAAGGGCACCGTGAAAGAAGCGTTCCTTTGACGACGGGCGACGGATGTGACACCTACGAGCGAGGGGCTGCGGTAGATGGAGGTATTATGTCTGTTATCGCAGCTGACAGGCGTCGGCCCCAGGCGGGCGGAACAAGGAGCAGAGAACACACAGTTGGTTAAAGTGGTACCTGTCTGGGACGCTGGGCTGGAGTTTGCCCTTTATGGCCGCGCCACAGGACTGCCAAATCTATTTTTGCTGGGGACTCCTTGAGGAGTGTCGTGGTGCCACAACTCTCGTCAAAGCCCCTTCATCTCGGGTCTTCTGTGTCTCTTCATCTATCGCAGTGTGCTTCCCCATCTTTTTCAACATTGTTATCTGGCTCCTCTCTGGACATGTTGTATCGGCTCCATCTACCGCGCCGCGCTGACCCGGGCAATCTGGCTGTCTTGATCCTCCTGGCGCCCTGCAGCAGCTCGTCCAGGCCACTGCTCAGCGGCTCGAGGCTCCCCACGCCGTCGATTGGCTGCGTCGGCGCTGGTTAAATGCTGCACTTTCGCCATATCCTTACCCACAACAGCTACCCCATGCTTGGCCAATATAACGAATTCACTGACACCTTTGCACTTGTTGTTCTTTTGTTCAGCCATGCGGTGCAGATTTGTGAGGGATTCGAGACAATTACAGCGTTGCATCAGTGCTCACGGCATCGGGCTGAGCGGCGCGCCCGTTGAATGTTAGGCATATCATCTTAAAACGGTCACTCATATTCAGTGCAAGCAGGACTACCCAATCTCAACGCACGCCACGTTCCTGGATGCCAAATCGTCTTGATGACTAAGTGTCTCAGGCCAACAGCCGAGCAAATTCATTCCCAAACCTCTCATTGCGTTTTGTCGGCTCCACTTCTCCCAAACATGTCCTCCGAGTGGCCCGGAGCAGAAACAATCACTGCAACTAAAATTTGTTGCGTCCAGGCACAGAATCTGTCGCTGACTTCCAGCCTTAGCGCTTGCGTATGCAACACCATGGTGGCACCTGTCTTTCGAGAAATCTCCTAGCGCGGCCGTATCCGTAACATATTCGTGCAATTTCGCCTTCTCGACCATTCAGAAGCGCATGTCGCCTTCTTTCATGCGATCGAAGAGTCCGTTGTTGAAAGGCCAGCCCTGTCAGTCGGGGAATTTGCTCGCCAACCGTAAGATCACCATGTGCCTGCAGCACAGCTTCCAACGGGCACTTCTGCAGCCCATGTGTCTCTTCGAAAAGCATGCAACATGCAGGCTCAAAACACCCGACATTTGCTCATTTCCTTTTTGACAGCCCATCTTTTCGAATTTAAAATGCTGTCAGCACAAAACCGTAGTTAAGGAGACGACAGAAGTAGCGAGCGAGACATTGTAACACCCCGGCACGCATCGTCCCAGGTCTTCCTTCTCGCGTTGCTCATCCTACCTTGCATGAGCAATGTACGCAAAACGAACTTTGAGGAGGCTGGGCCGATGGTGGTACGAATTAAGCCCAGCTTCTCCGCATTCAACTTTTATATCCTTTGCCACTTTACGCATTAAGACTTAAAGATATAGGTTCAAGAATCCTGCTAGCTGCCACCTTTGCGACTTCTTCCGATCCATTGCGCAAGCTTCTCGGGGAATCTTGCCACAGTGACTCGGCAGATATCACTCAGCGTTGCAGTTGCCTCTAACAGATACATTGAACCCTGCGAATAAAGAATCAGCCGATGTCTATTGTCCAGCGACGCTCGGAAACCCAGGGAAGATGCTCAACCAACGTGCTCATTTCCCGTATCATTAATCTCACCCTAAATCGGATACGTCGGAATTCCCAACACACGGCACAGCTTCCACAATCCCCTCTTTCGAGAACCATAAAAGCCAAGTGTTATAGCCGTACCTCCCCTTTTAGCTTCCATCTCAGGAACCTAATCTGCGTTTGTCCGGATCGCAATTGCCTAGACCATCACCCGTTCTCTATGCCCATATCAGCGTTCCAAAGCCACTGTCTTGGATTCATTTCGTTGTATAATGTTCTCGCGGCGCAGACGCCTTAGGCTGACAGGTACAGATTAAACATGAATGCATCGCTAATTTGGAAAGGCGCGGGGATTGCGGACCCGTTAGAAACCTCAATTTTCATTGAACTTGAGGTGGAGAAGGGAGGAGTTGGAGTGGATCTTCATCGTCCTACGAGGAGTCCGATATCCGCGATTGGGTGGATGAAGAGAATGGTTACGTACTCCTGCTTCACTTACCTGAGGCAGAAATTTTGCCTGAGAGCATTCTCTTTTCCAAAAAAAAAAAAATTCAACTTTTCTTTCCTCCAGTATCCATAGTATATGTGTGTGCATCTCACGAAATGCTAAGTCTAAGGCAAAAATTGCCACCAGCTTGCTTTGTGCATGATCACCATGTGTAGTCCAAGGGCCTTCCTACCACAGCTAAAACATTCTCCATCAACTGCATTGGCTACTTCAAACCCTTACGCTCAAACCCACACTCTCAAACCATCCATTTCCCAACCACCACTCACGCCACCCATCTACGTTCTCCCACTCCTAACCCTAGCACACAGCTCCACCGCCAACCTCCTCACCGTCAGATTCCCCGCTAACAACTGCTGAAATGGCAAATCCAATCCAAACTCTCTGAATACCCAATTCCTAAACTCCGCACCAATCATACTATCGAGTCCAAAACCAGCCAAACTCCTCTCACTGCCTTGAATTTCCTCCACACTAATCATCAACAGCCTCGATAGCCGCTGCACAAGACACGCCTCTACCGCTGCAACAGCATCACTGTCGGACACGCATGATTGCAACACAGAGAGAATGCTGCAGGCTCCAGGTCCAGATGAGGTAGTTGAATGAGATGAGAAAGCCGCGATCGCAGCATTCAAGCTACGTAAACGCGGATCCAACATCCAACTCACATCTGTCTTTGCAGCTTTAATCGATTTCGCAAGTTCTGAGGGCTGCAGGCCTGCGATGAGATGATCAATTTCTTCGTCCAGCGCCTCAGCCGGCATCATTGCGATCTCGAAGGCCTTTAGCATGGCGGCTTCATCGATACATGCCATTCCTCTCCGCCGAATCGAGGCTTCGATTTCGGGGTTCTCGGCGATGTAGCCGAGGCCTGTGATGGCGGGGAGGATGAGGGACGTTGCGGGGAGGGAGTTTGCGCGGCGGTGGCGGGCAAGGGTGTCGAGGAAGGCGTTTGCTGTCGTGATGATTAATCTCGATATCAATTTGAATCCTGAAATTGGGTTTGGGATTATCTTTGGGGGAAGGGGAAACTTACCGGCAGCGTAATTGGACTGACCCGAAGCACCAAGCGTTGCTGCAATCGAGCTCGTCATAACGAAGAAATCTACCTCGTCCGGTTGAGAGAATATTTCGTGTAGGACGAGCGAGCCGGCGACTTTTGGCGAGAGAACTTGGTGCCAGGAGGAGATTGTCATGTTGTGGAAGAATGTATCCTACAAGACGCCGTCAGTGTTATTTCTAAAATAAAATAATAATAATAATAAGGCACCTCGATGTCGGCATCGAATGAAGAAAGCAATGATAAAAAATCCATCCAACTTACCCTCAATACTACCGCCGCATTAACAACCCCTTTGACAGGATACCGTGCATCTATCGTTGCTACCGCACTTTTCACACCCTCTTTATCCGCCACATCAGCCCGAAGGACTTGGACATGAACCCCCATATTTCTTATCTCAGCAACCAAATCCCTTGCCTCAGTCTTATCATCCCCACTGCGTGACAAAAATGCCAGGTGTTTCGCGCCTCGCGAAATCATCCACGTTGTCAGGCTTCTGCCCAGGCCACCTAGGCAGCCGACTAGAAGGTACGTTGCTCGGTTTGAGAAGAGGAGGGAGTGGCGGCGAGGTTGGACCGGAAATGATGATTCAAGGGAGTATCTTACAATCATTTTACCTTGGCCTATTTCTGATGGCATGAGACGCATAGCTTCGGTAATCTCCTCTGGCGATTTTTGAAGAAGGGGAGAGATGGGCTGGATCATTCCTGAGGCTTGGAGGTCCGCGCATCTTTTCAGAAGCCTGAAACAGTCAGAGAGACAGAAATTAATCTTAGGAGACGGTGGTGAACTTACTTTGCCAATAACTGAGGTTTGAAACGATATAAATCCCTCAGATCAAATGTGAATGTTGAGTTGTGCTGGGTGGCCACCACCGTCTGGAAAACTGATGACTGTGAGTGCTTTCCGGACGCGATAACTCTCCCGAACGGTGCCATGTTCCTGCAACATTCTTCCACGAGATAAATATCCGCAGATGTCGAGCGTAGCACTACATCCACGCCTTTGCCAGCGGTCAAGTTTTGGAGACTACATCCAACGTCGTCTTGTCCGGCAATGACAATGCCTTTGTATTCTCGTCCCGAGGTCTGCAGGAAAGCGGCAGTATCGCTGGACTTGGTGATGACAATGACATCTGCTTTATGGAGGCTACATACGTCCATCGCAGCAAGACCAACAGAACCGCATCCATCGATGATAGCTACTATTTCTCCAGGCTCAAGCCGTGCGAGGTCTTCGAGAGCATATAGAGCGGTAGCATAAGCAGCAGGTATTGTAGCCATCTGCTCGAAGCCTTGTTCGGCAGGGATGCTCTGAATTAGATCATACCGGGTCCGCTGGAGGGTCGCCATGGTATCAAAAGCAAAGCCGAATACTCTATCCCCGATCTTGACTTCCCTCGGTACCAGAGAACCAAGGTGAGTAATAATACCAGCAATTTCATGGCTGAAACTAGAGGATGCATCCGAGCCAGCGGTGACATCCGCATCTTCTTTATTCAGTCCTATAGCACGGACTTCGATTTCTATTTCTTCTGCTCCTAGGGGTTCCGTGACTCGGTCGTCGTGCTGGAATATAATCTTACCGGATCGCACCTCTCCTCGTAGTGGCGGTACATCTTTCAACCGCATAGCCTTCAGCTCTTGGGCACCATTCACAAATCTGTCATTGATGCTTGCGGCTGGCAGAAGCCGACCGATATACACAACACCATCATCAATGCAGTATTCGGTTTCTCTAGTGCCATTATTCAACGCCCAGCGCTCCACAATATCCGTAAGAATCTCAAACAGCCGTTCCTCTGAATGGGGAGCAGTGTCAATGTCCACAGTCACAAGGTCGAGGAGTTGATTCTCATTTCTCACAACCCGAGCCCAGCCTTGTGTCATGCCGTATTCGGGACGCTCACCTTTAAGCAATCCACCAGATGTAACCCAAGCAATCGAAGAGATCCCGTCGGTAAACCGTTGGAGAGCTTGGAGTTCGTCTTCAGTTATGGATGTGAACAAGGGGCTTTCAAGTTCCGCGAGCGAGATGATGAGCTCCCCCGGTGTAGGAACGGCCATGGCGATCGCGTCGGATCGTATGGTAAAGCCAGCACGTTCGAGCACTAGAGCTAGCTTGGTCTGGAAAGGCGTCGGAAAGTGGCGATATACCTGAGGTGCTATTATTAGCCACGCTAATAAATATTCCCAGAAAGACTTACCAGGAGAATATTTCGGGTTGTTATTGCAGGTGCATCTATGATCGGAGGTGGACTACCGTTTACGGGTTGATTCAAGGTTTCAGCAGGTCTGCAAACCGTAATATGATTTCCGTCAAATTGAAAAGAATGAAGCTCGCAGTACCGTGATGAAGCTAAAGGTCGGGATTCTTTGATTTAATTCAGCTACAACGCGACTCAAGATATGATAGGAGACCAGGGGAAGCCTACGTTCTTCTTCACTGATAACTAGTAGATAGCCACTGGAGTCCAGGGCCGGTTCGAGGGTATTTGCCATATCTGGCCAAATTCTTGTGCCATTTGCAAGCTGCGGTCCAACATTGTGAGCATTCTTCTCAGCTAAAACCAAAAGATCAAAGCTGCCCAGCTCAGCTAGCTGTTGGGCGACATTTGATGTAAGATCCAGCAGGCATAAGTTATGGTGCATTTCGGATTTATCTTTTTCTTGGAGGCTCTTGAGTTCATCATGCGAGGTTGCTATAACTGTGATTTTCGGGGTTGACCTAGCCCTCCATAGATTATCCAAAAATTCTGTCCCAGTGACGAGAATTCGGAGGGACGCGTTCTTGTGAGTAAATAGATCTACGAGGCCACTTGTGGTAAACTGTGATAAACAGCTAGCATCGGCTGTATAGCGGAGGTAGTCGACGTCCATCTTCCAATCTAGCTTTGCATATAGATCTCCTTGAGAATTGTGGAAGTCTGAGGGCAAGGCGGCTTCGTAGGAAAGGCACCGAACGCCGGAGAAATCCGCCACTAGTTCACCATCATGACTGACGAGTTGGGCATGGCAAGAAAAGGCCCTGTTCCCTCCTTGAGACATCCAGGATCGAACGCTCGCAGAGGGATTGTTGAGTTGGTGAGGAGCGGGTGGCCATATGGAAACTTCATAAAAGTGGGTAAGCACGGTACCGCAAGCGACGTCGTCTATCTTTCCAGCGTAAATGGCGACGATGAATAGTTGGAGAGAGGAATCAATGCAGGAAGGATGAAGTACATAACGTGATTCGTTAAGCATCATGCCGCAATCTCGCTTGATTGTCATGTCCGACGAGGCTACGTGCGACCTTCCGTCAGTGTTAATGACCGTAGCACCTTGGAAGGTTGAACCAAAGTCGAAGCCTAGGGTGCGTAATTTTTCGTTCCACGTTCGATAAGCTGATTTGAGCGGCAGTGGTGGGAGTGGTGATGGTGCCTGGCCTGGGGGAAATCAGCAACAAACAATCTATTGCCTTCTGCATAGGATGGACAGGTCTCCCACCTCGGTTGCGTATGTTGATACCAATCTTTCCAGTAGCGTGTTCTTTCCATTCTCCATGTGAGAAAGAGCTCACAGCGAACAGGTACCAGTGGCCTTTGCGAGAATCTCTGATCGAGTCCGACTTTAAATGGGAATGTCGTAATGTGAAGAGAGTTTCTACCCCCTCCTCAGTGTCTGGTATTACAAGAGCAGACGCAATCGTCACGTCTCTTATGGTATATCCGCAGATGGTAAGAGGCTCGGAGAGGTAGAAATTAGCTTGTGTGGCTGCCTCAATTGCCATAGCAAAGTAACCAGCAGCCGGAAAGACAGATTCTGCACCCAGCTAAAGTGGAAGTTAGCCAAAGGATTTTGCGCATCAGCCAGGAGATATTCCACCTACCGAATGATGTCTCAGCCATGGCAAGTCTTTGTGTCTTAGAATATTGCGCCAGACTGGGTCCAAGGTGGTTGTCCCGAGGACCTTCCTCCCGAGAATGTCATGGCGAGGATTGGGTGCGAACCTGTGTTCTTTGCTATGTCTCCCCTCGGCCTGTAGAGTTTTCGTGTAGTTCCACTTGTAAGGTGGTAGATCGACTAACAGCGTCCCACGTTTTGTTAAAATTGTTTCATCTTTTCCATGGATCTCGAGACTTGTGACTGCTTTCAGATCAATAGGGGCATTTCGAGTCCACAGATTACCGGCCAACTTCAGCAGCGCTGTACAGTCGTCTTCTTTACGCTTTAAAGTCGATAGGTACTCAACCTGATGATGATTTGCCTTGGCAAAAATTTGGCGCATAGGCCCTGAAAAGGTAGAATGAGGTCCAATCTCGACTACAATGTTTACTTTCGGATGATCTACGAGCATCTTCTGAATTGCTTGGCTGAATAGAACTGGGCTGGTCAAATTTTGGCACCAATATTCGTTATCCAGCTGTTCAGGAGTCGCTGAGCAACCGTGGACAGTCGAGAACATTACTGCTGCCGGTTTCCGTTGGAGTCCAACTAAGGTTTTTCGTTCTAGTTGAAGGTAAGGCAGATATCTTGCAGCGACACTCTTCATGTGGTGCGAGTGGTAGGCTTGGCCACCCGTCTTGACGATCCTGGCGAAGACGCTGGATGAATCTAGCGTTGCTTTCAATTCTTGAATTGCGTCTGCGTCTCCACTGACTGTGGAGCTATGTGGTGAATTGTGGCAGGCAACCACTAAGCGGTGTTGATAATTTTCCATGTATTCTTGAAGTTGATCTGCTCCTAAGCCTACTGCAAGCATGGCCCCTGGCCAGCTTGACGTAGATACTGCTTTTCCACGATAGTATGCGATTACGATGGCCTCTCGCGCGGTAATATATCCCGCGGAGAATGCAGCCGCAATTTCACCTGCTGGTATTTAGCCTTATCCTAAGCTCAAGATTGCCAGCAAATACCGGAGGAATGGCCGACCGTAGCAACTGGCGTAACACCCCATCGTTTCAACAAAGTGACCAATGCAATCTGAATGGCTGTGCAGAGAGGCTGCGAAAGCTCAGGCTTAGAGATCTGACTAGTACCTTCTGGCTCCAGCAAGGAGGCTATGAAGATGATATTTAGTGGGGTCTTCGCTTGGGTAGGGTAAAATACCTTCGATAGACCATGTCGGTGGGTGAAAGAGATTGGTCAGGCAGCTATCAAGCTCGCGGATTGTGGCAAGAAAAGATGGATATGCAGAAAGAAGGAGTGTCCCCATTTGCGCCCACTGTGCGCCCTGGCCTATGGCAGGTGAGTACCGCAATTAGATCTTTGGGGCCTTCACTTACCAGTGAATGCGAATGCAATTACACTCTCACGTTCGAGATTGAAGATGTTAGCTGGCGTAACGCTCAGATCTGACTCATAATGATGCTCTCGACAAACTGTGAAAGTGCGGCACTTGTGAACGGGACGCCTATTGGCCAAAGTATGAGCGATATCAAAGAGTCTAGCTTTGTTGTACACCTTTTTGTAGATTTCCAGGTTTCCCTTTAAGGTTTGCTGGTCATGCGCCGAGAATACGAGGAGGTGGGCTCGGTCTTTACCTTCGGGATGAAAGCCATTTTGGAGTCCTTCATTTGAAAGACTAAGGGCTCGGCAAGCATGATAGTCGGGCAGGATGGACTTGACGCTTTCGAGGACTACATGGCCATTCGTTCCACCATAGCCAAAGGCGTTCACACCAACTCTCTGCACGGGTAAAAAGGATGGAAAGGGTGTTGGCTCTGTAACGACCTTCACGTTAAGCGTGTCCCATTGAACTAAAATTTGGCTTAGTGATGTTTCGTCATCGCCACCAGTCTTGTGACTCACTATTCTTATTCAATGTATTAATACCTGCAGTTGGTGGTATGATGCCATTTTCCAAAGCTAGTACAGCTTTTATGATCGTGCAAATACTGCTCGCTGCCTCGCTATGTCCAATATTTGGTTTGACCTATCTATACTTAGCTAGATCGAGTAGGAAAATATTGAATACAGCTAATTGCTGGAAAAAGAACATACACTTCCGATTAGGATTGGATCTTCCCTATCAGACTGGCTCCTCATCGCCATAGAGACCGCACGCACTTCAATTGGATCTCCAGTTTGGGTGCCGGTTCCATGGCATTCGATATAGCTTGTGTATCGTGGGTCGAGATTTGCAAGTCGATGTGCTTTAGTAATTACGTCCACCTGCCCTTGGAGACTCGGGAAGGTAATTCCATTGTCGGAATGTCGTCCATTACTTTCATCAGGTCAGCTTTCTGACTTAGATGAGGAGGTTAGACTTACGCATTGGTTGCAACCGACCGGATCACTGCTCGAACAGGGTTTCCATCCCTTAAGGCCGCGCTCAAGCTCTTGATATATAAGGCGCCGACAGCTTCTGCACGGCCATATCCATCTGCAGCCTCATCAAAAGTATGGCACGTAGAGGTAGGAGACAGCACCCCTAATTTAGCAGTGTTCATGTGTTGGTCAACCGTCAATATCAAATTGGCTCCTCCGACCACGGCCCCTTCGCACTCGCCACGAGCGATTGCCGAGCACGCACTATCCAGAGCATACATAGAGGAGGAGCACGCCGTGTTGATAAGAACACTTTAGAAATAAGCCGAATTGGTATGTCGAAGGCACGAGATAACAACAAACCTAGGGCCTTTCAGATCAAACACATGACTGATTCTATTACCAAGAATACCGGGGTCTATTCCTGTAGTTGCATAGGAGTGTCGAAAGTCGGGTTCCTTTAAAGCTATCTGCTGAAAATCGCTCGTGAAAGAAGCAACAAAGCATCCTGTAACCTGTTGGGCTACTTCCTTCAAGGTGGAGCCGCTATTTTCGAATGCCTCATAAACAACCTCCAAGAGCTTCCGTTGCTGAGGATCCATCCACATGGCCTCTATTGGGGAGATCCTGAAAAGAGTTGGGTCAAAGTCTTCTGGATTCTCATCGAGGAAATAACCGCCAGGAATGTTGAAACTCCCAGGGCGGTCATTGTCTTGATGGTAATGAGCGTCTATATTGAATCGGGATGATGGCACTTTTGGTGTATTGACGATTTTCTTTGACATGATCAATGCCCACAACTGGGCACCAGACTTGATTCCCCCGGGGAGGTGACACCCTAATCACAGGGTTAAGATATGTAAAACACAATCGGTGTGGATTCTATTAGACGGACCTATGCCGATAATGGCAATTGGTTCCATTTTGCAGGCTGAGGGCGGCGCGAGAATGAAAGTCGAAGAGCGAAAACTGATATACTGGCTATCGACAAGTGATAGCACATCGTTCAAGATGTACCGCCTAGTTATGGCCTAGGAGCTAGAGTTTGAGAGGAGATTCCCTCCAAGCTAACGTGACAGCATCATGTTGAAAGGATTCCGACAAGCTTGGCCAATTGCTCGAGCTCTCGATCGCCGCGTTTGTTGTCTCGTATTGCGGAACGGGGCGAGGCTCGGGACACCATATGGTCTGGAACACAAGTTGAATATAACATCGCGCTGGATTCGGGCGTTGCGAAATTCGATTTAGGAACGGGATGGTGGGAGGATTGATGATGGTGTGCAGGTGGCCCGATGGAAACCTCGCGCGAAAGCCAAATGCGGTTAGTCTATAGCGTCGGCTATAGATTGGATAGGAGCCTGAATGTCGGTGGTTCGTAACCCCCCTTACCCGTCTTCCTTGAAAAAGTGTCGTGTAATATCACTGTGGCGCCTGTTTACCCCATCCTCCCGCAGGTGAGAGAATATGAAAGATATCACGGTGTATAACGATTGGGTCCCGGACCTTGCCATGTCCGACTATCTCACATTTGCAAGAACGACGGAGGAACTTCATCCTTCACCCTTGACGCTACCCGTATCAAGTGGGTCATGGGAATTGCAGATTACAATCGAGAAACGGACTTCGGGGACAATGATCAGAATCCATGGAAATCAAACGACCAGCTGCTTCCCGCCGCGAGAGGAGGCAAGGTGTCTTGGTCTTCTGGTGGTCGCAAAGACACTCCTACCCACCATTTTTTCTGTTCTTTAGAGTGACTTTCAAGACACCCAGAAGCTCTCCTTTACTTTGAACCCGTTTCTGCTTAATATGGGCCACTCGTTGCCCGCCTCTACCTTCCCTCCCGGATATTTCGAAGAAGATGTCTCACAGCGAACATTGGGGACGGCAATCGCCTTTATCGTCCTCGAGATCAGCGTTGTGACCCTACGAGTGATTTCGCGAAGGCTTGTTAGAGCTCCTTTTGGAATGGATGACATGTTGATCTTCCCGGCGTTGTTGTTCTGTCTTGGTTTATGCGCTCTCGCCATTGGTAAGTTAGAGGGACCATGTTCGAGGCAGATCCTGGATTGGGGAATTTGTATGCTTACGGCCCATAGTGGAAACAAAAATTGCAGGCATCGGTCGGCATCTGGATGTTCTTCTAGTCACCAATCCTGCCGCCATCGTCCACTGGGCCAAATGCGGATATGCCATTGAGGAACTGTATTGCACTGCTGTAGTTTTTCCAAAGCTGTCCATCCTCTCGTCTTATTTGCGAATATTTAGGACGAAGTCTTACCGTGTGACTGCCTACGTCCTTGCAGCAATCATTACTGCGAACGGAATTGCAGGAGTCGTCACGTCCCTTAACTCCTGTCGTCCATTTTCGATTAGATATGAGCGTCCTGCAGAAGAAGACCTCTACTGCATCAAAATTGTGGATTTCTGGCGTTGGATCAGTTTTCCAAACATTCTTACGGACGTAATTATGCTCGTATTGCCTCTTCCTGTAGTCTGGAGTCTACATGTCTCGAGAAAGGATAAACTCGCTCTTACCTTGATATTTCTCACTGGGGGCATGTGAGTAGTCCTCTAGGAGAGGTGAAATTTGACTTACTAACCTTAAGCAGAGGACTGGTAACGTCTATTATTCGGTTTGCAATATTCTTTGACGTCTCCGCGCTCAAGGATGGAACGTTCGTCAGTGCGGAATTGGCCACTTGGTCTCTTGTAGAGCCAGGAATCTATTTACTTGCGGCATGCCTTCCAACGCTTCGACCACTCGTCCTTAAGCTAGCCACTGGGCTTCATACAGTTAAAGAGGTTTCAGGAGGTAGCATGCCAAACAGTATCCCGCTGGAGTGGCGTCAAAGCAGGCCACATGACCAAAGGAGTGATGAGGATAGCATACTTCGTAACTGAGAACTGATGGACGAATTTGTTTGATTCTCAAAATAGGGATGAAGAGATGAGGCGATGACATTGGGAGGTCTTCATGTACATTCGGCAGAACATTCGAGAAAAATGGAGCGTTTTTCGCGTTCATATGAAACTCTATAATTCGATTGGGGCTCCAAAAGAGTGCAGCTCGCTGAAAAGCACGCACGTGATTATGCTAAGACGTTACGATGACATATAACTAAAAGGCCTTTCTTTATGCTTTATAAGCCCTACGCCGCGTGAAAAAAGAGAAAAAAGAGATTTCTTCGCATATTCAGTGCGAAAAATCTGACTATTTTAGCTGCTATTAGCTGCTAGGTAGCGTTGAAGTGTTTTCATGTTCTCGCACGTGATTGTTTTTCTACCGGGCCGCACCCTTTGTAGATGAATTATGCGGTGAACTGGCTGCGATAGCACTCCTTCATGCCATCATGATGTCGAGCTACTCTTCGCAGTATTTCCAGCCATTGCGATAGGAAAGCCCGATATTCTACACCATCACCCTGATTTTCCCAATATTCCTACTAGACCCGTGTGTGACGCCAGACTGCCATGTAGACTTCGTGGAGGAAAGATAGGGTACTATGCGGACTTGGAATCTCTGACCTCGGACTTCGTTTCAACATAATGGATGTTAATATAAAATGTGCTCTGCTTGTCGGCGTGTTAGAAATGAGCAAATTGCAGACAGGCAAAATATGGATCCCGAAACTGGCCGGCGAGGATTGTCGAATCATCTTTGGTAAGATTGAACGAAGGTCAAACCGATCACGACAAAGACGTGTGATATTTGCACGGCAATACCATATCCTTGCGCAGGCAGGATCCGTGCCAAGATGACCTGATTCTCCGCCTGGAGGCCTTTGCTAGACTTCCGTGCCACAGGAGCATTATCGAAAACCAGGGTAGTGGTTGGAGGTGTCGTGAAACATTGGTCTTGATAGAGCCCTGGGAGCCCTACGTGTTTCCATTTCCCCGGCTTCGCCTCAGACGACACCGGCAAGGAAAATAATTTTCTGCCCGAACGGTAGGATGCGCATGTACAGACTCCCGCCTACCAGGCCATAGGCCATTGGCCATTGGAGAGTGTGGTCTGTTTCCGCCCGAAGGATGTAGTTTTTAAGCGAAGTGCGAGATGCATATCGCGGCACAGTGGCCGTTGCTCGACCGGATCCGAATTTAACAACGCGGTGTTAGAAATTACCTTTTTTAAAGGATCTCTTGGGGCTTGCTTGATAGAGTTGATGCTACAAAATAAATTAAAGAGAAGGCTCGGGTAGTATTTTTGGGCAGGAGCGGGATGACCCGCACGAGTTTGCAGCAGAAGACGACCCATTTCGCAGGGAGAATCAATATTGAGACCCTTGCTGCCCGCATTCAATTCCCAAGTTGCAAATATTACGCCTGAACGGACTTTCCAGAAGCCTGCACTGATGCTAAGAGATTCGAGGGGTTAACTTGTATGAGCGGACGTTGCATTTCCAGTGGAAGACTGGTTGGGAAATCACCACTTGTGGAAATACATTCTGCAAGGATTCCGAGCGGTCTTGGTGGGCTGCAGTGGGCTGCTCCAACGCACAGAACTGTGCCCATCCAATGTTCTGGGAGCTTCACAAGCTCCCTTGACCGTAATGTATAAGGTCTATGGATCCAAATAATGTTAGACGTAAAACATCTCCGGGCCACCACATTTATTTAATCTTTCCAAACCAATAAATTGTTATCTGACGCTGTCTTATTTCGATAATTCTCTACCATGGTGCAAAACCTTGGCCTGATTTTTAAGAAGGTCCCAGTAGCTTCACCCATCGTGGGTGAGCATATTGACATCGAGTCGAGAGACTTCGATGCCGACACAGAAGCACCCGAAGGTGGAGTGACAGTAAAGAATATTTATCTTTCCTTCGATCCATATCAACGTGGTTGCATGCGGGAACCAGATAACGGCACGTACTCGTACCCTTTCGTTCCTGGACAGCCCCTGGTGTGCGGCGCAGTCTCCGAGATTCTCAAATCATCGACTCCAAGCTTCAAGCCAGGCGACCTAGTATGGGGAATGTTTGGTGCTGAAGAGTATTCTGTCGTCCCTCCCATGCTTATTCCCATGGTCAGAAAGTTAGACAATCCTTTAGCCCTGGATCCGATTCTATTTGCCGGGCCACTTGGAATATCTGGGCTTAGTGCCTATGCTTCATTCTACGAGATCGGGAAACCGAAGAAAGGTCAAACAATCTTTATATCTGCTGCTAGTGGGGGCGTAGGGCAGATTGTAGGCCAGTTGGCCAAGCTTGAAGGTCTAACAGTAGTTGGAAGTGTTGGAAGCGACGAAAAGCTTAACTTTATACTCAATGAGCTTAGTTTTGACGCGGGATTCAACTACAAGAAAGAGAATGTGTCTGATGCCTTGAAAAGGCTCGTCCCTAGTGGAATAGATATTTACTATGACAACGTCGGTGGCGAGACATTGGACGCTGCGTTGGGAGCAATGAAGGACTTTGGAAGGATAGGTACGTACCTAATTCGTGAATCAATCAGACGCGCACACTAATATTGGCTCTTCAGTTGGATGCGGTCAGATCTCGCAGTATAACCTCCCCCAGGATGAGAAATATGGAATCAAGAACATGATGAATTTGTTCCTCAAGCGGCTCACGCTCCAAGGTTTTATCATCTCCGATCCGGAGTTCATGGGCAAGTACGCGGTGGAATTCTTTACGAAGATGAGCGCTTGGTTGAAGGAAGGGAAAATTAAAACTAAGGAGAGCGTAACTGTAGGCATCGAGAACGCAGCAACATGCTACTTGGGCATGTTCACAGGGGAGAACTTTGGGAAGACTGTGCTGAAAGTTGCTAATATGGAGTAGCTATAGGTAGCCCATGAGCTCAGTACTTGGGTTGCCCGCGATAGGCATCCGACTTAGTGAAGAAGATAGTAGTGGGCAGCATTGCAGTTAGTGTCTAAAAGAAGTAGGCTTGTGAGCGGTATGTAGTAACGCTTCGTTGTTTCTTCAAGAACGTTTCGTCTCCATGCGCGAGATAGTGAGGAGGCATTTTTCCAGAGAACGAACAGAGGGACTCAGAGGCGATTTTGTGTTACGACCGAGATGAGATGAACTGGTAACTGTGTTCCGTATCGCGCCTGATGCCCGGTTGATGACTTGGGCCTTTTCCAAGGCGAGGAACTGGATAGCGTCCGAAGTCTCACTCCCAACATCCCCGTCCACGAGAGTTAAAGGCGTACAGATTGCACTCGGGGGGTGATAGACGAAATTACTAATAACAACGCACCTTTTATCGGTTGGCCCAGAGATTGGAGGTGGGTGTAGCTTCGAAACGGCTTTCAGATATGATATGAAGCTAGGAGGAGCACCAGAGGCATGAGGAACTGGATTGATTGCTAAAGGAGGGCAACTGCAGGTTTATATAGTACTAGATGAACCCAATATGTGACTTAAGGCCACCAATAGCTCTAGGCTGCAGCAGGTGGCGTGGTTAGGCAGCAGCAAGTCAAAGGAGTGTAGGTGGCTAGAGCATGGAGAGCTCTGTAACTGCAAACATATGACGTGGTGTCACGAAAAAAGTCTGTCCGCACAAGCCACCCACCAAGACGTCCGAGACTTCCTTCGCCATCGGGTAACTAGGAATGACATAGCTGTATCCCGCTGATATCGTATCACTTAGAATTGGAGCGTCTGTAAACGCGCTGATTATGTTAAACAAATTAAGTATTCTTTATGGCTGTTACGACTACCCCGTTGTATTCCAAAAATTGGCCAACAGAGAGGCGCTATATTCGTGTAATCAACGCTCTTATAGTCGCGGCTGCATATCTCTGCTATTCTAGGATGACCTAATGATGGTATATTCTAATCCCCCACCCTCCCACCTTTTCTAGTTCACCTTTCTAATTTGTATAGCAGCCTCGAGGAAAAGGACACCATCTTTATTGTTGTATCCGTTGCCCGCAACAAACCCGCCGCTGCAGTAAAAATGGAGAAGCCTTCATCAATTATAATGAAACAGATAAGGCAATCCCACCGCACCCCATTCCATTGCCTCTTGCTTTCTCTTTGCAGCCGTCCTACTATACTTCATCTAGCATTCCTACACCTTCGGATTATTTCTATTCCTAACTCCGTACGCGATTGCGTTATGTTTCGTCCAACGCCCTCAATCCTCGAATGCTTTTTTTTCTGAGGGTCGTATCCCAACCAATCATCATCCATCATTCCTCATCTCTACACTTGTTCCCTCTGCTCAGCCCCCTTTTCCCTCCTCACTAACATGGCCACCCCACATTCTATCCACAGCAGCTTAGCTGATAAAAACTCAAACTCAAACTGACCATGAGAGGCATGGTGGCGAGGGTGTGAGGGTTACGATCAATAGGATAGTAATCGAGAGGAAGGTATTCATGTGATTGAATTGTTTTCCCTCGGCCATTTTGGTTAGCAAGTGAGTATTGGGGGTTTAGGGATTAGTGGGGATATGGGGGAAGGGAATTAGGGAAGAGTAGGGGTAGGTTGGTCCGTGATGAAGGGAAGATGTTGGTAAAGAATTGTGAGATGAGAGAATTTGGATCTGAAAGCAGTATCATTCATTTTCGTGGCGGAGTCGGAGGTACAACGGTTTGTTGAGGTGGGGATGGGGCTAAACGTCATTCAATACTGTGGTCCTTGGTTTTACACCTCGTCAAGATTTCAACACAAACAAAACCACTCGGTAGCAGATAATATATTATCCCTAAACCTGGAGACAAAGGCCGCAAGCTCTATCTGTAAAATATCTAGGGCGGAGCTCATTCTTCACCACTCCACGCACTGCGATACGGTTTCAGTACGAGTCCTTTCTCGAGTCCTGTCATTGGTGACGAGATAGGTTGAGGTGCTGGTGATGGTTTCGTAGATGGTTGTGACGGTCGGTTTCAAGAGCAGGATGGTGCTGGTGGAGGTGTCGACATCACCCCTTGTTCTAGTTGCAACAACGGTGCTCAGGAAGGTAGTACAGCGAGTTCGGGCGGCAGCAGCCTCGGCATGAGGGTCAGGCTTTGCGAGAGCGGCGCGTGGGTCGAAGGCTGCAGTGAGGGTGCTGTTTCTTTGTTAGCATTAAGTTTGAGAATGAGATGGAAGTAGTGCATACCTGCAGGCAGCGAGCACAACGGCAAGACTAGTAAAGTGCATTTTGGTGTTGGTAGATATATTGTTTTCACTTGAAAGGATGTTCTAATGACTCGCAAATGTGAAAGCTAAGGAGAGTTCATGGTTAACGGCCCACGCGCGGTCCTTTTATACCAGCCGCTACGTTGGGTGGATATTAGCCATGGTGTTTCTCTTGGTTGTTTCCAATCCAAAAATAGTCCACATCGACCAATTTGAAATATTGTGCGAGATATCACTACTAGGCACTAGGTACGGTCTACTACGAAGAATACGAGGATAGGAATTGAAATTCCAGTGCACAATATGACATGCTCCAATGAAGCGGATGAACGCATATGCGTACCAGGAGAAGAGTATTGGAACAACGCGGGTGATGATTGCCGGAGTGGTGCCACTACGTCTAGAATGCCATTGTCAGACCAGGGAGATGAGGTTTATATTGTGAGATCCATGGAAAGCATAGCGTGGGCAGGCTTAATCACCTGGACGAACCGGCGAACTGACTTCCGGATTTGGGTGCCGGCAGGTCCAGGTTCAAACCAAGGCATATGGGCGGGGATCAGTTGGTGATGGCGAGCTTAGATAGATTGGGGGAATTTTGAAACAAATCATCAAAGCTATACTTGATGGAGAACATCTAGAAGTCCTGCTGTGTCGCAGATCGTTTTTGAATTCGTAGGGGGCTTGCGTGCGATCTTCATGATGCCTGAGCACATCAATCTGATAAGACTGCCCACAAAACAGTACGAACAAGCTTTAGGAGGCTGAATCCAAGACTTCAAAACCCCGCAAAGTCGTGTCGCGGAGCCTTCGTTAACTGTAATTATCCAATAGCACATTGATATTAGCACGAAGCGAGCCATACGTCGGGGAAATGGAGTCTCGGTCCCAATTTAGCCAAATGAGGGTACATCGCGGGTGGGATAATGATGACGTTGACCGTAGAAGGCTTTGAAGTAAAGACTATAGCGGTCGGACGACTTGTGCGGCTCGAGATAAGATTTAATCAGATTTGATTGATGGAGTGAGCCGAATCACTCCGAGGTGTGTAAGAAGAGTTCAGCAAGAGAAAACAACTTGGCGTGTGAACAACGGCGCGGTTGAGAAGATTGCGATGTGCCCTAGAGTAGAGACCTAAGTTGAAGAGAGAACGGGCATGCGCGAAAGCGAAGAGGTGGACAGTAAAGCAGGAGCTACGACAAATGCATGCTTGCTATGAATGGTTTAGCAGGGTGGAACCTCTGTCACGAGTCGCCACTGCATGACTAGCCTCACCATTATCATCAACAAATGCAGTCCGAGCTTTAGAATTCTGATTTTCATTGAATATTTCAAGACTAAATCGCATATTTTCCTTACATTACCTTGTACCAACTCACCAAGCACTCCTACGATACTTCGACTATTCATGCTCATGCTCGGATCATATGGCAAGACCCGTTTCTCACTACTTCATTTTGCCATTTAACATTGGACATAATAGGAGGGTATATTGTAGGACAAAAAAATTTTTTTTTTTTCACCATATTGGCTTTCTCCCCGATTATATCAGGATGTTTAATAGACCTACTCCACCCTAATCATGTCCCATTTTCGGTAAGTATTTACTTAAAGGACTAGAACGCTAGTTGGTGATCTTCACACTATGCTTCTTCCTCTTCTTACAGATCTCCTTTTGACACATCAAACACTTGTTAGAATGCTCTTCAACTCAGTGAAATAACTCAAAGATACACATGTAGTGGAAGACATGCTCGCAGATTTCCGGCCCCATCACTGGGCTCAGAATCGACAGTTTGCTGAAGTCATCTACGCAGATATTACGTATTTGTTCCTCAGAGACTTTCGTTGATCCTGAAAAATCCTGAAAAATCGCTTGCGTTGGTGGGTGGCCTATGGCATATGCAGATCATATATCCCGTACTTTTTCCACGTGACCCCTTTCCGATTCTCTATAGCTGTCGTGAGGAAACATCGGTAAACAAAATGGGCTCTTGAATATCCAAGAATGTATTTCCTAGGCTAACTGACCCTCCTGTATGATGGAAGAAATGGTTGCGGGCAGTAGAGTTTCAGCTAGTTGACCCACCTATTAGCAATCTAACTCACCATGCAATAGCAACGTAGAAGTCTGGTAGAACTTCTTATGTCATCTACCTAGAGTATTTTGACACCCTCGCAGAAGTTTCTAACGTCGCCATGTGAATTGCGTGTGGAGATTGCTTTCACCTAGCATCTCTACGAAGGGTGATTATACTACAATTCGCCCCGACAATCTCAGACTGCCTCATCGGGTTAGGGCTCCGATCGAGTTCACCCTACGAACTTCAGACTGGTCAGCCAACAAACTTAGGCTTGTCAGTTCTTGTGGCGGTGACTTGGAGGAATCTCGCTGGGCCTTAAATCTGGGATCTTCCTGATCTCCTAACATTCCGAGAATTCTAGACAGCAGCAGCCTTGGCCCTTTGCTCTCCAAGCATCTCCACCCTGCTCCAGTGTTGGAGACTGTCAAGAGTAACAGCGATGAGCATGTACGCAGGGGATGTAACAAGCCGCCAAATTCTATTTCTGGGCATCAATTGGGGCTGGTTCCTGGATTGGCGCGCTCAATTCAAGAAAGTCGAGGTTTTGCCATCCTTTGAGCCATCTCTCGAGACTATACGTGTGGATAAAAAGATCCTAGGGGCCAGTTCCAAATGCCGATTGCATCCACCATGTCCTTTTTGAATACATTCGTCCCTGTATGAATGCTGCAGAGGTCTGGATGCGGTACTGGAACGATGGTCATAGGCGATTGCGATCTCACCAGTTAGAAGGCGGTGAGGTAGAGGCAATATATGGTTCAGGGAGGACGTGCTTTGTGAATCCTTCTCTCTTGTCTTGATTTAGGTAAAGAAAGTCTTTGCTCATATAGGGGTTAAGGGAAACTATGGTTTTCTGTGCGATAGCGTGATCCGCAAATGGGTAGAGCAGAATCACCGTCAAGAGGAGGCTAGGCTTTTGATGTATCAATGGTCTGTGAAGGCGGCTATACTCCCAGACACTGACCATTTCGGCGAAGTCCTCGAGGTCATTAAGACGATATCTGGAAATTAAAAAAAAAATCCGATAAGTTTCCGCGACATTTCAGACCGATGGGGCTGACATATAGAATGGTACGGTTATATCTTTACGATGACATTCTTGAAGCTAGCGAAGGTGTTTGGGAGGAATACGAGCCGGCGGACTTGGAGGATGCACCTCGGAGGCTATTGAACCGCGAAACGACGTTCTCGTAATTTCTTCCCCTTCTTCTATCGGCGATAACTACCACTGTACTATTTGCCTTGAGCCTTATGATACTGGAGAGATGGCTTGCTGCAAGCTCAACGCATGCCGCGATCTCTTCCATTTTAGTGCATCGATGAGTGATCAACGTATCCACAGACGACGCCGGAGGCCAAATGTTCGTGCTATAGAGCAAGAATCTATTCCGCAGGGAGACTAGGCTAGTACCGGACTGGCTCATATGGTTATAGGGCAAATGGTACGATGCCTTGATGCACAGTGGGGAACATTTAGCGGAACGGATACCATGCCGTAAGCCTGTTGCCAGATCAAGGAGAGGGTTGGGACAAGAGCGGGTTCTGCTATAAAGTAGATAAGGAAAGACTTTGCTGTCGCACCAAATCATTTCATAAGCATTGCGTGAGGTTGTTCTGCAAAACAAGAATTAGATTGATGGAAAGACTGGTGTGACTAAACGGCCGGGGTACTGGTCGATCGATCGCCAAGGTCGTTAGGCTGGGTGTGGGATGTGCCGTGCCACAGTTGTTGAAGGACATAATTATCCTCAAGGAGAGATTGGAGGCCAAATTCAACTGAAACATCCTTGAATGACATGCGAAGTATGAATATGAGAGGTAGACTCTGTGGCCAATCTTCGTATTCTTCGTTCATGTTATGGTGCTCTTGACACCAACGGCAGATGCACAGACGGCATTGACGATCTAGCCGGCGTCTGGACCACCACCGCCAGCGTCTTCAAAGAGCACCACTGGAGTCGCAAACATGGGGAACTGTTCTAATCTGGTCTCTAGATATGGCCCGAGTCTGACCACATCCTCTCCGACCCCCTCACCTCTGCGAGCGCTGCCATCCGCATCCGGATGCGCTCTGAAGCCCTCCCATCTCAGATGCCCCAACCGGAAGACCCCGCGCCACAAGAGCAGCACTACAACGAGAGCACTGTCGATATACAATGTGAATTGGCTTTTCGTACAGCCCCGCAGCCCCCAAAGGCGTCCTCGCAAGAGGAGCTGAGCGCCCTCAGCCTCCTCGATGTGCTCCAGCTCGACTACCGACCAACCTTCATCGTTGACGTCTCTTCGGCTCCCACTGAAAATGGCCCATACGAACCTGTATATTGCAACCCTTCGCTTGCGGCCGATGGGGCTTTGTTGGGAAAGATTACGAGACAGGGCTATCCTACGTTCATATCTGCCGACAATACCCAGCAGTATTCAGGTTATAGGAGCTGGCTTTTCAGCGCATCGGAAGGGGTACATGAGACCACAAAGGGGAACTTATACATGTTTGAGGGGTACTTTTGGTCCGCCACCAGTATTGGACATTACAGAGTCGTAAGCGGCGTCAAGAGCTTCGTCGCAGGGCCTGATCGAGCAGGTGCCCAGAATCAGTCCCGCCTAAGTCGGTGGATTAATCCGCAAGCACTCAACGCCCCTCGAAATATGCACCAAACAGTGCAGCATAGACTGCCCTCAGGACCGCTCGATACTCCCATCGAAGCAAAGCAGCTCGGCTCCACTACCGCCTCTTCGGAAAAGCATGGCCCATTCGACTACACCCGCGATCCAGCGCCCACAAACATGTCCACGCATATTCAATACTTTCGCAGTGTTGATTGGTCTCAGACGCCATTAGGGCCGATGCCCTCCTGGTCCCCCCAGCTTTGCGCCGTTGTCAACATGGTTATGAACGATACTCATCCTGCTGTCTTGTTTTGGGGAGACTCTGTCACTATGGTGTACAATGAGGCGTATATCGAGTTGATAGGTGCACTGCATCCTTGCATGGGTTCAAGTGCTCGAGTGGCAGCCCGCGAGTACTGGTTTCATTTTCAGCCACTTGTGGATCATATCAACGCTACCGGCCAGACCTTGACTGAGCATGATTTACCACTGTTTCTATCCAGACACGGTTTCCTTGAAGAAACCTTCTTTTCATTCCAATTCATTCCAATCTTAGACTGCGATGGGTACGTTGCGGGCTACTATCAACCCCTCATTGAGACCACAAAGTAAAATTGCATCTACCTTTTTCAACAAGTTCTCGCGATGCTAACCATTTCTCCAGAAATAATCTCCTCGAGCGAAGAGTGTCCAGTTTGGTGGAGATTGGAAGTCAAACGGCCAAGGCGCGCGACCTTCAAACGTATTGGGAGCTTGTCCTCAACACTCTCGCCATCAACGACAAAGACGCCCCGTTTGCTCTACTGTTTTCTGCAACGCACGAGGACACACCTGAGGTTTCCTCTGTATCCTCATCAGGTAGTGCAACTGATTTGAAATGGTGCTTTCTAAAAGGCACAATTGGGGTATCAGCTAACCACATGATTGCGCCGTCGAGAGTGGACCTAAAGTCGAGCTCATATGTCTTCAATCCATACCTGATTAAAGCCGCGAAATCAAGGAAACCAATCCTCCTGCATTTTGAGGAGCTCGATATGGCTGACGGGGTGCTGGCTGACATCGATTGGAAAGGGTATGGAGATCCATGCAGATCTGTGATCTTCTGCCCTATTCTTCCAACAACGGGCGAGCAGGTGCAAGGTTTCCTCATTCTTGGCGTGAATCCGAGGCGCCCATTCGACGATGACTACCAGCAGTTTGTCCACGTTTTGAATCGCTTGCTCGCAACATCCCTCGCTTCTGTTGTTCTCTTTGATGAAGTTATTCGACAAAAAGAGAATGCTATCGGCCAAGCTGCCCAGATCCAGGAACAACTTCTAGCCGAGCTTAAGTTAAAAGAGGAGAAGTTCCAGAGATTTGCAGAACGTTCTGACGTCGCAATCTTCATCGCCGATATGAATGGGAAGTACATCTACAGGAACCACCGCTGGTTCGACATCTTCAAGGTTTCTGTTGATGTTGACGACGTCGCCCAGGCCTGGATGAATATAGTATTTCCTGAGGATTTCTCCTACTGCGAGGGATTGTTTGCCAAGTTGGTAGTCGATAAAACACCATTCTGCGTCGAACTCAGAACGGCTATGCCTTGGACGCCTCCCGAGAGTTCCCAAGACCCCGAGAGTAATACCCAGGAGCATTTTGTTTGGATTCTATGTTCCGCTTATCCTGAACTGGGGCCGAACCACGAGCTTAAAGAAATCGTTGGAAACATGACCGACATTTCCCAGCAGAAATGGGCAGAAGGCGTACAAAAGATGCGCACTGATAGTGCACTCGAGTCCAAAAAACATTTAGAACACTTCATCGATACAACGTCTCATGAGATGCGCAATCCACTCTCCGCAATCATGCAATGCGCGGACGGAATTCTGGCTTCATATTCTCCTCCTAGTACGGAATTCGGAGTGCCATCGCCAAACAGTTATGCTACCCTTTTGGATCAAACACTTGACGCGGCCCAGACCATTGGACAATGCGCGCAGCACATGAAGCGTATTGTAGACGATATCCTCACCATTTCGAAGCTTGACTCCGACCTTCTTGTGATAACACCAATAGATGCACAGCCAGAAGTCGTGGTCCACCATGCAGTCAAGATGTTCGAAGCCGAGGCGAAAGCTGCCGGTGTAGATATGAGATTTGAAGCTGAGCAGTCTTACCGAGACCTGCAGATCAACTGGGTGTCTCTCGACCCCACAAGGTTACTACAGGTGAGACTGATACCCTGTAGGGTTATTATTCTATGACTAACTTGGCAGCGATAGGTACTGATTAATCTCATCTCGAACGCCATAAAATTTACTCGCCTTGAACGCATTCGAATGATCACCATCTCCGTGGGAGCCAGCAAGACCGAGCCGGCATCTGTTCATGGAGGAGTACAATTTATCAACGACAAGCTAGTGGCTGGGGACAAGACTCTGAAAGCCGACTGGAAACGCGGTCCCACGATATACCTGCAATTTTCTGTATCGGATACCGGCCGCGGCCTTTCTGATGACGAGAAGGCCCTTCTCTTCGAACGATTCTCTCAGGCGTCACCTCGTACCCACATCCACTATGGAGGCTCTGGTCTCGGGCTTTTCATCTCCAGGCGGTTGACGGAGATGCAAGGAGGAGCCATTGGCTTGGCTAGTCAGCTAAAGAAAGGGAGCACTTTCTCTTTCTATGTGAAGGGAAGGAGAACAACTCCCTCTAATCCGAGGAGAGGGAGTATTCCGAACATATTCCCAGAAGATATCAAACACAGACCTCACACATCCAAAGAGATAGATAGGTCACTAAATCCAACCCGGCCTGCTATGATCCGAAGACATACCTTCATAAACCCTAACGTCTCCCTTCAGGCACCAGATTATCCTCCCGAACCCAACTTCGAAGAGCTCAAAGGAATAGACTCAATCCCAGAGACACTCCACCTACTCGTTGTTGAAGACAACCTTGTCAACCAGAAAGTCCTCGCAAAGCAACTGCGAAAGCTAGGTTGTGTCGTCAACGTCGCGAATCACGGCGGCGAAGCTTTAGAATTCCTAAAGAAGACTAACTACTGGAACGGCCCTCAACTTTCATCAACATCACCTCAACATCTCGATTCCCCAAGCCACCAATTTCCCGCCACTGAAACTCCTGCAACTTTTCCAGAATCCACTGGACTTCCTTTGGAGCTGAGTCTGATACTAATGGACTGGGAAATGCCGATTATGAATGGTCTTACAGCAGTCGCAAAGATTAGAGAGTTGGAGCAATCCCGCACTCTAATTGGCCATATACCTGTTATTGGAGTTACAGCGAATGTACGGCAGCAGCAGATCAAGGCAGCTATGGATGCGGGCATGGACGATGTGGTAGGGAAACCTTTTAGGGTTTCGGAGCTGCTTGGAAGGATGAGAGAGGTTGTGGCGAGGAGTGTAGCGACGGATGGGTGGTTGGAACGTGTTAGAGAGGGACGGGGGTTAGGTGAAGGCTGTGGAGAGTGATGAGGTGGGTAAGACAAAAGCAAAAGGTGCGGTACAGCGGAACATGGTACCACCGTTTCTTCACATATTTCTGCATTATATTGACGTTCAACTCGATTCCAGCTAGAGGAATAACAGATGGAATCTGTTTTATTCATCTTCCATGATAAGTATTGGCATGCTACAAATTATGGGGTCTAAGCCTGCAACTATACGCAACTTACTAAAATGGAGTTAATAGTAAAACCTATAAGAGAACAATATATCAGTATAAGAGTAAGATAAGAGAGCAATATGCGCCACCGTGCACGCAAATGCGCCTCACAGGGTCAACAGCTTGTCACCGCTGCATCCACTTTCCTTGTTCGATAAGCTAGTGATAGGTGCGTGTTTACGTGGCCATCGCCGCTAGAACTGACCTTAACCTCTCTTGCGACTCAGTTCCCTTCTTTTCATCATCGCACTCACTCACTCAACTTTCTTTCTCACTCCTCTTTCTCGGTTTTCTTCTATTTTCCATATCCATAAGCAAGGCTCAAGCTGCAACTGCGGCTTTAGAGGCGATCGAGGCGAGAGTATAGATCAAGGCAGCAGAAGCAATAGTAGAGGCAGACGAGTTCAAGCCGGCAGTAGCGCTAACTTTAGCTGAAATGCAGTACCCACGGGACCTAGCGGACGTGGACATGGGCAGGACCTTGAAGGTGGATTTGCGAGACGAGGCGGGCGCCGAGGATGCTCTAGACGACCTAGGGGTAGAAACTGACGTAGAGTTCCAACTACAAATCCTCTCCTGGAGTTGGTGGACGTGGCGGAGGTAGTTGACAGCCTGTTTGACCCAGCGGCATCAAAGTAGAGGAAGATGCCAAATTGAAGGAACAGGAGTTTGCAGTCACGCGGTATTATTACCCGGGAGGTAGATATATCGAGCAGACTACCATCCATTGCGAGGCCTGTTCTTTGGGCAAGTTCTCCGATTGCCTCCGTTGCGGGAACGACAAAGCCGCACACCACTATGGGCGTGATGAATGCAGAGATCGATATGTATAGTGCAGCTCCACTGGACATGATGCCAAAGTAACTGCGCTTCCATAGCCTCAGCTTTGTTCCTTATCATGTCGAAGCTTGCCCCATTATGTGGTGCAGTCTAGGCTGGTGGAGGAAGCACTTCTAACCTGCATCGCCCGAGGACACCTAAATCCGACCTAGAGCCCTCGATAATTTCTTCCACAGGGTTGAGCAGCACATGCTACAAGATCCAGTATCTGGCAGCGGTCATCGAAAGCGCGGGGTGGAAGAGGCCAGACCAGATGATGCCCAATCAGAGAAGATTGTGCTGGCGGTTGCGCAGCAGAAAGCGAAAGAGAAGGGAAATCAGATTGTAAGGCCAAAGAACGAGATTGAGGAGCTTAGACAGAACGTTGCAGAAGGGGTTATCGATGAAGTAGAGCAAGGTTTGAACCAGCTGCTGAAACCTCAGGATCCGAGTTTGACACACATCCGAAGATGAGAAATTTTTCATCAAATCGGAGTCTCAAGACTTCTAATTACATGTATGGCATTCGTGAATGTTTGAAACCCCTTTAGGCTCTAGGAATCGGCGGCACTCGCTTACGGTATCAAATCTGTTGCTCGGATATGGAATAGGCGTAACCTACTTATATCATTGTATAGATAAAGCTGAAGTCTATCCTAGTCTAAGTTTGACGTAGTGGAAAAGTAGTTGACATTACTTTAGCGTTTGATACCTGCCTTCTTCGTGAAACCAATCCCACCTGCTGAAATTACTGTTGTAGCATGACCGATTACTCCACACCAAACACGCTCCATACTAAAATCTGCTTCCTTAAATAGGGACACTGCTTTGGCATTGGCTTCACAAACACCTGGACGATCCTACTAGTACTCCTTGCCTATTTGCACTATCTCCCGTCATGCCTTGAATCATGATGCCACTCGGGACCCATTTGAGATGCTCAAGCATTGTCAGAGGCGGCACATATGGTGTATCCGCAGCTGTCATGTACTATAAATAGAATGGATTTGGTCAATTAATTCTCTTTCTAGAATAGAGGAGTACGCAAATATAAAGCAACTTCTTATTCTGCATGGATCTTAGCGAAGCCGTTCATGAAGAATAGTCATGAGCAGCTTCTACCGCATATTCACACCTACCGTAGAACATAGAGTATAATTGATCAGTTAAGTCTCTTACTGGAATAGAGGTGAACATAAACAGGATGCAATTTTCTAGCAAAACACGTTGGCGTATTTTAGTCCATAGCAAGCAACTAATTTCGCAGTCTCCTACCCCCCGCTTCTTCACTGTGCCTTCAACTGAATCTCGCACGCCCTCTCTGCCTCAGCAGTAGTCATGCTTGTTGGTTCCTCCATCAACACATCCGCCACTGCAGAAATCGATATATTTGATCCCTCCCTTTTCGACGCAGTTGAATCTAGATTGTTCGATGTTCACTGTACGTGTCGGTTGCTCGGCCTTAAGCAGGGCGTGTTTGATCTGGCTTCTATAGTTTCCTGCAACGGCCGTGAGTCTCTTTTGCTAGCCTGAATTGACGGATTGTTCCTCTGGTAAGGATGCTGTACATACCAATTTTAAGGAGGTTGTACCCGCAATAGTGAAGGCCTAACGTGCAGTCCCTGGCAGTCGCGGCCCCGGAGAATATAGCAACGACAACGGGAAGAACGATTGAGAGCTTCATGGTGGAGGCAAAGAGTAGTTGCTTTTAGTTTGGATAGGTGAAAGGAGTTCTTGATGATTGTTGTTTTTGGATGATTGGGTTGTGAATGCTGATCTGACTGACCTTTTGCGAGCGGGATATGAACCATCTTTTATAACCCCGAGCCCGCCGAGCAAGTGGGTTCGCCGAGGGGTTGAAGGTGGTTCTCGAGAGAAGACGTTACTTCCTCTACGCGGTTCCTGTACTTTTTCATCTCAAAGAGGATAATATTCGATGAACTCATTTCGAGGTGGGCAGTTAATTCAGCTGGCATGAGGATACCGTAGGATCTGGTGAGAGTGCTTGGTTTGAATTTTGCCAGCGCGTGCCTACCTAGGGTTTTCTTCGTGCAACAGGTTACGATGTCAATCTACAGGAGCCCCATTAGTCAAAGCCAAGAATCCACTCTGATCAAGTCCTCGCATACGGAAGACCTTGTTGGTTTACCAAGGTGGAGCAAACTTAGTCCGCCGTTACCTCCACTAATATCGTCGGACCACCTGTCGCAATGTCGTGTGAGAAACGGTCAATGTTTGATGCCGGATTATGCAGTGTAACCAAAGCCTACGTTGCACGAAGTAGTTACTGGTACTTTGTGCGGTGAGGATTGTTCATGGACCTTGATACTTTTCGGCATTGCGGTTATTGAACATCTCAATTTTGGTCCCATTCTGCATCTCGAATAGCATTATTGTTAACCTTGTGGCGAGGAGAATAAAATATAAATTAGGGAAGCTCAAAGACTTGGACACAACCTTTGAGCTTTTAGGAGTACTTCTTCAAACGAAGCTAAGCTGTTTGCTATACCAAACACTAAGTTAGTTGCAATGAATGCCAGGTGGTTGCTAAGGAGCGGAACGGGAATCAAATGAAGAGTTATTGCATGTGTGAATTGTAACCAGGCCAAGCCATTCTGTACAGGTGCCTGTGCTTCTCCACATAATGTGGCTGCTCCAGACGCTCCGTACCAAAACAACACTCCTCCACGACACCCCCACCAAGCTTACATGTATTAGCCACAATTCACCTCTGTCATAAAGAGAGGGCTAATACTAACTATATCTGGCTAGCTCTACCTCATTGTTAACTTCTATTTTTACCCACTACCTCCACTCTGCCCATGCTCAGGACCAGCTGGTTTGTTCTCGTATGCCCTTTCCCGGATCGGGATGTCTTGAGAAGAGCTCGTCAACTGTAAACGCAATTAAAGAAATAGTACATAACACCGGCCTGCCATCCTGAACCTCTGTGCTTCCCTTTCCTCTCCCTCTACTACGCAAATTACCTAGCCCAATCTACCTAAGGAGCACTAGGCGACAATTTCTAGTGGTGTCAAACTAAAGCCGAGTCTCTTTGGGAGCCTTTTTTGCACTTCTCAGTTCTCCCCGCTTCCCAAATCTAGAAAGCACCTTGCCCTTCCTGCCTCTTACCTACCTAATCAGCAGCTCCCCCCCCCAATCGCTAGGTCATTTTTCGCCTCCTTCTTCCACACCTACCCATTTCCCCATATGTTCTCTCCCAAAATCCTTTCGCTGCCTATAAAATCCAAATAATCTCCAAAATCGTTCTACAGGAAAGTCGCGCACAAGCCCTCAAACGGTGGGTCAACAGTGCAATTGCCGGGAACAGACGTTTAGCCATATAACCAAAGCCGTCTGGTCAACAACTGCCACGACAAAGTTGGAATTCGATTGCGATTTCTCCATTCCACCTTTTTGCTCGAGGTAGTTCGAGGTATTCCGAGTCGCGAGACGAAGTGTTGAGGGGGTTTTTGATTTTTTCTCATCAAGGGGGGCGGGGTTTCCACAGCAGAGGATGACACAAAGGGCGAGGCCAGGTGGATGAGGAAGCGAGAAAAGCTGAAAAGAATTCATTAAATCGTGATAATAATACTCACAGAAGAAGAGGACAATATATACATCCTGGAATGCTAATGTCAGTGAAGCTGAATAAAGAAATCGTGCCTAGTCATCGCAATATGCATCTTTAGCTCCCCCCTAAAAAGTAAGGCAGTACAGCCGAAGCTGCAATGAATGATGCCATATCCCTGACTCAATCGCGTATGCATTTCCATGCAGAGGTATGAGAAAGGAAAAAGCCATCGAGGCATACAATCGTACTTATACAGAATACCACCCCAACTGAGATGAACGCCAGAAGAAAATAAGGAAAACAGGTTGGTATATGGCACCCAAACACCTCCCAGCAATGAAGCGCACACCGTATATACCCACTCACATATCTTATAGGTACTGGCACAGAACAGACTACCAAAATTTCATCTTCAATCCACCGAATAAGCCTCCTTCATCCTTCTTCTTCCTGCTATCCCCATGGTGGCCACTGCGGTTAGTATCGCTTCTTCTCGGTCCCTTTGGACGGTCCTCACCATGCTTTGTGCGTGGTCGATCTGTCTCGGCTTCTCGGCTGACAGGTCGGTTTGTCTGTACTCGGCGGCTAACTGGTCTTTCTTTCTCCACCACGGAGATGCGTCGACTTCGTGGTTGGCCATGCTCAGCGATTGACACCCGTTTGCTCTGGCGGCGGCGTTCACGACGTTCTGCCGATGATGTTGATCCGACTCCAACAACAGCCGCTGCTTCATTGATGAGAGGAGAGCGAGGTTGTTCTGGTTCTACCTCTGGCATCGGCTCTAGCACAGGCTCGGGATTGGCGAGAGAAATCCCACCATCTCTTCCACCAGACATCTCCAGGTCTCGCTCTTTGACAGTCCGAGAAGCCCTTCGCTCCTCCTTCTTGCGGCGATAGTCGACTTCTTCCTCCGCAGATCTGAATGTGCGGTGATGATGGGAATGCGAGGGCCGGCGAGGTCGATGTGGACGCTCGGCTCGTTCACGACTATCACCAGATGATTGGCGGCTGCTTGAGGATCTCTCTTTTTCAACTGGATCGGTTTTCACCCGGGCAACAGGTTTAATCGACTTCGAGGTCGGAACCACGGGTTCTGTCTTGGAGCGACCAAAGAGGGAAAGACCACTAAGCAGACTGTTTCTTCGTGTACGCTGCTGAGATGACGGTGGTTCTTGAAGGCGTTCGCGAACCGTATTTCGTCGCGTGAGACCGCGAGGAGAAACTGGTGATGGTGGAGCGACTTCGTCATCCTCTTCAGCAGCCCTTCGAGCAGCGTCACGTGGTTCTTGCTGTGGCTGTTCAACCTCTGTTTTTTTGGCTTTCGAGGCGACTAGCTTTTCCTTCTCACGTTCAGCGCGGCGCTGGCGACGGAGGCGGCGTGCCTCTTCCTCATCTCGTTCGGTTTGTTCGGCCTTCTCACGCTCTGCCTCGCGCTCTGCCCGTCTAGCCTCCTTCTCGGCTTCATGCCGTTTACGTCGCTCTTCGTGCCGAATGCGTCGTTCTTCATCTTTAGCAATCCTCTCGTTCTCCAGTTGCTGAAGACGCTCTGCTTCCGCCTTCTTGGCTGCGCGATGTTCCTCCCGTCTCTGTCGGCGTTCTTCCTCCGCTGCTTCCTCTTCCTCGCGAGCTGGCCTCTCCTTCTCTGCCCGTCGAGTCTCATGGCGTTTGCGTCGCTCAATCTCTGCTTCTTTGGCTTCGAGTACACGCCGTTTGTTCTCCTTATCATCACCCCTCTCACGGTGGCGGTGAGATCTTTCGCGATGCTCTCGCTCTTTGCTGCTGCTCTTCTCGCGCTCATCATCTTTCACGTGTTCCCTAGCTTTGCCTTTTCCGCGACCAGTATCGTCCTTGCTGGTCATGCTATCTCGTCTCTTGCGTGCAGAACCGCCAAACTTTGCAGCCGCCATCATGGCAAATGTGTTGAGAGCGGGCCTCTCTTGATTGCTGCTATTACTTTCGCGCCGCCGATGCGACCGGTGCTTGCTGTCATGCTGCGAGTGCGAATGACGCCTTCGTCGCTTCTCCTTAGACGGTGAAGCTGGTGATTCTTCAGGAGCAGGCTCGTCCACGACGGCACTTTCGTTCAGGGGGGTTGATGGGGGAGGAGGGTCATCCTGAGGGCCTTCTTGTGTCGCACTCTCGATTTCCTTTGGTGCGGAAGCCTCTTCTTGCTCAGGTTTTACAGGGAGAACCTCCTGTGCTGCCTCCGGGACGGCAGTTACTTCTTGCTCGGCTTGAATTTCCTCTTGCCTCGGCTCTTTGCGGACATCCTCTTGATTTGGCTCCTCCGGGACGTCCTCTTGGATGAGTTCTTCCTGGGCTTCTGCTTGCTTTGGTTCATCCGGGACGTTCTCTTGGTTGAGTTCTTCCTGGGCTTCTGCTTGCTGTGGCTCCTCTGGGACACTCTCTTGTTTTGGCTCTTCTCGAGCTTCATCTTGCTTTGACTCTTCCTGAATCTCCTCTTGCTTTTCTGGCTCTTCGTGGGCATCTTCTTGTTTCGTATCTCTGACGACCTCTTCCACAACTGGTACTTCAATGTCCTCAACAGCGGGTAGATTCCCTTCCTCTTGTTTTGGTTCTTCAGCAATTTGGGGAGCTTGAGGCTCAATCGCCATCTCCACGGGTGATTCTTCGGTTGGGGCTTCGACAGCCTCCGGCTCAATTTTTGCCTCGGGTTCCGTTTGCTCCAGTTCTGCGGGAGTTTTTAGGGCTGAAGTTTCGGTCACTTCTTGCTCCTTTTGAGGCTCTGGTGCTAATGGCTCATCAACAGACTCTTGTCCCGCCACCTGAGTCACTACGCCTGGTGACTCCTCATTCGACTGTTCCGTGAGAGGTTCTACCATTCTAGGACTATCCCGGGTATCCCCTTCACCAATGTTGGGTTCATTTTCCTGGTTCCCGCACTCACAAAGGTCAACGGTTGGAAGGTCCTCTGGCTCTGTTGACTTGTCCAGTTTCTCGTTTTCGAGTCGGGGAGATGTTTCCGCTTTCTCAGCCTGCAGCAAGGGGTCGGTACTTTGATTTTCAAGCGTCGTCTCCTTAACCTGGCCAACATTTTCTTCTCTCTCTCGACCTTGCTCTAGCGCTGGCTCTGGGCTCGACTCAACCATAGTCGGCTCTAGAGCAGAGATATTTTCTGAACCGCCGCCCTGTTCTGTTTGTGGTTCTTCGTTCCCTTCACCCTGCTCGGTTTCACGGGGTTCTGCTGCTTCTGCGTCTATTTCTACTGGCTTACTCTCCACCATTGACTCAATATCTGGGTTTGCCGAGACCCCCAGAATCTCAGGTGCTGCGTCCTGAGCATCTGGGAGCTGACCTTCGCCGCTGGGTTCAATTGGTTCCTCCAAGGCTTTGAGCTCTAGATTATCATTTGGATTTCCCTCAGTTTGAGGCCCATCATCCGCGACAGCCTCTTGTTCAGCCTTTGGCATTTTGCTAGCTTCAGGTTGAGATGTCTCTGGAATTTCCGAGGGATCTAGTCCGGGATCCTGTGCATCGTTTGCCTCTATGTTTTCTGTGACCTGTGTTTCAAAAGAAGGCGGGGTCACCTGCTCCTCGAGCTTGGGTTCCGCGGGCGCAGATTTAGTGGATTCACTTATTGTCTCGGAATTACCACTGATGTCTGCTTGGCTCGAGGGTTGATCCTCAATGATAGTAGACTCTGTGGTCAGGTCAGAGATTAGCTCGCTGGCTGTCTCGTCTGATTTGGTATTTTCCGTACTCTCACGGACTACCTCTTGCTCTGGAAGAATGCTAGATTCTTCCGCTTGCGTATTGTCTAGAGCAGCTTCAGCCTTAGCTCCTTCAGTCAATTCTGTGACCGTCGGTATTTGGGGCTCTTGAATAGCCTTGTCAGAGCCGGATTCCTGGATTTCTTCCACAGGCGTATCTGGTTGCTCTGGAGCAAGATTTTCCGGCTCTGGGGTTATACTATCTCGGACGTCACCTTGGGTGTCAACGTCACCGGTTTGATCAACTATGGGCTCAGCGGGTTCAACAGACTCGACTTCAGGATTAGTTGAGGTACTTTCCTCAGTCCCTACAGGGACCTGAAGATTCTCGGGTTGATCCTTAGCTTCGGTGTTGATTTTCTCGCAATCTTCTTGTTGCAGATATTTCTCATCAACAATCTCTGTTTCAAACAGTTTTTCTGAATTGGAATTGTCTGGTGGTGGGTCTCCAGAGTCCTTTGCTGCTTCGCACTCTAGCGGTTCTGCTTCGGTCGCTTCGCCAACCGAAACAGCTAGATGATTTTCTGAGCTGTCTTTTTCAACTAGATCGTCCGCTGGGAAGTCATTGAAAGGTAACACAGGTGGGGCAGACTCTGCGGGAGGTTCGTCCAAGTTGACTTCGGGGATTTCCGCTTCAGGCACCGGAGATTGTTCTACATTTAGTCAGACAGGCCGATAAACACAGAGGCACATAAAAGCGAGCACTAAGAGGAAAAACAAAGGTGTCTGTATCAAGGGGGGCGAGAGAAATACGATGCAAAACGAAGAGAGTTGGGGAGGAAGGATGATCACGCGTGGGGTAGTGTGAGACAAAGTAAGTTCAAGGGTGAGGGATGCGCAGAGCACCAACACCCAACTGAAAGTATTGGGCGCGACACGCGGCAAAATACCTGCATGCATGAGGAGATGCATGCGTTACACGTGATGATAAGACGGCTTAGTCAATCCGTCATGGCCGCCGATTGCGGAGGATGGAGCATGTGGCTGCCCAGGTGGCTACCATGTGCAAAAGTGCTATTGGATAACAACTGGGGATGATTGGAGGTGGAATATGTGAAAGTTGGAAGGTTCACATGAAATAGTAGAAGAGTGGAAAGAAAATGTTTAGGACGTACCAACTGAGCCCAAAGGAGTCTCTCCAACACCTGGCATCGTCGGTTCGCTCTCTTTCTCCTCTGCTTCTTCCAGGCCATTCGGATCGATTCCTATGCTATCATTTTGGGCAATTATTTCGCCGCCCCTCCCTAAGTTTTGTTGTTGACTCGAATCGGTCTCCTCAGATTCTGTATGCTTGGAAGATATGCTCTCGGTAGGTGCAATAACATTCTCGTCTCCAGCATCACCGGAAGTCTCGCCTGTGCCCTCATTGTGAACGGTTGCCTCTACTTCTGTCCCTAGGTCTTGTTGTTCACTCGAATCGATCTCAGGTTCTGTTTGCTTGGAAGGGATGCTGTCAGTGGGTGCAGAAACAGCCTCGGCTCCAGCATCGCCAGAAATGTGCTCGTCTGTGCCCTCAAGGGTTACATCAAGTCCTTGTAGGGACACCTCTTCGACTCCGGCTTTCCCGCCATCTGTAGGACATGGTTGAGGTGAAGGGTCTTCCTGTCCCGGCAAAGTTACGGTCTCCATAGTACACTGGGATGTATCGATTTCTGAATCAGCGTTGGATAGAAGGCTTGAACTAGAACGACCTTCTGGGGGTTCGGCCAGCGTATACTTGGTCTCTTCTGCTAAGTCTTTGGTGACTGGTTCAACTTGCGTGTCGCTTGGCGCTACCGTGTCCTGAGGCTTATCCTCCTCGCTGCTGAGCTTGACGACCGCCTGCAATTCAGAACTCTCCGTTGGCTTGTCCCCACTGTCGGTTTCTCCTTTGGTGTCACCCACTTCTTTATCTTCGACTAGGAGTTCAGTTTCCTCTTTATTGTCCATGTTTGATTGTAACTCGGCCACGCTTTCCTGGACGATGGCACCCTCAGGTGGTGGTTCATTAAGTTGTTCACTAGCCTGCGTCGCATTTTCGCTTTGTGAAGGGGACAAATCCGTTTCTCCAGGCTCGTTAGGAGCTAATGCATCACCACTCTCCACGTTCCCCGGCTTGCTCGAGTCGGTATCTTCGCCTCCGCCGCCCTCAGGAGCCTCTACATTTTCAGGGAAATCTGTGGTACTCACTTCTTTGCTCTGCAAGCTGTCTTCCGCTGCTTCGGTTGGGCTGCTTGCGTCTACTTGGATTTCACTGCCAGAATCGAGCGAGGCAGGTCGGGAATTGCTGCTGTCGCCGAGAACTATCTCGTTTGTCCCAGGGCTGAGTTCCTGCATATGTTCAACCTCTTCGCAGGTAGATTTGGGAAGTTGCTCCGTCGTCACACCCTGACTTTGCGAGTGGTCGGGTTGACTATCTGATAGAGGAGCCGCGTCAAGATCCTCACCTACACTCTCACTATTGGCTGGAACATCACCGTCGCTAGAAGTAGCGGTCGGTTCCTTGTGGGTCAGGACAACCGCTTCGACTATCTCATCCACCTGAGTCTGATCGCCTTCTTGACCGCTACTCGCCTCCAGCTCAGGGTCGGGTTTTGATTCCTCAAAAGTGGAGGCAAACGGCTCTTGAGCGATGTCAGTTTCTTTAGCGACCTCTTTGCTGTCTTGAATGTCGGCATTCTCAATATCTTTGGCACAGCTACCCGCACTATCCTCATCCTGGTAAACAACAGCGCCTTCAGCTGTCACGTTTGCGTTTCGCCCATTAGCCACGTCCTCACTTTGGCTAGAGCTACTATCAACAGCGGCTCCGTCCGGATTTTCAACCTGATCCTGATTGGTTGGGGTTTCCTCTTTCAAGGGCGTTTGGCCGACAGCTGGTTTTTGGACCAAGCCATCTTCAACATGGGCCTGCGGAGCACTCACGCATTCCTCCGCAGGCTTAAATGCTATGATTTCGCAAGATGGTTCCGACTCCTTGGATACATCCTCGCCCCGCTCGTCTGTACCATCAATAACAGAGCCTTGGTCAATCGTCTCTATAGATGCCTGCTCAACCTCAGGCTCCGTTTTGATCGTGTCCTGGTTGACAACAAGCGGCGCCAATTCCTCAGGGTGTTGTGCGATGCTAGGCTGCTGTTCTGGCACAGGTTTTTCGACAACAACAGACTCTATTGTGCTGTCATCCTCGAGGTTAGATTGCGCTTCATTCGCAGAATTATCGACGGGCTGTTCATTTGACACAGGTTCTTGTTCTTGCTCGACTAGAGGCTGCTGTTCAACCACAGACTCTGCGTCACCGACGGGCTCCGAGACAGTCTCCTGTTCTTCTCCACTGAGCAGAGGCGCTTCACTCGGAGCGGATTCTTCACTCGGTGGGGACTCTTCGTCCGACTGGATTTCTTCACTCAACGGGCTAGGCGTTTCCCCTTTTTCTTTAGTCGAGGGTGCTACTCCGCTGGGCTTAGGATCCTCGTTCGGCGTACCCCCTTCGCCTGGTGTAGACTCCTCCTTGGGACTAGGTTCTACTGCACCTGGGGTAGATTGTTCGCTGGGCAACGGAGACGCCTCACTCAATGGAGACTCTTCACTGGACGTGGGCTCTACTGCGGCTAGTGTGGATTCTTCAGACAGTGCGGGGTCTTCGTTTACTACCGTCTCCTCTGCAGGCTTTGTAGGTGAGGTGTCCCTTAGCAGGGAGTTTTCGCTGGGCGGGGACCCTACTGCCGCTTGTGTGGACTCTTCGGACTGCGTGGACTGTTCTATTACTACCGCCTCTTCAACAGGTTCTATAGGTGAGGTATCACTCGACAGGGACTCTTCGCCTGGCGAGGGCTCTTCTACGGCGGGTTTGATTTCTTCGGGCGGCGCTGACTGTTCCTCAACTACCGCTTCCTTGACAGGTTGCGCGGGAGAGGTGTCATTTGATAGGGACTCTCCGCTGGGGGTGGGCTCCTCACTGAGCGTGGGTTCTACTGCGACCGGAGTGGATTCTTCGGGTGGCGCGGACTGTTCATTTACTACCGTTTCCTCAACAGGTTCCGTGGGAGAGATGTCGTTTGGCAAGGAATCTCCGCTGGGAATGGGCTCCTCACTGGACATGGGCTCTACTGCAACCGGAGTGGATTCTTCGGATAATGCGGACTGTTCGTTTACTGCCGCTTCCTCAACAGGTTCCATGGGAGAGGTATCATTTGACAGGGACTCTCCGCCGGGGTGGGGCTCCTCACTGGACATAGGCTCTACTGCAACCGGAGTGGGTTCTTCGGATAGCGCGGACTGTTCGTTTACTGCCACTTCCTCAACAGGTTCCGTGGGAGAGGTATCATTTGACAGGGACTCTCCGGCGGGAGTGGGCTCCTCAATGGACATGGGCTCTACTGCAGCCAGAGTGGGTTCTTCGGATAGCGCGGACTGTTCGTTTACTGCCACTTCCTCAACAGGTTCCGTGGGAGAGGTATCATTTAAGGACTCTCCGCTGGGAGTGGGCTCCTCACTGAACGTGGGTTCTACTGCGGCCGGGGTGGATTCTTCGGGTGGCGCAGACTGTTCGTTCACTACCACTCCCTCAACAGGTTCCGTGGGAGAGATCCCGTTTGGCAGGGACTCTCCACTGGGAATGGGCTCCTCACTGGACGTGGGCTCTACTGCAACCGGAGTGGATTCTTCGGATGGCACAGACTGTTCGTTTACTACCACTCCCTCGGCAGTTTCTGTAGGAGAGGTGTCGTCTGACAGGGACTCTCCGCTGGGAGTGGGCTCCTCACTGGACGTGGGCTCTACTGCGACCGGAGTGGATTCTTCAGATGGCGCAGACTGTTCGCTTACTACCACTCCCTCAGCAGTTTCTGTAGGAGAGGTGTCGTCTGACAGGGACTCTCCGCTGGGAGTGGGCTCCTCACTGGACGTGGGCTCTGCTGCAACCGGAGCGGATTCTTCGGATGGCGCGGACTGTTCGCTTGCTACCACCTCAACAGGTTCCGTAGGAGAGGTGTCGTTTGACAAGGACTCTCCGCTGAGAGTGGGCTCCTCACTGGACGTAGACTCTACTACAGCTGGGGTGGATTCTTCGGGTGGCGCGGACTCTTCGTTCACTACCGTCTCCCCCACAACCGGCTCAGTGGGTGAGTTGTTCTGTGTCTCACTTTTCTCGCCTGCTTCTAATACTCCTTTGCCATCGTCGTTCAACGAGCTAGATCCCTTCTTACCTGCTTTTTTGCCCTTCGCAGCCTTTTTGTCCTTTTCCTCTTGCTTCTTCTTCTTCCGTTCATCGGCTCTGCTCGGCTTCTTTTTGGCAGAAGGAAGTGGTGCGTCCTTCTCGACGACCTTCTTCTTCTCATCTTTCGTTGGCTTGGAGGGTTTGTTCTTGTCCTTCTCCTTTCCCTTCTCCTTCTCCTTCTCCTTTTCTGGGACCTTCTTTTTGCTCTCTTTTGGAGGCGCTGGAGGAGGAGGGGGTTCTTTGATCCGAATGAAAGCATTAACTTTGGTCTTCCCGCCCGGTTTTGCCTTCTTTTCATCCTTCTTCTTCTTCTTTCCGATGTTGCTAGACTCTGGATCTTTGACGTCAGGCGAAAAGTGGACACTCTTTTCCTCGTGGGGTTGGGAGGACTTTGGAGCAACCTGCTCGGACTCACCACTCTTGGGCTCTGTAACCGGTTCCGGGGCCGGTTCGGCCGGCGGAGGCGGCGGAGGCTGCTCTGAAGCTGCTGGTTCGCTCGGCTCTGGCTGGCTTGGAGCGGGTTGATCTTCCTGTGATGGGGATTCGTTATTTTCAGGGACTTTGATTGTTGGGGTTTCAGAAGGTGGGGAAGGAGTGTCGTCCTCAAGGGCTACGCCGCCTTGCTCCTCTCCTCCATCTGGATTCTGTGCCTCGGGTTCGATGGGGTTTAACCCAGAGTCGTCCGCCGATTTTTCTACGGGCGTGGTTGATATCTCAGACCCAACAGCAAGGGTCCGATCATTTCCGCCATCGCCTTCGCCACTCTCTCCGGGTAGAGACGGCTCATCCTTTGTATTCACAACTACAGCCTCACGGTCCCCATCACTCAGCTTCTCCCCTTGAGTCTCGCCTTCGGGGGTATTTCCACTTGTTTCTGGGACACAAGGTACTTCGGGACTGGTTGTACTCACTTCATTTGGTGAGCTCTGAGGGGGAGCCACTTTTAGTTGATCACTTTCACTAGGCGCCTCTAGCGCTGCCGGTGGAGGAGGTGGAGGACTGGCTTCTTCTACCGGCAGTGGTTCAGGAGCTGGGGGAGGGGGAGCTTCTACGATTGGCGCTTCAACGGGAAGAGCTCCAGACATCGCTGGTGCTCCCGACGGACCTGTGCTTCGTTAATTGAAACTATGCGATTCCACAACATTGATAGATACACACCTGCTTGCGCTTCATCTTCCTCATCGCTCGAATTGGAAAGTTGCTCGATGCCAGGATGGTAGAATGTCGGTGCAGATAATATCACTCGTCTATAAGCGTGTGGCTGTGGAGCACCTGGAGAATGGTAGAGAGGCTTTCCCGGACTCAACGCGCTGGAATACGGGTTGGCCCATGGTGAAATTGAGACATTAGCAAAATGCTGCATTGTTGCACGAGAGTGGCAGTGGTCCCCAAAGGTCAAAAGGATTGATAAGTAGTGCTACCGTGATTTCTTACGCCCCCTTTGGGCCATCACTGTGAACAGAAAAAGAGGCGCGCAATCACAACATAAAACGTGGGGTGAGGGGATTTGAATGCGGAGAGGCGAATGAGATGCAAGTGAAGAGAAAAGTATAATTTTGGGAGAGATCGTGGCTCGATGCGATGAGACAGAAACGCCAATTGAATCGGACGAAAGACCGGCTAGGTCAGATGTCACAAGACGATTGAGAGAAAAATCCCAAGGACTGAATTCGAAGCCTCCACGGAGTCGATGAAATGGATCGGAAGTCTCAAGTTGGCATACCCGTGCTTTCCCGGAGCGAGTCGTTGGGAAGGCGAGGCTTGGCCTGGAGCCATTGGAGCCACGTCGAGCAGAGTTCGCTCAGAGCGTGAGAGAATTGAGGCCCGAAAGTGGGTGGGCCATGCAGCCATTGTTACCTTGTGCAGGCGAATTTGCCCACTGGGAGGTGATGCAGCGTTAGCAGTCCGTATCCCTATTGGGTCTGCAGCGCAACGTTCCAACGGCCTCTAAGACGTGCAGCGGGCGAGGATAAGGCGTGGGATGTGTGTTTGAGTCGGCCGGCAGCGCCATCCCACACAGCACCGCTGAAGCCGGCCAGGCGGGTCGGCAATCAATGCAAGGGCACATTGGACGTGATGTCGCCTGAGAGGAAGTTGATGAAAGGATGAATGGGGTACTGACGTGTTCATCGAGTCGCGAATGGAGGAAGAGCAGTGATAGGCTCGCTTATGGGACCAATTCTGGACTAGCCGACACGCTGGGAAGCCTCACTCCCCTCTCTTTGCCCAACGTGGGGCACAGACAGAGGATACAAGCCTGATCTCTCATTGTAACGCGCCGTGTCAATGAAGAGTGCTAACTGGGTTCCCCTTCCATTGGTGTGTTGCGGCTCTTGGACACAATGCAACCACCCTTCTTCGGGAAGCACCCATCCCCCGTCATCACGCTGTTGACGTGCATCCCGAAGATGGGATGTCGGAATTTTGCGCAGCGGCTAGCGAGCTTGATTTAAATGGTAAAACAAGGCTGGCGGACGAATGCGATCAGCAAACGTGTTCAATCCTCAGTGCCTGAATACCCCAATCATCCTGTGTGGGGAAGTGGCTGATTTCTCCAGACCTTCCGCGTCCTTCTATTACTGGTCTCAACAGACCCCAGGATAGTGCAAGCCCCTGCGGCTGTGATTGGATGAAAGACTTTTGAGGGGCGACGTACAGACGTTCATGCCTATTCGAGTTGCATTCGCAGATCCAGCGGGCGCAGCCGTCTGAACGTTCACGAGCAAGCCGGAGACACGTTTGCCTTCAACACGGATCACCCAGACGGTTAGAGAGGAAGTTTAGACGGCGTGGAAATATACCGAATGATCCGCAATCAGAGGCGAGAATTCTGCCAGGATTAAGTCAAGGCGGCGCTAACCTCAGAGCTGCCGAAGGTCTCATGTGCCTTCCGATATCGCCTTACCTGGTTGCGGGTCGAAGTGCATGATCGATGTGGAAGTATTCTGCATTCTATCCCCTAACATGGAACATAACAGGTTAATTCACGACAGAAACTGGATCCTCTTGATGCTCGCTCTAATCCCAACAAGTGTAGCAAACAGCCGAAACCATGGTCACGGCTCACGTGATGTGATAACATACTCTGTATCGGAAGGTTTCATGGTCGTACAGTGTCTCAATCTCTAATCACTAAAACAATTGCGAACGACTATCTAGCAGCTAAAGGGACCTTAACTAGAAAGTGTGAGAATGATGCGAGTGATCATTTGCATGCTCGACGCCCGAGCAAGTGCTGAGAGCTGCTCACATCATGTCAGAGTGCAAAATCCAGAGGGCAAAAGGAACAAGAAATCCCGCACCAACTCTGACACAGATTTGCGATGCCACATGACCTAATTAAGTTTCCTTCAGATCAAAAAAAGGAAAGGAAAAACCCCCTTCCGCCCATGAATACAGCAATTCCCTCAACAATATTCGCGATCCAGGTCTTTTCAAGAATTAGCTAAGAAAAAAGGAAAAGCAATAAATCTGCCAGCCAAGCTGAGCCTGCACTCGCCATATCTGTTCTTTCTTCGCCCTGAGATCTGGTTGTTGTTGAGTCGCTACATTATCTTCATTCCCGCCGCCCTCTGGTGCTACATGACATCTCCTGTGACCTTCCCGCCATTGTACTCCTCGTTCCGTTTAGCACGGGCTTTAAGAGCTAAGCTAGCATTGATCTTCTTCCAGATGTGCTCTTTCTTGGTAGCCACCAGGACCAGGTCATGGCTACTATCGCCTGATTTCTCTTGGCTAATATTTTCAGGCACGTCCTGCCCGCTCGTGTCCCCTCCCTGAGTGTTAAGCTTCGAGGAAATACCTGTGAGAACTTTTCCGAACCTCCCCACGCATTGCCTCAATTCCCAGTTCTTCAATTTCATTCGTTGTAGGGCCCCGCGATAGAATCCTTGTATATTGCCCTTATCCGGAGGGCAAAGCTTCAGAGGGTGTCGAAGCTCGGGATTCTTATCGAGATTGAAAAGCGGGATGGGTCTCGTCTTCTTTCTCCTCCTCGATATACGATCTATCTTTCCCGGGACAATCGATTGCAGTTTCGAGTGGAATGGATAGCCCAATTCAGCGAGCGTAAATGTATCGATCATAGGAGGCGACCCAGATGCTGGGGTCAGCGTGATTGCGGGCACACTGTTCTGGCGCCGAAGAAGAGTGACAGTGTCGGAGTTTACTGACTCGCTCTCGAAGGCATCAGCGCTGAAGTGCCCGATCTCGAACCCTTCCATATCGAGTTCAGGGTATTGGGCATCTGAAGAGATGCGTTGAGGATCACTTAACCTGCCGCTATTATGGTCTCTATGTTGAGTTGGGAGTTCGGTAGCAGTATTCTCCGGGTCGAAACGAAGCTTGCGGGCGATATCAACCATGGAGATACCTTCGGAGGGTTGTTCGCCAACATGGTCGTTGCTACGGTCTGACGGTTTGACACTGTAGTCTGATGCGGAAGTGCTCTCTGGCCTCTGGTTTGTGTCGGAAAGCCTCAGGTGTGGGGTGTCTGTACATTCGGTCATGGCGGAGGCCAAAGACCTGATGTTCATCAAAGACATGACAGCCGTGAATGCACAGGTATGATGCCACGCGGTACTGTGAATGGGGTGATGTAGGCTACGGGATGCAACGAGTAGTGTGGTGCAAATAGCTGTGAGATGTAGAATGAGGGGATGAAAGGAGATACGAGTAGACGCATAGCCAGCTTTATTGAACAAGTTCGGCGGAGCTTTTTTAGCCCAAAATTCAACTATGGTTCAGTCGCGACTATCAACAGTATTGCTCGTCGCTTTCATGTCATGATACCATAATATCTTTCGGATATGACAGTATTTGGCAACCCACTACCCTTGGAGCAGTTCCCTAGTTCCAATCTCCCTCCCAACGCATTCCTTTCAGTCACATACTAAAGAAGACCTCTTAAGGCAAGTTCATCGGATTTGGCTCATGACGAGGCTGTAAACAAAACTTAAGTATGTCTCGTTCGGTCAAGTTTTGCACAAAAAAAGAAGCATTCCCTCTCCTCAGACTTCTTTCTGATTCCGGTTTCTATTTTCCGCTTCCATCATTCCGTTGTACGACTTATATCTGTGGATACCACTTCTCTCACCCCCATGCGCCCAGGTAGTGGCGAGAGAGCTTCATATTCCTCCCAGAGCAACGCCATGGGAGATATCATTAAGCAATAATTACATCTCCACCCGCCCTCGCGGCTCCAAATGCGTCAATGGCGCGAAGCAAAAGAGCGTGCCTTCCATTCTGGCATGGGCTACTAGACCAAGATGGCGCATCACAGGAAGAACGGCGGCCACTGAACATCCACCATAGCTCCTTCGCCCACAATCTCTCCTCTCGGATGACGAATGACTTCTACTTTCTTTGTCATTCATGTCCTCTAGCCACCAACTTCAAATCTAGTCCCTGCACCATGGCTGCGTTGTTCACACCACACAGCACTAGGAGTTGATTCCCAGCTTACCAATCCAGGTTCGCTACACCATCAACCTCCGTTCAGTCCGGGCTAATTTTCTGGTATCAGCGGACTAGCCAAATTACATGGTTTCTGCAGCCATTAAATTCATCACTGATGAAGACCCTCCCTATCAAATATGCCTCCGAGAGTGAGGGGAAATGGGCATTCTTAAGGCTTTACGCCTTATGAGGCACATGTTGAGTATGACTAACCCGAGTTTACGAAATTAGGCTTCGATTTCACTCAGACGATGCGGCTGCCGGCTCTCGTTAGGGATGTCTTTGTTGCCTCGCAGAATGGGGGTGTTGTTATTCAGGTCGGAGGTCTAGGAACTCCTAATCCTGATAATAAAGGGAGATAGAGGACTGCGAAGGGCGGTGGTAACTGTCGTCTAGTATTTTTGCTGTTTCCTAACTTCTGGTAGAGAGAGTTGGCGAGTCAAACCATGCTGTCAAAAGACAGATGATGACGAAGATGACTGCGACTTTTCTGTGTATTACAGCGATAATCTTCGCTTCCTCAATAACTATGATTTCATAGCTAATTGTATGCGACATTTGATCGACCGTTCTGAAGTCAACATTAGACTCTACCTCAGAGTCGAGAAAGAATTAGGTCCGCTTACCTCCTTTATAGAGGATGGCATTGTAGAAAAATGGTAAGGACCTACAACATACTAGGGCATTCCATGTCCGACAATTTCGAGCAGAAGTACGATCCATGTCGAAAGCTATTACAACCAAACATTTCACACAACGATATTGCACGCCGTTCAGGGAAGCTATCTGGTCAGAACAACCCCGTCGATCTCACTAGTCAGGTACCCTCCAGCAAGCCACCCCGTAGTGGAGTAGCCGTTTCTCCCACATTGGGCCGACCCTAAGATATTGTCGGGCTCCAGAAGAACACATATCCAAAATTCGTGTCGACTCACAGCCAATTACCGGTTTCGGGAATGGTTGCCAACTCTCATCCACCTATGAACCGGGCAGATACGAATTTCTTTCTGCATTTTCAAGTCAATATTTTCCCGAAACAATTCCATCTTTATCGAGGCAAATCGCAATTATTCCCTTGCCCAGGCTGTACCACAGGTAGACGATGTTTTGGTAGCATATAGCAGGAAGGTGAAGCTTCAGTCTGCTGTCACCATTGTACAGGAAAAATCCTCGCACTACTGTATCTACGTATGCCCATGATGACATGAGCAAAGAATTTCGCATGCTCCTAGCTGGGACTGGCCCTCTGCGGTTGTATATACTATTAGCTCGTGAGAAAGAGACTTGGAAAGTGTACACTGTAATCATTATAACATTCGTAGCATCCACATAGATTCCTGCCGGCATATCCTCGTGCCCTAATAAATTCGTAACAACAAATCAACTTAGATCCATCTTATCACGAAAGCACAACCCAATCAACACCAACAACCCACTTTTCTCCACTAACGTCAGTATTCCAAACAGGCGCCCTAATACCCACTACATTCCCTTTTCCAACTCTTACCACCCCAGACCTCGCGCTACCCTGTCCTGCAAGCATAACTCTAACCCCTCCCAAGCTGCCCCCATCGCCTCTCTGCCTCTGACTCCCAATAACCCTAAACGAATTAGACAGTCCCGCTTCTGTATCCCCTCTGACAAACACCACAGTGCCTGGAAAGCACTCAACGCTTCTTCCATCATGTCCAGTGTGAGGGTTACTGGACCGTATGCCCGAGACCTTCAGGCGTAATTTTATGCCGTCGTCCTTCTCCTTTCCCCAAATCACGGTGTCTCTTGTCTGTGCTGCGTGCCCATTATTCGTGGCTTCGATGATCCAGGACTGCAGCGTATTTGCTAAGCCACCCGGTACGTATTTCTGGCCTTTGCGTTGCGGGGAAAATGTTTCTGGAAGCGGGTGTATGAGCTGTGGAGACGTGGGTTGGGGGGGAAGGAGGAAGTGTGGGCGGGTTGGCGCTGGTGTGGTAGCTATAGAGTTGGAGATTGTAGGAGGGCGAAGAGTTGGAACGAGGAAGCGGTGGGATGATGTCCCTACAGCTGAAGCCGGGGCTGGAGTTTGTGGCGGTTGGTGAATAATGTGTGATTTCGAGGGGCACAACGATGGTGTGAATTCGGGGGAGAGTCGACGGCGCTTTTTATTCAGGGGTGTGAACAAGAGTTCTTCGTCTTCATCTTCGTCTTCGTCTCGTTCCGCCTCGTTGAAGGGCATCATTGTCTCAATCGATGTCGTGATATCTCCTCCTTCACAGTCTTCATTGTTGGGATACCGAGAAGGACTCTCCTGTGACCCTTCCTCAATCTTCTCCACCCTCTCCAACCTTCTCCTAGCTCTAACTAACGGCGTTGTCTGCGTATGCGTCCATGCCTTATCAACCTTCTCTTTCTCTCCACCCCGCTCTACTGTCGCAGCCGTCGATGCATGTTGGGCAGGTACAATAACGAATCTTTTCGCAGGAGTTACTTTCGGTGTCTGGCTCAACACAGGCTTCAAAGGGATGGTTCCACCTGTCTTCGGAGCTTTAGCCGTGATCCCATGTCTCAGCGCGCTCGGCGGCTTCGGCTTCGGCTTTTGGATCGAGTGGACATCAGGAGGGAGGAAGCGGTGTGGAGAGGGGGTGTGAGACGACATTATTTGAATGCTATGGACATTGGCGATTCGCAGAAATCAGAGGAGCGAGGTGGTGTGGGCACTGCCGGCATTGTGTCATTGTGTTAGGGTTGGGGTGGTGGAGAAGTCGTGGTTGTGAGGAACGCGTGCAGGATTCATGTCAATCGACCATGGGATGTACCTCGGCTGACCATGGAACCTGTCTAAATAGGTAAGGCGTATGGAATTTATTCCCACGCCTTCAATCAGCACGGCTTGATTGCAGTTTTGTCTGACAATCAGGGTTGTCCATTAGGCAAATACCTTGAATCTATCAAGGGGAAGTATCGAGAACAAAATTTAAACGGGTTCTAAATGTGTTCTGACTGGTATTGTCCATTCTAGGCGCGATTACTTAGCAATTACCAATCATCCCCGAGCTTCTCATGGTCGGCCGAGGTGCATCCCATGGTCAGTTGACATGTATGCATGAAGGCGCGGTGACGCGAAATCATGTGGAGCACTGTCTTGGTGGTACGCTAGGCTGTTTCTAGTGACGGATAGTGCAGGCGGTCGGGGTGTTGGAGAGGCTGACAGTAGGTTTTCGTTGCACTAACCGAATATCGAGCTATTCGAGACCTGTGACTCTTGGGTCTTGTTACTCTTGGGAAAACTAGTTATAGCGCCGCATAGTGAGATTCTTTTCTATACTACCTTCACGAGTACCATGAGATGAAGGCACGAACATTGAATGGCTTTCGCACGAGGGCAAAGAGAAGAGTCAGCTCCGAGATTCCCAGCTGATCTTTGTTCAAGAGAAACGCATCGCATCATTAGATCGCATACCATCCCAAAACTCCCAATCGGACATGAGCTCATTCCTTCAAAGCTCGAAAGTATATTAACTTCATCAATATATATATTACCTGGTACAGTACCTCCTCTATTGATAACCAGATCTCCTGCCTTCCCGACCTCTTCACCTTATCAACCCAACCCAGTCAAATTCCTTCGCTTAAACATACCCGAAATAGATTGAAGGAACGATAACCATGGCGAAGGGTGGTAACACAACAGATGCTCGAAGAAGATCACGTCGATTCTGAACAAGCATTTTCATGCTCTCGAAAAGCTGCTCTTGCCTCCAGCTGGCAACTTGCCAAATTTGAGGTGTTTCACAGCACATGGCGAGACTTAGGGTAAGACACGTCAGTCACCCTTGCGGGGCTTTAGCAACTGCCATCACGGAAAAAGGCGGCGAAACAAAGAAACTGGCTTGGGGAGAGGAATAAACTACTCGAAGGCAAGCAAAAGCGGTGGGGGTTTTTGTTGCAAGCTAAATGGTGATACTTCACATTGAGAGGCAAGGACAAGGAATTTTGAAATTGGTGTTGTATTATCGTTCTATTCCCTTCCACTGAAGACTATCGCTAGTCCCAGGAAACACAGTCATGAGGGAATAACCGTGAGTAAAATCATGAATACATGTCAGGAAATGCCAGTCGACATGACACTCCGTGAAGAGAAAAACCAAAATGCCCATCCATCCAGGTAATCCAGCTTTTGTGCCGGCCCCGTATGTGTGGAAATCCATCGAAAAGTTGCAGGTGGTATCGTACAGTAATGCATTGGTCGTGAGCCGTGAAAAGGTGGAAGTGAGTTGCATCCTCTGTGATCTATGGAAAAGTGTCGTTTAGATCACACCCGCGGGAGCTGGATGAGAGACCTAGGTGCAGCAGCAGCCACCGGGGACGCACTCGCAGACAGCGTTGAAGGTGTTGCCGCATGGACACTCGATACATGCAGTCTGGGTGGTGGTACCATCAACTGTGACCGCCCGGAAGGCACGGTTGAGCGAGACCTGTGGGGTTGTGAGTCTACGTCTGGAAAGATTGTGGGGTGAGGTGAGATTGAGATTAGAAACCCCGACACATTGCCGATCGGCAACGTGCAGGAACGTTAAGATTGAAAGGGAAGATCGATGTTACTTACAGCAGCAGGGCTCGCCATTGCGACGGCAGCGGAGACGACAGCAAGGATCAGAGAAGCCTTCATGCTGGTGGTGGCTTTGGGGTAAGGCTGAGAAGATTGGTGTTAAGATTGGCGGGGAGGGTGAGATGATCGTAATGTAGTGGACTGAGCGAACGAAGTTGAGTGTGGAGTAGTAGAGAGGAGTTGGTAGAGAGGTCGGGATTGCAAGAGATCGGCGGCGTTATATAGATGCTAGGGTACGGTGAATGCTCTGCGCGCGGGCTAAATCACGTGGGGAAAGGTGAGAGGGAATGAGCGGGATCCAGCAGCCCGCCACTTCGACATGGCTTGAGCCGTGCCGAGCGCGTTCTGGCACTTTCCTCCGCTCCTTCACCTTCTAGTTCTCCCTTACCGCTATTAGTGCTGTGAGAATACGACAGGATTATGCTTAGAGATTGCTCAAGGCTTGCTCCACGCAACCAATGATTGTGGTTATCAAATACGAAGAAGACACTGACTTCTGCAGCAACTGTACTCTCTCTACCAGATTGATATTTTTGTAGGTACATCTAGAATCGTTCCACATTCATATAATGAGCCGAGTCGGGAATTCGCTCCTTCTGCCTGCTGTTTTCGTCCTGGCTTCCGAGGGTGGCATCCCTGCTTCCATACCTAGCTCGATGCTGATGCCCCAGGATGCTCTGGACAAAATCAAAGGGACAAGGAACATTCCTCACGACTCCCTGGAATTCAACGTGTTCAATGGGGAAATCCATTTCCATATAAATTTTAGCGTTGGATTGGCTTCAATAGGCCGCGGTTGAATGCAATTTAAAAAGCTACCTCTAACCTGGAGAGTCTAAGATTGCAATTGAAGCAGACCATGGAAGGCCTCGACTTTATCCTCGCCGGGCCGGGGGCTCGAACGCGAAACTCCTAGTTATATGCAAGGATTTTCGGCTCTTCGTTGCGATACCCTCGCTGCATGCGCGTCTGCACAGGGGTATATATTTCTAAACGTGGATAAATGAAAGTGCATGCTGGAATGATCTATTCTCAGGATATGGTTGGGTGGAATAAGTTCGGTACGCCACAGTTCCAGGTAATCTGACATTAAACCAGTGTCCCGTGTACCGGGCAAAGCGAATATCCCCCGCTCCAGCATGCGTAACAGAAGACTGAGTATCAAAGGAACATGTGCCCTATGCTGTTGATCTGCAATGTGCTATCGGACATCATATGGGTACACCCGATCTCTATCGATTCTAGGAAACCAGTAGAAGGGCATGTATTGGTAGGAATCTGAAAGACAATCGTGTTCCTAGAAATACCCGGATTTGGAAGCAGTGAGAACATAGTACTTCGTACGGAAGAATCAGGAAGTTGAAAGGGAGTTTGGGCGATCGGGCCGTATGCTAGATGTCGAAGAGAGAACTCTCCTTGCTGCAAAGAGCATCTTAACCAGCTTTCTCGTCCAGGCGAGAATGCAAGAGATACTCAATCCATTTCGGTTGCAATCAAGACCCCCCTCCATATTGAAAGCCGTACTCGAAGCGAAATATGAGCATGTGCGCCGAGTTCGTATTGGTGGTTTGACATGAATTTTGTTGTTTGGTTTTCACCCATCTTCGCGAGCCAGCCATTAATATGATATAGATTAGCCACCCTCCTTGCCGTTCAGCTTCTCAGGCGCGATGTGCGCTCACCCAGGCGATAGCCACCGAAGAAGCAGAATGTTCTGCTATCTCCACGTGCAAGCGTGTTGCTGGGTTTGACCATTAATGGCGACGCGTCCCGAGTACCGTTTTGATGAGGCTCTTAAGGTCTGTGTGCAATTTCTTAAGGCGGGAAGACATTCACTTACAATTTATTGGACCTGGTTCCTGGATTCACGAAGGAATTCTGAACAAAATCCCGCATGTCGATCAGTCGCACCGATGCCGAAGAGGCTAGAACCGGAGATCAACGCTCTATTGCGTCTCTAAAGTACGATGGAGAGTGTTTGTGAAGATTGGAGAGCCTAATGTCGATGTTGACTGAGCGAGTGTCCTCTGAACTTGAACGACAGAGAATGAGGGGAAAGAAGGGGCTCTTTTAGGTTTGGCATGGTTCCTGCCCGAAGAGAGCATCCCGCAGAAAGCGTGCTGGTGAGCCTGCCCTTGAAGAGACCAATTACTCTATACCATGAAGCTGAACTTTGATGATAGGATATGTCCCAGACCGAAGGGCGGGTTTGGATCCTGGTCACGACACGAGCCGAAAGAGCCATGGCAGGAAAGAATAGAAACCAATGTATCGGACTATGCGACACTGCCCCTCAGATTGTTAATCAAAGCGAGCCACCAGGACTATCAGCATGGGAATTCAACAAGTCGAGAGTCAGTGGAATGTGGGGAATCTTGGAGCGGGACTAGTGACATCCCGGCATGGACCGTGGCCCGAATTTCCAGGGCTGCATCACGACTTCTGCGAGCAGGCAGACTTAGCCTTAGACAGTCGCGAGGACATGAAGAAATTGCCCCGATCTGGAGTTTGTGGTAAAGAGTTAGTTATTCTTATTGTGTCGGCTTCTTTTTTGGAGGTGCCCACGGCCGTCTGGGGCTGATGAGAGCTCTTGAACAGAGCTTAGCTGTGCTTGTCTGACACCTGGTGATAGTATTAGGCAATGCGAGAGAACTGACGTTCTACAATACGAGAAGACGCGTGTAGCTTGTGATCGGTGTCAGAGGTATTACGGAGTGGCATCACTGCGGTCATTGATGTTGGCGAGCACGCCGCACCAACCAGCCACATCGAGGTCCAGCGGACCATGGGACTCTGCGAACTCATGCACAAACAAGATGTGGACACGGAAGACGGCAGCAATTCGATAGAATTAGAAACTTGTGTTTCGCAGAATGCAAGGTACAGGATTCATCGGGCGCCTTGCCAGGGCGATCTGGGGATGAGGCGCGTCGCTAATTGGCCCGAGCGATGGATATCATGTGGCTGGGCTACCAGCCACCAAAAGCAGCGGCAGCATAACAAAACACTCGGACAGGCCTGCTCTTCGCTGCGCACTCCACCACACCACACGGCGTGCCAGTGCAACCAGTCGCTCTTTTGGTTTTGGCGTGCACTTGAATTTTTGAGGCACCGTTATTTACGGTTTTGCTAAGCAATTGCAGGCGCATGAACCTCATCGTCAGTTAACAAGGTTGCTGTCGCAGCACCCACCCCACTGTCCGGACGAAAACACTCCTTTGACCACTTTCAGCACAGCCTTGATCCTCGACGCCGTGGTGGCATACAGCCGCGACCACTATGGCTACTAAGATGGGCAAACTGAGTGCTTTTGGCGGCATGCACACTGCCGGCATTTACTCAGACATGACCGTGGATGGGCCGGAGATTGGTACGCTGGTCGTGGTTGTGGATAGGGCAAAGAACCTCCCCAATAGACGGACAATGGGCAAGCAGGACCCCTACTGCGCAGCGCGTCTCGGCAAGGAGGCGAAGAAGACAGAGACAGATAAGCGGGGAGGCCAAACGCCAAAGTGGTAAGTGTCGTTGCAGCTTCGTCCTCGCGTGGCACCTTCCTGACTTCTTCTTGTAGGGACCAGGAACTACGCTTCACCGTCCATGACTCTCCAGACTATCACCAGCTCAAGGTGTCCGTATTCAACGACGACAAGAAGACTGAATTGATTGGTGAAACCTGGGTCAGCCTGGAGACCATCCTTACACCAGGTGGCGGGCAGAGCGATACCTGGCATGGTCTCAATTGCAAGGGAAAGTATGCCGGAGAGATTCGCATTGAGCTCACGTACTACGACACTCGCCCCAAGGCGGAGAAGACGCCAGTAGAGAAGAAGGAAACCGCCCGAACTGAAGTTCAGAGGCCGTCGGTTGGAGGACCCCGCGAGAGCACACCCGTCAAGCGAAGGCCGCTCCCGTCTGACCCCACTGGGACTTCACCGTCTCCAGCCGGTACGCCAGACCATCGTGGGCTTCAAGCAACACAGTCTGGACCTCGCAACTACCCAACCCCTCCCCGGCAGCAACGCTCGAACGAGTACAGCACCCCAACTCATCAACGACGCAGCCAACTTCCTGAAGGCCAGCCCCAGTCAGTTGAGCGTCGAAGGCCGCTGCCCGAAGCCTCGCCTTTGAACAACAACACGCCGTCCTCGAGTCACCACACTCCGCAACATCGAGCATCGCGAGTGCCTGAACATGATCCATACAGTCCTGCACAAAACCCTCCTCCATCTCATTCAAACACTCCCCAGTACAACGAAGATGGCTTCGACATGTCCTACACTGCGCCCAAGCCTTATGAGGTCCAGCCAATTGACCCATCGCCGCAACACACGGTGGATGGTGGCAACCGGGCCACCCAGAATGACTTGAGGTCTTCTCACGGCCACTCACCGAGTCATATGGAGCTGGCTCACTCATACTCGACTCCAGTTGTTCCAACGCAGCATGGATATGAGTCTGAATCTCCTTACCAAGATCCATACGCAGCCCAATCTCAAGGATACTCGAATGGACATGCCCAACAGGGACCGGAAGAACACCGTCAACTCTCAACCACGTATCAAGAGCCTCCGTATCATGTTGAGCCCTTGAGGCCGCAACACAATGCTACGCGAAGCAACGATTTTGGCCACAATCAAGTTGCGCTTCGCAATTCATACCATGGCACCGGTGGCTACATGGATCAGCGAGCATCATACTCACCTGCAAATGGACGGCCATCTAGCGCTATGCAACCTACGGTTGAGGATGAAGATGATTGTCCGCCCCCTCCCCCAATGCATCGCAGCAACGCGGCCACTATCGTGCACCATCCTCAACAGTCGCCGCCAAGCTACCCGGACGATGCCCCAGCCCCCCTCAATATTAACCGATATCGAGAGCAACCTGCCGCATATGATTCTCCCCCTCAGTCATATGGAACGAATGAGTATGCAAATCCTCATCCCGCCGAGCGTCGATATACAAACCCACGTATGTCGATGTCTCCACAACCAAATAGCCGCCCAGTCTCGCGTGACACCATGGCCCCGTCTCCTTTGAGGCAAGAAACTGCTCTCATACCCTCTAGTCTCGTGGCTGGATACGATCCATATCGGCAGGATACTCAAATGACCCCACGATCAGACAATAGGGACTCCGATGCATACCAAGAAGCCCCGTCTTATGAGACACCCTCTCGCCAGCAGCGACATCTGTCTGAGCCAGACTACCGAACTCCTCCTCAATACGACACGCCTTCTCGACCACATCTTCTCACCCAGCACAACTCTTTCCCCCTGGCCGAATCCCCTAGTTACTATCAACATTCATCCCCACAAGAACCGCACCATGTCTCGCCGTACCAAGACTCTGCGCCAATGATCAAGCCTCGCGCGATGAGTCCAGCAGAAGCCCGCACCCCAGCTGATAAACGGATGTCCCGAACCCCGAACCGGAGTATGCCAACGCGCAAGTCGGTCTCGCCGCGGCCACCACCCTCTACTGCAGATCCAGGCGATCGAAGGCTGTCCGGAGTGCCATTCAACCCCGACAGCTTTGACGTGTTGAATCCATCCGTGTCACAGAATTCGAATTCTAGAGGCAACGGCGGCTCGGAAGACGACCGTCGCGGCAGCAATGCTGAGGTCAACGAAAAGGGGCAGGTGGTAACGTTCCATGGTCGGGTCATCGACGCCTCTGATCATCTGCCTATTGACAGCTGGGCTCCTGAGCCGGAGCGCAAAGGGCCTCAAAAGGATCGGCCCGTTCGAGAACGGGCTGCACTGAATGGCACTCGCGATATTGAAGCAGCGAAGGAGAGGGAACGCCAGCGCAAAGAACGTGAGCGGATCCGTAATGCGGTCAACTCATCAGTCACCTCCGGCGGGAGTCCCAGCACTGCTTTGGTTACTTCGAGGCACCGTTACAGCAGCAGCCAACCTATGAATGATGGGGCAATGGTCCTGTCTGATCATAGTGCTACTTCGCCTAGTACGGGACGCAACAGGCTGCAGAAGCGTAATCAGCGGCCGGTCTCCACATACACTTCCCCGTCGCATCAGTCTCCGGCTGGAAACATCCCTTCGCCGAACAGCCTTGTTCTTCGCGAGCGTGAGAATGTCGGCGGCTATGGGGGTAGTCCAGGTTACGGGGCGGGCTCAAGACATTCCGTCGCCGCGCCACCTATTCCAGCGAAGATCCCTCTGGATTCAAACGGCAATACAATGTCAGAGGACATGACGGCTCTTAGCTTAGAGTTACAATCCATCGACATCGGTGGCAGCGCTGGTCGCAATCGCGGAGCGGCTAGACGGAGGTATGGAGGGGGATATTAAACCCGGTTCGTATTCATCGGTTTCTCTCATGGGTCTGCTACTGGCTTTTCACATAATAGGACCGGACAAAGTCCGGTTTTTTTGGCAGCGAGAAGTAATCTTTTCCGCTCCTGTCTGGATGCCCACGCAGTTTTCGGGATACCAGATGGTAATTGAGTGAATATTTTTCATGGCATGGATGCAGCTGTGTATAGAGGCTGCATGGGGCGTTTGTGTATAATGTGTTCTTTCTTGGATGGACGATGAGGTATCGAGAACATGATGCCATGATTCTACGCTATCCAATTTTCACAATTTTCAAGATTCGTTCTTGCTTTTGGTTACCAGGTACCAGTTCGTGTGGTTGCCAGCTGGCTTAAGGATCTTTCTTTAAGAAGGACATCCTGCTCCCACGTATGATCAGCTTTCTATCTAGGAAGTTTACCTTAGGCCACGACCCTACAAGTCTTTCCTTCTCTGCAACTGTCAAGTGCTGTTCGGGAATTTTCTAGAGGCCCCTATGCTCATGTTTGTCGCTTTACGTCATCTTGACATTAAAGGGTCTCCACGTTCATTCATATCTGTCGAACATCACTCTCTCAATCTTCATTTACACCCCAGGTTCCCAAGCTCTCAGCTCCTAGCTTTCCTCCCTCTTCAATCCCATCCCTCGCTTTTCATAACCAAACCACTGCGTTTCATCATGCCGCCCCATCAATATACGATCAGAATCTTGTTTTTGAGAGACTTCCGAAATGTCTCGCGAATAGGAAAACGCGGCCCCTCTTACCATCGCCAAAGAGGCAAAACGAGATCTGAATTCGGGGGCTGCGAAGAAAGGTCATGAAATCTAGATTTCGACTAGTGATTCGAGTATGGTTTCCCATCCACTGCACCCTCTCTGAGTCTTCGTGCGTTGGGTTTCCCACACATCACGCAGCCTTAGAACAGGGACATTAGTACTACAATTGCGGCGCTCTAGCACTCGAATCTAGCGTCAACGAAAGAGTCCGCGACAAACTCGCCGGCGCGGATAGAGTTTCCAGTTTTAGGCTCTCAGGAGCCAGTGGGGATCTTGAGATCCCGTTGAGTGAGGGCGGGGCGTTGGAGATGGAACTGGGAACTTGTATTGCACCCTGTATATCCGGGTGCCAAGCCACTATACCAAGATTGGAGAAGACAATATCAGCAATGGAACACGAAGAGCGAGGAATCCAACACTGTATCTTGCAGGACCCGGGAAAGACTCTACGGAACAAGCCCCCAACTAATAACATGATTGCGGATGTAATGGAGGCGATCACTGGGGCTGTAAATCTGGATGGGGAGGGTGAGGCTGTGGAGAATGTTATCAGGGCTTTCGGGTTGAATGCACATCGGTATCTATAGAGGGCATTGTGAGGGATTGGATGTCAGGCGTTAGAATGGCTTGGAAGAAGGATGTATGCCGAATGGAATAGATTAAATCTACTATATGTAGTTACTCCCCCGCGGAACATGGGTAAGGCGTAATTCAGGACAGAATCCTGCACCTTATTACTCTCTCCTAAACTCCAGTAAGAAGTGTAACACATTCACTCCACCCTAGTCATGCTCCACGTTAGGCATGAAGGTGTAGTAGATCTTCTAGAATTATGGAATACCTCTATTAACCATGAAGATTCCGACCAATTTGTTCAACAAAACATAGAAAAGGCACTGATGAACCCAGCCTCTAGACTCGTCTTCCTCCCGAAACCCCCCCCTCGCCCATCACGTTAAGGTGAATCTATCATCCACATTCACATCGAGCTCTTCGTCGACGAAAGCAACATCTCATGTTCCATAAACCCCATATTCCGCATAGCGCGCTCCGCAGCCTCATCACCGCCATCACACCGCACAGCGCCAATAACCGCTTCAAGCGTCGTAGCTAACATCTCTACGGAAATCACATCCCCAGGTACGTTGGGCAGAATACATTTATCGAGATCAAGTGCCCGGCCTCGTGTGTTGAGCGCGGAATTGCTGACTACCTGCTCGCGGAACGTGGTCCAATCCTCTGGTATCTTAATCAGTTGACTGTCACGCTATTATAATCAAACCCGTCCTTTCCATCGACAAATTGGAAATTAATCACTCCAGAGCGCTTACTTTTGGCTCGACCAGTATGATACCAGATCAAGCTCAGTACATGATCGAGCGTGGCATCGCCTATGATAGCAAGCCGTTTGTTCTTGGGGACCGGTAGGTAGGTGCCGCAGTATTCGACGATGCCGTCGGTGCCTAGTGGTCCGCCAGCCATTTGGAGGGCCTCCAGGCCGAGTCGTTTGGAGGTGAAAGTGTGGCCTGTGATATACTCGCAGTGGGCGAGTTTGGCGGCTGTGTTTGGGAATATGGCGATTGAAGAGTTCGACATAATAGACCTTGACATGGCGGATAATGGTATCTTCCGCGACGAGGGTTGGTCGGGAGTCTTTAATTCAAGGTGTTGAAAATAGGAAGGATATTGCTGTTAGTAAATGGTAGGTGAATCTCTAGAAGGTGTGGAATATGAGGGGTTGAGATACTAGTAACTTTGCCTAGCTTTATAGAATCCAGAGGAAAATATTCATTCACCATTTTATACTAACCTCTCTTGTGGCTGTGATATATTTCACTAGCAGCCTAGCATGCGGCGTCAAAATGTGTAGGGTCGGGGGTTCGACTTCAAAGCTGTGCCGCACAAGCCACTGTTGAAATCCGCAACCCTCTTCCAATCACTTTACCTCAAATATCAAGTAGCGAATCGGCGCTTGGCAGAAAGTAGAGACACAGCCATTACTTTTCATGCTCGAAACCTTACTACTAGAGCAACTGCGCCCAGAAGGTGTTGACACCTGATGCTGAGAGACTGGGAGATGAGGAACCCACATTTCCAAGCCAGAGAGTACGATAGAAAGAAGGCTCAGGCTCAGGCTCAAAGGAATGCTGGAGCCTCGAGAGGCATAGTTCTTGTATTCCTCGGGAGGGTTCTATGTGTTGACTTGACATGCTGATGTTTGAAGGTGCCTAGCAAAGCCCTGCCAAGTGTTACATTGCAAATAGCTTAGCCTTTTAGCTCTTAGTTATTGTTTATTATATGCTAGTTAACTATTTGTTATCACCACTATTTAACATTTATAACTGTGATTAGCAATTTTCTATTCTTTTGTCTAATTTGTGCTGCATTTACGCTAGTGGCTCTGGTTATAGTTACTAGAATACAGATATTTGAGCAGTCTGAAGACAAGAGTGAGCAGAACGACGCGGAAGCTAAGCGATGTGATGAAATCATTAAACGTATCTTCAAAAACAAGGGCGTCATCATCGAAGTGGTCTCACCAACAGACATCCGAATTCCTCCTAGCGCCCCTGTTAAATTCAAAGTTATGTAAGGTGCATCTACGCTCTATACTTTGCATCTTCTCATTTACATATCTGTTCACACCCACGAACCTAATCTACAACCTTTCATTTACCGTTCTCTCTGTTACTTACTAGCACGTTATCCAGGTTTCTACTTGCAGATTGAGCGTACGTTCTATCACGTATATGAATGACAGTACCAGATTTCATCATTACGGCATTCATCCCATCCCCTTCCACTCTGGATTCACTGTTTTCGTGCCTTTCACTTCACACTTCTTGACCTCATGGGCACCACACGATCATCAATAACTCATTAACACCAAGCGCACTCGTTCCGATTCAACCGTTCTCGGGACATTTACGATAGCAAATTTCCTTTTCCATTTTCATTAAGAGTAACAAACTAAAGGTATTAGGATATCTTTTATCATGTCATCTCAGGAAGAACCGAAACTAACTACCCAATCGCCTGCCTGGATACAGCAGGCTTCATCATCCACCACTGCCACCTATGAAGCGCATTCACAGCCCACAATCCACCAAAAAAGGAAAATGAAGATTTTGAACAGCCGTTGGCCCATTGAAGTCAGCCATGGTATCAAACTCCCTACCTCCACGTACCCAACCACACCACGTACAGAACAATCAGAAGCCCATTTTCTACTCTCCACACACCATCAACACCACATTTCATACCCCCCACACCACCCCCCACATTATCTCCACCTCAAATCACCGCCTTCATCAATAAACAACCTTCTCCTCCCAAATTGGCGCCTCCATCGCTTTCCCCTCTTCAACCCCCTTCCAATCCACCTTATTCTTCTCATTAAACGTTGCCTGCTCATCGGTAATCACTAGTCCCGGTACCGCTTTCTTCGAATTCCTGACCTCACGCTCCGAAATCCCCATCTCATCCTTAACAATCCAGAGCACCGGCGTTGGGGACGTAACTGCGGGGTTGAAATATGCGCGCTTCGCGATTTCGACGGGCAGCGGATGTTGGGGAGTGCGGTAAAAGGCGTCAAGGGAAGCAGAGAGGTTAGAGACAGAGTTCTTTTCTGGGTTGAGAATGTTGGTGATGAAGGCTGGGATGCGTGTTGGTTTGGGGGGAGCCACGGGTGTGGCTGTGTTAGTTGCTGCTGTTGCAGAGGATTTTTCCGCCGGCATGCCTGCACCATCAAGGTTTTCCGTGCCGTGCCCGTTTTCGAGATCAGCATGCGGGGTGGGTATGGGGTCAGAGTATGCGATTCGCGTTTCGTGGCTACGAAGGGCGCGGCGGACGCAGAGGTGGAATACGACTGTGAAGCCGAGGAGGACGGCTTCAATGACAAGCGCACCAACAGCTCCGCGGTCGTCGCCGGTTTTGATGGCAAAGAGGCCGATGAGGCAGATTTCGGAGAGATAGACACCTGTCATGAGTTGCTGGAGAGCGCGTTGGTATGCAGCGCCTCTGGTGTCGATGACTGTTTCGTACGTGTAGAGGAAGTTGTAGCGGAAGGCAACGTAGACAAGGGCCATGCCTATTACAGCGAAGCCCAGGATGAGAGGAGCGATGCAGGAGTAGCTGAGAGCGATGACGCCTAGGTTGACCCATTTAGGGAACTCGGAGCCCCACATTGGAGCAGACAGGTTGACGAGTTTCTGGAAGATCTTGCGTGGTGTACCGCCGGGGAGGATGCGGCCGAGGAGAACGACAGTAACGAAGCCACCGATGTTGAGGAGTGTACCGGCGAAGGATGCTAGACCAAAAAGAATGAAGTAATTGATATAGACGTTGGACGCCTTGGGAAGGTTCTCGGAGAGCAGAGTGAGAGCAGAGCCAGGGTTGGCGATGACTTGATTGACAACGGTTGTTGCAGCAGACGAAAAGGTTGTGATGAGGAAGACTTGGACAACTTGGAACGCAAAGTACCACGACTGCGTTTGTAGTTCGACTTGGGAGAGGGTAACCCAGCCAGCAACTTTAGCCATGACTAGAGGCTGTTAGCCATGCCAAGACATGTACGATAGGGGGATGGAGGGAATCATACCTCGACAGAATATTGGAACCAAAGACATGAGCACAGCCAGCATGACAACGGGAAGAAGCCCAGTCACCACACCCAGAATAACCTTCGGAATTTTCAGGATCCACTCAAGCCAGGAAAATCTGCTTGCAAGGTAGTTGATATTCGAGATGAGACCGACGAAGGCAACTGTAGATTGTGAGTTCGCATTAAGAAAAGAGGAATGATTTGCTTACCAGGAATAGCCCAGAAGATAATCATGACGGTGATGAAAGCGGTTGCAAGGATCCATCGTACCCAATGCTCTGGGACTCCAATTCGGAGATTGTTCCACACGACTTCTTGAGGAAGTACACCGAGCTGGCGAGCTGCCATATTGGAGTTCGGCTTGGCCTTCCTATTTTGCATCATTTGCCAAGCGTCTTGGGCAGACTTCTGAGTGTCGAATTCGAGGAAGACGGCGCCAACAAGGTCTCCCTGGCCATTCCAGTGCTTGTCCTGCTCCGCTGTGATCTTGGGAATGAGCTCAGCAAGGTGCTGTCGTCCATACTCAATCGTGTCGACTTTCTTGCCGATGAGGAACTTGAGCCTGTGGGTTGGGCGGTCTTTGGGATTGAGCCAGCGGGAACCATCCTCAGAATCCTGGGCCTGGTAAGCCTTCTTTCCCTTCGCAACCTTCAGGCGGTTATTGTTAGCATCACGACAGAGCTGGACCTCTGCCGCCTCCAATTTCAATGCTGTCTTGTCCCTGTCCTCAACCAATTCCTGAAGATCCTTGCAGTTAGAGGCAACCCAGGCATGAACCACTCCAGGAAACATCTCGAAAAGAGCAGCCTGTGTGAGCGACTTGGGGACGCTCGTGAAGAGGATGGTCCGAGACGAGAGACGGCTGGCGCCCCATGGAGAGCGGCGATAGGCCTGGCGGATGTTGACGGTAAAGAAGGACTCCCGAGCAATGATGACCATGACCATTCCTACCAGGGTGAGCAAGTAGTCGCATGCATGTGGCTGCGCTGAAAACGTACCTAGAAAGACACAAGAAATCAAGGCATGGGCATAATAGCGCTTCGCATCCTTTACATTGCTGAGGGACAGGATATCTAACTGCTGATTGCCCGCGCCGCCCTGATTTAGTTAGATATGCCAAACTCTAGCGGGGAGCACGAACGCACAGTGATATTGATAGGGAACAGAACCGGCCATGTGATGCAGCAGCCTAGGAAGCAGATGATGACAATCAACTTGAAATATCGGACGAAGAGATAGCCATCAATGGACTGGTGGTCTAAAATGTATCTGTCGTCAATGCGACGGAAGTCGGAGATCCAGCCGAAGAACGAAGCGCTGGGAGCGGGGGTCTTTCGCCTGCCACATTCTCAGCATACTCAGCGTACTCACAGTCATGTGGGGGGGGGGAGGGGGAGGGGGAGGGCATACTCGGCGCCCAAGCTGTCAATGTAAGTTCTCGGCGCGTAGAGGCGACGAAACTTGCGGCGGAAGATGAAGAATAGGGTGATGAAGACGAAAGCGATGAGGAGATTAGGGATGAGCGTTGACACCAGACCCGAGGCGGAGTTTGAATCTGGCTTGTCCCTATTGCTGCCGGGCTGGCCGTCATCCTGTTGCAGGCGCCGTCAGTCCAGATGACAAGGGTAAAGGGATGAGCTTTGGGGTTTACATACCCGTGCAAAGAGGCGGACGAGGTCCATGGCGGGAAATTGAGTGTTGCGGCTGTCGCAATTGAGGCAGACGCTGGTGTTTGTATAGGAGTTCGTCGTGCGAGCAGACGAAGGTCGTAGTGGACAAGCAAATATTAAATCAAGACCGCCTCGAGCCAGCAGCCCGAAACGGACGCCCCACGTCATTGTGCTAGCTCCTCCCAGGACGAATCAAGATTGACGCTGGGAGAAACCTGGCCAGCCTCGCCCAGCCACAACGCGCTATCTCGCGCCAGCCGGCCAAGGCCCTCCTCCAAGTGGCTGTGATGGTCCCTCAGCTCGCGTCGCAGACTCAAGGGCGTCTGGACTGGCGAAAACCATTCACGCGCCTTCCGCCTCGTCCTGACGCTTGTGGCGGAACATCAGTAGCATATCCATGGCAACTTCTGGCGGCAGCTCTGCATCGCGCTCGCCGTGCGGACTTCGTACACACTCCGCACACACTCCGGACAGATGTCCTGCTAGCGAGGATGCGAAACCAGTTTTTGATGAGAGGACGTTGCGTGGTGGCATGTGCTGCGAGGAGATTGCCGTGGCACAGATGCGCAAGGGAACAAGCCTGATTCGCGAACACAGGGGACAAGATCCTGGCTGTCTATCATCCCGATCTGGCTGTATCCATCATGCCATCATCGGAAAAACCTCTGCTGATCTCTGCACATTATTACGTTGCCCGAGCATGTACTAGACGTCCTGAACTCTTGTCACAACGGTATTCGATGTTCTGGTGCTAATAGACTGCTGGGAAACGGAAACTCGAAGGCTGGCGGATGCAGCGCGGTACAATGGACACCAACGACACGTACCCCTGCAAGTAGAGGTGTGCAACTGGGTGTCATTTGCGGTACCTTCAGACTTCTGCAGTTGGCTGGTGAACCGCTGGGGAGACTCAAATCGAACGCCAGGATCGTCCGTGTTGAGGCGACTTGCATGAAACCAGGCCGGCTGCACCGACCACTTACGAATCGTCAAGACTCTTCAAATGTTTGTATCCCCTCTGTTCTCGGCCCCAAGGCGGGTAAAGATCTAGATCTCTTCGGCGACTTTCTTATTCCAATTTCGACACACCTCGTCAATTCCCCATCAACCCTGCTTTTGGCAGGAACACCACGTCCGCTCCTTCTCTCCACCCATTTCACTCAAGACCCTGCCCTTTTGGCCCTCATTTTCAGCTCATCACCCATGCTTTTCCACTGCAAATCCACGTACGCTAGAATCTAGACTCTTCACCGGCCGTTCCTAGCCTTATCTTGAGCTTCGAACGGCTCTTGTCGAGCACAGCCACTCAGCCACCCTACTGCATCTTATCATCTAACGTAGAACAGGAGACGATAGTAATTTAAGACAGCAATTGGCATTTCGTTGCCACCCTCCCTGATTCTAGCAGAAGATGTCACTGATCACATCTGCCCTGCTGACGTTCCACATCAGTGCGGATGTGCGGTAACATCCGCCCGGCGTTGAGCATACATCTTCCTAGCTTTACGTCGGCTTCCAACAGAACCCAGCCACCCATTAAACCAATTGGAAAGGTACCCGCATCGGCAACCCTCAGGTGGTCGGCAAAGACGTTCAGTTATCCGACGAGGAGAGAAGCAGGTAGATGTGAAATCTTAATTGCCTCGTGACTTGATTAGCCTTACCTCCGTTGCTAGTTAGATAAACCCAATAATTACCCCCAATTCCATTGGCGAGATAATCATTTATTGGCTCCGGGCTCGAGTGCGGCGCGAGATATTGATCAATTCGGAGGTTTCGAACTCGCCACACCAATGCCTTCACACTTAACATGTCCTCGTGTGTCAACTTCTGCGTGTCTCGGGACACATCACCCGAGGGATATGTGGTCAAAGGCGCTTATTGGGCTTTCCTTCATTGCGAACATTATGTTTTTTTCACAGGCAAGACAGATATGAATGTATGGCAGTTCCCCCATGTGTCAACGTGTATTGATTTCAGTCTTCACCCTTATCATCCACAAGAACAAGGCCTGCGTGCAGAAGTCCTCGCTATGGAAGGGGTGTCCGATAATGCGTCTAAGTTACTTCATTGCCTCTACTCGACCAGCCAGCCATGGAAGGAGGATAGATTGTCTGCACGGTGAAGCCCATAGAAGAAATTGACTTGTCCTCTGACAGCACAAATACTAGTAATTTACGAGTTCACGCTTTATACCTTCAATCCCCACCCTGGCGATTGTTGGAGAAAGTGTATAATCCTATCTTAGTGTCTTCGATATGCCAAACAACAATCTTAGAAAGTCTCGCGCAACTAAGACAATATCCAGAAGACACCGCCAACCAACTACTCCTCCATCTATGTCTCCTGTCGCCATTTCACCTCGACTCTCTCTACCGACCTGCTTCTCCACCAGTCCGTGTCCGTCCATAATGCCGTGTTCGGCATCAGCAACTCGTGCTCATCGAGTCCTAACCTCTTCATAGACCCAAGAACTGCCTCATACCTGCCATCCTTCATGAGAGCCCGAGATAGGTATGAGTACTTCTGCAACCACAGGGATTACTTCCCTTTTTTATTTTTGTTTGCAAGAATGCTATCAACGATGCCTCTCCCTCCAGCTACCCTAGCGTGAATACTTATTCGGTGAATATGCGTTTCGAGATTCATCCAATCTCCTGTGTTACGTCACGTCCAGCCCCATACCTTCAATCACGGTACATATTCATACCTATCAAGCGGCCCGTATCAAACCACATCTCGCACAGAACAGCATACACCACCTTCACGAGGACGTGAAGGCGCTTGCTTTGTAACATACTGCCGTTCGGGGAGCCAGGGGAAATCGGGATACCTACTGGTGAGGGTGCTTGGATGATGGGGTCCTTGTCTTTGAAGGCGTACCCGAGAATCTTTTGGGCATATCTTAGTTTGTGAATGGCTTCGCTCGCTCATATCCTTAGGTTGTTCGATTTCAGTGCTGGACAGATCGGACACATCTGTATCCGAGGGATGTATAACGAGGGCGGTTGGCATGACTGTGGCAGAGAAGAATGATGAATGACGAAAACAAAAGGGCTGGGCTATTGCGAACGCAACTCTTCATAGGACTGGTGCACCTTCCAACCTCACATAAAAATTCTTTACAACATTGGAGATATAAGTCTAGAGCAAAATCTGCCTGTTTCACGATCGCTATTTACATACACCGTTCTCGGTGTTTCCATCAGAGTGGCTGGAAGAATTTTGCGCATTTCGGCAAAGGCTTTTGCCGCACATTTTCAACACCGAATTACCAGCCACATCATCGTGACACCGCATACTAGGCTGCCAGCTGGAATATCTGTTTGTACAAGACAACTTGTAGAGTTGGTGATATTTCCCCAATATCGTTTTTCTATACGTTCCAGATTTTCACTCAACCTCACTTACCTCTCGAACAATTCTTTTCATTCTAGCACCTACCAGAAAGGCCTCAACTACACTTCCGACCTCCCAATCTGCCCGACAAGCTGAATTGAATGAGTACAAAAAAAACAACAACCATTAGCTCTCCTCTATTAGTACAATTCAGACTCAGACCCCTCATTCAGGCTGCCAACAATGTCCAGCCAAATTCTCAGAAACATCGAACCTAAAATCGCTAAATGTGAATCTATCATCGGCTACACATTCCAGGACAAGGTGCTCTGCATCCAAGCTTTAAAATCCGTTGGAACTGGCGTGCTAGTCTCATACAATGGATTTATTCATGACTTGCCTAATAACAAAGCGCTTGCTGTCTTAGGTGATCGAGTTCAGCACCTGGCGCTGTGTGTCAAGTGGTGGAACAGGGGAGTTCCCCGAGTGTCAGAGCAATACTCTCAGGTCGAACAAGAAAATCTTGGCAATAAGCCACTAGGAGAGAGAGGCATGGAGCGAGGAATCCACACTTGTATCTTGCAGGACCCAGGAAGGACTGTTAGGAGGGAACAGCCGACAAATAAGATGGTTGCGGATGCGATGGAGGCGATTGCTGGGGCTGTCTATTTGGATGGGGGCGATGAGGCGCTGGAGAAGGTTATGAGTGCTCTTGGGTTGGATCTGCATCGGTATTTGTAACGATGAGTCTGAGATAGGGTATACCAACGAGCTTGTGATTAGGATGTATGCCAGAGGGAATTAGATTGAAACGAGTCCGCGCAGCGAATTTGCATCATACAGATCGAGTAGATGTATCAAACCTATCCTCTAGCCATTAAATCCCCATAGACTAGTTGTTATCGCGCCACCTCACACATCATTGCAACTAACGCTCGTATCCATTTACTTCATCAATTTCCGAGCTATACAGTTAAGTTAGTAGGTAGTCTCTCTATCCTATCATACATTCCTCTATATTGTAAGTAGCTATGAAGATGTGGATTAAAGGGGGGGAGTTGGTAGAAGAGGATCTGAGGTACTTTTTGTACCCGTAGAACCTGTTTTACCCGGCAATTGGGCGATAGGGGGATAGAGGATAGGGGAATTTATAGTGATAAAAATGGAACTGCGAATGTGAGGGCAATAGCGCAGGGTGAAAGAAATGCGTACCGTGAAAGCGAAGACACACTGAAAGCAAAGATTTGAACCGAAAGAGGAAGCATGTAGTGAAAGCGATTATTCTAATAACCCTGTGTTTGTACGCTAAGGCAAAATATGCACCTGAAGAGTAAACATACAAATTAAGAACATATCCACAGTGAACACGAACACAAAAACGTCTAACTAACTGCTAAAATTAACAAGAACAAAACATAAACATATTGATTGACCCGCTTAAGAAGATCAGGCACCATAGAACAGTAAGGATAAGAGAAATACGTAACCCTGCACTGGCGGGGTACGCACTCATCGTTCATTCGCCTAAGAGTCATGACATATATCCCAACCTATCTCTCATTACACATGTCCCCTTTTCCAGATTTCTTCCCCATATAGCCAAAGACGACACTCGCATATCCCATGAAAATCCAGCCATCCACCCACAACTGGCCTCCCCAGGTGCAACCCAACACACAAAGAAGAGATTAGGTAAAAAGGAATCTACCTCATACCCCTAGCATCCAATCCCTGCAAATCCCTCTCAAGCTCACTTCCTTGCCATCCACCCTGCATCATAGCCTCATGCGGCCTGGGATCCTCGTAACCAGCTCTATCGTAGTTATTCGGGATGGGGACTGCCTGTCCAGGTTGCTGGCCCTGGCCCTGAGACTGCCCGCCCGGCTGCACCCTCACCATTTGCCGGAATCGATTAACCTCTGCCAAGATCATCTTCTTCATCTCACTAATATCCTCGACGACCTCGAACTGGAAGTCGAAGGTAGTTGGGCAGGAAGGCTCGTCAGACGCATCGTGCCAGATGTGCAGATAACGGTGCTCCAAAGCGTCTTCGACTGAGACACGGCTGGAGGGGTCGAAGGCAAGCATGCGGTCCAACAAATCGAGAGCATCTGGATTGGCCTGCCGGAAGAGGGACTGGAAGGAGACTTTGTTCATATAGGGGAGGTTGCGCACATAATCCTGAGCGCGGGGTGAGCCGATACGGGAGAGGGTTTCTTCATTGGGCGTCCCGAGGTAGTGCAGAATCTGGTTCAACTGATCGACATAGTCTCGGCCCTTGAAGAAAGGCTTTCCACCCAACAGCTCGGCCAAGATGCAGCCAACCGACCAAACGTCAACTGCGAGGTGTTAGTGGGGAGGACAAGGGTGGATACGAGGCTACTAAGTGATGAAGTATTTATAGCGCACTTTGCATGTGTTTGGATAAACATCAGTCACTCTATGGTGAATGCAATCGCTTCGGGAGAAGAAGGGAAGGACAAAAATGATAGGAGTGTGGAACGTACTGGCTTTCGTATAACTTTGGAAGCTCAACATGATCTCGGGCGCTCTGTACCACCTTGTGGCCACATATTCGGTCATGTACCCCGCGTTCTCCTCAGGATCCATAGAGAATCCTCGGGCAAGTCCGAAGTCACAAATCTTGAGTTCGCAGTCGGCATTGACTAACAGATTACCGGGTTTTAAGTCTCGATGGAGGACATTGGCGGAGTGGATGTACTTCAATCCGCACAGGATTTGGTAGATGAAGGACTGGAAATGCGCATCGGTGAGAGGCTGGCCTGACCGGATGATGGCCGCCAAGTCACACTCCATGAGTTCTGCACTGCCGTCAGCGCTTGTACGTACTTTTGGGCTATAGAGCGGTGCGCGTACCCTCATATAGGTAGCACTCGTTGAAGTTATCCGGGCGCGGGATATCCATATCGTAGAGACATGTTATCTAGAGTGTCACGAATCAGCTCTAGCGGCCTTGAACGAGGGGGGGGGGTCTGGGTAAGGGGCTGTCACACGTTGCGGTGTCCTACATGCTGTCAGTAACCTTCGGCATCCGACTAGTTCAAGACGCTCACCTCTGAAGTGCTGCAGTAGTTTGATTTCTCTCAAGGCTCGCTTAGCCAGAATCTTCTTGCTGAAGACGTTGGTGACCTTCTTGATGGCGACGCCCTCACCAGTCTGGTTGTTTGTGGCAGCACTACGTAGCCCCACATCAGTATGCATTTTAGCAGGTCGCTGCCCGGGGATCGCTACCAGACAATGCCGTAAGCACCTTGCCCCAGCTCCTTCGTGACATTGTAACGCTCGTCGACGATGAACTCCTGGTTGAACACCTTGAACACCTTGCGCCCTTGTAGTTCGGACATTGCGTCGGCCTGCACTGCAGCTCTTAGTTTGACGGACGGTAGTGGGTCTTCGAAGAATTGCGCTCGTGGGAAGTGAGGGCTCGAGGAACGGGCGGAGGCGAAGCAGCTCTCACGGACAGGGACCCGGAGCTCGCTGTGTTATAAGGCTCTGTAGGCGCCCGCGGCTGAGGGGCAGGCTGCGGCGGCGATGACTGGCGCGACCAACACACAGCGAAAGGTAGTCCGGGAGGCTGCGTCTCTAAGGGGGCAGAGCTCCTCTCGCCGGGGATGAGCGCGAAGCAGAAGAAATGTACGATGGTCTGAGATAGACAGAAAGAAATGGCGGTGGTGCTTGTCCCTCGTCTGCCTTGCGTGGTGGGGTTGCGCTCGCAAAAGCGCTGGCACACCACTGCGCTAGACCCTGTTCAGAAAGCCGGCGTCCCCAGAAGGGCTTGAACCAGCCCTAACAGACCGCCTCAGGAGCGGTAAGGCATTGGGACCAGGGGCAAAAGGACCTGACGTACATGTGTGCTCAATCATCTCTGCATCCACGTATTCCCAGTGCGTCAATTGATGTCAATTGATACTGATCTGCAGTATCAGAAGATGGCTACATCCACTGAGCACGGCCCGTCCTGGCCCATGCTATGCTGAAAACAACTATTCAGGAAACTGGTAGGAGAACCTATGTAGCGTGCGCGTCCCATGCAGGACCAATATAGAATAGACTTATCACATGTCCAAACGAAAATGCTGTCGCTCGTTCTAAATCTCGTGCCGCCCGTCCATATGCAAAAGCCAAGGTATCATGCCCGTTCGAAACGCCAGAAAATTACACGCCTAATCGTGCTCTGCACTAGTAAAGCCGCCCAGTGTCCCAAAGCGAACGCCATTCGTAAAATGTCACAGCCGCCAAAACTTTTGTCTTCATGCATTATTCGTAGGAAAACCGCCGCCTTGATGTGCTATCCGTCGATTCCATCGGAGAAATGGGCGAGAGAAGCGTGTCTTCCGCCTCAAGATACCTGCCGTCTCGCGGAGCACGTGGAGGCTGGAAAAAGGTATCGTTGGCCTCTAAAAACGCTCCATCTCTTGGTGTTCGCGGTGTTACAGGTGAAATGTTGGGCTGGTTTCTCCTGTTCACCAACTGAACCTCTGACGGTGATACTGGTGCAAGTCTCCTTGGCGGCTCTTCTGATGAAGGTGATACTTCTGGTGGGCCCGTGGGATCTACTCCGTTGTATATCCTCTCTCGGACCATCATCGACTCCTTCTCTGACAGCTGGCGTCCGTCTGCTTCTTGTCGCGTGGGGATATCTCCCGGCATTTCGAATATCTGGCGCTCCGTGTTGTCCACCTCTGCGGCGGGGCTTGGCACCCCAAGACTATTTGGCGATGTCGGATCTCCGGCTTTTACATCCGTCGTGTCCAGCTCTGATCTTCCTAGAGACTCTGCAGGCAGCTCTGCTTTTGGAAACACATTCGTTCCTTCTTCCAAATACTTCGTTGGCGATGTTGGAGGCTCCTCGGACTTATCTGCCTTTGCCTCTTTCGCGGCCGCTGCCGCTTTTGTGGCGTATTCTGCCTTGACTTGCTCGAGATGTCGCTTCTGTCGTCTCCGCCAGAAGAACCATAACACGCCAAACACTATCATGGCGAAAGAAAATCCACTTCCCACTGCAATACCGATAATGGCTCCAGTGGTAGTACGCTTTGGTTTAGAGCTGAGAGTCGTTTTTTCGCCTGGGTACATTGGGGATGTAATCGAAACAATGTTTTTCGGCTGGCCATAGACCCACGAACACTGCGAGATGGAGAAGTTTTGACGTTCCCAGTCCACAATCAAGTACGCCTCTTGCAGGAAAGTCCGTCCCAGCACGAACTGGTTTTCCTGCGTAGCTCGCCGAATTGGGAAATAGTTCGATTGATTCTTCAGTCCTTGGTACGGAGGTTTCGCTACCTTGTCGAAAGCCTTGTAAGGTAACATGATGTCTACTGTTGTGTTTGTGGAGAATTTCTGCCCAAGACTGAAGGTGATTGTGGCATTGTCTGCAACAAGTGTTTTGTGAGTGAGGTCGTCCACAAGATACAGTCCCGTATCGTTGTCGTACTTTAGTCCGAATGATTGCTCGAAAGCCTGGCAAATTTCGATCGGCAGCCAGAGCTCTGCGACGGTGGAGTCGATATACATTGTGAATTGGTCACGGCTTAGGAGGTTGACGTTGGACTTGGTTACGCTGTTAACATGGATCCCAACGACGCCGACCACGAGGTCTCTCTCATTGTCTGGTGCGAAGCCAAATGTGAGATCATTTGGAATGAATCGCGACGTATCATAGCCACCGAGTGTTAGGCTACTTAACACACTTGTAAAGTCTATGAGGGTCAGCGAAGTCGACCAACAAACTGGACTTGGTCTTACGGTATTGGGCACCAGCGGTGTAGCCGAATGACAAGCTGGGTATGAGGTTCTGCTGGAAGAGATACGTCATGTAGCTCGGGGATGGATCCGTGAAAGCAGAGAAATTAGTAGGTTTCGCATTGAGACCGAAGTGTCCGAGCCAGAAGTTGGGAGTAACCAGAGTGCCAACGGTCGTATTCTTGAGGGTGGGTCCTTCCTCTCCTGGATGACCTAAGCCGACGGTGTCATAGCCATACTCGCCATTGCCCATCATACCAAGAACTTTCTCTGTCCATAACTGATAGAAGCCAATCTCCTGCCAGGTTGACGAGACGCTGATGTTGAAGAGGTGTCCGCGGGAGCTTTCGCAATCGGTGTCGGTGGTCTCATGTGTCTGATTGGTCTTCGCGTCTGTCTGATTGACCACGCAAGCGAGACTGTGTATAGTCCATGTTTGCTGGCTTGCGGTTGATGCCAAGGCGCGAACAAACTGTGGAGGGGTGCCTATGCGGAGGGTAATGGTGTTCCACGAGCCATCAATCCCATCCCAGTCCTGGTCGGGCGCGACAGAGACGGGTGCCGGGAGCGACGAGTTCTTGCTTGCGCGAACTTGTAGGTCTTGGGCGAGGCACGACGATACGAGCGTGGCCGCGACCAGGACGCACAGGGCGAGGAAACGGGTCATGGTCGATTATTAAGCGGCCACGGGGAGGCGATAGACGGCCACTGTGAGCGGCCAGAGTCATAACAGATCAAAGCAGCTCGCGCGTGAGCGCCCCGTTGACATTGTTCATGCCACTCGATCGGTCGGCGGGCGGGAGAGGGAAGGAGAGAAAGGTGAGACAACGACGAGCTGAGAGGAGTCAAGATGGTGTTGAGCCAGATTGCGGATAGACGCGAGCATGGGCCGAGCCTCCAGCAACGGGCCAAGACTTAAATTGCACTCAGGAGCTAACGCGGTTTGTCGCTTGTAGAGGCAATCGATAAGAGGGCAGCTCTATGTCGTGGCCGCGATTCGCTGTCGGGGGACGATTCCTCACGGGACCGACGAGGGCATCTGGGGCAATGGGGTTGGCATTCATCCATGAGAGCCCTCAGGCGCTCGTTGGGGGGGGGGGGAGGGAGGGGGGTTTGTGCTCTCATGCTACACGGACGACGGCGTGACAGAAACATCCCAGCTCCTAGCAGCAAGCTAGGGGAGGAAACACAAACACCCGATCACGCTGGGTGCGACTCCGTGCTAGCCGTGCAAGTACAGTACCGCCGACCCCCCTTTCAGCCGGTGATTTTTCCCGCCATATATGGGCACATATGCCTGCGACGTACGCAGCCTGCCTGTTTCACCCAGAGCACACAGTTTGCTGTTTTGCGAGCTCTCGCGGGGCGCAGCGCCACAAAGCCCTGAAGCTGTTCGAGTGGTGTTCGGCATGGCGACTACAGCGGTCATGTTGTGGCGCGCTGGACCGAGCATCCTTGAAGCAGGGAATTTCTACGGGATTTAGCAGGCGCACAGCGAATTGCATGTCGGATAGAGTCACAGAGCAAGCCAAGCAGTCTAGCAGAATCGAGGTTTTGCAGCATCAGGCCAACAGGTTTCGAAACTCCTAGGTGATCGGCGCCGCGAAGTGGAACCCTGAGCACGCTGCCACGATGAGTCCTGATGGAGCAGTGATTGACCAGCACGACCAGGGGCAAGCGAGCCACCGTCGAGGCTCCATGACGGCCGGCTCCCTCAACCCATCCCGCCGGGCGTCGACGAACCAGCTGCACCTCACCTGCAGCGCACCAAAACGTGGCGTGCCGGCCGTCGTGCTTCGTTGTGCCGGCCTTTGACGTCGCTCATGCTGTTCAGAACGCCTTGCGAGGCCTGCGCGCATGAAGCGCAATCAAACCTTCGATCGAAAGGAATAATTAAACCCTCAGATGAAGGGGAGCACAGGGTATTCGGTCACGGCGACGCGCATCTTCTGTGCCCAGCAGCGAGTGGTGGGTGGTGGCACGACTGGGGAAGGGTCTGCGGGCTGGCTGGTCTGGCCGCCATGGATAAACAAGCTCAATCTCAATGCACCCGCTTGGCACGCTCCCACGCCTTCGAACTCCCGGGACTGGTGCCACCCTTCGCCAGCATCTCCGCCTCCCTTTGCTGGACGACGCGGCTTCGACCTCGCCGATAGCAACCGCTAGCCCCAAGTCGTCGTCGGTTGGAGTGATACCAATGTTTTTTCCGTCTAAATTGCCTCTCTGCCCCTTTCTGCTCTGATCCCGCCCACATGCACATCTACCATCGTTTGGGTCGTCGATATTGTGTTGTCGCTGCACTCGTTTGCATGTCGTCGACAGTGCCTGCTTTTCGCTAGGTGCTCGCTATAGAGGCATGTTGTTGGTTCGCTCGTTAGCTGTTTTCGCGCTTCTTTTAGTGTTCTCTGTCGTATCTTGCAATCCGTTCCGTCCTCGCGGATACGACACTATTGGTACGTGATCTGACAAACCTCGTATTGCCCTGCCCTGACCCCAAGCCATCTTCAGCCCCCTATGCGAATCTCACCTCTATATCGACCGCACCTGCTGTCATTCCTACTACAGAGACTACTGCTATCTTGACGGAAAACCCTCCTTACCCCATTCCTGGCACCGGAACTGGCATTGTCACTAAGGACAATGGAGGACGCCCGAAGTCGACTGACCAGGGGTCCTCTACTGGCGGGGCAGCATCCAAGAACGATTCCATGGCACCCTGCACAGTGAACATTCCGCAAGCAAACATCGACTGGTGGTATGCCGCGACTTACGAGTTTCCTATCGGGACTTTGACAAAAACTGCGAATCCCTTCAATGATAGCAAGCAGTATCTGACCAAAATTCCTAACACGGAAACCTTCGATGTCACCAGCGCACTCTCAGATATTGCTTATACTAACAGTCTCACGTATGATCCGGAGTGGAACATTACCTGGACCTATCTGGAGCAATATGACGTTACCCCTAAGGCTGAGATCACCTCTGTTATTCCGAGGACTGCCGCTTTGCCACTTCCATCTGGTGACATTATTCCCGCTACAGACGCCCCACTATACGATATCGATATCAACAGCCTCCCAGCCGCGAGCTTGGCAATTACTGGGCCAACAGGGACTGTATTTATCGCGTACGTCACTATTTTTACATATTTCCTAACACACACTACCTCAAGATTCTCAATAGCGTTTACGGAGAATGTTACATGAGAGAATACAAAGCTAATCTAAGCAGAACGTCGACGACCCCTGTTCTCTATTTCTCAGTCTATGAAGTAGAGACAGCAGTCCCTTCCACGGCCGCCGATGGAAAGGTCACATATGATACGACCATCGAGACGTTCAATTTGCCAGATGTATATGCCTACTCATACGATCTGAAAGGTATCGAAGACTATGCCATCGCAACAGGCGCCGTACCAGATGAGTTCCTCCAGCAGATTCCGCAATCGGCATGCAGCGCCGGACTCTTCGAAGCTACTGTGACAGTTCTGGTTGTTGTAGATTTGACATATATCAACTTCCCCGGAGCGAACCCCTTCATTGTCCACATAGAATCTAGTGTTTTGGGTTTTGAGGACGAGACTTCCAAAGGCCCAAATGTCGTAGTAGTTGCCACACCACAACCTCAGACAAGTACTCGTGCAGTCCACCCTCCGATGATTGAACACTCAGAGGATGGCTTCTCGACAAGCGTGGACGACAGTGGTGGAGACCACCAGGCCCCCACGACTACCGCTAACGGAGCTGCCGAGACACCGGGTGCTGCGGCCACACCCGCCTTTGAGGATAGCCACAACGCTGGGGGAAACCAGGCCCAAGGTCCCAACGCCCAGGAACCATCACAGCAAAGCGTAGGGACGATTGGATCTGAGACAGTAAAGGTTGGCCCATCGTCCGTCGTCGTCGTTGGCTCTCAAACCTTGAAACCAGGAGGTCCAGCTATCACCGTTGGAGGGATTCCCGTCTCTCTTGTCCCATCTGCAACGGCCATTGTGGTTGGAGGCACGACTTCTGCCTTACCTCGAGTACTGCCCACAGGCGTTAATAATCCAGCACCACCCATTCTGACCGTAGGTTCTTCCACCTTCACAGCAAATGCAGCCACACAATTCTTCATCGGACCCGGTCAAACACTCACATTGGGAGGGACAGTCATCGTGGATGGAACAGTCGTCAGCCTTGGACAGTCTGCATCTTTCGTAGTCGTGGGAGGATCTACGCAGGTATTTTCATCTGCAACACCAGCTTTTAAGCCTCCTGCCGCTACTGCACGACCTACAATCGTAGTCGCCGGGTCGACCGTCACAGCTAATCCTGGATCGTCCTTCATTATCGGGAGCCAAACCCTCGCACCTGGACAGCAGATTACAGTGGACGGTAGTACTGTATCCCTTGCCCCTTCCGCTTCCTTTGTTGTAATCAACGGCCAGACTTCAAGCATCGTGAATCCAGCGGCTCAGATCACTCCCCCACCAATAACTCTGAATGGCGCTGTCTTCACTGCACTTCCCGGGACTGGAACAACATACTCAATCGGAGGCCAGTTTCTTACGCCTGGCGGCGTCATCACAGTTGGTGACCAAACTGTTTCTCTTGCAGCTGGAGCGACTGCCCTTGTCGTGAATGGGCAAACCACGACGCTTCTTCCCCAGGCCATTATTACCAACGCACCCCTTTTGACTGTTGGCTCCAAAACTTACACCGCACAGTCAGGTGCTGGGACAATATTCATCATATCGGGACAAACACTTACTCCAGGCGGCATAATAACCGTGGATGGAACCACAATAAGCCTAGCGCCTGGTGCAACACAACTCATCTACGGAAGTGCAGGACATAGCACAACCGAGACACTTTTCCCCGCCACAATAACTAGGAGTCAGTCTAATACCGGAGCTACAGCAAGCGTGGGCGCTACTCGCACGGCTGGTGGCGCTGCGGCGACGAGTAGCAAGAAGGGTGGTGGAGGCTATGCGGTTCAACCGTCTAGATCAGCAGGATGGAGTCTTTTTGTTATAATAGGTGTGATGGGTCTGGTGCTTGGGTAAACGTGGCAATTTGGGTCTGGGACGATCTCTGAATCACGGAAACGGCTATTATATCGGAACTGGGAAAACACATAATGACCTAACGACTTTTACGATTTGATTCTTGGATTTGCTTACGGGATAGGGCTCCTTTGCATCTAGGACTGGGATATGTACTTGTAATACTAGCGACTTTGGCATTGCTGGATGTCTGGGCGGTGTCCGCAGACGAGGCCTAGGGATCTTAATGGTGGATACATGTGAGGGCACCACGCGGTGTCTGGATCTTGTGTATGGAGGGGACGTGCAATCTGGTAGGTAATACAGCCGTGACGGCAAGATATTATTCTAAAGGGCATAGGCTCTAGCTTCAGATAATCGTGCAAGGTGCAGTGCAGACGTGGTCATATTTTCATTCAATCCTTGAGTAAAAATCGCAGTCACTCTGACAGGGCCAGGACAGGCAGGTAGGTGCCCTATTGATCGTTTTCCACCCGTCCAGTGCTTACTTTATCTCACCCCAGTTCGAAGCATGACAAACATACTTCGTTCTTCCGAAGCCCTGTGACCACCTCCCGCTTTTCCTTCTGTCCAACTGCCAATAATTTTATCTCTTTGACCTCCCCAAGCTTCCATAAGATCAAGTCCACGATGCTCATAGTTGTCGATCCCTACCCCATTCGGTCGCTCAGTGTGGTGTGGAACACAAGACAGCGTCACAACGCCTTGCATCACCGGTCGACCGCCATCCGTGTCTTGCGCTCATTGGCTCAATGCTTGACTTGGTCATGAAGGAGAATATTGAAACTTGAAGAAGAAATGAGTATATTGTCTATATATCTGAGAAGTTTCCCGGATCAGTCAGCTTGACAACCATCACTTCAGCTTCACCGGGTTTCCACCTACGACCTAATTTCCTTTATTCTGAACCTAGAAGACTGAGTTCTAGGAAAACTGCCCACTAGTGACGTAGCCGAACGTTGAGTCCCTGCCGTCGCTACCTTCCGGATTCGTATGTATATCTCCTCGCCTCTTTCTTCTCCTAGTTCTTTTAAAAAGTCCAATGTATGAACGCCTACTAAGCACCCTTGCTACTAGCATTCGAACACCTCTCTCCTTTGAAACAACATGGCGCTCAACACCGACCAAGAACTCGTCGACCATGGCTGTTTTCACTGTTGCGATGACTGCTTGTGGGAGAAAGAACATACCTGCACTGGGAGCTGTTACTATTGCGGGGGGTGGTGACGACAACGATGGCGCGTATGTTCTTGTATGGATGCAAAATTGCTGTGACGACGGCTGGCACTGCGGCGGTGTAAGTCGCGGTGGAGGAGGGTGCAGGGTGATTTTGAGGATAGCCACTGCGGAGTTTCCGCATGAGTACGGAGATAATACCATTTGAGAGTGTCGCCATTTTTTCTTCTACAAAGCCCACAAGATTCAAAGCCCGGTCATTTGAAAGGTCGTTCATGTTCGTTCCTCTGCATTCTCCTTGCTATATTTTGTCAATTGCTCAGACTAGTCAGTTACACCCTCCAAGTATCTAGGCTTCTTGTTCCTAAGCTGTGAAGGCTCTTAAACACATAAGGCAATCCGAGAAGGAAATTGAAACCAATGACAGCGCTGCTTACCCCGGTCCATTGGATGTATCGCTAAATGTTCGTCCTCTTCCCACCAATGGCTCCTGCGTAAATCCGTATTCCCCCCTGCTATCAACTCCCCCCTGAACCTTTTAAATTTTAGTTTCGAGAAGCGAACTGAGTCATCCTTTCCCCATCACACTAAACAAAGCAAAAATCGTCAAGCAGCTCTTGTCACCTCTCCGTTTCCATAACTAGAGCCCAAGCTAAGGCTTGCCAGCCTACGATTGGCTTTATTGGCTAGGCTACAATCGAGGAAGGTCTCAGACGCAAACATTTGCGGGGTGTCACATGGTCTGTTTGACATTTTAAGGTTGATGTGTTGTCGGCCCGGCTCGGGAGTGGTACGGCGGAGAATCATGGCGCCAACGGCTTCGCCTCTTAAAACCGTACCTTCAGGCACGCGCCTCGGGGTTCAAGGTCAGGGAAGCCAGACTCCTTACGCCTGAGAAGCGTTTGTAACACATTAGCGCCTACTATGGAAGTATAAATAAAGTGTTTTGGAGAGGGGGAGGGAGCTATATGCTGGAACTAGGAGCGTGGTGAGGGTGCCGATTTCTGGCACAAATCAGGCCTGTGCATGTTTCGCCACATGTGTAGCAAGAAGTATATCGTTTGTAGATCATTGATTGTGCAAGGGAATCAGAGATGGAATTTAAGAAGCAACTGTTAACAGCAGAAATTTTAGAAATACATTCCTTGTCACGTTCCAATCAATGGAAACTTGAGAACTTTACACATGCCCAGCTATTTATTTATGTACCAGCACCACGTATTGACCATCTAACTGCGTAAAACCAGGTACCACAATGCGATCTCCCGAGGTAAACCTCACTTGAGAGGCAGGTGCCAGGGGTGTGAACTTTTCAGATGTAGCATTCAATGATCGTTTAGCCACCGTAAGCCATTGCTGAGCATTAGTAGCATTACCTGTCTTTGCCGCAAGCATAGCTGGATTAACTAGTTATAAAATAAGCAGGGCAAATTAATTCAAATGGCCAGGGGGACTTACAAGGAAACTTCACTTCTCCTTTCGTGATCTTTTGCGTAGGTATAGTTGTGTTTATGACCCATGCAAACGAGTCTAGTGTCGTTAGTATCTGTCTTTGTGTGCCGAACTTAAGACATTCTACTTACTGACCGAAGCCGCATCCCTCGGCAAATCCTCCTTAGAGACTCCGTTCTTAATATCAACATTCATCTTGAAAGGTTGCTCAGACTCCACTGTGAACCTCAACCCATCGATAAATTCAGCTTCTTGTACGCCTTGCCCTCCGGTCACATTAACAGTCCGAGTGGCCCCCTGACCATACTGCACAAATATATTCGAGACATCTTCTGTCATCCGTCCAAGAAGTATGTGTTCTCCGTCTAGCGAAGTCATTTTGATGATGCGAGTTTTATTTTCCGAGCTTCTCTGGGTCAGTGCTAGATTTCCTCCACCATTGGAATATATGGACCTACACGTGGACATTTCGTTGAGACTCCGACACGACCCAGGACTTCTTATCCGATGCCAAGGTCCCAACGTACGTGTTTCCTTGGTCGATACCCATTTGCTGAAGCATGACAGGATCGTAAGGAAGCTCGACTTTAGCAATGAGGTCGTTTGCGGTCTCGTTCAGCTTGATCACATATGAGTAATTTGAGAGCGCTATGAATTGTTCGCCGGTGCTGCCGGACACAAAGTTCCCGGGTAGAGGTGAGGTATTCTGTTGAACAAAAAGAGTGCGGCTCGACGGTGAGAAGAGGTCTAGTGCGAGTCCGTCTACGAAATCTTGATCGGTCCTTTCCATCTGCGGGTGCAAATAAACAGGAACACATGTTCTTTAGAAGAAGATGTTTGTACCGATCCAAGCACATTGACTGTCTGTCCAAAATTTGCTAGGTCAGAATCTAATATTGATTGGTTGCCGCCTCCAGAACTAAGGCCTGATGAGGAAGACAGAGAGACAGAAGTTGTCGATGATGTGGCTCGGGAGGTAAGCGTCTCTGCATATCCAAGAAAAGAATTTGAAAGCAGGAATGTAAGCAAGAAGAGCGTTCTCGTAGGATAGCGATAGCAAGCCATGGTCGTTCAATGTGCGAAAGAGGCTGGACACAAGACTCGAGATTTAGGCCAAAGGCAAGCAAGGAAAATATGAACCAGTTCTTTGAACTTTGTTTACTTTTATAGTCTAGTGGTTGGATAACGTTGTCAATGTTAAAACAGAGGAGAAACAAGCCTCAAGAGGGGATATGGATCTGGGACAGTTTCACAAAATTAAAATGTTTCGAAAATCCCTTTTTTGTGTTACTATTCTTAGGATTGCGGCAGAGATTGGACCACTAGGGCGATGTAGTATAGTGAAAGGTAAATTCAGAGCTGCGCAGATTCTAGGTCATTTTGTATGCCTGTCTAGGATGAGCATACCGAAATTGTCAGTGCGGAGGAAGCACGTGATAGCACGCTAGCGGTTAGCGTTGATCCCAGATCTCCAACCCCTCTAGGACTTAATCAAACTCTCCACATGAGATAATCTCAGTGATCGGAGACGGTAAAATAGAGGTATAGTCTAGAATAGAATGTGTGCAAAGAATTGACCAAGTGCGACAAACTGCTAAAGAACTGAATAAGGAGCTGGTCGATATCAACCAGAACGGTGTCTGGAATAACTGCATCTTGTCATCTAACGTGGAACTAGACAGCGGTAGTTTTGAACAGAAAGGTGCATGATCTTAAAATACTCCCTAATTCAAGCAAGAGTCTTAACAGATAAACTCTTCCCCAATTATGATCTACGTCAGGTGAGAACATGCTGTGCAGGTAAGGCTTTCCAGAAGGAGCGCACTTGTTAGGAACCCCTTAGATCCTGGCTGGCCACTGTCTGGAACTCAGGGCTGAGACTTCAAGTTTTATTTACGCACTCTTCTGGGTCGACTAACTTGGAGCTTGGTCGGTTGGGAGCAGGAGATGGGAACCAAGACCCAGCCATGTTGTCTGGTGTACTCCTTAACAAAGGGGCTGTTGAGCTGAGTAATTTAGGAGGGGAATTTCATTATATTGGTGTCTCCCCTGACTCCAGTCAAAGGGTTAAAAGATAGACTCTACTCTGGTTATGTTCTACGATGAGTGAGAAAATGATATATCTTGTGGCCCTTGATCTTTGGCAGGATCTTCGCAAATTGCGCTCACAAATTTTCACCCTCAAGCCTCTCTGTTCGTGCTAATAGGGAAAGGAAATATTCTAAACTCCAGGCGATTAGAGCGACACAAAGCCATATTGTTGGGCGTGACCTGTTGTCACCGCAACATTCATAGGTAATAACGAGAAGCCGAAATGGGAATTGGAAGTTTCGGGGCATGCTGTCCTACGAAACGTCAATAGAATCCTGCGCATAGTAAACCGAAACAATGAGTAAAAAAAGAACATAGTCTGTATCGTTCGTTATGGGCACTGATGAACTGCTCGATTTCGATCGTATGGTATTTCCTGACCTCGCATCGAGTCTCTTCGATTTTATGATACTGGAGGCGGTCAGCCCCGAGCAGCGCTATGGAGCTGGTAGCCTCCCTCGTAGAAGCGTACTTGTTGGCATACCACTGGATGGCCTACGAGACTGATATGAACCCCATCTAACCAGGCTTGCCGTCACGATAGTATTTGCGATAGTGGTCTTAGTCACACTTGATGCGGCGCTGGACTTCGAGTTTAAAGATGAAGGTGTCGACAAGGCCGATAGGGCGGGACAAACCTTCATTCCTGCATCACTCATGTTCTATTCTAAAGTCATGTCCTACCAAGATCAGGAGTTCCTGTTTGTTAGACACTAGGATCGGACAAATCGACATTATGGACCTATTCAACAAAGCTTGTTATCACGACAATATTTATGTTATTATATAAGTGGGACATGAATAGGGTAGAATCTATATATTAAACCCCTTTCTAGAATAAGAAGGAAAGTTAATAAATTGTAAATTTCTGTCTTAAAATATCCCGTTCATGCCCTACGTTACATGACAAGATGCAGTAGGTAGGTAATGCGAGTTTCGCATTTAAGTTTTCTTTTTACAATTCAGAAGAAGAAGCTTGGTGGCAGATACTGTCTAGGTCTGGAGTGTAGGTGGAAGTGCAAGCTGGGGGGACTAATTGGTGCCCAATTAGAGCAAGTGGCTGCATGTTGCCTGGAGCCTCCATCAGACTTTGTGAGATGCTATCAGCCAACACGCTAGCCTGCCGAATTCCCATGGTCGAGCTGATGAGACGCAATTGCTCTACCGCCCAAAATCGCTCTTTAAGAGCGTTCAAATCTTCTTGAGACACAACGAGGAGCGGCCAGATGAGACTACCGGAGCCTACGAAGAATTTTAGTTAGGTATCGATACTTAGCTACGCTAGTCTACTTACGTGGAGATCCTATGAAATTAGGAGCGGAGATGCAGATTTCAGTGGACATTTGGCGGATAATGGAAAGGGCCGATGGGTGGTTGGCGTTATTAGGAGCATCGTAATGAATTTCGTTTTGATGCATGATCTGGTTAACTAGTATTCGCTGTGTACGCCAGCTGTTCCAAACCTGTGCAGTCCAAGGGCTGCTGTAGATATGACGCTTCTTTTCGAAATATGTGCCAGGAGAAGTGTTGCCAGCATCAACTGTAGCATAAATCCAGCTCGAGGGAAGAGTTGCCCTCCAAGCTTGCAGATCGTTGTCAAGTTCAACTGCAGCCTTCCGGATGACTTTCGGATCTGATATGTTACGACTTCTAATTCCTGAGCGCAGATTGAGAAGTCGGAAATATATGTCACCCATGGGGCTCGGTTTATTCTTCTTGCGATGTTTTTCCATGAAACTGCCTCTGTAAGTGTTACTTATTTGCAGTAAGGCCAGGGGAGCGGCGACACCCTGTTGCGTGCAAGCAAATAACTATGAAGTGGTTAGATCGGTCAAGTCTTCACCAAAAAAAGGGGTGGATTTAGGAAGACTTACTATTTGAGAGCGGAGTTGCATGTACAACTGTCCTCCAAGTTCATAGTTAAATTGCTCTGGGCCTCGGAGCTGTAGAAGAGCTGTAGCACCTTCGATATGAGCGGCCCATGAACGATAGTGATCCCAATCCTCGATATTAATGAACTGTATATAGCGATTAGGGTCCGTTAGTATCAATTAAGGCACATTGACTTACCTCGAATAGTCCTAATAGGATGACTGTCATCAACGTCGTATCCGCAATCGATTCGACCGGATCACCCAAAGCCTCGTTCGTGGCCACTAAGGCTCGAACGTACTGTTCCTTGGCCTTCCATGCAATATATGGTGCGTAGAATATGTTAGAGATGCCTGCCATGCCGGCTGCCTCAATGGCTGGTCGAATATTATTCATTGAGCGGTCTTCGAAATACATCTGCATCAGCCAGGTATGATATTCCTTGGAGAGAGGCGGCTCATCGCAGGAATAATGAGCGAAGAAGAAATGGGCCGCAATTTCATTGATTGGTTGAGAAAGGGCATACGGGATGCTGATGGGAGGTGGGGAAGCTGAAACTGCGGAAACCGTCGAAAGAGCGGGGACGACTTCCTGCACCACAGCTGCGCTTGGTTGTTTAACCTGGGCTCCCTCATGGAGCATGCGAGATCTCCGAATGATTCGTTTAGACTCATCACGAAACATGATGTCGGCCAGGTCCCGGAAGCCAGGACATTGTATCTTCGCTTTCTCACACCTCAAGCACACCGGCTTTCGCTGGTCACACTATTGACAACGGTCAGGCCCTGCTATAACGCCTGGAATGTGATATACCTTGATCTTGCGCTGGCGACAGCGTTGGCAGCCTTTGCTTACCACTCCATAGTACACCATGCCGAGGGAGAGTGCTTTAATTGAACCTACACGTCCTCTGCAAATGGTTCGAGATGCTCCTTCTTTCAGCCAGGCAAACACAGCCAGAGATCTTCGTCGACAACATATCGTGGCTCGACGGCGAATTGTTGGCTGCCGGGGAGGGCATCGAAACGACGAGTGAGGCTCGCAGTCGTACCCTGTAACAGGCATAGTGCGGGACCCACAAACCGGTCACTCGTGGACCTCGATCGTATATTCAGGAGGAGTTAAATATCTCTGGAATCCGCCTAATTTCTCAGGAAAGATTTTTAAAGATATTCCGCCTACCTGCAGATCTTGGACCTCCCCAATTATTCTCCCACAGCTTTCTTTTCAAAAGGAAGAAAATAGAACTTCATATTAACCACGTGACCGCGCGGCTGTTTCGCTCCTGATAAGCACGCGTATCCCACCATGACCGACATAGCACCAACCCCACCCTCATCCTCGACAGAAACCACCTTTCGCTCCTTCAGCCACGCGCAGGGCACAAACTACGCGCAGAACCGACGCGATTACCACTCAAAATTGTATCAAATTATTATTGATTATCATACATCCAATGGTGGCGAACTCAACACTATTCTTGATGTCGGCTGCGGTCCTGGCACGGCTGTCCGTACACTCGCACCGCGCTTTTCTCATGCCATCGGCATTGATCCGTCGGAAGGGATGATCACCACTGCTCGGTCTCTCGGGGGTGTCTCATATAACTCAGAAGCCATCCGCTTCGACATCTCCACCGCTGAAGATCTCGGCTCCAATCTCTCATCGCCCATTCCAGATGGCAGCGTCGACCTTATCACCGCTGCCACTGCCGCCCATTGGTTCAACATGTCAGGCTTCTGGCCCCGAGCCGCTCAGGTGCTCAAGCCAGGCGGCAGCGTTGCGATATGGACCAGTGCCTCCTTGCGTGTTCATCCGTCCACACCGAATTACGCCGCCGTTCAGTCTGCCATAGACAAGCACGAGGATGTGCTCAAGGACTACATGGTGTTAGGCAACAGGCTCTCCCGCGACCTGTATGTTGATCTGCATCTACCTTGGGCACTCCCAACACCTGTGTCAGAGTTTGATGAAGGAACCTTTTTACGGAAGGAGTGGGGTACTGGCCGAGACCCAGAGCTTGGCGACCAGTTCTTCGCTCACCAAGCGCCGGTAGACTTAGACACACTGGAGTTGGTGCTAGGTACGACGAGCCCCGTTACGAGGTGGCGAGAGGCTCATCCCGATGCTGTCGGCACCGAACGTGACGCGGTGAGGATGATACGAAGGGAAATTGAACGGGCATTGCACGATGCTGGTGTGGAGGAAGGGAAGGAGATGGTGAAGGGAGGAGTGAAGGGGGTTTTGTTGATGGTCAAAAGGAAAGCATAGTCGTGACTGAGTCATCCACTAGTACTTGAAGGAACAGGGTAATATTGCTCGGCAATAAACCAACGATGCCTCTGCCTCCTTTGGTTTACTCGTTCAAGCAAATCTCTTAAGTGTAGTTGGTGTGGTCGGGGCTCGATTTTAGACTCCAGTTGCTATCTTGTTCGTTCCAATACTACCCGCACTTTCCGCCTCGTTCTTATCTCCTCCCCTCCCACCAAACCTCCACCACTGCCCGAATTAACTCTTCAGTGACCCTAACTCCAACCCCAATTTCTTCCTTACTCTCCAACATCGGAACATGGAGGAACACCACATCCCTCGTCCCCTTCTTCTTCTGCATCTCCAAAAGGCTAACATAATAAATAAATCCACAAACGAAATTCCCCACATCATCACTCAACCTCACATCCACATTTCCTCCCTCCTCCTTTCCTATCTGCTTCCCCTTCACCTTCCCCTTCCCTCCTATCCCAACCCTAAACCCAACCCTAAACCCAACCCCAGCCCCCGTACTCTTCCCCTGCTCTTTCGCCGGCATATCCAAACCCTTTAACCTCTGCCCCCAAACCCTCACCACACTCTCTAGATCCACCCCGGACCTTAACTCCCCTACCTCCTTCCCAAAACCCTTCTTATTCTCCACTCGCGTAAACACCCTCCTATCAATATCAGGCACATCATGGTACCCCTCTTTCTGGGCACCTAATTCCACGGCAAAATAATCTCTATCCCCTGCGAGGCCAATGTGTATTACGATATCGGGATCGTTCTGCGCGATGAGTTGTGGGGCGGAGACAAGGATCTTGTGGTAGGCTGCTGGCATGGGGGTTGAAGGGATAAGGAGGCGGATAGGGATATTTGGGAAGGAAGAGGAGAGAGTGGGGGAGAGGAGGGAGGCCAAGATCCAGGAGGGGTTAGTTTGGTAGGGGTGGAGGGCTTGGAAGGGCTGTGGGGTTGGTTTGGGGATTAGAGAAGATGGGAAGGGAAGTAGGGAAGAGACGCACGCCGAAGCCGGTAATAAGGACTTTAATTGGTTGATCAGAGGTTGCGGCTGCCATTTTTACGAATGAAGAAGTTTGAGCTTTGGAATTAGAGGAGAAGTTGTAGTTATGGAGGTGAGTGGATACAGTGGGTGATGTTGATGTATGAGTCAGATGGTTGAGATGACATTGAGCACCATTTTTGAATGCGGGTTGGATAACGTGACATTTGACGATTCAACAGGTGATGAATCCTGTGTAAAATAAGCCACATTTCTACTCGTATATGTGCTTCATCATGCTAGATTTGGTCGGGGTTCCCCAGCCTTTCGTCCTGTTTGACCAAGTGTAACCTAGTGTGAAACTTGGGTACTTTAACAACATCGCTAGTGGCTGAAATGACATCAGACTTGATTTGTACGGATACTGCTGGCCACTTCTCAACGCGTATTGATGGTAGCGTCGTTGATCCGATTGAATTCCGTTGGTAGAAAATTCGGTATGGGAGAATATCTTCCACATCTCTCCTGGCATTTTTTTCCGAAGAGTTGGCGCCTATGCTTGGTTGTTGTAATGATCCTAAAGAACAGAATTAACGCATTCTCTAGTCACGAAAATAAAGCAAACGATAGCGCCGCGATTGAAGCCGCGGTCCCAATCTATCGAGATATCAGCTACCTTGGACAATTGCACTCGCATAGTCTCACTCACGAATACAACTTGATCAAATGCCGTCAGTCCAACGCTTGAACCACTCCCTGTAGTCCCGCCACCAGTTGGTGGTCGAATGCAAAACCCAAGATCTGTTGGAGCTAGGGTTGGTGCTAATCCTGTTGACACATTCTTCCTCGCTTTCAACCCTGTATCTATAATACTGCAAAATCCAGAGCCTAGTTGAGGACTATTTGTGCCGTTACCGTTGTTTGAGAGAGCATCCGCGATGTTCTTGTAGCCCTGGATCTTGAAGAAATTTAGGCACTTAGTTGCCGCATCGTCAAAGCGGTCCCGGGCAAGAGTGGGGAGAGCGGCAAGTTGGGTGCCGATAGAACACGGGAGCGTTTCTTGAGATTTGGAGTAGCAGATACAGGATGCTTGGGCGGTGGGATTAACGGCGTAGAACGCGGTCGTAGCTTGTGCACAGGAGCTGATAATAGAGGCGAAGGATTTGCAGGCTGTGAATGATGTAGATGAAAGGGTCGTTGTGGGGGTGACTGGATACATTAGCCTTGAGCCTTGACTCGCTTTTGAAGGAGAAGGCAATGATACATACAAGTTACATTGATTGATGTGGTAGTACTCGCAACTGTCGTTGAAAGATCTGAGGTCCAAAACCCGCCAACACAACAGTCGTCCGTGCTTGTTGAAGTTTCTTCTGCCTTGCCGAACGCGTCTACTATGTTTGACATCACATCTACCACACCTTTAGCAATTTCTAGTCGCTGTTCTAGATTTCCGTTGTTTGATTGGAGTTGCGCTTGTGGTGGGACTTCGTTCGGTTTAATTACATTCGGTGCATTTTTAGGGCTTAATGGGATCACAGGTCTTGGTTCTACAGGTCCTGGTAATCCTGGAACACTTGGCTCTTCTGGTCTGGGTGGTCCGGGTGGTCTGGGTGGTCTGGGTGCGGCCACGATTCCTCCCGCAGCCCTGGAATCGAACAGCAGAGCGTGGGCTAGAAAATAAATATATATATGCATGCTCAGAAGAGCTGCTAAGACAATGAAATAAGTCACAAGCAGATTTCGTGGAAGGTAGCAAACCAATGTCGTTGTTTGTGCAGCAGCATGTTAGGCCCCTTATGAAGTTCTCAGGGAATCTGTGCCGCAAGGAGGATCGCGTCTGTTCAGCGAAGTGTTTCAGATATGCCAGCCGCTTCAGAGTCAGGTCTGTGTTCATTAAGGCCGGACGTAATGCACTGCCCATTAACTTTGCTTGGGCGAATCAGAAGTGGGGGTCTCAAGAAGTCCGACGGGCATTCGAAACCGTGAGACATATCGGATGAGAGGGTGCAGCGAAAGTAACTGCGCCACTTTCACATATTGAGCCACAGACGGAGACGGGCTATTGATGAAAGGCCTTAGGTGAAGGTCTTGAACACGACTGCTGAGTTGAGCTACGAACCGAAACCATAGACTTTGACTGGAGGAAGAGACATTGAACTCAGCGGATACTCTCAGGTAGTGGGTGAGGGTTGAGAGATCTTGCGTAGTTCAAATCGGAGTAAGCAGGCAACCCGGCTGGGCTGCTTCGGGATCGTTATAGGGGAGCATCACGACATTTGCAGCCTGCAAAAGAGCGTGCAGACCTATAGGCAGTTTAACCGCTCCCTTCGGCCAAGCGCGAAGGACCAGAAGGGCCAAGCGAAACCAGCATCTGCTCAGTTGGTGGTAGAAAATAGCGCTCCCGAACTCGGGCATGATTTGTGATGTTGGAAGGATGCCAAGCCCGATCGGGGAAAGGACCGTTGGTCGCCGAAAATGAACGCTCATACTGAAGAATTATTTTGCCGGCCTGACTCACTTCAATGCCAACAATCATGTGCATGCAAATACTCTGACACTTATTGATCACAATTGCTGAAAGTCTAGACCCCTTGGAACTGTAAATTGGCCTCCAGATCCTTGCGAAAGCGTTCGTAGCCTCATCGACATGGCGACTCACGGGGCTGCCACCCAGCCCACCAAAGTGTCAATCCTCGGGAAGGACTCAATTGTGGTCCATTATGGCCTTTGGCAGAGCTACATTGCTCACGATCTCCTTACTGCAATACCCTCGTCGACGTACGTGCTGATCACAGACACCAACATTGGACCCCTCTACATCCCCTCCTTCCAAAAGAGCTTCAGTCGGGAAGCTGCAGCCCTCTCCTCCCCCCCGCAACTCCTCACATACCAAATCCCGCCTGGTGAGAACTCTAAATCACGGTCGACAAAAGGCGTTGTCGAAGATTGGCTCCTGTCACAAGGATGCACGAGGGACACGGTCATAATTGCTCTTGGTGGAGGTGTGATCGGGGATATGATAGGCTTTGTTGCGGCCACCTACATGAGGGGCATCAAGTTTGTGCAAGTGCCTACAACACTGCTAGCCATGGTGGACTCGTCAATTGGCGGAAAGACAGCAATTGACACTCCCGCGGGCAAGAATCTCGTCGGAGCATTCTGGCAGCCGCAAAGGATTTATATTGATCTCCAGTTCTTGGAATCATTGCCAAAGAGGGAGATCATCAATGGCATGGGTGAGGTAGTCAAGGTAGGCTTGTGTGTACCACTTAAAATAGTCAGCACACTGAAACACGTAGACTGCCGCCATCTGGGATGAGGAGGAGTTCACTGCGCTGGAGGCCAATGCTGAAGTGATCCTCCAAGCCATCGATAAAAAGCCAATCAATGGCCGTCGCAATCTGGACGATATAGCTTTTATCCTGAAGCGAATCGTAATAGGGTCCGTCCGAGTCAAGGCCGAGGTAGTGTCGGCTGACGAACGAGAAGGCGGTTTACGGAATCTCCTCAACTTCGGACACTCGATCGGGCATGCAATGGAAGCCATTCTCACTCCTCAGATTCTCCATGGAGAATGCGTAGCGATGGGCATGGTGAAAGAGGCGGAACTTGCGAGATACCTCGGAGTCTTAGACCCGTCTGCTGTTGCTCGCCTCACGAAATGTATCGCCAGCTACCAACTCCCTACGTCACTATCGGACAAGGTTGTTCGAAAACGGTCTGCGAACAAGCATTGCCCAGTCGATGAGATGATCTCCATCATGGCTGTAGATAAGAAGAATGCTGGCAAACAGAAGAAGATCGTCCTTCTCTCTGGCATTGGCCGGACCCACGAGAAGAAGGCCAGCTCGGTTGCAGATCGGGATATCAAGCTCATCCTCTCTCCCAGTGTACTAGTCCACCCTGACATTTCCTTCGATTCAGTTGTAACGTGCACACCCCCTGGGTCTAAGAGCGTTTCGAATCGCGTGCTGGTTCTCGCTGCCCTTGGTTCTGGTTCATGTCGCATCAGCAATCTTCTACATTCAGATGATACTCAAGTTATGCTAGATGCACTGACGAAAATGCAAGGGGCCACCTTTTCGTGGGAAAATGATGGCAAAGAGCTGGTTGTCACTGGAAATGGCGGCAACCTGAAGACGACCAACGATGCGTTGTACCTGGGCAATGCTGGAACGGCCTCCCGATTCTTGACATCCGTTGCTGCTTTGGCACAGCGAACAGGAGACATCACATCCACTGTTCTCACTGGTAATGCTCGGATGAAGGAGCGTCCGATTGGCCCGCTCGTTACGTCTCTTCGATCCATGGGGGTAGATGTATTCTTCAAAGAAAAAGAGGGCAGCTTGCCATTGCGAATCTCAGCCTGTGGAGGCTTCGGTGCAACCTCAGGAGAGCGAGCTTTTACTGGAGACATCGAGCTTGGTGCTACAGTTTCCTCTCAATACGTTTCTTCCCTTCTCATGTGTGCTCCGTATTCTAAGGTACCCGTCACCCTTCGACTTGTCGGAGGCAAACCGATCTCGCAACCTTATATCGACATGACAATTGCCATGATGGCAACTTTCGGTGTGCAGGTCGAGAAATCGCAAACGGAGCTAAACACCTACCATATTCCAAGTAAACCTTACACAAACCCCGCCGAATATGTTGTCGAGAGTGATGCGAGTTCGGCAACATACCCGCTCGCAATAGCAGCCATCACAGGCACAACTTGCACAGTGCCGAATATCGGTTCTGCATCGCTGCAAGGTGACGCACGCTTTGCGGTCGAGGTTCTTCGGCCGATGGGATGTAAAGTTGTACAAACAACGACCTCCACCACTGTGACCGGCCCGCCGAAGGGTGGTCTCAAGGCAGTTAAAGAAATCGACATGGAGCCGATGACGGATGCATTCCTCACCGCTTCAGTCTTAGCTGCTGTCGCATCCTCCAACGGCTCCACTACCACCACTCGAATATATGGTATTGCCAATCAACGAGTGAAGGAGTGTAACCGGATTCAAGCGATGGAGGACGAACTTGCGAAATTCGGTGTTACATGTCGACAATTTGATGATGGCATTGAGGTTGATGGTCGAGGATATCAGTTAGACTCACCGAAAGCTGGTATCCACTGTTACGACGATCACAGAGTCGCCATGAGTTTTGGCGTCCTCGCTCTTGTAGCCCCAAAGCCTGTGCTCATTCTTGAGAAATATTGCACCGCCAAGACGTGGCCAGGATACTGGGACAATCTTAACCAGTTATTTAAAGCCCAATTGGATGGGGTTGAGGAACAGCTCGTCCTACACGACAGCCATCACGGCCTCAAGACACATGAAAAATCTATCTTCATCATTGGTATGCGAGGTGCTGGCAAAACAACCACCGGCGGTTGGGCAGCTCGCATTCTCGGGTGGCCTCTTCTTGACTTAGACACAGCTTTGGAGGAGCATGTAGGCATGACGATCCCGGAGCTCATCAAAGGGAAGGGATGGGACGGCTTCCGAGATGAGGAGCTGAAGTTCCTAAGCAAAACGATGAAGGACCGGCCCACAGGACATATTCTCGCTTGTGGTGGTGGCATTGTCGAACTGCCCGAAGCACGAAAGATGCTTTCGGGATGGCAGAAGGACGGTGGTATTGTGCTTCTGGTTACCAGAGATATTAGCAAGGTCATGTCATTCCTTCAAATCGATAAAACACGACCCGCTTACGTCGAGGATATGATGGGCGTTTGGCTGAGGCGAAAGCCTTGGTACCTGGAGTGTAGCAACTACCATTTCCACAGTCAAAGCGTTGATTCTGTCGGTCTCGCCAACACATTAGAGGACTTCTCCAGATTCTTGGCTCTAATATCCGGGAATGGGGCAGCATTGCAAGTGGTGAAGAAGAGGAAACAGTCCTTCTTTGTTTGTCTTTCCGCCCCTCAGATTCTGCCTTGGGTCAAAAAGCTTCCAGAGATTGTGGTTGGCTCAGATGCGGTCGAGCTGCGAGTGGATCTATTGGAAGATCCCAACTCAAACGAGGGAATACCATCGCCGGAATTTGTCGTCGATCAAATCGCCTTGTTGCGGACTGTTATAACGGTGCCACTAATATTCACCCTTCGAACAAAAGCCCAAGGAGGCAGGTTCCCAGACGAGGCTTATAATGAGGCTCAACAGCTCTACCGCACTGCACTCCGATTGGGGGTCGAATTCGTTGACCTTGAAATGACAATGCCGGAGGAAATTCTCCGCGAAGTCTCTGAAAACAGGGGCTTCACCAACATCATTGCTTCACATCACGACCCGCAAGGGCAGCTGTCGTGGAGTAACGGCTCTTGGATACCATTCTACAACAAGGCTCTTCAATACGGCAACGTCATCAAGCTAGTAGGAATAGCGAAGACTTTACAAGACAATTTTGCCCTAGCAGAATTCAAGACTTGGGCAGAGAGTTCTCACCCTGTCCCCATCATCGCAATCAACATGGGCGAGCATGGCAAACTCAGCAGGATATTAAACAACTTTATGACGCCTGTTTCACATCCTCTGCTGCCATCTGCAACAGCCCCTGGCCAGCTTTCGGCTACAGATATTCGAAGTGGGCTCTCTCTTATCGGCGAAATTCAGCCCAAGAAATTCTACATTTTTGGCTCTCCCGTCCAGCAATCGCGCTCCCCACCAATGCATAACGCTCTGTTCGCCGAGACTGGCCTTCCTCACTCCTACAGCATTCATGAAACAACGAACGCAAGCGACATTAAAGAAATTATCCGCTCTCCCAACTTTGGCGGTGCTTCTGTCACAATACCACTGAAGCAAGATGTACGTCCACTTCTTGATAGCGTGGGGCCTGAGGTCGATGCCATTGGCGCGCTCAACACAATTGTCCCTGAAACCAGCGTTGACGCCTCCGGCAAAGAAACCACGCACCTCGTCGGGCACAACACCGACTACCTCGGCATGAAGCTTATTCTGCGCAATGCTGGCGCACAAGGCAGCGCCGGCCTTCAAAGCGGCATCGTCATCGGCGGCGGTGGTACATCGCGTGCCGCCATTTACACACTCCACTCAATGCAATATTCCCCCATCTATCTCCTCGGAAGGAGCCCATCTAAGCTCGCAAAGGTCGTAGAAGACTTCCCCCAAAGCTACGATATCCGCATCATTCCCGACTTCACCTATATCGCCAACCTTGAGAAATTACCGACCGTCGCGATTGGCACTATTCCTGCTGACCAACCAATTGATACTGGTATTCGCGAAACACTGTGCGCCCTGTTTGAGCGTGCGAAGGCTGAAGATGCGACGGTGGATAAGGGTGACATGGGGGTGTTACCAATTGGCAGTTTACCGCCGGACGGGAAGAGGATTTTGCTTGAGATGGCATATAAACCAACTGTTACGAGCTTGATTCGCTTGGCGGTGGATGCGGGTTGGAAGACGGAGAATGGATTGGAGGTCCTGGTTGGGCAGGGGGTTTATCAGTTTGAGATGTGGACGGGGGTTAAGCCGCTTTATAAGGTTGCTAGGGTGAGTGTGAGAATGTGAGGTGAGGTTGGGTGTGAGCGTATGCTAACTTGTTATAGGACGCTGTTATGGGTACTTGATATTCGCACAAGTACTTTTCTCATAGGGTGATGATTCTGGGTGATTGAGATGCAGCATAACAGCGTGAGTTTCGTTTATTGTGCTCGACTTTCTCGCTGTAGTTAGAGTAGACAACAGGCAAAGGAAATTGTGAGAGCAAAATCATCTCAAAATTTCATATATTGCGTTATATTACCCCATAACTCGACAGCTTCTCTCGCCTGCTATCGCCATCGAACTTCGTGATCAACCTGTTTGCTCCACATCTGCCTCTTATATTGGGTCAGCAAACCCAGGCGAGTATAGTCTACTCATCGTTTATGTATTCTCTGGTTTAAATCCCACTCTTCTCGCCTGGTACAGTTTCTGCTCAAAGCGCGGTATTGCTTTCTAAATACTGTGCCCACCCTGGTATTAGATCCGAAACCTCCATCCTTTCCTTTACAATAGCAGATACTACAGATTCGAATCGGTCACCTTCAAAGGGTCGGAAACGTCCCGCACTCGACGAAATGGGTTCCGAATAGGAAGCCAAAATAAGGCAAGACCCAACCACCCCATGCAAATCACGAGTACGAAAGACGTGGAGTGTAGGAGAACGCAGACCAGGGAAAATGTAGTCTATACGGTGGAGTTCAGGATGCAGACGACAAAGCTTATGAAGGTTTAAGAAGCCAGGAGAGAATGCTAAGACTAGTGAGTGAGGAGTCTGAGAACGCCAATGCAGCAGTGTCGATGATAGCGACGACGAAGAATATTGATAGCGGGGATAACAATGACTGTGAGGATTTTGTGCTAGATCTGTATTATTCCAAAGATTGCGTGGGCTCTTCAGAATCGGAATGTGGGAATGGGAGTGGCGCGATGACGAGGTTCGAGGTTCAAGACAGGGACAGGGTGGACAGGATCGCCGCGAAAGCAGGACAAGGGGAAGTCACAGAGACGATTATTCATATGGCAGGAACGACAAAGATAGGGGCAAGCAGAAACGTTCTGCGCACCCAAAGGGCGGTGGTAGTGGCAGTAGCAATAGCAAGAGGGGCAAATAGTCATGACCTTTTCCCTCGCATACGCCACCCAATCCTTTGGTGTCATCCTCCACTACTGAAATGCTCAGCTCTCTGATGCCATCTTTGCATCAGCGGGGGAACATGGAAGCAGCATATTCTAAGAAATATTCGCAGAAGTTTGCTCCGGCGATTGGCTTCCAGCTAGCGGAATGAAAGGAGATTTTGAAGAACTATCTAAGGCCAAGGTGATTTGTTTCCGCAGGCGGAAAATGAGGGTTGGGGCCAGGACCGAGCTCACGTGAGGACGAAGCTGAGTCGATAAAGGTATCTGGTGTTAAGATAGATAGGAGAAAGGGGGGGCTAGATAGACGGAGTGGTGGGGTACCAATGCGGGAGAGAATATTCAGTGGGGCTTGCCTGATCGTTTTCAAGCCTGTGTGAGATGGCGGGTCAGTGGATCGGCGCAAATTGAGGGTGAATGGAGAATCAAGATTATATTTCTTGAATAATATAATGGAGGGCGGATAGACTTCAAATAGAATTTGGCTAATGGGTCAAAAAGTCTGCATCTTGCCCTTCTGGAATTCTTCATTTCTAAGCCTAGAATTAAGGAAATCGAATATCGAGGACTTAAAAAGAAGACATGTCGAAACATGATAAAGACCCAGAATTCTGCACTAACTCTTGCAGAATCTCATCGCAAAGAGCTGGGTGGTCCATCCCGTATCCTGACTAGATCATCTTCCCTTAAGCAAGTACTGCTTCGACCCACATTCTTCCCCGAATCAACCCTGTAGAGCATATCCTACACCTGAATGAAGCTCAGCAATAGCTTCCGCAATTGCAGACTCAAAGTCTTCGTCCGAAAAAGCGACAGGCAGCTGTAATGCCTCGTTATCTAAGTGGTCAGTTTTGCCCAAAGTCTCATCATCCACAATCTGGAAGTTCCTGCCATTGAATATCCAAACTTCATTAGAGTCGTACATCAACACTTCTATGGGTCTATCTTCTCCGTGCAAGTACGGAGGAATGTAGGTAACCTGGTCTCTGAATGTCTGCCCGAAGATGCGGAATCGGGAACCCCGGGCTTTGAGCACTGCTCCAATTTCATAAACGGGTTTCCGGAAGGCATGGAGCCTCCAAAGTGTTGGGATTCTGTCCAAGGGACAGCAATGGGTGAGGGAATTGTGCGCCGCGCATATGTCCAATTCAAACGCTTTTGACGTTTTTTGGACCAGGAGTCGGGCGTTTCGCATGACCCGAGTGAAATGCTGGCTGTAGGAGCTGTCTCTTGCACAAGTCCAAGATTGATCTGAGAGCTTGAGCGTTTTGAGGGAATCTGGACAGCCATGTTGGTCTAGGTACTTGCACAGATGTGATTCTAACCCGAGTTCTAGATGCTGGAGGTTCCTGAGATTGCGTAATTTAGCGCTTCCTCTACTGTCGTACTCAAAAAGAGAGCACCTAGTGCCACCAATATGAGTGAGTCGCTCGAGTGAATCGGCTTGCTTCTGTAGGATATCCAGGAACCGAGTGTCTGTTGTTCTGGGAGCACCTGAAGGAGAGCAAAGCACGAAGACGTACAGTCGCTCGCCGATCGAGAGCTCCTTGAGAGCACGAGGCAAGCTTAAAACAACTTCTAGAAGATCGAGGTAGATATTACATTCGATGAATGTCAATGATTGAAGAGGCGTGGACTTGAGCTTGTTTGGGGGTATGTCGGCCATGGAAAAGTTTGATTCGAAATTGGAACACGAAATAGCAAGGCGTCGCAAGGTCGGATGAAGAAAAATCAACGCATTTAGACCAAACTTGAACCTAGTGTCTCCACGTCCGTGGCCGTGCAGTGTCACTGCATATGTTCAGCTTGAGGCCATTAAGGAGGAGTTCCAACTTACTCGACTGCAACATGGGAAGAACTGGAAGTGGTTTCCGAGGATTCCCAGAGGCCTTTATCAAGGCTGTATAGTCGATCCGGCAGTAATTAATGAATGATACTTCATTTCCTCTCCAAGGGTTATTGTTCGGGCAGGGTGACTCTACTGTTAGGTGACGGAGCTTATCCATTCGATACAGAGGGGCGTTTAGGTATTCAATTCCCGTCTCATGCTCTTGAACATAACATATGGAGAGATCTTGGACATATGACAACCGTTTCTCTCTAGATGTTAAGGCCTGGGCTATATTGTAGGCATGTTTGCCCTGAGTGACGAGGAGCTTTCGCCAGATAAAGGGTTCTGTAAGACCTTGGAGCTTGGAACAAGTTGCGGCGAGGCAGCGCAGGCTTTGGCTGGAATCGATCTGTTCGATTACGCAGAGGAGTATTTCGTCGACCAGAGACAAGAGGCTTTGAAGGCCGGCTTGTTGCGCCGCAGCGTCCATTTCTGGGGCTTGCGGGGTTGTACCTGCGACGAATGGTGTGATTCGTCGCCTTTCTGCGATCCGAGGTAATGAGGTGTCAAACCAAACGATCAGAATCTTAAGATGTTCCTGCTCACCCTAGGTTCGAAATCATATGGCGACGAGGGAGGTGGATGTAAGGGAGCAGGTAACAAAGGCTCGCCGAAAGAAGCTTATCGATAAGCTAGCGTCATTTCGATCACATGCCGATTCTTGTTTTGAGGCCGTTTATGTCCTTGTTCTGCACTTCACTCTATGTGTGGCCTCACAAACTCCTGTAGACGGCTTCGAGCCCTCCAAGAGGGCGCCCATGTTCTAACAACATACTTTGCGGCAGCAGAGCCAGCTCAAGGTTGCCTAAGAGGAATTCGTCAGTATTTTGGAAGAGGGTAGGACGACCCGGCGCAGCTTCAACTGCACAGGACAACTTTGCAGTCCTGAGCTGCCCAACCCATACTGCGGAAACTGCGTTTGCCGTTGTAACTCCCAAGCTAGTGGTGGGTAGTGTCAACAATTGACGACCTCTTTGCTCAAGATTGGTGCTGAAGGACCTGTTTCTGGGTGCCATTGCTTGAATATTGTCTGGGCATAGTAGGTAGTGGAGTTTGATGTCCTAGTAAGTTAGTGGGGATAGAAAGGTGCGGGTTGTCCCTATGTACTGATCTATATCCTAGCCGTCTATAGCGTTTTAGCGTGAAAATAATGGGTGGAGAGTAGGTAGAATGACAGGAAGCATAAGCATGAGCTTGTAAGTGCTTAAATACTGAGTGGCTCATGATAAGTATGAGCTTGTAACCTTCTCTCTGCTGCAGAAATTGATCATAGTGATGATTTAGATCGATATATGCAGGTGATTCTCTTTGCAAGCAACTTACTCACACAAGTTTGAACTATTTGGCATAATGGCTTAATCAAATCAATCGACCCTGGATGATCCACCACACGTTTTTAACCAGAAGCACGAACACTATTCTAATGGTGGTGACAGTCGACATCAAGGCCTGTGTCGTTGACCCCGCAATCGGTATTAGTCAAATATGAAAAATAAAGTTACGTCCTAAGGAGACTTCTCAACCGCTGGGTGGTAAGGGTGGAAAGCTGCAAGCAGAAGGCAGTAGTACAAATCTAAATATAGAACTTGCATGCGAACAAGAATAGCTGGTAGCGGCTTCCCTTCACCAGGTATCCGCTGGTGAAAACTCTGGAGACTCATGCCCAACTGGGATTTGTAGATTCTGGGTATCCAAAAGTCATATCGCCAGAGTTGTTATCCTATCTACATCACTGGCGGTATATGCGCTGTAGGTAGTGTATCACACCACTTTAGCGACCGATCACTCGAGTTCCGATGGCTGATTCTAAATAATACATAGAAAGGATATTAATGCGTCTGCGGGCTGCCCCAAATAGTTCTTCGTGTAGCATTCAAGGAGAAATATTCTGGGGCACCCCTTTTCCTAGGACTTCTAAAATCTGAGAGCTTTCCTATTATCTACAAATTCTAGAGAGCCCTTTCATAGGGCCTCCCTTTCTAAGGAGAAATTTTCTAGTATAACCATCATCCCAAGGGCCGTTCTATGGCTAGCCAAGCCACGTGAGTGTAGACCAACTCCTGAATGCCTATAGGTTGGAGGCACAGAATAAGGAGCTTAGAGAGCAATCTAGAAGGCTTGGGAAGAGGTATGTTGAGATGGCTAAAGGTGATTGTAAAGAAGACGCGAATAGGGCGGGATTTGGCATTGAATATGGCAGATTTGGGGGAGAAGGCTGAGGTAGGCTAGGCATTAACTTACGGGCCACAATTAGGCGTTTGGTAAGGCTGATCGATGTTTTTATCTAAATTGGAGGATGCTGCGGCCTAAATCGTTCCAATAATTAATTTTTGACCTGCATGGGTCCTTTCAGGGCCAGTTGAATGCCCTGGATGACGGCTATGATTTTAGGAAGAGATAAGTGTCGCGTTATGCATAAACGAAGGCCTCACTTTGATATCGTTGAAAACATTCAGCCGTATGAATTGAAAGCGTTAGGCATAGTTGGGCTTCTTACTGCATAGAACCGGTGTGAGATTGCCGAGGCTTCAACAGCCGTATATGTGGCTTGGGTTAACCTCCATTTCCACTCACGGTGGCTTGTCTCGATCAGGCTAGATAGGAAGGTATAAGATTTCCCTTTATTTCGCTAACCACTCCCCAGAATGTAATCCAGCCTCCAGGAAGAATTCAAAATGGCGAATACGCCTTCGGAATATCCAATTGGTCACCTTGCCATAGGCTATCCAAGATTGGCTGGCCAAATGGAGATCCTTCCAGAAACTGCAATATACCGTCGTTTCGGTGCTCTCAACTCACGGAATCTGCTCTACTATCAAGCAGAGCTTGCGTCGTTAGAGAAAGAGCTGATATTACAGGAAAATTTGGATAGCAGCGTACCGGAAAAGCAACGGTATGCGCTTGACTGGTACTGGCTGAGCCAATCAGTAGAGCAGGGAGATAGGAAGCAACTCGACCTAGTCATGAAGATGCGAGCACTCCTCAAGGAGTATAGTAAGCTCCTTCCCTGGAAAGTGAGGAGAGGCAAGGAACTAATACAAATTAGATGAAATCCTTCTGCAGCAAGCCAAAGTCTATGATCTTCAGGGGCCGGATCAGTGGGACTTAAGAGATCTCCAAAGATTTCTCCAGACTCCAGAAATGGGCCCCCTCGCATTAATTGGAGACGATGCGATGATTTGGGGTTCCGTGACCAATCCAAACTCTCACAGCAACGATCTCGTTGCTTTACGGCCTCGCAAGAAAGGAGATCCATTTTCTGGATGGCTTGCAGTGAAATCAGCCACGGCACTAATTCGCTGCGGAGGCGTTCGGTGGAAACGCCCTTCAAGAGTCCATGGCGAGGTTGGGTATCAGGATAGCACCATTTTCCGGATCACACGGTGGATCACAACAATTTTGGCATCATTAATTCCTCTGGCATCGGTGGTGGCATTGTATTTTGTACATTCACTTCCTTCTCGCCTTGGAATTATTGGAGGGTTCAATCTTCTTATATCAATATGCTTAAGTGCTTTTACGACGGCGAATCGAGCTGAGGTTTTTGCAGTGTCTTCAGCGTAAGTGACAGTTTAAAGCTCTTGAGCATGTAGCTGATTCGAATTTAGTTTCACGGCTGTTCAAGTCGTTTTCATAAGTACCGGGAATAAATAAAAGGACCATTAGAAGAGTAAGGAGAATAGACTTCCTAAGGGTAAGTCCCGTGATCATGGACCCTCAAGCATCAGATAATCACGAGGATTTATGGAGATTAGGAATGTGGGGCTGAACTAGCTTCATGGATATTGAGAAAGTTAAGGTAGAGACGATTCGAATCAAAGATATAATTTCTCATCCCAACCAATACTGCACTACCGACGTCGAACCAGTACTGACCTTATTTCTGGATGCGATAATTGGTGGAGAATTTGATGGATTTTCGCAATTGTGCTCTTGAAAACCTCCTAATTTGTAATGAGAATGATTTACGTTGTGGACGCAGACTTCTGCCTTAACGCCTCTTTCTCCTACTCAGCCACGTTAAGGCATATCCAATAGCGAAGTAGTCCGAGGAAGAGCTTTCCGTACCTTCTGCTGCCTATGAGCATCCTTCGCTTTGGAGTTGGCATCTCGCTTTGCATTAGCGTCGACCTGGTCCCCATTCGCGACTCTTTCTGCAAACAGTGAGTAAATATGTTTGATTTAAGAATGCACACGTCGAGTACTTAACATCGATGGCCTTCTGGACCCGACGGAAACCGGCCAGAAGCTTTTCTCCTAGTAGGAGTAGTCTTTGGTCTTTGATGGTATTGAACCCAATGATCACGTCGAATGGATCGTTCTCGTTGCTTGAGACATGGAAAATGGCATTCATGTACTTCGACGTTTTCCGGATATGGGGGTTGCCGACTTCAGATATATTATTCGAGAAAGCCCATCTGCCTTTCAAGACTCCTAGGGAGAGATATCTCTCGCCGGTGACGGAGACGAGGTCGATATCTCTTGTATCCTGAGTCTCACATTGAAACCCTAGCATAGCTGCTACTCTTCGAGATATGAGATTATCCGGACAACCTGTGTCAAACAGGGCTATCGCGTAGCGTAATGCTTCTCGTTTCTCGTCCGTTTCGTAGGCAACTAATATGTTCCTCACAATGCCCTCACCTTCCCTATCCAAGCCTTTCGATCCTTTCTGAGCTCCATTTTCCATTCCATTGAGTGGCGCTTCCGTGTCCTCATGACTTTGGGAGGAATACATCGGGTGTTTACGAGGCGGTAGAGGATAAGTATCTGCAATAAGAAAATGTTGGGAGAGACGCGATGGAGACAAGATCTGGAGATTTTATACTGCACATAAAGAGAACGAACATAGTGTGGGAATTTCGATAAAAAGCGTGATAATGTATATTTGTTATTTGCGGAACGATGAAGACGGAGCGCAGATTGGATTACCAGGAATCGCGCCCGGTGTATTGTTGGAAGTGTAAGGCATACTATTAGAGAGCATCAAAGTTTCCATACGCGTGGAAGACGGGTCAAATGTGAAGTGCACACGTTGTGGGTTATCAAAGATGACGAAATCTGTTTCGTATTGGTGCGGCGCCCAGTGGCTGTGCGAAATGCTGTGGCATCTTATTGGAAGATAGTAGCTATCGCACATTTTGCGCGCGAACAATATACAACTATATTTATTAACTTCTACAGTTCAAAACCTGTATCCAACCACTTCTCACAAGCAGTATCGCCGATACTATTCAGATCCAGTACAATGAGCACCGGAGCAGCAGGAGTGTGGTCGACACGTTCCGCCTATATTGAACAGCCACAGGTTCGAGAACAGCAAGGCGCTCTGCGATACAGGCCCGGTGAATTGCAAAAGGATCTGAGAACGACCGAGAATTGTGCACCTCCTCGAGCCCGTAGCCCTCCAGCTGGCAAACCCACCGGCAGCATCTGGCACCTTCTGTCGTTTGTTGTGTTTTGGTTGTTCAATGCCATCGTTCGTTTTACCTCGCAATGGCCATCACAAAAAAAATTAAAAGCAGAGGAAGACTTTGTCAGAACCATTATGATCGCTTTCGTCGTGGATAAACAGGGGAGCAAGGAGGAGGTGTTGCGGTATGCTCGGGCTAAATTTGACACCGGAAATCCAATAAATCTCATATCACCAAAGTTCGTCCGCAGTTTCGGAATTGAAATCGACCACGGGGAAGAACAAGTAAAGTTGACGCTCCCCGGAAACGGGAAATTCAAGTCTATCGCTACTTTGCCTGGCCGTTGGTGCGCGGAAGGGTCTGGTAGGACGTTTTATTTCGACCCAAGATTCTACAACGACAAATTCGAGGTATCAAATGTCGATGAACGTTTCGATGTAGTTATCGGCTACGAAACAATCACTAGAGAAGGGTTGATGACCGTAAAGCCTGCTCTAGGCTTGGCTGGGTTTTATCCAAAAGGTACGTCTCAGCTTATAATGAGCCATCTGGCATTCTCATGGATTGAGACGCTAATTTTGGTCTTTTTTAGACACAAAGAATGATCCCTACGTACAGAATCATGAGAGAGGGCCGAGTAGGGACGAAGACACAGAAGCTGGTCGAGAAATGATTGTTGATCCTCCCAACTTACAGGTTGAAGGACACACGCGACGATTGGGGAACCAGAGAGTGGAGGAACATAGAGAACATGACGAAGAAGCGGATCAAGATTGCGCCGAGGGGCCTAAGAAGGGATCCAAGTTTGATCGAGAAGGAGTGGGCATTTCAGAGAAGGCCAGCGACGATCAAGAAAGTATAGACAACGCCACCACCGTGGGTCCTTTGACTCAACGTCCTCGACTATCTATCTCGTCTTATTACTTGGAGCAACAGCATGACAGTCCAGCGTCGACGTCTCTTTCTGAGTACAGCTCGGACACACAAGGAAGCAGTATATTTAAGAGTGCACGATCTAGCGAAACATCCCGCTCAACACTTCTAAACTCCAACGTGCCCGAATTTTTGCGCCCTATAGAAAAGGTTGAAGAGTGGCTGGAAGATACTATCAGGAGTAATGGCTCAGAACACCACCAACCAGCTGGTGAATGCAACGAAACCTTAAAAGAAGGTCGTGCAACTCTACCTGTAGACAAAACCAAGCGACAGAAGAAGTTAAGGAAACGACGATTCAATGATGAGGGGGACGAGGATGGTGGTGGTGGTCAAAATCCGTCACGGCGAAGAGTAGAATCCCCAGACAAGGGACAAGTTACACGGAAGCTAGCTTGTGTTTTTGCGAAACACGATCCTCTTCAGTATATTAGGTGTTTTGACCATTGCTTTGACAATATCCATAGGCTAAGGTAAGGATCACCATAGTTTGATCCCTTAGATGCTGGGGCGGGCTCTAACTACGGAATTCTAACTAAATACTTCAACAGACAGCATTTGGAAAGGCGTCACTATGTCCCAGTACATTGCCCAAGGTGCTCTGAAGAGTTCGAGGACGCGGCTGAATTGAACGACCATTTCCGCCAAGTGGCCGTTTGCGATATTCGCCCAACTCGCATATGGAGTGGCATCAACGAAGAGAAGCAGAAAGCACTCAAGAGTATGAGAGCGTCAAGAAACAAGTCAACAGAGGAAAACTGGAATGAGATATATAGGCTCTTATTTCCTGCCTCGCCGCTCCCAGATAGCCCATGTAGGTCCATTTAATCCTGTGGACATTCCAAGCGGGACCATCCCACTAAACAACACTGCAGGGGCAGGAGAATTCCGTATGTCACGCGCTTTCCGAGCATTAGGAGAATTTGCTACCCAAATCGCGCCACCTTTGATCACAAATGAGGTGAAGAGTGGACTGCCGGCCGAGCTCCGGGGGCAGGAGCAGCATGTGGAAACGTTTTTCCAGGCAGCCCTTCCAGCAATCATGCGAAACATCTTCGCCGAAGCTGTCCAGAATCGACAGGACATAGAGTCAGGGCTAAGAAGATCGAGACGCTCTCCGTCTCCTTCCATGCAATCAACCACAGCCATGACCACGGATTCAGGATATAAATCTCGTGTAGTATCATCTTCAGCACATGAAGAGAATTCAAATAGCGTAGCGGCTCATCATATACCCGTATCGTCTTCTTCCTTGGATCAAACGCTCAAGCCAGAGGGACCACATCAAATGAGTGACACCAAAATTTTAGGTTCAGAAGAAACTTTGTCCAGCCGAGAAAACGAGTCTAATTTATTTCCTCGGCCGTCAACAGAATCATCGGCTTTTGCCGAGCTCTTTCCAGCCTCATTTGGTACAGACTCGATCATTCAACCAACCGACCAAGAGGGTGAGCAAGCTAGCGCACACGTCATGAATCCGGGTCTGAACTTAATCCCGCAACGGCTCGGATGGTCACCCTTACTGCTATTTTCCGAGAATTCTGGAGAACAACTAGACCGGAGCAATCCATCGTGGGATCTGTTCGAACCTTTGGATCTATCGCCAAACTCGTTGGGTTGAGTCAATTATGTACTGCCTTGCTGCAGACTGTTGTTAAAGAGACTAGATTCAAACAAGGACGGAGGGATGTATTGATAATGCTGTAAGTACTTTACCTGCCGTATCCTGCTGTGGCACAAAATACTCTAAACAGCAGAGGCCATTTAAGGTCGTCACAGTTAGTCTTGTTCAGGTGGCTTGGTAAAATCAGGTGCTTATTCATTCACTAGCACACAGGGATGTTTAATGAAAGCCACCTTACTAGTATAAACTATAGGGTGTACCTGAGAGATCATCTAAAATGCTAGTTCTAATAAATAAGAATATTGAGGAAACAGCTTTTAAAGATGAGAAACTGATCCAATACTCGATAAAAGTGCTGCTCTTGAAACAAGCATGAAAGATACTGCCGTGATACCAGAAGTCAATAGCAGGGAGTAAAAATTGCACCCTAACCTTGAGCAGAACATATAGTAACAATTTGACAATGAAGATACTATTGATGTCCACGAGTAGAAGCATATATACATACTCATGAGCTCCGTGCGTAATGCAGCGCTGAAATCCTCATGCCTTTGCCACACCAGAGATAGCTTAGGTCGAAGCTGGACGTCCTTGAACATTCATACGACATGCTCTTTTCGGTAGGGGTTGGCCTCCCTTCGCGTTCGAGGCAACTTGGGCTGGAAGCGGAACTGTGAGGGTAAAGTGACATATATGCCACATATACTAATGCAGATGTTTTAGCCTTGGAACATCCGGTACGCAACATTACTAACATTCTGTATCCTAACTTCAGTGACTTTGTTCAGCCATGGCTTTCATATCGGCTAAGCTCATCTCGTCCTAAAACAACGTCGTATTCAACTTCTGATGTTATATAAAACCGAGTCGGTCCGTATCTCTTCTGCTGGTTACGATCCGGCGCCCAATGTCGCTCGACGTATTCTGGGAGCTCTGCTTCGTTCGCGACATCGAGGAATTCTGTCACGAATCGCCGCGAGATGAAGCTATGGCTGCTTTTGGGGCACAAGGAAATCACTGCTGCTCGCCACTGTGGCTGCAGTCTTGTTTCGATTAATACGAAGGGTGGTTGCGGATTCTTGTCGTTTTCGCGCTGATTGAGCGTTAGCTTCAGACACTTTGGATAACAGAGGATGTAGTCAAACCTTTCGAGAAGGACGAAGGAATGGCATCCACATGCTTGTTGTATTAAAGGGAACAGAGGAACAGAGGAACAGAGGAACAGCGCCTGCATAGGCAGATAAGGGTGTTGAGTCCTTCGGGGGGAAGTGAGGTGGAGTAGAGGATGGCAGCTTTTCTGGTAGCGTACTGTTTACAGAAACATTAGCAAGAGGCGGGATGGCAGGGGCTGAAAAACTCTAGATTCATGCGCTAAGTTTCTTAATTATCGCGCCGTTTGCGCGAAGCGTGGTAATTGAAGCCGCTTGTGTAAAGAGGTGAAGAGGATGTGTGGAACTGGAGTTCTTAGCTTGGCATGCCAGTTCATCGCTCGGAAGAAGACAAATGCAGAATGGGAGGGGCGTTCAGGTCAGCTGCAGGTAAGCGTGCATAGAAGCAATAAGGTGTCGAGTAGAGGACGATTCCCCACGAAGAACGTACAAGATAGTACCTAAGTCGAACACAGGGTTCAATGTGGTAGTTGGTAATTGATGTCGAAGCTCACATCTGTCTTCTCTGGGGGCCTCGAGCGATTTCCCGCCTCTTGACTAAAGTTGACAGTGAATCTTCCTAGATCGGCCAGGTAGTGCAAAAAGCGAATGTGATATATTTAGCTCGCCCAGGAGAAGAATCCTCACTTCGGAGAGTAATATGATGGTATGGATGCGGCTCGGCCGGCGTTCCATCACTGAGCGGCCTCATCTCCACGAGGCTGGAGAGGCTGCAGACAAGGCTGTCTCACCATCTCACTTCAATTGAACTCATCTCTTTGGCATCTACATTCTTAGTCTCTGCTATTGAAGTTGAATAGTGACTAACTTTAGATTTATTTGCTTTCGGCTCGTTCACACTAGCTATTCAACTGGCGCAGAAGAGTGGGAGACTCGCTCCAAGGAATTTGCGATGAGAAGAATAGTTTTCTCTCAAAGCAATAATGGAAGGACAACGAGGGAGGTAGAGTAGCTACAACCAATCCTAGGGCAAGAACAGGTTAGCAACTTAAAATCTTCGAAGGAGACAATACTCACAAAGGCAAATTACTCAATAGGACCCTCCGAGATGCCCGCTCCAAGTACCACCGCTCACTCTGATCGACCAGGATTCGAGGTGCTTGTATACAAGGGAAGGCAACGGGTCGGAAGCTTAGAGCGTTTAAAGGCGGCATTGGTGGACGTGGTGACTGATAGCGGAAGCTTGAGCTCCCTATTGTAAAAGAGTCGATTTTAAGATGGCAAGAGGTCAAACCTGCTTGACCGCTGGTATTTCCCAAGTGTGACAAGGAGTTCTGTAAAGAGAACTCTCCTTACTCTGATGCGACAGGGTCAGACTGAACTCGTCAAGCATGGCTTCGGGCATGCTAGCGTGTGATCCAAGATCTTCACTTCGGTCTGTACTGACGACCGAATCCACGAATCCGAGAGGTCCAAGGCCACCCTGCATGGTATCACTACTTCGAACGATGCATATTGTAGTACATTTGTGTCACTCTCAGCAAACGGTGCGATGGCGGCTCGCTGCTAACTGCCAACGTGTTCCAGGGAACTCTCCAGGTACTCAAATATATTCGACGTCGCTAGGGTAGGATGTGAAGATGGATGCAATGTGGGAGATATGGATTGACAATATTGCTAAGAATTTGAGATGATGTGGAAACAGTGGGAGAGCCATTGCTGGGGCGTAGAAGCTGTCCTGGTTGGCTGTTGACAGGAGACAGCATGAACCTACTCAGCGATAAATCTCTCTCACAAATTACTCCACGATCACGCCAGAAATTAGCTTTTCGGCTCGTGTTTCTAGTGCCGGCTCAATAATTACACATCCGCAGCATCCGGGGCGCCGCGACAGCGTTGTTCAAGAGCCGTGTTTGAGATCGTTCATGTTCCATGCCATGTAGCCCTACCCGAGCACGTTCTACTGAACGCTAGCCCACCAAGTAATTAATGCATTCTAGATCTTGTCTAAGTACGCAGGAGGAACACAGCCGCTTCTGTTCATGCTCATCTACCCATTTGTCCATTATGATAGATAACTTGTTATCCATGTAATTGCATATCGTTATATTTCGTGCCTTCCCTCCACCTTCGGAATCACAGCTACCGCCACTGTGACCTAGGTATGACGTCCTCTCACCCTAATTACTGAGCACGGTGCCAGGTCTTCGGTATCGATCGATATAAAGAGAATCGGGCTGCAACCTAAGGTTAGATCAGGGCAGTAAGTTCCCAGTAAGCTGAGACTTTCAAGTGTTTGGCCAATTCCCTCCTTGCCACAGGGCCAGAAAGAGACGAATCCGGCAGGCATTGCCCGACACCCAGGGTGGCAGGGGACGATGGCCAAGGAGTAGAATAAGTAGTCGAGATTTCTATAGAGACAGCAATCATTTCATAGCAGTGGTCGTTGGGCGAAGATGCGAAGGAGACGCACTCAGAAAACACAAACAGGGGATGCACTTAAAAGAGTAAAGTGGCTTGGCTCGCTTCTAGGAGCTCAATCTAGCCTGTAGTTGCACTTCAACAACTATACCCTAAGATAACACTAGATTCTGTAAGTGTATTATGCAGAAGTGCTAGGTAAAGCTTGTAGCCTCTAAGCTATATTATAGATGTAGGGGTTGTAAATACTTTGAGAGAAGTTGAGCTCCTCGAAGGGCAGCAGCACCATCGATCTTCAAGACTCAATTGCCAGTTATCACAGTATAGACGTCATGTTTAGCCCCTACTCCAAAGATTAATAAATCCACAACTACTAGGAGTCTCTTTGCTTTGCGACCCTTACGCAACGGCAGAGCCGCCCGACCAGTGTCGCGACGATATCCTTTCCCTGTCAATGCGCCAACTCCCCGACTACACGACCACGGCTCTATCAGGCCCAGGCTCGAATCAGAAGTCTCGCCACGGTCCATGCTGCAATAAGAGCCACATACCTCGCCCCCTGTATATCATATATCAAACGAATCGCCCCGTCCAGCAGATACGGAACCCTCTGAGGTGGTCCTCTCCAATGACTAAGGCTTAAGCAATGCACTCATTACCATGGACTCAGACAGGTGACTTCATGAGTGTCACGACGTTGTTCTTTCTTCCCAATAGGTTTCCGTTTATGGCATCTCCTATGCGTTGCGAAAGTCGAACTCCTTCCTTCTATAAGCGGTTAATATGCTACTTATTCTATGCCCCAATGCTATCTCCCCTCTTTGAGTGCATACATGAATAACACCTTGTGACATGCCTGGGAGCCATTCCTGTCTTATCAGCAAGTTTCTCCTCGAGGAGTACGAAGGTCTGGGCTATTGATATCGATCAGAAAATTTCACCATGGAACAAATACGATTTACCCATATTATATCAGGGCAACCTGTGTCAACTCCCAAAACTTCTAACATTTATATCAAACACATGCTAGGCGCAGAATACAACTCGCGTGTATTCTACTTGCCTGCTGGCGCTTTTGGTCTTATAGTCATGTCATATTCTCCTCGGTCAAACGAAAGAGATATCATTCGCGCATAAATTCGGAAGTACTTGCAGACGTTACGTCCCAAGGTGTGATGGCTGTTCAGGATTTCGTGTCAATCTCCGGAAAGTTGAAATTTAAGTATGATAACTTGCAGCTATATGGCACGGGTACAATATGGAGGACTTCGACAAGCTTCACCGTGGATCTTGCCGAAGTTTTGTGCACGGTCAGTGCATTATGAGAGCTTGTGCGTAATTCAAGACACTGCTGAATCAAAACAGAGAAGGCGCCAAAAATTATTGCGCCGACCTTACTATCTCGCGTGTTGTGAGGGCTTTCTAGAGCACACCGACACGGGAGACCACAAAAGCAAGCAGAGGTCCTAATCACGCGAGTGGGCGTATCGTTCCGCTCCTGCTGCGCGGTTACAGGGCGCAGGACCCTTACCTCTTTGTGAGTGTGGCGCCTTACTTACTACTCTAATGACGCTTTCGTTATCTGAGCATTCAGGGTCCCAAACCGACCATCACCTTAACAGCCTCATTTTGCGCCCAAATACGCGGCCCCAGCCGCTACCACCGACATTATGTTTTGCTTGTCTAGGAGGCTCCGATGCTCTTCCTATTCTCAAACAGAAGAATTGGTAGACTCCTCTTATTCACCACCAGCATTCTCCGTTCCTAACACTTTGTGCAGAAACCCCCAATTATAATTAGGATATGTGGTAGTGCGGACACTACTGGCGCAAACAGATGGAGAGTTGCACGATTATCTATTCAAAACTCGGGCGAAAATATCATTTCAAGACACTTAGTAAACGAGATTCTACATTTACCGATTCAGCCATTGGACCACGCAACCCCCTCAATCGTTCAGCAGAGCTTTGAAGGATATGTAGACCTTTCCTGGCATTTCGAGGGTCATCCAGATCAGCAACACCGTGGTCGATTTTTTGTCACATCGAAAGTCCATCCTCAACACGATGCAATCGACGCGACTATTGGAAGACGGAGCTTGGAGCGCCTTGGGACCCCGATGACACGTCATTGAAGGACTTGAACGTGACAGGGGTGTTGGAGGGAGTTTGGGTGGCGCAAGAAATGATAAGCGCCAGGGCAGATCTTTTTTCCTTTCCTTTCCTCATGGCATTATCTTTGTTTTGGGAAATCGTTGCATTAACGGGCGACTTCATGATATTTTGATACGGTAGGCATTAGAATTTAAACCCTTATTGAGCTAGAAGGCATATAAAAGGTGGAGGTTGCGATTGTCTGTACTATCGTCCTTTCTCACGTTCCGCTGATTCGGAATTCGACAACGAACGCTGGCGATCGTGATGTATCTGTATTAGACGAAGCAATGGGTTGAGTGCGGAATTCTAATTTGATTCAGCGATGTGAAATGACCGTTACTGCATTATCCTACGTAGTATCACAGACTAATACGGTGGGCGATGACATTGGAGACGGAACCACAAACTTAGCGCATCTAAGACAGCCTTCGTCCATTGACACTATTCGACAAAGTTTGTCGTCGTAGATCTAGATCTAGGTGCTAGAAAGTATGCGATTCCCTATACAAAGCACGCCACAGACGCTAGATGCATGCATCTATCTATCTATAGCGCTCTAATCTTGATCTATCAGACAGAGATTTAGATGAACCTCGCAAGCCGCAATAACCGCCAAAAAATGTGCCTTCCAGTTTTCCAGATCCTAGCCATCATCTTCCACCTATAGCTTCTCCTTAAGCCCACTCTTCAACCTCCTCTCCACCGCATTCAAATACTCTGTCGTTGTAACCCAAGCCGCCCGATCCTTCCTCCCGCACGCCAGCGCCAAATCCTTAGTCATGATACCATCAACATCCACAGTATCCACACACGCTTTCTCGAGGGCTTCCGCAAAGGCCACCAACTCGGGTGTACTATCCAACTCGCCACGTTTCGCGAGGCCCTGGGTCCAGGCGAAGATGGAGGCGATGGGGTTGGTGGAAGTCTCGTTTCCTTTTTGGTGTTCGCGGAAGTGGCGCGTGACAGTGCCGTGTGCGGCTTCGGATTCGAAGGTCTTGCCATCCGGGGTGATAAGGACTGAGGTCATGAGGCCGAGAGAGCCGAAGCCTTGGGCGACGATGTCGGATTGGACGTCACCGTCGTAGTCTTGGGTGTCGCGTTAGCTCGAACATGTCTTGAGAGAAAGTTGAGGTGCAATATGGACATGGTGTCTACGCACTCTTCATAGCAATGACGAAACCACCCTCGGATTTGATCATCTGGGCTACCATATCATCGATGAGTCGGTGCTCATACCAGATTCCCTTGGCCTCGAAATCCTTCTTGTACTGTCCATCATAGATCTCCTGGAAGATATCTTTGAATCGGCCATCATACGCTTTGAGGATCGTGTTCTTTGTGCTCATGTACAATGGCCACTTCTTATCCAGCGCAAACTTAAAACTAGCATGCGCGAACCCGGAAATGCTCTCAGCGGTGTTGTACTGCGTCTGTGCGACACCACCGCCGGCGGGGAAGTCGAAGACGGTGATGGTCTCTGGTGCGCCACCTTTGGGAGTGAAGACCATTTCGAGGGTGCCCTCGCCGTCAATGACGCGGTCTTTGGCTCGGTATTGGTCGCCGAAGGCGTGACGCCCAATTATGATGGGCTGTTTCCACCCGGGCACGAGACGGGGGATGCGGGGAATGACTATGGGGGCGCGGAATACGGTGCCGCCTCTGGGAAAGGATCAGTATCATCGGCACCAAGCGCCTTTGCACCGAGTGCTGGGAATTTTCTTACAAGTGGTTTCGGATGGTGCCGTTGGGGGATAGCCACACTAGAAGCTGTGAGCGTTGAACATTAGGGGAAGGCGACAGCCATACTCTTCTTAAGCTTAAACTCTTCCACTCGCTGCTCATCTGGTGTGATGGTCGCGCACTTGACGCCAACCGAGTACTTCTGAATTGCGTCGGCGGCATCGAGAGTGACCTGGTCGTTGGTCTCGTCACGGTATGGCAGACCCTGTGCCTGTCAGACTTGATTCTCCCGCTCGCGCGCTCCTAGCTAGGCGGCACATACCAAGTCATAGTATTTTAGGTCAATGTCGAGGTATCTTCCAATTCATTAGCTCCTGTTGGCGGCGGCGTGTGTCGGCCGTGGCTCTCACAGTGGACTTACGGGTGGATGAACTATGGATCGAGAAGTCAGCATTCCACGCCCCACCCTCGCTATAAGGATAACATCACGCACCTTGTCCTTAATGTCCTGCCAGATAATCCTCGTCATCTCATCCCCATCCAGCTCCACCACCGGATTCTTGACCTTGATCTTCTTAATAGTCGCCATGTTGCGTACCTGATGCGCCTTCAGACCAAAAACTGATGCAACAGCTGGGGAAAAGCTCTCTGTTGTCCGTCGTGCAGCCAGGAGTCTCACAGAGGGCCTCGTCGCCGAATTCGCAGCCAGGCACCTCGTCGCAAAGCCACAAGTCTGTCGTCGAGGAAGCTGTCTCTGTCTCCCGATCTGTATCGCAGCAGAGCGGACTGTTGAGGAAGTCGGCTTCATGGTTGGGGAGTCGTCTATCTAGATACTTCCGTAGTGGACTTCCGTAGTAGGGCCTAGAATGCAGATAACCTCGGAATTGGCTCGCCGCAAGCGATAAATAGCAGGCAGGTACTGACTGCTTGCCGGCCGCGCTTCAAACTTGCAGGTACGTCCCGCAGGCAGGACTCGCAAAAACACGTCTCGCCGCGAGTTCTGATACGTTGACTTCGGGGTGCAAAGTCGCGGTGGCGGGGTAAGGAATTCCGAGGCGGAAAGGAAGCGCAACGGCTTTAAAGGACGAGTGGTGAGTGGATTATGGATGGATGTAGGTCCTCCGTGTTACTGGTCTTGAAGCAGAAGGTGTTTCGCGGCTAATAGACTATTACCCCAGGGGCAGGTGGTTGTGTTTCCTCGCTCGAGCTGCGCAATTGATTGCTGTTGTTATTGTACGCCGGCTGCGGCACTTGTCCGTGCCCATCACGCGCTCCGTGGTCACCGCTCCGCTGCCGAGCGTGGGGCTCAAAAGTGCTGTCGGGTCGGAAGTGGCATGCTCCGCCGAACAGAACACTGAACGAACGTATGCCACGACATCGTCTGTTGCATCTGGTGTTGTTTTGCGGCTTCGACAGTGCACACTGTGTCTGGTCAGGAACGAGTGGGGTGACAAGAGGGTGATAATCTGGAGTAATTGTTGGTTGGGTCGCACTTTCTATTTATGCACGGTATTGGGCTCAGCACGGTTCCCGCACATTCATGACTGCGGCGGGCAGAAGGAAAATATGAACTGCCAACGAGTGCTGCTGGGGAGGGACCTGTTGCATGCCATTGGATACCTTGATTACTTGTCGTCCAAGCCCTCCCTTCTGGAAGCCTCTATGTCTATAGTGGAAGCATTTTCAGAAGAACAGCCCGCACTGTCCCTAAATGTCATCGGTATTGTCTGATGGCTGTCCGAATCTCTCCGTAAACGGATGATTACCATGCGAAAATGCTCGCAGTCTCCTCATGCGGGCATAATTAATCCGGCAGGCCCGCGGGATTGAGCTTACACGCCGGTGGACCTTCGCTAGGTTCATGGGGAGGTCGCTCCCGCTCTCCATGCACCCTCTCTGCCTTTACGAAGGCCGGGATCACTCCTCCCGTTTCCAGGTCGAAAGATCGATGGCCGACGGCCTCCAAGACACTCGCAATAGCTCCGGAGTGGCTGGTTAACGACAGAAAAGCTCCGTTGTCGTGTGCAAAAACGTCGTCGAGGAGTTTCGAAAGTCGATACTTCCGGGCTGAGCTTGGTTCTCGATAATCGGCACTCCAGAGACGATCCTCTTCTGAGAAATTCTCTTCGAGTTCGACATGTGGGAACGATTCGCGGATGTATGTGGCCGTGCTGCGGCGGTCACAGGTATGGACGCCAATAGCTTCGCGTAGTAGCTACTGAGGTCAGCGTGTGTTGGCCTGCCTTAAAAGTTCATAGAACTCACTTCTTTGATGATGGGCTTATAAGGTTTATGATCCGGAAGACGCAGACCTTTGAAGGTGACATCCGCTGTCTCTATAGTTCTGGTCAGAGGACTTACATAGTAAGTCTCTGGTGCTGGAATGCCCTTCGGCAACAGCGCTTTCCAAAGGTCGTTAACGTCCTGCGCCTGTCCCTTCCCTATCCCCGTGAGATTTGCATCCGACCACGTGATTCCATCAGCGCCGTCCAGCATAGACCAATAGCACTAGCCAAAGAATTAGCAGCAGAAATTACATTAGGGGATGTGGTACACACATCCCAAGCCTCCGTCCCATACTTCGTCTCCGCAACATTATGCCATCCCTGACCATGTCTCCCCAAAAGCAGCACCTTAAACCGAACTCCATCCTCACTCTTCTCATTCAAATGCCTTACATAACTTTCAAATCTTTGCCATTGGGATATCCCTTCATGTCTCTGTCCATGGTGGTCCTCATACTCCCTCTCGATAAGGCCGAAATTCTGCTTCTTCTACTAGGTCTTAGCACAACCCCCTCACAACGCAAGGAGACGTACAAAGTCGAATTTGGAAGAATCCGTGTTGTCTTCTGATTGCAAGAAATACCCTTTCACGGTGGTATATTTAAAATGAGATGAGCTCGCCGTAGCCTCCGGATCGAGGGTGGTGGCGCCGTGCATAATGAAAAACAGCACTAGAATGGTGACTATGAACAAAAAAGGGCTAGATATTCAGAGGTTAGAGGTATCATATAACAAGGTGCGGTCGCCCATACATTGCACTATTGATGCCACAAATTCGTAAGGAAGGCCGTCCAATTCGCAACAGCATGTCGAAGAAGCTAGGACTTTAGCTACAAAGCACACAGCAGCACCAAAGAGGCGCTCATGTTTATAGGTTCTAAAGAAAAGGACATGTCGGTTAACTGGTCAATATAGACGTCAGAAGCGGCGTGTGTCCAAGAGAGAGTGTGAACTGCCCCGCTTCACGATTTGAGCCAATTACAGCATGGACCTCGGGATGAGTCGCACCACGTGCGAAGCTGCACGTGAAGCTTGGCTTAGACTGCCTCCCTCAAATTCACATACATGGTCTTTTTTCGCCTCCTTTGTCCCGCTCACAAAGCACGGAAAATATCAGGCCTCATTTGTGAAACCATACCCACCCAACCACCAAAACGCCAGTACATGCATGCAGCAGCGAACAACCCATGCCGATTACAAGTTCGCTTGCTCCCTCTCAACCTCATACATAAAGTCAAAATAGGGCTTGTCAAAGTGATGTACGCGGACATATCCGTCCTCACCACCACTGCAATATCCAAGACCTTGCGGATGGACAGCGACGTAATTCAGAGGGCCGAAATGTCCTCTGACACGCCCAATCTCTTCCATGAAGACCTTGTGGTAAAACCTCGCTTCGAACTTTCCTTGCCGTGCACTAGTTGTGGTAACATCCATGGCAGCCTGGCCGCCACCGAGGATGACGTAGTCTTTGACAGGTGTAATCGCGGCGCTATTCAGCGGGGTGTCGGTGGTGTAGGTCTTGAGGACTTCTAGGCTATCGGTGGCGAGAATCTTTGCGGACTTGTCTTTGGAGGAGGTGATGAAGTATGTGCGGTCCGGTGCCCACTGCAGATCGGTGACTGAGCATGATTAGTATGAACCTCATCGGACTGCCAAAGAATCGCTTACTTTGCATATCTGCCTCGTGTGCCTGAGTGTTGAACAGTAACTCTCCCGTCTTCGCATCGTACTGCGACACGCTACCATCCTCGTGTCCCGCTATGATATAGATTGCCAAGTAGCTGAATCCTGCAACCGTAGCTTTGCTCTCATCGCAAACTATCCGTAGGCTTTGTTCATCCGTCTGCTCGGCTTCGGGATCTGGGATGATTTCGTAGACTACGATGGTGCTGAGATGGCCGGATCGCTTCTCTGTCACTCCGAGGAGTTGCCTGCCGTCGGGGGAGAACTCGACGCGCTTGATGGACGTGTTGAATTCCCATGTCTTGAGGAGTTTGCCCGTCTTTACCTCCCATAATCGCATTGTGTTATCTGCGCCGCCGGTTGCGAGGAGTGTGGAAGTTGGGTCGACATCCACTGTCCAGAGAGCCCCTTGGTGGCCATGATATGCTACATAACTAGTCAGTTTGGCAACCTTTGCAACTACAGTTCGGTCTCTGCAAGCCACAGATTTGGAATTTGCGTACTTCCTAGCCGTTCGCCGTTGTGTGAGACTGGGAGTGGTAAGTAAGGATCGCTGCATTATTGGGGGCCATACTACATACACCATGCACCCTACATGCCATAGTCGTTAGCTATGTGCATCCTCTACGTGGAGGATACAAAACTTACAACTACATGATCTTTGGAGACCGAGAAGATGATATCCCCATCCGAGTTGTATTTAACCTGGGTGAGCGCGCGTTCATGCCCTGACAGTAGTATGGGCCGCATTTTTGCTAAATCTTTTCGAAAGTGGGCGCTGGAGTGATGGGCGTTGCACTTATTTCAGCGAGAAATGACTCCAACGTTGGATATCGAACGTATTCGAGAGTCGAAGTGGGATGCGCTAACCGAACTGAGATGTGGTCCGTGCACCTGCTCCAAAGCCTCTTTCACCTTGCCGTCTTTCACCGTGCTTTTGGCCTCCACCAGATGGTCACGAAGTCTACTACGAGGTTCTTCCACGGTCGATTGGTGATAAAACTAGAGCGAGCATCACAGCCTGCAATTTGAATATCTTCATCAGGGTTGGACTAACAGCCTCTGGTCGCAACTAATACAAGTCTTACCACTGACTGTCCACAGCCCCTCCGGATTCCTTTCAAAGAGTCATTTCTTTCTTTCTTTCTTTCTCTCTCTCAAGTCTCGGCGTCAAGCCGTTATCTCCTACGGTCCAGTCATTGCTCTTGGCTTGGCGTTTGGCCATCACACACCGCACTCACAGCACCATCACAGGCTAACTCGACCGTCATTACGCTCTACACGTGCGAACCTGTTGTTTTAACTAGGGCAACGGGAAAATAACCCCTAATCACCACTCCAGCGGGCGTTGCTTTGGGAGCGAATACTTACTAACAGCGGAGTCATAAGCTTCCCTCCTTCATTTCAACAGCCATGGCTAGAACATCTGCTGACCACCATCCGTGTATCGGGCTAGGTTTTCACGGCCTCTCCCTACTGCAAGCTGACCAGTACATCTACGCATTTGGCCCTGGGGATAGATATCTCCTTGGTACTCCGAATGGTTATGGCTTGTAAGTCGTGGTCAACTCATGATCACAGCCAACAGAGAGCTGACGCTAGTATTAGTTCCAACCTCCCGAAGGAGATTGTCGGCGACCTTCACACTGGCCTCATCAACAGGATTGTGTGGGCTTCTTTTGGTGAACATCTTGACTCTTGGTTTGTTACTTATGAGATGTTGGACGGCACACATGTCTATCGTACGCTTCAAATTACATGATCAGTTTACCCAGAGACGCAGCTGAAAATGCAATAGGATTTGGTGAAGCCATTCCGGCTGAGCTGCGCGACTTCATCAACCTTGTCTATGTGCCCCAACTTGGCCCTCCCCCGCCGCTTCGCGTTCAGCTTGGGGCTGGCGGATCTTATGTTGCATGGTCCAACCAACTCTGGATTTGTGACAAGATCCCGGAAGCTCTGCGTCTCTTGCTTAAAAATATCAGCATCGACGGACAGGACCCTTCTAGAGGCCTCATCGAGTTTGGACCTCTACGAAACGTGACTTGGCACCAAAATGGCTCTTACTTCATAACAGCAACTCTTGCTTACGAGGATCTGGGTACAGGTCATCGCACCTTCTATCGACGACACTTCTGGCAGTGGGAGGCCGCCCTTCTACGAAAAGGATGGAACCATCTTTGGAAGTATAGCCCGCAGGGTCCGGGTACTCCTAAGATCGACCTCGCTGTGAGTAGATCAATGGCACCGCAAATGAAATAGAAATGCTGATCAGTCCAAGCACGTTGCCATTAATCCCCATTCACCAATAGGCGATGATTTCCTCTTCATCATGAAGCAACTAGACGGCAGGGACGCAGATTTCGTGCTTCATATCCATCCAAATGACATAGCATCCCGTTTGACGGAAGTGAACAAGACAACCCCTTCAGAGAAGCAGCAGGATCACCAACAGGTTATTCCCCTCAAATCACATCCGCGAAAAGCTCCTGTCTTTAAATGGGCCAAGGCTAAATGCTCAGGTCGTTCCCACAAAGACGATATCTGGGAGCTCAATCTTGTCAAGGGCGAAAAGGTGAAGGTATTGCAAGAGCAAGGGGACGTCTGGTGCGTGGTTGAAGATACAAAGGGAAGGAAAGGATGGGTTCCGCGTATCTACCTTGACTTCAAGATGCGCACTGCAAATACCCCGGAGGATGCTTACGCGTTGTGGAAGGAGAAGACGACCAAGGTCTTTAGCGAAGGTAATGCAAAGTTGTTTCCAGATCCCTCCTCTTTCATGGATCTCTGCACCAAACCCGAATGCAGAAGGACTAAAAACGATGGTATGGTCCTCCAAATCTGCATTCACGACCTCGGTATGTTGTTGGGCGGTTCCGGTCGTTATTCGTACTCCTTCCTGAAGGATGAGCGGAACCAATGGCACCCTGACAAGTTCGCACGATTCTGCCACCTGAATCACCGTGAGGAGTTGAAAAAAAAGGCCGAAGAGCTCTTTGTCCTTATAGGGTCTCTCATGGACGCCATGGAAAAGGAAAAGGGAATCTTTGGCATCTAGGGGTTGTTGGCACTAGACAACCCCCTCCCTTAGTCGCATGTGGAAGGAATTAGCTCTTGGTTTTATATGTACGCTAATGGCCTATTGACACACTGTTATGAGAAGTGGTCTATCTCTGCGAGCAGATCCAAAAGGGTTATTTCTCTATTCATGACTTTGGAAGGCCACTGGATCAGTAGCAAAGTTTGAGGGGTCCGAAAAGGAACAAGCGATTGGCTTCTGCGCTATACCTAGTTCAGTTGACTTATGGACCTCAAGCTCCACGGGGACAGCCTTTCATCTTCCTTCAAACCTCGCCATTTTAGACTCCATCTACGAAAACGTGCGCACGCAGATTCCATGAATTGCCACGTCTCGACCTTGAGGTAGGCAGTACGTAATTGCCCGCTGGAGGTCTGGACACTCTGGCGTCGGCAACCCACTCAAAATATCCCGGCACAAAAAGTCAATCAATGATGAAAATTAGCCAGCAATGGCTTGAGTCATCGGAAGGGCAACTGGAACCATGAGTATTGCGAGGTCTCCCTCCTCTTTTTCTCGAATCCATCGTAGACGTTCAACACAGCTGGCGCGGCCGCCATGAGGCTGATTCGGATCTGCACGACGCGCCTTTCGCCGCCGCACCCTACCCCGCTGTTCCTATTTCACCCGCCACCAACTTTTCTCACCCCGAACACCCCGCGACGACTGTTCTCTAGCAACTCACCCCTCATGACGGCTACTAAGATTGACGGTACTGCAATTGCGCGGAGTATCAGGGAGCGTCTGGGGCGACAAATCCACCAGCGCCAGGAAACGAATCCGCGGTACAGGCCGTCGCTGAAGATTGTGCAAGGTGAGTCAGGCGAGCGAGGTCCAGATGAAACAATACTGACTTTTAATATAGTGGGAGATAGATCTGACTCGAGTGCGTCTGACGTCGCACGAACGGCTACGTGCAGCAATTGACGTGAGCAGGTACCTATGTGCGCATGAAATTGAAGGCCGCCGAAGAGGTACGCTTTGCTTGTTGGCTGTAGCATGGACTGTGCTGACGCCTGCATGCTAGGCCAACATCGATTGCGAGGTAGTCAAGCTCCCCGAAGACGTCACCGAGGCAGAGCTCCTCCAGCGAGTCCACCAGTACAACAACAAGCCGACCATTCACGGCATCCTCGTCCAGTTGCCCCTCCCGAAGCATATTTCCGAGCATGCTGTCACGTCTGCGGTCGCCCACGAGAAAGACGTGGATGGGTTTGGAATCACGAGCATCGGCGAGCTAGCAAAGAGGGGTGGACAACCTCTTTTTACACCATGCACGCCCAAGGGCGTCATGGTCCTGCTACGAGAAGCCGGTGTCCATGTGAAAGGGAAGCATGCAGTAGTATTGGGCAGGAGCGACATCGTCGGCAGCCCGGTTAGTTATCTTCTCAAGAATGCCGATGCTACTGTCACCGTCTGTCATTCAAAGACGACCAACCTGCCAGAGATTGTCAAGCAGGCCGACATCGTCGTGGCGGCAATCGGACAGCCGGCCTTTATAAAGGGAGACTGGATAAAGCCGGGCGCCGTCGTCATCGATGTCGGAACCAACTACTTACCAGACGCAACAAAGAAGTCGGGCCAGAGGCTTGTTGGTGACGTCGACTTCGAATCCGCAGCCGAGGTCGCCTCGCAGATTACTCCCGTCCCTGGAGGTGTCGGTCCAATGACAGTTGCAATGCTCCTGCAGAATGTTGTCGACTCCGCAGACGCAGCGTTTGAGAGGCAGAAGACGCGGCATATCACACCACTGCCATTGAAGCTCGAGGACCCAGTTCCCTCAGACATTGCTATCTCAAGAAAGCAGCCCCCCAAGCCTATAACCGTTATTGCGAGAGAAGTGGGCATCATGTCACATGAGCTAGAACCCTACGGCTCAACCAAGGCAAAAGTCGACCTAGCATTGCTGGAGCGGCTTGAACACCGCCGAAACGGTCGATACGTTTTAATTGCCGGCATCACGCCTACTCCACTAGGAGAGGGGAAATCTACTACAACAGTGGGCCTTGCTCAAGCTTTAGGGGCTCAACTCGGCCGCATTTGCTTTGCCAACGTTCGACAACCGAGCATGGGACCAACGTTCGGTATCAAAGGTGGTGCAGCAGGAGGAGGCTACAGTCAAGTCATTCCGATGGACGAGTTCAACCTTCACCTTACTGGAGATATTCATGCTATCACTGCCGCCAACAACTTGCTTGCAGCGGCCATTGAAACCCGTATGTTCCACGAGAATACCCAGAAAGATGGTCCCCTCTACCGAAGATTGGTCCCAGTAAAGAAAGGGAAGAGGGAATTTGCACCAGTCATGTTCCGCCGGCTGAAGAAGCTTGGGATCGAGAAGACTAACCCAGACGATCTGACTGAGGATGAGATTCGCCGATTTGCTAGGCTAGACATCGACCCGGAAACCATCACCTGGCGCCGCGTGCTAGATGTGAATGACAGACATCTTCGACAAATCACCGTCGGTCAGGCCCCAACGGAGAAGGGAAACACCCGGGTTACAGGTTTCGATATATCTGTTGCAAGCGAATGTATGGCTATTCTTGCTCTCAGCAATGATCTGGGCGACATGCGAAAACGGCTTGGACGCATGGTTGTCGCTAGCTCTCGCAGTGGCGACCCAGTGACCTGCGATGATATAGGAGCAGGTGGTGCTTTGACCGCCCTTTTGAAAGATGCCATTAAGCCAAATCTCATGCAAACCCTTGAAGGTACTCCCGTCTTCGTCCACGCCGGCCCTTTCGCCAACATCAGCATTGGAGCATCTTCGGTACTTGCCGACAAACTCGCACTCAAACTAGCAGGCACAGAACCTGATGAAGATCACGAAGAGAAGACTGGATTCGTGGTTACAGAAGCTGGATTCGACTTTACAATGGGCGGCGAACGCTTTTTCAACATCAAGTGCCGGTCTTCCGGTTTGATTCCGGATACAGTCGTCATTGTGGCTACTGTACGCGCTCTCAAGGTTCATGGAGGTGGCCCAGACATCGCCCCCGGTGCTCAACTCCAAGAGGTATACCGAACGGAGAATGTAGACCTTCTCCGGAAGGGTTGTGTTAATCTCAAGAAACATATCTCAAATGCGAAGCAATTTGGCGTCCCGGTCGTCGTTGCTATCAATCGCTTTTCGACCGACACGCAAGCCGAAATCGATGTCATCAAGGATGAGGCGCTTGCTGCAGGCGCCGAGGATGCCATTCCTGCAAACCACTGGGCTGAAGGTGGCAAAGGCGCCGTAGAACTCGCCAAAGGAATCATAGCCTCAACTGCCAAGCCAAAACCCAATTTCAAGCTGCTGTACGACCTTGACGGCCCGGTTCAAGAGCGCATCGAGAAGATCGGCCAGGTCATGTATGGAGCTGGAAAGGTGGAATTTTCCGAACTGGCGCAAAAGAAGGTAGACACGTACGTTAAGCAAGGACTCGGCAATCTACCCATCTGCATCGCGAAGACGCAATATTCTCTCAGTCATGACCCAGCCCTAAAGGGAGCGCCCACTGGATTCACGGTTCCAATTCGGGATGTTAGAATGGCGGCGGGCGCAGGCTATCTCTATGCTCTAGCTGCGGATATTCAGACGATTCCCGGGTTGCCAACTGCGCCTGGCTATCTCAATGTCGATGTGGACACTGAGACGGGCGATATTGACGGCCTTTTCTAGGCCACCCGAGGTACTGCGGACTGGCTTCATGGTCATGGCGTTTTTGAGAGACGGGATGGAACAGGTAGTTTCAGCGGCTTCTGTGCTCCGCTCCTCATTCAACATTTTATGCATAGCGACTTGGGATTGGCCCTCCTTTTTGGGGTAGTTCAACGATGGCCAGTGGGATGTGATGCGGATGTGCAGTTCTCTTTACCGTAAAATCACGCAATCTAAGATCAATTCATCAAGCGACTCCGCGCACACCACCACAACCACCAACACCTAACCTCGCGTTTGGCTGAATCTCTCACCACTACCGGTTTCCAGTAGATACGTTTCTACTCATCCATTCCGTTGAAACGCCAGAGAGTAAGACCCAATTGAAGTCCTGCCTCGCTTGAGAGGCACTGCTCCAAGCTGTGCTACGTCTGCATTAGGGCTTGTGTCCTCTCGCTTAAGATCGCAGATATTAATCGAACGACTACTAGACTGTTCCAGTAGACGTGTTTCAACCGAACAGTCCATCGAAACGTGGGCATATGCCTGGTACCTTGCATGAAGCTGCATGAGGTTGCAGGAGTGAGCCTGAACGCTACTTGCGTGGCTACGCGTGCTTGAGTTAAAGTTCCATGGAAATCGCGGTTGTCAGAAGATTACAATCCTTCGCGCTCTTATCTTTCATGTAGCCTCGGAATGTTGCTGGATGCACAAGCTCGGGCTAGAGCTCGAGCATGGCACAGCAGATCAATTATTCCAGAAGCTGCAGATAGTGATAACGCCTTGAGGTCGAATTAGCAGGTGGGCAGACCCCCAGGCCTCAATTCCTCTTCAAAATAGACTGGAAGTCGTTGTATTGACCAAGAGATGTGAATGGGCACCACCCGGGAGGTGGGCATATGCAGTCGAAGCAAAGCGTAGCGCGGGACGCGGAGCCAATGACAGAAGGCCCTGCAGCGGCTATCTTAGGGTTTGTGTAGGTCAGCACGAACATCTCCTCATCTTCCATGCTGCTTCCCTCGAGTCTCAAGGCGAACTGTGGGATGGTAGGCGAGAGAACGAGGGGCAGGCTCTAAAAGAGAACAAGCAGAGAGAGCTCCCTTAAGAGAGGGTTTGTCCACGAGAGCATGGACCCAACGCGGCATGGTGTCCCAATCATAAAACGCCCCAGCGGCTATTTTTTGTGCTCGTGCTGTCAGCGGAAACGTCCTCTCAACCTCCACGCCGCTTCCCTCAAGTTTTAAGGCGCACTATGTACACATCTCTTCCTTGCCCAACTCCGTTCAATCTATAACCGAGCCATTGACAGTTCTAATTCACCTCCCTCCATCCTGGAGATGACTAGGACCCACAAAACTTTGCATCCTCCCCGGATCGAATGCGACCGTAAATCCGGGGGACTCCTCCTTGAACCGTTCTCTAAATAGCTTATCGATGGTTAAGCGGTGGTAAGATTGCAAATCCTTATCGATAATACGGCCTCAAAACATCGTCTTGAGGCAAGCCAACATCAAAGGTCTCATTCCTCGCCGTAAGGCGAGACAGCGCTACCCGTTCCTTCTTGCTCCGGGTGGGCAGCGGAACGAGACGTCGAAACAACACGTGGAGATGAAGGCCTCTATTAACCCCAAACAGTCTCATCCTCTCATCGCGGATGAAGATGGCATCGTCGGGTGAGAACGTGCGTCCGTTCATCTGGACCTGCTAGCGCATTTCTCGTTCGATGCAATTGTGTCTTCTCTTGCTTGTTAGTCAATTGGGCTTTCCATTCAGGTTGAACTCTGCGCCCCAACTGAGCCTTGTCTGACCGCCTCATGGCGTATTCCTGGTTGCACCTAAATGAAGTACGCAAATCTAACTCCTTCGGTCAGCATCACGCTTCGACATCAACTTTCTTGATCTTGGAGTCGCACTCCATGGCCGTCAGCCCGTATCTTACGTATCATTTTTTGTCTTTCGCACCAGAGTGAGCGAATCGAGCCCTTGTTTGTCAAGCGGTTGCACTCTGCCAATTGAAGAATATGTGCATCCAATTGCCTCTCACAATAGCTTAGCCTTTTCCTCAGAGTTACGATAAAACGGATTTCTGATTCAATCTTGCATTCTCTCTCTTTGAACGCCACTGAAGGTGAACCAACTCCGTCCACGCCTCCGACACCATGAACGCCCATCCCTTCCTAAACTCGTTCTCGACACTGCCCCCTAGGGATAGAAGCAAGACAGGGTGATTCAAGGATGATGAGCGGAAGAGTAGGATCATTGACGGATTGAGGTATTTAAATAAAACCAGGTAGACTCTTCTTCTCAATTGCTCCTCGAGGACCAACCTCGCCATCGCTTTTGAACACATTTACAAAGTCTCCTCAAAGGTACCAATCCTAACCATATAAACCATCCACTCTGTCCACTTCCACACTCCTCCTTTCCCTGTACATCTCCCATCCAGCAGGCTCGGCCTCCATGCCTCCACTCTTGTTTTATTCCGCGTCAGCACCACACCGTACCTCTGCTGTCGCTGCCATCCTCCTTCTCTTCCTCCTCCTTACCAATATCACCTTCGCCGCGAACTTGAGCAATCCGGCTGACGTGGCCAGCTCGCTGCGTGCTAGACAGACTGCTTGCAAGGCTTTGAAGAACTGTCCACCTTCTCCGCAGAAGAAGGTTCTAGACGATTTACCATGGAACGGTGTTCCTCAAGTCCGCCGGCCAAGGAGGAAAAGGAGTGGAGTGGCGAAGGAGGTATAAAGGTGCTGCCGTCGGGGCACCACGATGGCATGTACTAAGCAATTGATATATTCTACGTGCCAAGCTAATGAAAGAAAGTATCTCTTCTGCCATCCCCCCAGCCTGCAAGAGCAGAAAAGAGGGCGAGGAGGGCTGGGTCCTTATCAGCCCACCTCGTCCCTCTCCCCACTATTGAGACGATGATGACGTATCCTTCACTTCCACGCCCGCTATACGACAGCCTCGTTCGCGGTGATCCGCCTGCCCAATCATACAATACCATCATTCATACACCCAAGCCTCCGCACATGCGTACCCTCGACCAAAACCTCATTCGTGCTGCCGAGATTTCAGCTCTGCGCCGGAAAAACAGATCTCGATCACGCTCCAGCACCAATTCCTCAGTGGCGGGCTCCGTTTCTGGATACTCTGCAAGCTCCAACTCAGTCTACGGGGACGAAAGCAGCAGCTCATCTGACGTCTCTGAGCCGACAAGTCCAGCAAGCGTGTCCTCGAGTGCTAAAGCCACTATTGCTAGTTCTCCTGCCAGGTCTCCAACTGTCCAACTACCCCTGTCAGGCTCACCAACCTTGTCAACATCAACAGAGGACAGCATTATCGATTCATATTCAACTCCTCACTCCCAAGACCCCTCGCCCGCACAGTCCTTTCATTCAAGCCTATCAGCCCTATCCGCCCTTTGTGATTCGGCGTCCTCACTTAGCGCACCAAGCTCATCCCGAAGCAGCGCACCAAGTCCTGCAAGCAGTGCATACCCATCTCCACCTACTACTCCCAGCCCAGAGAACTCTCGTCGCTCAAGCTCGAGTGGAGAGGAATTTATGTATCCTTCGCCGCCTCCGTCCCCAGGTCCGGCTGCCTACACACAAGGCCGCACAAGGGAAAGAAGAGCATTTACATTCCCTGTTGCACCATCTCCACCACCTCATCCCTTGTCTCAAGGCCAGGACCAGGACCAAGATCAGCCTCCGTTTCCAAAAGTAGTCCGCACCACGAGTATGTCTTCTCATCCTACGCGCTCGCGCGCTCGGTCTAAATCGTTTGATCCAACTCGAATTCCGTTGTCAAGTGAAGAGGAGTTCGATATTGGGGGACAGCAGCTCCGGCTTGGTGGAGGATCGATGTATGACGATGATGAGGATATGGAGTGGAGTTTCAATGGGGGGAGCATTGTTTTTGGGGCCGCTGGGTTGGCGGTTAGTCCTAGGGCTATGATGGGGTGTTGTTGTGATTGTGGGGGTGAAGGGTTGGGATTGTATGTTATTGACGAGGTTGATGAGGGTAGTGAGGAGGCTGGTGTTGAGAGTTGAGTATGAGGTGTGGGATGGCATTGGCCTTGAGGTTAGAGAGGGGGTGAATGAATTTGTTGGCAGGCGGCTGCGTTGATTTGGTGTTCAGGTAGATGGCTGTATCGGGATAGAGCATCGTGTCCTTGTTCAGTTTCCGACAAGGACCTTTTCTTCTCATGTATCATATCAATTGACTTCATCTTGGGTTCCAATTCATGCTTGGACTTGCCTACTCTTATTCTTCCCTATCCCACCAAACCACTCTCCTGATACCAAACTCTTAAACTCTCGGTATCCACCCTTCCATCCCCAAATCACTCACCACACTCTCCTCATCTCCTGCCAACTCTATGTGTCCCGCACTGGATATTACTAGCACCATTTTATAGACAGGAAGACATGAAAGTGTTCTCCCCATCTTCCAAATCTGAAAGACGTAATGGGCTATTCTCTCGTTTCGCAAACCAACAACTTTGCATGTTGTACAGCCCGCGCTGAAATGCAAGATATTTTTGAAAGCTACTTGATTACCCTAATCTTAACTCCCTTTATGACAGCTTGAATTTAAATCTGTAATCTTGTTGAAAGGAAATCTCGCGCAAGTTTACTGTGGCCACCTTCAGGCGTAGTTTACCTCTTAGCCTCGAAACGGAATAAATCATAACTCGTCGCAACCATGTTCTAAGACGATGTAATTTCCGTTAAAGCCGTTTGCAGTTCTATGCATTTAATATGGAATTCTCAAATGAAACGTAAAAGTTTTGTCATGCTACCTACTGGAGTAGAATTCCTCTAGCATTAATAATGTCGATTTCAATCCTAATTACGCGAACATGGAAGCTCTCCGCAACTCTCTTCGCTGGATTAGCAATGAGGTCGACATATTCCAAGTACGCGTACCAATACGAGATGAGTTCCTCGAACCGTAAACAGAGCCGGACTTGTTTTTGCTAGGCACAGGAGATTGTGTCTGTAGAATTCGCGCGAAATAAGACCCCCGTCGTCGAAACCTGCCGCCTCACGCTTGCGATTTACTAGATAGCAGTATGCTCATTCGTAGAAGCATGGAATACCTTGTAGGAATCGATGGATGAATTCTGGATACGTAATCGGACGTAAGCGTAAGTGACTCAGTAAAGGCATTGGAATGCTACCAGGAAGAATCTAGCAAGCAATGGAGATAATGGAGGACAAGATGGAAGACACTTGGAGAGCGAATGGAGCAGAAATATGAACTTCAGTCCATTTGTTGTAATGAAGGAGGACTTGTGCCCTCAGTGCGCTAAAGTTAGCGTAGATAGGCCCTTCTGGATCCATTCAGACGAGCATGAGGGGGTGGATTCGGTGTATTTGGGACAACATATCCGAATGGTACCATGTTAGGGCCTTATTTCTGGGAGCATAATTTGGAATTACGATACCCTTAAATGTTCTGTAGAAGATGAGGATCCTAGTAACAGATGAATGAGGGTTCTATAAGCGAAATTGAATTCAAGGAGAACGCCGACTAAAGCTCTACCGATGACCAGAATTCAGCCATTGATGACTGTTAGAGTTCTCTCTTATTTAACATTAAAATTTTTATTGGGAAATGATGAAGAAACACCAAACTACTCAACCTATTTTGTTAGACCCTTAAGTTTTCATGGAAAAGGCCATTGAGAGGTCTCGTTTGGCAACAAGCGGATGGACGTTTCAAGAACGCTTGTTATCTCAACGACGGCTGATCTTCACTGACGACCAAGCTTGCTATGAATGCCGTAGCATGTATTGTCACGCGATGGTCATCATTCCTCCGGAGAAGTTTCACGATAAGGTCCTCTAGCAATCTGAAGCCATCTACATGAGTACTGCGAGTTTCACACGACAAATACCCCCTTTCCGTAGTCCATTCCCAGCTAGACGGTTACGACCAAATCAGGGATTCTTCAACAAGATTGTTCATCGCATCTTCTGATGGATTGAATGACTTTCTCGGGATCTTAAATGATTTCAGTGCAAAAAACAGGTCCACCATATTAGGGTGTGCTGTCCCGCCGGAAAAGTGTTGTTACAATGAGGCCAAAGCGCCGCTGTGGTATTGCAGTCCGTCATTCGTCGCAGGCATGTTCTTCCAACACCGGTTTAGCGACTCCATGGCAAGGAATCCCAGCCTTCCCCGTTGGTCATGGATTGGATGGAACAGTCGTGTCTATTACGAGGAACTCCTGGAGAAACCGGTGGGACCTATCGGAGGTGGCTGTGTCAATGGAACCTGAGAACGGTCAACTTCTTGCTCGGGAGGATTTCCAGCATTGGTATGTTGAATGCAGAGAGCCCCGGTGGCCCTAGCGTTTGTGCACCGAGATAGCGCACTGGATGGCATTATCCAATGTACCTAGATTTCCTACTTGGATCATAGTTATATCGTGCGTGTGAGGTTCGTTGATATTGTTTATGATGCTGAAGAAGAGAGAGCCATTTATCATGGCATTATTTAGGCAACCTGCAGAACACATGCATCCGTTCTCTTTGATCACAAAGATTGAAGATGGACACAGGCGTATTGGGACTATCATTCCTCTAAGTAATGAGTGTAACCAGTTTCTCGATTCGCATGGAAGAAGAGCGTTTGGCCGTGGAGGAGTGCAATATAAACCTAGAGGAAGCCAGTGAGAACATAATAAGTTGGATTAGATGACTCTTCGTATCATGTAAGTGCTGTTACTATAATTTTGTTTAAGCGTAGGTCAATTTAGGGCGTGTGAAGAATATTGCAGATTTATTTTATATATAGGATCTTAAACTTTGAACTATTCGAACCAGCGAGATCTGAATTCACAACAACTGTGCATATTCCGACATACTATTGATGTTTTATAAATAGTCTATGAGTACCATCACCAGAGAACGCAGCACAGAAAATCTTAGATGAACACACCACATCCAAAGAAACGATGCGCGCAAGCGGTCTTCTTAGCCTGTCTATGTTTCGTGTGATCAAGCTAGCCAGCCAATGTCAATTTTGTAGGAAAGACACCAATCGATCGATTGGTGGCTGGCTCTATCCGACCCTCCCAAAAACGCCGGCAGTCCTAATCAGACGCCATCATCACCGCAACACAAGCACAGCCCGGATCCGAGCCCTTTACCATCTACTCAACTCCCCAGAATCCCAGGAAAGCAAGCAGTGGCAGGCATCGCATGCTCAAAATCCGGGCTCACTTCTTCTTCGGAAACTTCGGCTGCCCAATCTTCTCCCCCCTCAGGATCACATTCAGCACCCTTTCCATGTTGGCGAGCAACTTCTGATCCGGGGCCGCAGTTCCACGCTCGAAGTCCGCGATAATTGTGGGCGTGGTGTTGCACTTGGTAGCTAGATCCTTCTGCGTCATCGTCGCGCCTTTCTCGTTTTTCGCCTCGGAGCGCGCTTTAGAGATAGCTTGGCCGACTTTCACCCCGATGGTTTTCGGCTTGATGATGTCGTCGGAGCGGTCGACTTTAGTAAGGTGTTGGCCTTCTGATGCTGCTTTCTATACCAGGGTTAGTAATTCATCTTCTTCGGGGCGGTGGGAAAGGAAAAAGCCAACAGAACATAGGTCTAAAAGGGCAGGGCCGGGGGGGGGGAGCTTACGGCATTCGTGCCTCCAAATTTCTTCTCTGTAGCCACAATCGCCCCACTCCTCTGTGCAGCATTCAGCGCACTCTTACCCTTGACGACAGTCTCGCGTGGTCCCGCGGGACCGCCTCGAGTGCGGCTGCCGATCTTCGTGACGGATTCCCAGTCTTCGGACATGTTGAATAGTGAGTTGTGTTGTGTGGTGTGTAGTTGATATATGCCGTTCGGCCCACGGCTGGTCTGCAGAGGGATTGGGCAGCCGAGGTGGGGTTCCAGACGTTAGCTAGGCTAGATTTATGAAAGAACACTAGCGAAGAGGCGAGGATAACGAACGAGGAGTGTATGTTTATCGTGGAAACTTTAGGCTGGGAAAGGAGGTATCGAAGTGAAGTGCAGCTGAACGGTGAAGATGGTGGGCGGTGAGTGAGTATTTGTATGCTGCTGCGGGCGAGGGTGGCAGTGTCTTTGAGTAATAATCACGCTAACCCGCTTTAGGTCGTCCTTCGAGAACCATCTCAGCCCTTGACGATTTGTCGCCGCCCTTCCCAACCATTGACTCAACATTTTGATTTTAATTCACTTTCACTTGCGTCGATATATCCCCTTCCACTGCATGGGTTGAGATGAGATGAGCAGCAAACACTTCCATCGGTTGAAATCAGAAGTCACAAAGGTTTGTGTCACTTTCGCTATATAATGGATTCCACGTCGCAATTATTGCGAGAATGCATATTGCGAGAATGCAAGTAGCGGGCTGTAAACAAGGACGCGGTTCTAAAGAATATCATTACCTTCTAGGTTGTGTCGGCCATCGCTATTTCCAATTCATCAGCCCCCCATATCCAGTCCAGTAGCGCTAGTTGCTCTGATCTGAACATCGTCCGGGCCTAGCAATGGTTGCAGTGAAAGCAACGGTCTAGCACATGTTTAATGTTCTTGGTGCATGCAATCGTGGCTAAATCGTCATGTCATTGAAGACAAAGCAAGATTCTAATAGAATCCCAGGGCCTCGGTCGCCTTGACAAAAGTGTCGTAAGTCGTGAGCGTGCCCAGCGCACGTCTCATATGAGCGCTGAGGAGCGTGAGGCCGTAGATGTAGCTAGCATTGACCCAGCCAAATCTGATCATCGTTAGCTGGTATACCATAAATCCACAAAGAAGATAACATGTGCCCTCACCCCTCACGGGGAACGCCCCTGAAGTCACTTCCCTGATTCCCATACTCGGCTTCAACTTTATGAGGATCAATGGGGCGTGTGACATCATACTTCTCCACCACAACGCCGTTGAAGTCGACAAAAGCCTTCGTAACCATGTAAAGCCATCGATACGCCAATCGTTGGGCATCGCCATCATATCCATAGCGCTGAAGGCCGACCCAAGCAAGAATCTGCTGGGGCGCCCATCCAAAAGGATAATCCCACTGGCGATTCGGACGGTCAAGACCGACTGGACCGCGCGACTCTTCAGTACCAGACACAAGGCCTCCAAAAGCCTCAAACTTTGGAAGCGCATGAGCAACGAGGACAGCTGCTTGACGCGGAGTCGCAAGACCGGACCACATTGGCCAGAAGGTCGTAGCACTCTCGTATCCAGTTCGCTCCTTTTTAACAGTGTCATAGTCGAAGTACATACCCGCCTCTTCGTCCCAGAGATACTTATCCACAGCCAAACGCCGTTTCCTCGAACGACGTTCCCAAGCTGCCGAAGTCTCGAGATACCCCGGGGTCATGCCTTTAGCACAAAATTCGGCAGGGACTGGAAGCCTATCTCCGAAGTGTGCACGAATGATCCGGCCGATATCTGTCTCATACTTGTATAGTAGAGCATTAATATCAACAACGGCGAGATTTGCAGCAACCTTTTCGAGACGGTATGAAGTATCGTGGCCAGACTCTCGAACAGCGCGGTCGTGTAGGAAGTACTCATCTAGTTCGGGCTCATCGACTCGCTGGTGATTGTACGCATCCACAAATTGTGTGAACGTCATACCATGCTTCTTCGCATACGGAGTCAAGATATGCTCGAAGTGAGAGGCTTCAGTTTCTGGGGGTACACCGAGACCACCTGGGCGATACCGGGAGAGTCCCGTGACTGGGTCCAAACGAGGACTGCTCATCCAGACGCTGTGGTACTCTTTGATAGCTGCCAATGTCGCCTCACGCAAAAAGTCCAAGGCCCCGGGCTCGTGCTTGATTCGGTCATACACGCGCAGTGCCATGTCGGTCAGAAACGGCGGCTGAGATCGACAGAGGTAGTAGGTTCGATTAGCGTTCAGAATTTTGCCATAATGTTTGATGCAGAAGCAGAAGTGAATGACCATGGATTTGACCAAGTCGACACGGTCATTGATCAGGAGGCCAAGCGACTCCATGTAGCTGTCCCATCCATATAGTTCGTTGAACCGACCACCTGGAACAACAAACGGAAGACCCTTCAGGTCTTTCTTGCCCGTGACAGGGTCTATGTACTCCTCCATGGCAATTGCGAGTAGACCAGGGGCGGCATTCAAGTCTCGAACATAAGCATCGTCAAAATCCTCCTTGAGCCATTGTACATCCAAACGTATTTCAGGGTGTTCCTGGGCGATGCGGCTGTAGTATTCGTATTGCTCTGGCGCTCCTTTGGGAACATAGACACGTGGGCGTGGGTCCTCGGTCCAATCCTTGGGATCGCGGCCAACCTGGGCAATGTTCGAGCCGTCGATGCGGCGAGTCAGGCCATCCCAGAAAGAGTATGTGATCAACCGAGACAGGCGATTGACGGGATTTTCGTTTAGTCGAGCCTCATCGAGGACGATGGTCTTGCGACCGTAGTCTTGCGCAAGTGTGAGCTCCTGGAGGAGGTTGGAGAGCATATAGGTGCCCCGAACGTCAAACTTGTTGTGGCCTCGGGAGGCAAGAGTTCCAACAGAGAGGACCTGCTCTTATCAGTGCGCGAATTCCCCGATCGTTGCATGAAGCGGTACCTTCGGGCCATGGTCGTCAATTGTTATCTGGCAGTTATCGTCGGTATCCTCCCGGGCGAGGAGCGTTTTGAGGGTCGGTTCGACCTGTATAAGGAATTTGCGGGGTTGGAGGGAGACCTCATCTGCGTTGTGTGAGTTCTAGTGTCTGGTCTCTTGGGGCGAGATGCGTACCATGGCTAATCCTCCGGCCTGGAAACCCACCATCGGATTTGGTGTCGTTGCGGCCGCTACGAGTTTCTACAACCTGTGGATGAATTGTCAGTGGTCCGAAGCCAAGGCTGAGACTGCACAACCCACAGCAGAGTAAGTCCGTGCTTTAGCGTTCCTCTTGGAGTGCGAGTCGCCGTAATACAGATGGGCGGCAGCCAGGGGGTCGATATCAATGGTAGATGGCTGTCTAGGCTTTAAGGATTGCGAGTTCATGCTATGGCGGAAGGGCAAGTGGAGGAGGTATTGCGGGCGGGAGGGCGGGGGGCTATCGTCGGGGAGTCGTTGAGGGTGCGGTTCGAAGGGAGAGTGGTGGTACTTAGGAGGATGGTCAGCAACATTTATCGGAGTTATGCGGGGGGTGGGGGTCAGACACGGATTCAACGTCTTTCAGGAACAGAGTTGCGGGAGGTCACACGACGATAGAATCTGTTTGAGGTGGCTTGATGCGTGTCAAATGAAGTTGAAGGGCGAAGGACAATGGGAGCTGGGAGCGGGCTCACGATGGAGGAACGCCAGCGGCAATTTCACCACGGGGGGAACGCAGTCAGAGACCCAATGGCGGCCGCCTCAATCTGTAGAATCGTCACTGCGCAGAGATTGTCGTGGGGAAGCGGTGAGAGGAGCGAATCTTTACACTCTCCTCTGCGCACAGTTTGGCCGATTGACAAACCCGCAATCGGGAAGCGACGATGGACTCTTGTGCAACACTTCGGGCCGATGCCGGATAGGTATCCCTCGTTCGGCTGCCTCTGGACACGACCGAGGAAGTCTCTTCACTACCAACCCTCACTAACTGCAAATTCAGTCTGGTGCTGTCAATTCAGTCTCGTACTGCCATTGTTTCTTCTCGCCTTTATTTCCTTCACCCCCGGACTGCATATTTGCTTTGTGCGATCGTCGTTCTCCTGCCCCACCATGCGGCAGCTAGTGAACCCTGAAAAGCGCCTGACCAACCGTCAGGTGGACATTTCGTCAGGGTGCCGCAGACGAGCCTCACGACGAGATCCATCTATTGCCGCCACTCTTCGTGACCGTCGTGAACCTCGCGAGCTTTTCAGTCGGACAAAGATATGCCATAATGAACGGTCTCAGGCCCGCACTTCCTTATCTTCAAATCTAACTCTGACAATTATGTATCATTATATCACTGTTAGGTTCCCTATAGTACATATTCCGAGATCGTCCCGTCGTAAGTCACGTCCTAGTTGTCGCCCTGCTGTCCCCCCGGGCCTGGCTGAGGCCCCTTTGTCCAATCTACCAGTTGCTGCCTTCGAATACCGATGCGTTTTCGCATCCTTGCTCCTTCCTTTATTGCCGCTCGCACCTCCCTAAATCGAGACACAGAGAGTGTATCTGAAGAGGGCCGCGGACTGCCCATACTTGCTTCTCGCGTATCCTTCTGCGACTCTTCACACTTCACCATCTCCGAAGCAAGCTTTCGGAGCTCTAGCGTCTCCAGGTCTCCATACCCAATCCCAGACTCATCCATCACATTTCTTGCCAGCCATGGATGCGTATCATGTGTAGGACTCAGAGTCATGAACCGACTCATTGGCGTTTCCGAGGAAGCAAATGAACCAGAATAAAGCTTGAGTGCCTCCAGCGATGCTGCTCGTCTTAGAGCAATGTCACTATCTTGAACGTTGAAATCTGCGTCCTCGAAGTCGTCAACCTCTCCGAAGATTCGGCGATATGTCTCTTGCTCGTTTGCTCGGGCCCGTTCTTCCAGGATCAGATTGACCTGGAAGTACCCATCGCTCTTTACCAAGTGTTAGCCATGAAATACCTTCATAGGTCATGGCTTCTCACCTTGGGGTATGCTGCATTATGTATTCGCATGTTCTCCTCTGACAATCGGCCCGAAGGCGTTGAGCGTCGCTGCTCCGCCATTTCCACTTCTAAGTACTGCTTGTCTTTTCTACCTTTCTGGATATTCTCGCCTGGAACACGACTAAGAGAGCACACTTGTCAACCTTTATCCATTCATCTACCAATCTACGAGTTCGACACCTACCTTCGTCTTTCGTATCCACGAAAGAGGCTGAGGCATGAATTATTGGTAGGATGTAGGATATACTCCTAAGAGTGAGTGTCCTTGTTCCAATATTCTAACAAACAGCGGTTTAGGCAAACGTGGCTGTACAATCATCAGCACCTTTGGTTCGGAGTAGGAAGGTTGATGGTGTGGGACGCACATTCCAGGAGCGATGTCCTTATCACGGTCGACTATGAGGACCTCACGATCGAAATCGTGAACCGAGAATTGCACTAAGTTGAGGGTGGTTGTCTGACGAGGTTTAGAGGGCTGTGGGTGATATATGGTCTGTAGGGAATCTGTTTTAGAAAGGCAAAGAAATTTCAAGAAGTGGGCGTTTTGGGACTATTTTTTAGAAGTTGAAACACCTCTGATGATGGCAGATCAGCCCAACTCTGGGGTATTGTACCTCTCTCTCAGCACCGCACGGATGCGTTTATTCCCCGAAACCTTTGCGCGAGGTTGCACGTTATGAGTCGTTGCATGGGACGGCACATGCAGGCTTCCTGCCCCATTACCATGGTCAGACGTGTGCATATTGCCTTTTAGCCTTGCGCCAACACGCGGTGGCCGCTGATCCCTGGGCTCGGGTGGTGGACTCCTACCCCTTCGCTAATCCCGCCGATAGGGGATGTCCAAGCTAGCCAGATTTCCCAATGATATCTCCACGAGCACCATTGCTGCGTCTCCGCCAGTGTTCTAGGAATAAAACACGCAGTAGTGGACGAGCTTGAAACATGTGGTCTATGGGACTTTCATCTTAATGCACTTCAACCGGCTTCTCATGGCATTCTTGTTCGCTTTTCATATTCCATAATCGTTACGAGCGGGCATGTGGGGCTGCCGAAAGATATATAGTGTAACCGATCAGTCGTACGGCATAAATACAAGTTCGCCGGATCAGGGCATTGCGCCATAGGATCGATGTTACAAACTCGACTCCTCAAACAACGCCCTCTCAGTCTTTCGTGCGCTGAATTCGACAAACTCGGCATTTTTTTTCTTCCTCACTACAACCATGTGCACGTCAAAAGGGGCCAAAACCGTTCAGCATCCAATCAGAATCTCAGTTCGGTCGACAGTCGAACGGCTGACGTATCACAACCAGCATAAAGTTTAGGAAAAGCAAACAACACGGCATGGAATCACTGATAGAGGTAGCTAGAGACGAACATCTGGAACATCCATATTTGTTGTTGGAGAGGATGCGTCCGCGGGCTAGGTCGGTGACACCGTAAAATGGGGGTGGGCAAATTCGATTGTTTTCTTTCTTTGGACCCTGGAACAGCAAGAACGATTTATCCGTGCCGCGTGGAAGGAGTGGCTTCAGCCCTCTTATCGTCACCATCCTGGTCAATAATATCAAAGAACCTGTGGAGTGCGCATGGTTTACGATCTGAACCTGCACTCGATCACATTGCCATCACACCACCTTGACACTCACCTTGACACCCATGTTGACACCTACGTTTACATCGACGCGATCCATTTTTGAGCAGTGCTTCGTTCAAGAGCTCTCTGCGTCAATTTGTGTTGCAGTTGCTTTTGCACCACCATTTTGACAGTGTACCATTGCTGTGGGTTGCTTTTCGTCCCGATGCATTGGTTACGGGGTCGAATAAAGTTCAACTTGGTCACGCTAAACCGCTCAGCTGGGCTCCACCACGGTGAATGACAGCCCGCCTTTTGAACGAAATGTGGAGCAAAACAGACGCCAGAAGGTCAGATGTGAGCTGGCGGTTGCTCAAAGCTCCACTTCCGTTGATCCCGCGAGGTTTCATTGGAACGACCGCCGAACGACCCACAAGAAGGCAATTGAACTTTAACAACCCCACGTTCCAGTCTCCGAGTGCCCAACATGAAGCGCCTTCATGCACTTCCAGGCTGCCTCTGTCCAATTGTCATGCTGAGAGCACAGGGTCGAGCTTACGCGTGTCGCAGCCTAGTTTATGAAGCCATTTTGCCCAAATACGAGGACGCTTCCAAGAGCTTTATCCGTCCGCGGAAGGTTGCCCCTTGAAATCGCCGTACCGACAACTGTAACACATCACGCCAGCCAAGTGCTCTCTGCATGCATTCAATCTATTCCCGACAAATGCAGTCTTAGAATTCCCTTCTCCACAGCACGGCTGTCAGGCCTGCTGATCACCTTCCGCGACCATAATCAGCAATCAGGATGAGGATTATCACAACCATTTCACGTTTCCTTTCCTGCAATCAGGCATATTTCCAATGTGCTTTGATGTATCAAAATGCAGTGTGATATTGAAACATCCTTGCCAGAGTTGTCAGCCTGATTTTACCCGCCGCCCTGGCAATGGGACCCTTTCACACGCCTGTGCTTCGCTGACCAATATTCTGCTGTCCTCTTGCCGCAGGCGTAAATCACAACAGAACCCATCATTCGGGACGGTTACCAGCTTTGCGAACCACGAAGTGGAGACAACATCGTCCCGTTAGCGTGGTTGTTGGGATTTATGTGGCATTTGCGACGGCTCATGGCCCGACTCCACGGTTCCAAGATGGGAAGGTGCGAGCAGTGTCTCACTGCTAGGTTGCCTCACTTTCAGTTTGCGGGATTGCGAACCACCAGCGTGGATGACCCCGAAGATCTTACTCTCTTTCCGATCATATCTGTTCCCTTTGTCCATTCGGCAATATTAGGCTCTGACTCGCTAAAGACTAGATACATTCACGATAGTCAACCATTATATCCACATGTTCGCAGTGTGGATATTAGATGCTATTAGCCATCACTATGTCAGTCCACACTAGAGAAACGGGGTTCTATCAGCGTTCTATTATCATGTTTATAGAATAGGAACGATCCTATTTTCTGAGCCATATAGTGTTCCACTTGCCCAAACTTCTCAAAATAGATGCCCCATAGCAAGTCTGGGCGTAGTTTCGTTTATGTTACTTCGACAACCGGAATATTCAGTCATCATCTTCAAATTCCAAGCAGAGAACGTTTCTCTTGTAATGATGTTGACAGAAAATGCCACCGGTTTAGTGGTGTCTTTCGGGTATAAACACCCCACCTGGGTAGATGTGAAGCCAGAGCAAAAGGTCAACCTTTTGCTCGTGGGAATTGTACTGCTTATATTAGGACCTTGCCTTTTTCCGAAGACTAACGAGGACTAGCACGTAAATTAATTGTGTAATGATTCCACGTCTATAAACAAGAGAGAGTGCGCTATTAGACAGTTATTCAATTAAATTGAGTGGATAAAAGGTACCATGCACGTGATGAGTCTCGCAATATTAATAGAGAAGTTATAACATCATAGGATTGCCACGATAAGTTCCATGATAATGAGTGTGCATGCCTTATCTTTCAAGTGCCTAGATACCAACTCCAACTAACAAACGTGTAGAGCATTCATTTCCACACTATCGAATTACTCTTCACTTTCCCTCTTGCGCAGCCAATGCACAACCTAATTTGTTTTCCTCATTGTGTCCAGTTAAGAGTAAAAGGGATCGGGCTGCCATTCACATTCCTATTTGGAAGTTCGTTTCACCCAACGTATACTCTCCCTTCTAGCTGCGGGTCGAATAGTCAACAATCCGATAAAAGGATTCTAGATCTCTATAGACAAGGCTCCCAAGGAGAATATAATAAACCAGAATCTCAGTTTTCCCCCGCGGTCTAGCACGCTCCATCAAATCTCACATCGATCTGAATACAAGAAAGATGCCAGTATCACAGCATCAATCGAAAGCGCTCCTAAGCTCCCGCTAGACAATATATTGCTCCCGTTGAGTTGTTGGATCATTGGAAGGTTTGGAAAATGTTTTGAGGTATGTAAGTCACCACTACCACAAAAGGGACATCCCCACAATCCACGTCTCTAAGAACACTTGCTCCCTCAAGTTAAGAGCCATCTTTCCTCAAGGCTGCCGAGTTCCAAACAAATTAACAAATAATCCTCTGAAGAAAATAGCCTCACTCTCCTTCAGAGTAAATACATTCCTGGGAAATAGCAGGAGGTCTGAGAAACTTACGGAATAGCGAGAGGGGCTCGGGGATGGAGGCCTTATAGTTATATAGAACGTAGTAAGTAGGCTGTCAGCATGCCCACTAAGGCAAGTAGATTACCAAATTGAATTCATGGCGTCCCAGAATTCCTACTGTGCCGTTTCCGCGAACGTGTTCCACCAGTCACCAGGCCAAACCACTCACCAGGCCACCTCAAAACCCACCAAAAATCGAAACCCCGCACCTTGACATCACGGCAGCAGCTTAGTAACAAGTACCAAAATTTTATAATTAGCCTTTTATGCCTACTTTGAGACTCTTATTCGACTTTCAAAATATTTTGTTAAGTAGTTCTATAAGTATAAAATTCCAGCTCAAGACAAGGGCAAGAACTTGATATCTTAATAATCTAGAACTTTAACAAGAGTCTTAAGATTGGCATAAAATACCAATTTTGGAGCTTTCTAATTGGTTATGAAGCAGTTGTTGAGATATTAAGGTGAGGGTTTTCCGATTTTTGGTGGGTTTTTGTGGTGACCCTATGAGCGGTTTAGCCCAATGACCAATAGAACACGTTAACTAACGATAGGGGGGGGTTACATAGGAGAGGCAGAGTTGCAAAAAAAAAACCTCGACAGTGGAGTTACATTCTTGAGGTTTATGTTTTCTAACGGCAAGAGACAGTTTTGGGACTCTCTCTTCCATGGTTCTGCGTTACAAAAAGTCGTTGAAGGACGGGCCCTAACAAGATAGCCTCATGCAGGCGGCGGCCAAGATTGCTCTTGAAATTGAGGGGAAAGCTCCTCCAAAAGTGGTGGTAAGGATATCTAGATTCAGAAGCGAATTTTCCGCCAACCTGCGTTGAGGCTAGAGCCATCACATTGCAAATCAAGGTACCAGCTTGGGGACTTCTAGGTATAGAATAAGGAGTGAACAGAAGAAATGAAGAGTAGAACACGGTTTAAGAAAGCTCTCTCCAGAGTTGTACCCTCTCTGGCTCTCGGAAATTAACGATCGTGTTCTTTCCATTTCTTTGGATGGCCCACTGAGGTCTTAACCGGCCCTCTGCCTTCTCAGCTTGTCAAGCATACAACAGACTTCGACTCGAAAGTAAATCAGACATCTGTGTTTGGCTGCATGCTCGCTGGTGAATAGCAGGCTCAATAATATATTCCACGGACCAACCACAAGCTACAACCTCTTTATTGCCTCCAACAGGGGCAAACGCTTCAGGAAACGCGCTGAGTCGGAACCCCACTGTTCTCAACAAACCAACCACACAGATAGAAGGTCCAAGACTAACCCAAATTAGGGTAAGGTTGCTGCTGAGCTTCGGCAGGCAGAACCATGGTTATGGTTCTGCCCTTCTGGCCGTTGATTCCGATGTCCACAACATACTCTGAACGGGGTTGTGGGGCAATGAGCAGCATACCAGCCATCTATATTGTAAAATGATAGCATATGGCGGATTTAGTGCCTGGGGAGGTCAAGCCATGTCACCAACCGCTCCTAGGTAGGTCCTCTTGTGTTTCGTCCCGAATGGAGATCCTGTTGATATGTAGCCTCTAAGACGGGTCAGCTTGTGGTCTGCCACGTGTGGCCCCTCAACGAATCAAGCCGATAATTTAATGAACGCATACACCTCACCACCTTGCCGGTCGTATATTCCCCATCTCTACACCTGGCACTCAGATGGAAGGGGCAGATTCGCCACTTGTCCTCGATCATCTTCACAGAATGGCGCAAAGCAATAGCCCACGGTCCTCAAAACAGTCATTTTTCCACTGTCCTCGCAACTTCCGACCTCAATATCATGTCAGCGGGATCCCTCTACACTCTTTCATTTCCAAGGAACCATCACTCGCACAACGCCTCGATCATACGGGGAGACGCCGCTTCGGGTCCCTGCCAAAAGGCAAGGGTATGGAGAGGAGTGAGCCTGCTGCCCCCTCAAAGTGGCATGACGAAGTGGTGGAGAGTGAAATGGTAGCAGTATGTGAGAACGACTCATTGACCAGCCAGTCCGAGCAGGGAACAACCGTCCAGATTTCGATCGAACATCCACAGTCTCAAATCCCAAATCCAATCTCTCAGCACAGGAAGGGGCGGTCTCCAAAGCAGTCTCTTCCCCTCATAAAGCGTCAACGAAATGCGACAGAGTCTCAGGGAACCCCCACGTCGGATCGAACATCAATCATTCCGGCTGTTCCTGAATCGTCAACAAACCCCCAGCCAAACGAGATTACGGTACCTCAACAGCCGATATATCAAGAGGAGAACAGGGAAGGGAAGCATGGAAGACCGCGGTCGTTATCTATTACGCGTGCAGGGGTGTACTTGAAAAGAAGTTTATCAAAATTGAAATATTTCGGGTCGAAACCCAGAAATTCTCAAGAGTATGAGGCCTCGGCAGTGTCCATGTTCCCAACCCCATCAGTGGTGAGCTATTAGGAGGTTCCGCAAGTGTGAGAAGAAGCATATTAACGCACGTTCAGTGTTGTGTCTCTACCCCGCCCGCGATTCCTAGACCTCAACAAGGCCATGACGAGGCAGTACGGTCATCTATTCCCAAGCCTCAACCTAGGTCCTCAAAGGTTCTACTTCCGCCTTTCAGCATTTATCCAACCCCTGCTACATCTTTTACGATGACGAAAATTCCGAAGCCTCAGCTAGTAGTACCCGATACCTCAGAGTCAAGAAGGCGTAAGGTCTCCTCAGTCTCCTCAGCTGTTTCGCATCCCCCTGGTAAAGCAGCCTTATCACACAATATACTGAAAAGGAGGCTAGTCATCATCCCGAAGCCGCTACCGCCAATTCCCCAGATTCCTACTCCTTCGGAATGGCTGAAACAATCATCCGAGGGTGCTACCGGCCCCAAAGATGGCCCTTCGAATTCGAAACCATCAATCAATCCTGAGCCCCCGCCTATCTCGCCTCAAATAACTCATTCACAAGCATCGAAGGTTCATGGAATCCGGCAATCGTCGGGTAGGTCTATTCACAACGAGGTCAGGCGATCAATATTAGACCAAAGTGGCAGTCTGGATCCTCTGTCTAACATTTCCCCGGAAGCGTCAAGTTCAACAACAGAGGCCAGCAAAAGTGTGGGGGGCACGTCGAAGTCGGAGAATGGTTTGCCTCCAGGACGAAACCTGAGATCGTATAATCAACGTGCAGAATATAGTTGGTTCACAAACTTTTCAAGGCCCATGCGCGCACGACCAATTCTCGCACAATTACCTGTGGATGGGTCGTTCGTTAAACTAGGCCTAGAAACATCCACGGAACGACGCCTTATGAACGTTGACTACTCCTACTCTCCACCTACAGATAATCGAAATTATTCTGTCGGATTCAGGGTTGGGTATCCGGCTCCTCAATCTCGTTCATCTTTAAGTCCCGTTAGGGAGGGTGACGAACAGCAGGAAGCTTGTCACCCGAAGCGACACTTACGAAGCCTGTCTGCCCCGGCAGGTGGGGGGGAAGTGGCCCACGACTATGATAAAATACGTCACACAGTTTTAGCCCTAGCTACTAATGAGTCGCCTAGCAGGAGCTCCCTAAAATCCTCAACCCCAAGGAAGACAGAGGCCCGGGGCAATGTATTGACAGGGGAGAGTGCGTCTCAGGGAGAGGTCCCGTCCAACACATCAGTGTGCGCATCCTCGAATTCGTCTTCATCCCAAGGCTCCATTCGTGCCGCGCCTTCGACGCCCGTCGACATTGGGTTTGCACAGCAACCAATGTTTAGAGAATCCAAATCACTAGATAGAATCTCTCCGAAGTTAACACCCATCTCAACATCTATTGCAATTTCATCGCCAATGGCAAGCAGCACCTCTCTTTTACCCACACTAATGAAAAGAGAAGCTAGTGGTCATATACAAGAGACTATTTCAGGTGCTAGTCTGCCACCTGCTCAAAATCCTCGACAGGAAACTCTGGATAAGCACCCTCTTGAAGATACGGCAGTTCTAAATCATGAAATAACTTGGCCATTGGCTTTGGGACAATCCCAGCCAACAAAGCTACCACGGTCAATCATGAAGAAGCCCAGTCCCGGTGCTAGTCGAGCACCTACTCCAGTAGAGTCTTCTCCTGCAAATTCTGCCATACTAAAGCCAACTTATCCACTTCATGCATCTTATGCCTCTCAGCGGCAAGTCGCTTTTGGGGCGGGGACGAAACCGCCAAGTACTACCAGTCATACAACCTTGGGTCAGCATTCCGCCCAGACATCCCAGCTACCTTCGATTATCGGACCATCGCGATCAATTACGCCATCTCCACCAGAAAGCATGCTATCTTCATCAAGGAGTTTGCCAGCACTTGCAGAAAATGCTGCAACACCTGAAATGATTAGGAAAGCTATCGAGACCGTTCCGGGTGGCGGGCGAATGAACCCTAAAATCGCTCGCTTGAAGAAGGAGTCAGTGCAAATGCTAGTATCGCAAGCCGCCCTTGCCGCAGTAGCGGCAGCAGATACATCTTCGACCTACAGTACGTCTCGGAGCAGCTGGAACATGTCACCTGCTACATCAAGTCTGCTGGCATCTAGTTCGATGTCTTCGACTTCGACGTACTCACACTCCAGCCGGGGAAGCCGGATTCCTGGGCAGAGTGCGGGTAGGGGTGGGGGTGTCTACGGTATTGAAACTGAAGAGGTGGAGCAGAATAGGGCGAAGAGAGTGCATCCGAGTGTGGCTATGGGTCCGCATGGTGCTAATGATGCTAGGACGAACTTGCCTATGTTTACTACGAGGTAGGTGACTTTTGGCCTTTCCCTCACCAGTCCTCACCGACTTGGACCGGACTTCGCATTTCTTTCCCGCTACTCTAGATGAGTTTTCAGGCATCTGGTATGATGGATACTAGAGCGCTGACTATTACCTAGTAACATGCAACGTTTCGCAGAGGTAAAAACAAAACAAGATGCCAATAACAACACACCAAACAAAAATGAGAAAGGCAAAGTAAAAGAGAAGAAAAATTAAGAGAGCCACAAAATGGTAGCGGCGAGGTTGAGCAAGTAATCATGAATCGCATAGGGAGGAGTTTGAGAAACGGGATGGAGAGTAGACTCAGCTCGCATGTTGGGCTTCAAGCTCTATCCAAGTCTCCAAGACTAAATGGAAGTTGTCATGTAAGGACTTAATAGCGGTGGTGTAAGGATTATGGCTGCATTTCGGTTGGCGTTATACTTTTGTTTTGAGATGAGGATGGCAAAGGTTCGGTAAAATGTAGTAATAGCTCTATATTCGTAACTGGGTCATTAGTAGGCAGATAGAGTTGTCTTTCGCGCTTCCTGAGCTCTTGGCTTGGATGGAGTAGGATAGGTCGGAAAGTTAGGCGTTGAAACCGGAACTAGTTTGTTTGTCTCTGGTGTCTGCGACGGCATTGAATCAACTGTCCATATGGCTCCACGATATTCTCAATAGCCCCGGCTTCGTCCTACCCCTTCTCGCCACTCTAAACCCCAGCTTGTTGATAGCCCCCTTAGTAGCTCCAAGCGAGTCGTGCCCGACGCTTGGCATCCGAAATTCTGAGCAGCCTGTGTAGTCCTTCTCGTAACACTGGATGTATTCCAGTCCCAGCCCGCTAAATTTAAGTGTATACCTAAGACCTTTCTCTTAAAACCCTTCTAATAGGAGTAAGCCAGACATAGTGCGCTCCCCACAGCGTGTGCTAGTGTTTATGTTGAAGGGCGACGGTATGCGACATAGAGCTCTAGATCGAGGTGATTGATCACTGCACTACCGGAGTCTAGTATAACACAGATCTGCGCGCTACTGTATCTGTATCGCCATCGTCCAAAGAATGAAACACATAACTTGTATCGGAATGCGTAAATTTATCGTTGAGCTATGTGAGCTCTTACGCGGAAATGGCGGAACTTATTACGGGATACCCATTCTGAGAAGCTGGTGCGGCATGACCAGTGACAAATTATGGGGTGATATCTGTCGTGAGAATGGAGAGCTTCGTGGTGTTCTTTTGGATCGTGGAGTTCAGCAGAAGGGGGAGAGGAGGCTCGGGCTATATTTGATGGTTGTTTGTGGAAATCATATTAGAGCTTGGCGAGGTGAGCGCTCTGTGCTGGATGATATGTTTCGGCCGGAAAGCTATGATTGCAGACCTCAGGATGGAGGGGATTCTAGAAATGGAGGAGCAGACAGCTTTGGTGGGATGCTGGTGCTAGCAGAGCTCCATGGCCAAGCAAGGAGTGATACCAACGTGAATGTTGATGGACAGCTAACGAGAGGAGAATACATACTTGTAAATTCTCTAGCGTCTATACTTAGACTGCTAAGCTTTAAAGAATGTAAGCTTGATAGCCTTAAGCGACAAGGAGCTTTATCAGCTCTACGAAGAAGAAGGATCTGGCCATTTTAGGATGCATTGGATCCCCTTTCCCGATTTCAAAACCCCAATGCCTTGGATATGTGTTGAGCTTGAATAAGCCATTCAAAGATTAAGATGCGGGTTGCATTCGGAAATACCTAGCAAGGCGAGCAAGTCATTAGCAATTAATAGCAGTTAATGGTAGTTCCGATGAAACTGAGTCGAAACTCAAGACCTAGAATACTTCCCTCGTCGTCAAGAGACACATGTTCCTCATGCAGGGTTTCGAAGAGAAACCGACGCCTTTCGGGTTGTACATGCTAGCTAGCATTCTTGGTAGCGCTTGAGTTGAGCTGAACTATAGCATGACTATCTAGTTAGAGAAGGTCGTGTATGTTCTGTAAGCGGTGTTCGATGGATGGCTGTTGGGTCGTTAACTAGAATGAACTCGAACGATTGTTCTTACTCTCGTTAGCACATCCTAGTCCTTACAACTCTGATCTAACTTCGTCGCCAATAGGGACGCCTATTTGCTAATGTTTTGTTGTTGAAGAGCTAAGGTGCCCGACCGCTGTACGATTTTTTTTGTACTGACATAATGTTCGGTTGTCGTTGCGGAATAATTATTTGCGGTCTCGCTCTTGACCATCTCATTCTCTCTATTGATGTCGAGGTAGGCAGTGTTGTCGTTCGCGAATGGAGTGGGAGATAAACTCTGCAAAGAGAAGAGTGAGAGTTTTCATGGTCGGTCTCTGTATCCCTCAAGGTTCGTCTCCTTATTGTGTTGCTTCATTAAGGCGCAATCTTGGATCACTATATTCTAGCTCTTCCTAATCTTTGTCGACGTGCTTAGGAAAGAAAGTGGTGCTTGATCTGATGGGGATTCTGAAGGTAGAGAGACTAGCTGAACGAAAACTGGAGCAGCAATGGGCCAAAAGGTGAGCACGCAAGGATGGACGCCGGCCAGAAATATGTTCAGCAACCACCCGGACATCGTATTTAGAAAGCCGATTCCGACTTTCTGTTTTGAGGAATCCAGGGGATCCGTGGGCTGGATTATACGTTAGCGGCTGCTCGAAAAAGAATATAGACGACGAGGATGGGATGCACGTACGGATGCGGATGCGGAAGCATCCAGGGATCTGGCATGCCCTAGATATCGAAGCTGCATGGTACTGTACATGTGATATAAGCACATAGAATAGGAATTCGGGATTTGAAGCTGAAGAGCAATGGCATGGAATGGTTTTCTTTCTGAAGAAACTAGCGAAGGGCATATGGGTAGGTGTGAAGAGGAAAGAACGAGTGATGGGTTTTTAATGGAAGCTTGGAAGGGAGAGGCTTTGCGCTAGTGAAGAACGGAAAAGCATATCATAGATGCAGTTTCATTTGTTGGACCGTGAATACATGCTCGCGCCATGCCCCCCTTGCTGTAAAAACGTGGAGCATAGCACATTATCATTCTGCTTACAGAGCACAGCTAGTGTTTCTTTGCGCAAGCTTGATTCTAATCCATCAAGTTCCACTTGACTTTAAACTCAGCATATGTATATCACTTCAGCATATGCTAATATGCACAGTCTCCCTCCACTTAGAAAATCGCCGAATTACCACAAAACCGCCGCATGTCGCAAGGCCTTCCGTCCTCGACCAGTTTGTGCCTTTGCTGTGCGGTGCTTTTCGCGGGGCCAAATCTTAATCCCCCAAAACAGAAGGTAACGAGCCGCACGACACAAGATGATCTGACCTTGTGTGAGATCTGGAGTGCCTGAACCTGGACCTAGCCTGACGATGCGATGCGATGCGATGCCGCCTGCGGGAGCGGGAGGAAGGTGAGCTTAATTCCCCAGAGTTCGATGTGGGTTGGTGGGGGTGCGCTGTTATTGTTGGTTGGGGTTGAGGTTAGAATGATGGTGAGAGAGGGTGTCTTGCCCGTCTATTGTTGATAGACAGTAGATTCGAGAATGTCACTTAATAGTTAGGGTGCATTGCCCTTTTTTCCAAAATACCTCCCAGCCCTTTGCTCTAGGCCCCCGTCTAGGACTATGACTAGATACATCATCACATGACATGTCACCCTCATCCTCCCGAGGTCTTTCAAGACTGCCACGTATCCAACACAAACCCCAACAACCGTATCTGCGACCATGAAATTTCTGCCTCACTCGTGCCTCGCAATGTCTCTCTTTGTAACACATTCCCCTCCACCTCGCATTTCGCACCCTGCGGTAATCCATCGGAGATCACGTGTTGAGCTTCGGAGTACCGTCTGAATCCTTCGGGGGCACACCCACTCGTCAGCGCCACCAACATGTGTCCGAAACAGTGTGGTACGTTTGGCAGCTGTACAACGCAGGGGTAAAAAGCAACGCGATCCGACAGATGGTGAAAAACCTCCGTGCTTTAAGGTGCCGGAGAGAATGGGCGATTGGGCGACTCTTGTGACAGCCGCCCGCTAGGACGGAGAATATGCAGGGACGAAACAACATCTTAGCTCGGAGAAAAAAAAAAGAAAAGTGAAGGTTTACACGGATATGGCTGAGGACGGCGGTTGTGCTGCGCAAGAGTAGCTGCTTTGCGGAGCTTACGGCGATCCATGACAGCGGTAAGGGCCGTACGGTATTTGGATGGATAGCAGAGCGATATTGCAGTGATGAGATGAGGTGAGGATGATATTTGGAGCCGCATGGGTAGTGCGCGGGTGTCCCGGATGCCGGTCTCTCTAGGCGCAAATATTCTAACTGTGCTGATAGGTGGCGATAAGCACAGAGAAATCTCTGGGGCAAGCATCTGAGATGGCCATCGGATGATTCTGCGGAGAATGAGGTGAGGAATAGCGATGCTGAGATCAGCAGGCGGCGGGCGCTTGGAGCGAGATGCCGAGCCCTCCATCGGCGGTTCACGCCAACTGATTATTCATGAATTTGTAGATTAGAAATTCGAAGCTGTGGAGGCGAGGAGCAGCGAGTTGTGCAACCATCATGAGAGACTTTTCTATTCTTGCTGTAGACGGAGGCTGTGGTAGTTGAATAGAGTTGATGCTGCATCCTGCAGGACGTTTGTGGAGGGCTGGCGATTTCCACATCGAGACGGCCGATCGGGACATGGAGCTGAGGTAGGAAATTATCATCTCGATATCGATTTCGCAGACCGAATCAACGCGAGTGCATACTCATGGACGAGACATGTTGTGACAAAGGTCTTGTGATAGCGCTCTGGCAAGGCAGACTTCCCCCTCCCACAGAGTGTTTATGGAGAACGGAGCGAGGGCAGTTGCGATCAGCCTCAGCCTCGCCAAAACGGCAAGATCAAGGGCAAGGGGGCAGGATTCGACATTCAAAAATAGAAATGGAACATGCTTGGCGAAATCCTTCAGCGCGCTAATCTACTTTGGACGGCTAGCTCGTTCACGCAAGAAGCCACCATGAAGGCTTGCTGGTGCGGGTTTGTGAGGCTGTGAGGCTAGCGACGGGCGCGTAGAGGAAGTGCAAACTACAATGTGTCTTGTGATGCGTGATGCAAAAGTTCCTTTCTTTAGGGCGGTGGTTGTTGGCGAAGTCAATTACTGCGCATGATTCAAACTATCGCGTTTTGCGGTACCGAGTTGGGGAAGGAAGCTCAACTCAGGTCAAGAACATCGAGGGCAAATTGTTGCCCACCTTAGCATAAGATATTTCTCAGGATTGAATTAACTCTGTGATCTTAATCTTCCTTCCGCTGCCTCCGGTCGGAGAAGGCGTCCAGCGCTGAGTGTATGATGTCAGTTCGCCAACCTGCGACGACCAGCAGGGTTCAGCCATTCAAACGCGGCGATAGCCTTTGTTCCACAGTCGCATCTCGCTTAACGTGTTCAAGACGTTCGTTTTGAAATGTGGGCGTAGTGGTAATGCGGTACGCTTCGGCGGAGAAATTCCGGTCCATCTCTACCTGCTTTGATGAGCGAGGTTGTTGGAGGACTAGCGAGTCAAGCAAGGCCTTGTTGGACTTGGAAGAAAGCTTGGGTTGACCTTGAAGGAACCCCACATATCAGGCCATCCGCGGTTCGGGCTCGCTTTTGCCTGCTTTCGCTCTCCTCCAACAAACCATGAACATGCGATAGTCCCTGGGTGGATTTGCTTCATCCGCGGACCCCTCACCACATGATAGCGAGAGAGACTTGTCACAAGACATCGACCTGCATCTGATTTGGTAGCATCAACAGCTGTGAGGCCGGAAGTATGCCGATCAGATTGATAAGCGCTGGGAGCAGCGTCGGACTTGCGTTCTGTGACGTCTTCGAGTCTTGACAACTACAACCTCAGGTCTGAAATCTGAACGGTCACATCGCTCGATGAATCCCGAGGCCGAAGTCACCCTTTGCATGCGGATCCTGACGAAACTCTAGCGGTTGATGAAGAGTTCCACTCTGCGGTAGCGATGTTGACGAAGTCCGTTTCATCGATAGGGCTGTAATGCTGGATTGGCCATGTCTCAGAGATTTGGTGTTGGAAGTGCAAGGTCTTGTGGCGGCATTAGGGACAATTAAGCATCGGCATGTTCGCTCAACGCGTGTCGCCACCAAAATGAATTGCATCGAGTTGCGCGAGATGATGGCTTCGAGGCCTCGCCGCGCCGTTGCATCGGACTTGATGCATTGCCCATCTGCCGATGTCAAGCAAACCTTAACGCCTCTGGGATCACGGGCGTTGATGGCCACTCACGTGCTGGCCCGCAGAAGGATTCCAGTCGCGCGTCGGATTGATTGGAGTGTTGAGTGCCTGTCTCAGTCATGCCTCAAGTGGACGTTGCTTCTGTCGTTATGTAGCTCTGCCCAAACGGGAAGGCATAGGAATGCTTAATGCCCGTCCGTAGTGCTCACCTCCAGGACTCACAGCGCAATTGCAGGAGGATCTCGAAAGCAATCAATATCCTCGCCATTACCCTGCGTGCGTGCCTGCCTTGTGGTTTGAGTTCTCACAATGTCAGCTTCGTTAGCCTTCGAGAAGATTGCGCTGCAGGGAGCGCTGCAGGTTGAATCCCGAAACCCGTGGCCTCAGGTCAGGCTGAAGTGCCAGAGGTCATGTCACCGTGGTCATGGTTCCAGAGCGCGCCTCCAGGCGCTCTGGCTCCGGCTTTGACACCTGGCAGACGAAGGTGGTGGTTCACTGGTTCAGGTGGGAGAGGAATGCAGGAGGAATAGGAGACGCGCCCAATTCGGCAAAAGGCTGGCTAAGTCAGCAGCGTGATTGTTCTCAAATGTTGGACGCACACGCCGCCTGCTGTCCGTCAAACTGAACAAAAAAGATGCCGTCTGCAAATTTCAATAACGCACGCGTCTGGGTGATTTGAGTGGCGAGCTTGATCCAGGGCGCCGCGGTTACGCGCTGGAACCGTTGATCTCTCTGACAGCGATGCCGTGCACTCCTATTGGCCCAGACACACGGCAAGGAAGGAAGCTTCTCAGGCTGCTTGGAGCGCTCCCGTTTGTCCACCGACCAAGACCACTTTCTCGGTTGCGGAACTTCAGGACCGACTGAAAAGACGACAGCCAACCTTGCCAGCGGGATACCGACTGTGCGGATCACAACACCCATGGCAGCCGCTTCTGGCGACGTGTTGCGCCCACAACGTGGTTGGAAAGGATTGCGAGCCACCTTGTGCCACTTGTCGCACGCACTTCTCATCAATCTGAAGGCATATCTTCCGGCTCAATCCTCTCCCCATCGGTTCCCCTGGGAAACTGGGGACTGCAGCTCCCAAGCACCACGCTCGAGCCTCGCAAACCGGTGAGGCTGGCTTGATAGCTCCTCTGACGTGCGACCTGCAGTAGTGGCTGCACCGTCCTATGCGCGCTGACCACGACGCGGAAGAGCTTCTCGAGAGTCGAATCCTCCATCTGTACCCGCGCAGGTTGTCGATGTAGTTGGTCGTCCGTGGCCGCTCGTGTCGCCCAAGAGGGCTGATGGCGCGATCCAGGGCTCCTGCAAGGGGAAGCTTGGTTGACATGTTCCCCAAGCTTTGCTGCTAAGAAATAAGGCAACCAGCACGCGCTCAAGGGCAGTCCGTGCTGGGTGTGAAAGTGTCCGTGTGGAGATTTGCTTGGGCTTGGCTGGGAGCATGCGGGACCAGGGCCCATTAATAGCCGCACGTCGTGGGTGCGGAGAGACTGCACGCCGAGCTTACGTCCTCAGAGCCCGAGCATTCACCTTTGATATTCGGCGACGGACGAATCAGAGGGCCGAGAACGGGTTTCAGCGAGGTTGGACTTTGAAATTCTCATCTGCCAGCCGGCCACGGTTGTATCAAGTTGTTGCCGGCCAGCATTCATCAGACGACCGTGAGAGGGACATGTCTTTAACCTGCAGCGCGACGGCCAGGAATCCTCGCAGAAGCTACACATCTGCCGCCGCGCGCACCAGCAATCATTCAATCATTATTGCTGCTCCACCAATGGCCTTTAGATCGCCGCTCCAGCGTGCACCGCAGGCCCTCGGAGTGCAGCAGTCGGGCACAAAGGTCCAAAATTGCCTGCAGGGGCAGCCGTCGCACGCCTCAGCCAAGCGGGTTCCGACAGCGCTCCCCCGTCCGCATCGCTGCATCTCGACGTTGAGTCGGACTCTGTGGCTCACACGTCTAACTTTCACATCGTCGGGGTGTGCTCTCCATGATGGACATGTTCCGTGTCTTTGGCCTTTTGCGCGAGGCGTGACAGGTTGCATGTCATGGTGCCTCGGCGGCAAGCGGCAGGCAGTGGTGTGCCGGTGCAGGAGGGCTGAGCCCTTCACACCATTCATACGTCCCGCTATTTTCGACCGCGCACCAAGCCACTCCCCTCTTAGTAACAGAGCGCTGCCGCTGCTCAGGCTGCGCTTGGACGGTGGTTTGATGCGGGAACGGTCCGCAGCCTGGCGTTGCTGGCGCTGCCCGTGGACCGTCATCGTCCCTTGTGCTGCCCACTGAAAGCCCGTTGCGCAAGGCTAGACGCTAACATTTACACCAAAATTGGAGCTTGGATGCCCCGTCGTCCTCTGCTGCTGCTAGAACCGTTCGGTTGTGCGCCTCCAGCCATGCCCGTGGGCTCAAGCTTCTGTGCTGCTCCTCGACCATCGTCCTCTGTCATGAGAGCCGCCGCTGCACTGCCATTGGCCTGTCCCTGTCCCTCCCCCAGCCTGCTCTCCCAGCCCAGAGGGCAGGGCGACTCGGACCTTGCAGTTGCTGCAGCTCATCTGCCCCTCTGCTCCCGTTTCCTTCACAAACATCAACCTCTGCCCAGATGCGCTTGGCTCAGACACAGCCCGCAGATATTTCAGTCTCCCTCCACCATCAGTACACCGCCGCAGCACTCTCTATCGTCAGAATCCCGATTTGGAACGGCGGTGATCTCCCATTCTAGACCAACGGCCATACGTTTCGGATCTGCCCTGGTCTCCCGTCCTCTTTATTCACGCGCTGAGTCCACCAAGTCCGCCCTATTTCTCCATGTCCAGTCCGCCGCGCCTATCCAAGACATGAACGTTAGTCCTTAGCGGTCCTGCTGTACTACCGGATCTGGATCATTCGCCGCTCCCATCTTGAACCCCATTCTGTCCGAAGCCTGCTGCTCCACTTGAGGCTCTCGGGATCCTTCCCGGCCCCGTCCAGCTCTTGGATATATACTGCTCCATCGCCGCCTCAGTAAGCTATGTCGGACCCTAGTGAGACAGGCGGCCGCCCATTGGCCTCATCCATTCAGCAACCAGAAGGCAGCACTCAACCTCCAGCTCTCCGTCGCAAACGTCGTCGAAGCTCTCAGTCATCAGATGAACGTGTGGGCGGAACCAAGTCTAGCTCAACTCGACGTCGTCCAGGAACTAGAAAAGACATGTCGTTCGGCCCCCACGCCGGCTCCTCCCGCGGGGACAGTTCCATGCAACGCTCCCACAGCCCTACACAGATGTCACCGGAACCTACGTCAGTAAATTATACTAGGACTGGTCGCATTAGCAAGGCGAAGAAAGGTCTTAAAGTTCACCATTGCGATTGTGGAAGAGTGAGTTATACCCACCAATGCCTTTTCAGCTCCCGGCCTGGCTCTACCGTTTAGCGGGCTGAACACGATCTGTCTCAACAATGCCTCCACCAGCGGCTTTTGCGCGTTGAGCTTCGTCTTCAGCTTCGCGTTCGCACTCGACTTCTCTTTTCCCCTAATCGATTAGTTTCAAAAGAGGAAGATTACTGACAATGCACTAGTCTTACACGAGAGCAGAGCATTTAAGGTGAGACTTGACCGCCATTTTGAAACTGTAATATAACTAAATGACTTTGATCTGCAGACGTCACCAGAAGAACCACGCCCAAGATGCGTTGGTCTGCAAGTTCCCAGAGTGTGGGAAGACCTTTTACAGAATCGATCTCCTGCAACGACATCAGGAACGGCAGTAAGCCGAACCCGAGCTCAACCGCAAATGGCAAATGCTTACTTGTGGCAGCACTGAAATTGGAAAAGACTCTCGCCGCCCCTCATTTATGAGCCAGGGAACAACTGCAGAGCCCGAAGTCCAGGTCTCCGCGCCGGTTACTCTTCCTTCGTCCATCGTGACGACACTTGCTCAGGCTCCGCCATATTATCAGCAAACTGTCTCCCCAGTGCCGGAGCCGACTTCAGACCCAAGGTATACATTAAAACAGTTTCGTCCTCCTCAGATTCCTTCTTCAGCATTTGGTCATGTCCTTCGTTCTTCTCCGAATTCCAAGTGAGTTTCAACTTGTACATCAGATATCTTGTTTTCCTGATTTCCTTGGTCACTCGCATTGTCTGCGATAACTGCTTACGTTTTTTTAGTGCTATCAAGCAGCAGAGGTCGTATCACTCTAGAAATCATACATCTGTCACAGTACCAGTACCAGTGGACGGGCTCCAGACAGACATCGCCTGGAGCAATTCATATAACCAATCCCCCAATTACTCGTCAAGTGGTTACGACTCCCCAGTGCCCTACGCCGGCGAACATTCAAACATGTTCGCCAATCCCCCGTACGGACCTGGACCCAACCGTACTCGCACCTCTTCCAACGCATCCTTCATCGAGCCTTGGGCATTCCCATCGCGATCACCTACGTCAGCTACCTCTACGATGGCATGTACATGGACATCAAATGACAAGAGTCCGGTACCGCCAAATTTACCCTTCCTGACCTCGACATATTCTATGACGGGCATGTCGGTCTCTGCTGCTGTTGATCCGATCTCCGGGTACCACATGCCTTTCGGTCCGAAGTCGATGGCGCTGATAGATGAGGAGGAACAAGCATTTTTGTTCCCTGAGCAGTCATTCGGTACGGCCCACATTGCAAACACCTATCCGCTTGAACAATATCTTGACAATTACTGGAGATTGTTTCACCCCTCTTTTCCCGTCATCCATCGAGCTACCTTTGACGGCATGAACACGTCACCCATGCTCCGTGCCGCCATGATTGCGATCGGCGCGCAGTATTCGAACGATACCAGTGCGAAGCGAAAGTACTCCCGAATCCTTCACGACCGCTGCAGGAAGCTCCTTGACAAGGTAAGAGGCAACGGCAGAATCTCCATGCAATCTGCTTATAGTAGAGCAGAGAGACCTAGTCATGACTGAACCTGAACGAATCTGCGACTACCAAGCTTTACTTCTCATTGAAGTCCTTTCTCAGTACGCGGCTCGACGCGCCCCCAAGTCACTCTCACCCCGGTTCGAGAGTATGTACAAGAAGGTGAGCTCATCCTCAAGTGCTCATAGAACCCCCTAACTCCATCCTAGCTCTCTCAAAATTTCAGAGCGACGTCTTCAAGTGTAGCCGACATCATGTCCGCAATTGTGATACCCGAGAACGCCACCTACAAGCGTTGGAGCCAATGGGTGGAGCTTTCTAGCCAGCAACATCTGCTCCTGTGCTGCTACATTTTAGAGTCCCAACAAACCACTCTCCTCGCCCGCCAGCCCCAACCTTCGATCCTCCAAACCACTTCTGGATTCGGCCTTCCATTCCCTGCACACGCTGCCTTGTGGGACGCCACAGACCACACGGAATGGGGAATGGCTGCGCAACAGTACCTTCATTTCCCGACATACGTCTATGAGATCACACCTGAGACTAGTGTTGGCCCCTTTGACAGCTTTCAATCTTCGCTCCTTATCGCTGCATATTATAACCACTTCAGCAACGCGATGCCCTATCTTTCCGGACCTTCACTCGTAGTCATCGATCACCTTCTCGATCAATCACCACTTACTAAACATCGACTCCTTACAGCGAAACTCCTTCAAGTAACGCCTATTCGTGAGCTGCTTGCTGTTGCTGGCGAATCATGGATCTTGTCTGAGAAAGTAACTTCTCCTCCGGATTTTGCGAACTGCAAGGCCACCCTGAGGACGTGGGTCAGTGCTCTCTGGACCCCTACTACCGATGCGCAGAGTCAGGCTGTGAAGGACGCTCTGAAACTTGCTATTGAAATTATGCAGCATGCAATGATGACGCCGTTTAACAACCTCCGCCTCAAGCTAGGCGCCGACATGGGTCTCTTCTTTGCCACTTTAGTTATTTGGGCTGTCACTGTCGCAGCAAACACACGGATCAATACCCCTCAGGCACAATGCCAACCCCTACGATACCCTTCGCACTCCCCTCTCCCTTCTCACCCCCCTTCTGGTCATTACCCTTCTACACCGACCCACCTCTCCGCAACCTCAGCGCAGCCTTCTCAATCCCCGAACCCCGCCCAATCCGCTGCGATTGGCCTTCTCCCAATCTCACACACGTCTCCTGCACCTGCGTTTGCGTCGAACAGCATGCTGCACTCTGAGATCACAATGAATTCGGTCAATTTCCTCAGCAGCGCTCTTCTTGAGTTCGATCTTCTCGGCGTAGTTCCTCAGTGGCCTCGCGACGTTGCTCAGTGGCAACAGGGCAGTGCTGCTCTCCTGCGATGGGTGAAGATGCGTCTTCGCAATGGGGCTATCGAGGGTCGAGACAGCGTTATTGGTCTTGTTCCCACAAGTGCCGGCCCTGGTCGCGGTGGTGATGGGCTCGGCGAGCTGATCGATGGAGTAATCAACGTCCTTGAGAAGGTCATTGGACGAGGGTGGGACGGCTGGGGGGTTTAATACCTTCCACTATTCTTCATAGGCCACCCCCTTCTTCGACACAGGACTGTAACATTCTCCGGAGTACCTACCCATCTAAGCTACAAAGATTGTGGCCGGATACATGCATCCATGAGAAAATCGCCTTCCGGTTATTCTTATCTATTGCATATCTATTTCGTTCATGTTTTCGTCGTTTTATTCTTTGTTGCACTCCGTTCCTCACTTTGGTTCGACGAGCGCACGGCATAGCGAGGTTTTCTATTCTCTTCTTTTGCAAAATCAACACACGGTATACAGGCATGAATGGTATGATGGACTCACGACTGACGTTGGACACTTGGTAGCAATCTTTGGGACGGATTTGGAATACCCCCTCTTCTTTACTTCTCTTCTCTTCACTTGATTATCTTCAACACTTCTCGTCTTCTCTTCATTTGAGTTCGTTTGTCCCTATTCCGATGAACTCTGTACGTTTACTTTGCGGCCTTTTCGTGTTTCGTTCATTCTTTAACCCGCATATTTTGTACACACTACATGTCTCAATTTTCTCGCTCTCTTTATCCTCTGCATCATTACGAGGCTTGTATTAGTAGAATTTCCGTGCGTCGAACCTTTTTGCTTTGGCTTGCCTTTTTCAGCCAGCATTTGGGAGCATGATGGCTCCTTCATGAAATCAACATACTGTCTCAGGCTATTACCCTTCACTCGTCTTTTCTGTCATTAGTGACATTCTCGTCTTATTAGATCCCTTTACGTTTGTTTTATCATTAAGTTTCATTCGGCAGAAAGCCAATTCGTGGGCTACGATGAAGTTGGAGCCCCACATTACTAAGCTCAGGTTCTCGAAGCGAGTTGTTCCATGCAAAACCAAAGCGACCGACAACTCTAGTATTGGCTGGCTTGCTGTGGGGATCTCATTCCCCCCCAAAATTTGGTTTAGTGGGGATACTTCTTCGCACTTCGTGTGTATAAGGGTCATTCCCCCCGCCCAAGTTTGGCCTGTTGTTTGGCCTGTTTGCGTACCTGAGCCGATAGATCACTTCCTCAAGATCGTCCTAAAGTGCATCGAAAATGTCCAATACACCTTCATCAACCCTCCATCCACCGTACGCAAATCTTAATGTCCTGTTCTGCCACCCGCGAACGTCCTCTCACCTTCTTGCAAAAATTCTCAACCTCCCAGCGCAACCTCATATTCACCAACATGCCAGTGATGGGTATTTCTTTCTTCGGCCAACCGGTCTACGCTTTCAGAAAGGTCTCGCGGGCAAAAATGTCGCTTCCTGGACTGAGGAAGAGAAGGAAGCGATGAAGGAAGCTTTTCAGAAGAGTTATGAGGATCTAGAGAAATTTGTGCAAGAGGCAAAATACGAGGGAAAGGGAATTTATGTCAAGGAGCATGTTCTCTGGACAGTCGAACCCGTTTCAGAGTCTATGTTCTTGTATGGCCCCGGCTGTACGACCAGGGAACCCTGGTACGCTATCACAATCCGCACATCCGCTAATATCCTTGAAAAAGAGATGGAAAGCAGAAAGTCAGAAGGAAACGAGACTTGCCTCCCAGACTCATTCCTAAGGAAACTGAAGCCCACGTTCTTAATCCGCCACCCGGCTCTTGCATTCCCATCAAACCTCCGAACTGCCATCGATAACGAAGGCATTGAAACTGTGAAACGTGCACATGGGATCCATACCTGGGAAATGACATATCACTGGCTCCGCGCGCTGTATACTTGGTACGATTCGCATCTTCCACCTGAGCAACGTACTACAAATATTCCGGAGATCACATTTCCGATTTTGCTCGATGCAGACGACATCACAAATCCATCTCACATTCGCAGATACACGGAAGCGATTGGTTTAGACCCAAGCCTCCTCCGGTATGAGTGGGAAGCAGCAAGTGAGCATGAACTAGATGGTATTGGGAGTATGGAGAAGCGGATGAAGGAGACGATTCTGAAGAGTACAGGGATTGTGAAGGGGAAGACGAGTGCGGATCTGGTGATTGGGGATGAGAAAAGGAAGTGGAGAGAGGAATTTGGAGACGATTTGGGGCAAAGGTTGGAGGGGTGGGTAGATGGTGCATTGGAGGATTGGGAGTGGTTAAGAGGGAGAGCTCTGCGGATTTATGGGAGCTAAAGGGCGCAGCATATAGAGGTCATAATACATGCATAGCGAAAGGGATGCCAAGAAAGCTGCAGTAAAGAACGTGATATGACGTGCTGTACCCCTCCTCACACCCAAGCGGAGTTAAAATTCGCTCCCCCGATAAACTCCTAGGCTTAACTCCAGCGCCTTACATACCTCAACAAAGTCATAAATTCCTAATATTATAGACTAGCTCATCTATGTATAGTCAAGGTAGCACCCGTCTTTAAATAATTCCACGCCAAATAGTTTTTATTTGTACCATTTTACGCTAAATATAATCAGGGCCCTATCACACTCAATTTCCTTCATATACACTTAAAATGGCAACCCCCCTCACAAAATCTCATATCCTATCTATTTTCTCAAACCTCTCCACCGGTAACACCACAGCCTTCTTCGCGAACGTCACCGACGATGTCGATTGGCTGGTCGCCGGGCAATCACATCCATTGGCTGGACATTGGACCTCGAAGCAGAGGTTCTTCGAAGATAGTTGGATGAGAGTAGGAGCTGTGCTGCAGAAGCCTATGCAGTTGAGCATCGTTGGCGTGATTGTGGAGCCGGAGGGTGAGGGGTTGAAGGGGAAGGCAGTTGTGGAGTTAAAGGGTGTGGGCGGGGTCTTGAAGGATGGTATGTGGCAAGAGTGAAGTGTGGGTTTTGAAGAGAGTAGGCTAATAAAGAGATAGGGAATGAGTACAATAATGAGTACTGCTGGGTCGTCGGATTCAATGAGGTAGGCAAGATTGCCTCGGTTCGGGCGTATTTGGATACAGCGAAATTAAGAGATGCGTTGGATGGAAACGAATAACTCCCTCCTTCTCGACCCTCCAAGTACTGGCGTGCATGTAACTCCGAACTCCCAGGTCCTTAGTAGAGAAACCTCCCATTTGGAATCGTCAACACCCACCACTATCATCGCAGCTTCCACAATCACCCTTACAACATTTGCGACAGCAACGCACCCATCCCAGAAGCTTCCTCTACAACGGGAGCAGCATCCATCAACATTATCGTCCGATCTTTCGCATCGTTGATGGAATCGCTCGTCACGTCTCTTTGCGGCCTCTAGCGCTTGCTGCTGAGCAGTTCGACTGATCTGCTACGAATCCTTTTCTGTTCGAAGCGTTTCTCGTAAGTCATTTGGGCGGCGGTCGGGGGTGTTCGTTGTTTGGTTCCAGACTTGGGCTTGGAAGGGTTTGGCTGGTATCGGCATTGCCACCTGTGGCATTGTGGGTCTCATTGACGGAGCTTTCAGTGTTATCGGGGGATTGAGCTGCTTTCTTCTCGGTTTCGACAACCATGATTGGAAACGGTAGCGCTAGAGAGAATTTGAGTATGTGGATGAAGAGCATTGTAAAACCTTGTGAGCTCGGAAGATATTTAGAAGTGGTTCTATTTATCTCCGCGCGATGGGACTTTGGATTGATGATGAAAGGTACTCATGTCGTCGTATTGTGATGCGAAACCCTTTGAAAGGGTCGTCGTATCTAGTGCCCCCCCATCAAAGATCAACTGGCAAAGTGAACTTGTGGCTTAGCTAATGAGTTAAGTGGAGCAGAATGCGTCGTAGACTGAGTGAGTTTAGTCTTAGCCGTTCTACCTTAGAAGCATGCTAACATCCAACAGGCGTTCGCCCTTCGCCGTAGCTATGTAGATAAGAAGCCTAGGAATCTCAAATGGTGGTGCTCCTATTACATATATTAGTGGAAATTACTAAGACTGGAATGTAGGGATTTTGCCAACTTTCGATTCCAGCACAATTAAAATAAAGTAAGGCATAGATTAAACACCGAGTAGCAGCCATTAATTTGAGTCGATTTCTGTTGCCACACCGACAGAGACTCCTTTACTTGACTTCATCATCACCACAAAACCTAACTAGTCTGGAATCTGAGAGGACGAGATGATGTACGGAGCCTTCAGAGCAACAAACTTTTCTCTTAGAGCATTTCAACACAATTGCACATTTTGGCATGAACTAATCGAGTACGTAGATGAAATGCTATACAAATGAACTAGCAATATCGCTGCCCAATGTGGGCGTGAGCGAATTGCCTTATTAACAGTGTCTCCCAATCAGACTAGACGAAGGGTAGAGTTGTTCCGTTCCCCGTCAGCGTCAGGTATCCATTGGCCTGTACTTAGATCGATCCTTCTCCCGCTTCCATTAATTCCAATTCCAGCCTGAGGATATCTCCTGAAGCTCTTAAATCTCTACCGGTTCCTTCAGTTGCGCGCTTCCTCGCTTATGCTTTTCCATCCTTCACCGTATCCGCTCTTGCCCACGTTCAAATCACGAGGCCATGAGGTATCTCTTCAGGCTTATACGAGAGTCTAAGAAGATACTTCGATACAGTCTGAGAAGCTTAATCGAATAATAGAACAACAGATGCTTAAAGTGGGCCCTATGTTGAATTAGATGTTGAGATTTGTATTTCCTTGTCAGTAGGCGCTAGAAAAATGCCTGATTTGGGTCGCTAGTGCTTCTGAGATCATCTGGGCAGCCGGTCCAAGCCTTTCATTCTCTCGAACTTGGTTCTCTGCCAATGGAGTCACAACACTTATAAATCCTAACGTACCCTTCATTACAATGTAATTCACTTTATAAATCATGCAGTGAGTGCTAAGGTAAGCTTGTTTCGAGTGGAATAGGAAAAGTTGAGTTAGATTTACGTGATCCTGCTTCTTCCCGTTTATTCACTATAAACTGAAGAAAGCAAGGAACGCTAGATAATAAACCACTCTCAAGGAAACATCGCTGTATCTCTCTGTTTATATCATCCCACGTGTTTTGGAGCACCAATAAAAAGGTTGTTGTTCTCTGTTTAACGCCTCTGGCGCTCTTCGGTGATCCTGTACGCAGCCTCGCTTTGAACCATGGTACAGAAAAGGGCATATTGCGGGTCAATACTTTTCAAAAATGATGAATTGTCTTCTCGAGTCATTACGTCAGGTTCCGAGAACAATTGAGCAATGGTAAATCCCAACAGTATTCTCCAAAACATAACGAACTCATGTCGCATCCCTCATCCCTGAACCTTCGGTTCTCCTTCAACGCTTTTAACTCTTGTTTCGTCTTGAAACACTACTATCCTTCAAGATGATGATATCATTCTACTTCGCCGCCATTCTCGCGGCTGCCTCCTTCTCCCAGGCTAAGCATAAGAAAAAACCGAAGGAGAAGAACCCGCCACTGCCGGCACCTACCAACCTCTTCCCCGCAGCAAAATTCAAATCATGGGATCACCTTTATTCTAGGCAGTACGAAATACCTCCGCCAAAGAACATGGGACGGTGGATCCACCGGGAACCGATTCTAGCACCCGTCGACTTAGACGGGACGGAGGTATGTCGTCTTCCCTTCATCGCCTATAAGATCATTTTATAATACTGTCACTTAGGTATGCCTGCCGGAAAACGTCGTAAAAGAGTTCCGCGACATGGATATCTACTGTACCCAGGATTTCGACAGCAACTGGGAGGATCGCGACTTCTACATCTACACCGCCGAGTACAACTACATAAAGAACTTAACTGAGTTCTGGAAATACGGATATTGGTATGGAAATCCAGAAGAGGAAGCCTGCGATAAATACAAGAAACACTGGACAATTGGGAGCTGTCGCCTGGGAAACTCAAATGCGGAGCACCACTGCTGCACGGTCCAACGAAAGGTCGGGTACCAGATCTGGTCGGTCCCGATTGCGACCTACTCTACTACCCCTTTAAAGCCAAATAAGCTTTCTGATAAGGAAAACCCCAAGCACCAGGTAACACCACCGCCGTCAGTCCCGCAAGATGTACAAGACCGCCTGGAAGCGAGCCGCATAGGTGCAAAACACAGTCCTGTGTTTGAAATCCCGCAGGTCAAAGATACTAACCTGCCTGCCATTGGGTACTACCAAGGAGGCAACTAACTCGTCCGTCGCCGGAGGTGCTCGAACCGTCTACCAAGATGAGCTAAGGTATTGGGTATAGCGTCTCTTGATCATCGGTTGGATGGGGAAATCCATTCCTTTGCTCGTTTTTGCTTCAAGATATCTCGAAAACTACCCGAAACGACAACATTCTTTTCGATTTCGATATCTTCATGCTTTATATTACTTCACGCTAAGTTTGCACCCAAACTCAATCCAATTGCAGTCTTGCTTTTCGATCAAATGGAGTGGCATTATGAAAGAAGCAAGTTAATACCAACGGTTTCATATTAGCTTTTTACATTCGATCGACGCAAAGCGACTGAATGAATGCCTCTGCTAATATCATGGCGCATATGTTGGACAAATTGCAGCCCACCACGAAGGCCCCACTTTTTCCAGCGATGTCATGAACAATCGCTCATGAGATCTAGCATTGATCTGCTATTTCTTTCTACGTGTCTAAATTACCATAAGCAGTCGTGAGTTAAGCTACAGAGCCATACTAGCATCCAAGACTCCTCCCCCGAACGTTCCACGACCTCAGCACAAATGGTGGTATGCCTTCACTCCATCTTTAGCACATCTGCTTCCCCTCCCCAAACACCCACCCACCACAATAATCTATTCCCGGTTCCCACCTCGGGAGCTCCACCCCACCTCCCCCTCTCAACAACACCTGGTGGCGTAGATACCTTAGTATCCGTCTCTTTTACACCCTTGACATGTGTTCGTTCTGGAAAGTCCCTATAGCGTGGGAACGGTTGAATATATCAAGAATCAATCTAAAGACTAAGAGTTCGGATGCCGTATGGAGCGGATTTGATGTTTTGCTGACGGCGCTGGACCAGCTACCGAAGCATGGTAATATCCCGGATGTGGTGCGTTCTTTGTGGTGTGGATACATGTACAAAGATGTGTTTGTTGCGAAGCAGGCGGAAGAGGAAAGCGGGGAGCATGGATGGGCGAGTCATGGGGATGTGCTAGAGGAGTTACTAGGGTTGAAATGTGTAGCTGAGGGCGAGAAACTGTATGAACCCTTCCTTGGTCGCATTTGAGCTCTTCTATGAGAGAAGGTTGTATTAGGATTGTGGAACTGGAGGATTGGAGCACAAGTGGACTCAGCAGCTAGCGGGGACTTCGGCTGGGGCATGCGCATGCAAGGAGCTAAAGTGCTTAGGGGGATGCATTAAACAATGCGATCCTTTATCAAGGACTATGTCTGCTGAAACATAAAGAAAGCCTACCATACACGCCTTTGGGAAAATAGAAGCTCATTGCTTTCTAGATGAATGCATACAATCCGCGTGCGAACCCTCCTCAACATCTCTCTTCTTATGATAGCTTGCCCGGCCAAAACCGACCCTGATTCGCTTCCCTCCACTCCTTGTCATGTGCAACCACTACCTCGACCTCTACCTCCCCACCCCCTTCTTCCTTCACCTTTCCAGCTTTTAACAGTTTTGCTATTCGCTTAATTGTAGCGGCCGCCTCATCCGTATCAACATGCACACTCCTTAGCCTCCCTCTTCCGTCATCATACATCGCAATGCCCTTCTCGCCCTTCAATATCCGTGGATCATGGCAACAATCGCCGCCTAGGTACACCCACTTCTTTGGTCCCGTGCGTGCTAGTAGGTTAATGTGACCGAACAAGTGACCTGGTGCGTCGACCACATAAACGCTCCCATCACCGAAGAAGTCCACAACTGCGGGGAATGCAGCGAGGGGTTTCCATTTATGCTGTGTTTGATTTTCAAACGCTTTTTGCAAATCCGAAGCCCGGACTGGAGGGAGTTCCTTTGTTCGATCTTTGGGTAGCTCGTCTGGATTGAAAATATTGGCAGGATATAGATATCCACCGCCATGTGCTAAGAGATGTATAGTTCCACTTCCGACTACGAATTCTGCTTGGGTGAAATCGAGGGGTGTTCCGACGTGGTCCCAGTGAACATGGCTTAGAATGATAGTGTCTATTTCTTCAGGGCTTAGTCCGCCTTTCCTCAGACTCTCGGCCACATCTGGAGAGACAATAGTGGGCTGGCGCTGTGTTATGTGATGTTGTTGTGCATCGCGGTAGCCGGAGAAGTCGCGTTTGAGTCCTAGGTCGAAAACCAAATTTGTAGACTTTGGAGGCGAAGGGTGCTGGATGAGAAAAGAGAGGGATGGGACAGTGGCTCGCTTTTCGGGATCTGCCTCTGTGATGAAGAGCTTTTCGGGGAGGGTGAGATGCCCCGCTTCAAGAGCTGAAATGGTCACATAGATTTGGTCTGGGGAAGGGGCTGGGAGGACTACTGATTCCGAATCTGAAGACATAGTGAAATAGTGTGGAACTGAACTACCGGTACATGGGACTCCAATTGAAGTAATAAAATTCTACGATGAGGCGGAAATGGGTTGACTGTACGATGTTGATGTTGATGTTGATTTGTTGGAGAAGTGTTGGAGAAGCATTTAAACTCAAGAAACCGTAGCCCCACCTTGCACTGATATACCCCGCTGCGGGGTCCCGCGGATCACCAGACGGGTTTCTGCTTAAATAAGCGCGAAATTGACATATGCATGTATGATGCCTGTGTTGGCGTGTTGAAATGCGACTCAGAGTGCCCTGAAATCAGGTTTACCTTCCAGCCATTCCTAGCCATGGCTACCAACCTACCCAAAGCGATGCGAGGCCAATTCCTCGAGGCTTTCAAGAAACCATACGCACTCCGATCAGTCCCACTACCAAAGCCATCTGCTCCTCATGATGTTCTGATCAAAGTCGACGCTGCGTCATATTGCCACACAGATTTTGTCCTTGCCGAGGGGCAGATGCCCGGTTTCCCGAAATCATTTCCACTCGTTGGCTGCCACGAGTTCGCAGGCACAGTAGTATCTCACTTTGAGTCACCAAGCTCGAACGCAACTGCTTTCAAAGTTGGAGAGAAGGTCGGAGTGCCAGGCCGTGCATTCGGTGCTTGTGGGACCTGTTTCGAATGTCAAGGCTCCAGGGATCCCGTCAGCCAGGACGAGAAGGGGTACTCGGTATATTGCGCGCACGCTGAGAATAATGGCTTAAGTAGGGATGGAGGATTTGCTGAGTACGCGGTGGTAGACGCAAGACAACTGGCCCTGATACCCGCTTCTATGACACCAGTCGAGACGGCACCGCTTATGTGTGCCGGCATCACCATATTTGCAGCTTTGAAGCGATGCCAACTATCACCAGGCGAGCGAGTTGGAATTATGGGATGCGGAGGTGGCCTGGGGCACTTGGGGTTGCAGTATGCCGTAAAGATGGGGCTAAGAGTCATTGGAGTGGATGCTGCGGATGGACCGCTAAATCTTGCGGTTGGCCTGAACACTGGAGCACAGATCGTGGACGCAAGAAAGCAGAAGGCAGAGGAGATTGTCAAGCAAGTAGGATCTGAAGAGGGGAAGATAGACCTCGGCGAAATGGGTCTAGACGCTGTCATCATCTTACCCGAAAGTCAGCCGGCATTCGACTATGCTATGACTCTATTGAAAACCCACGGTAAATGCGTGGTTGTATCGTTCCCTGAGAAGGGATTTCACATATCGGCGCGAGATGTGGTGTTCCGGGATATCTCTATCATCGGAAGCTTAGTTGGTAGTAACAAAATGTTACGGGAGATGCTGAATTTTTCGGCCGAGCACAATGTTCGTGCTATTTCCAGGTCCTTTCCGCTTTCGAAGTTGAACGATCTTGTTGAGGAGTACCACAAGGGGGGCGGTGGGAAGCTTGTCATAGATATGGCAATCGACGAGTGACTTTGGAACGGATGGCTGTATCTTGACCGAGTGTAACTCAAAAATTCAATGATCGGTATTGCAATTCAAGGTACTTCAACCTGACTCCAACATGTCCGCGTAGAGATTGAGCGCACTCCCGATAACATCTACAATAGCCCATGTCTGTGCACCTTTGAATATGGTAGCCCAGACTCTGAGGACTCCGGCACTTAGGTATTTGGTATATGCGGGGGATTCAACCGGAACATCAGGCGGCAGTGCAAACTCTGTTTCGTCCAGCATGCTCTTAACGATGGATGTTATCCTTCGCTCATCCTCTGTGACTGGGGGTTCGGGATTAGGGGTAGATAATGCCTCGAGCCATTTACTCAACAGATATGCACACTCCAACGTACATAGCGAATGTTGGATGGACCAGATGAATGACTGAGTCTTGGCAACTAGTCTGTATCCAATCTTTACCGGGATGCTAAGCGCATGCGCTGAGTGAAGCACGGCTCTGGTGATTTTAGGAGATCGCTTGATCGCTGGGCCATCACGAAATGCGTTTGCGATCAGCGCAGGATCACGCGTATCCAAAGCACGCCCAGCTGTATCCACGTACAAACGGATGTATGCTAGGCGAAGCAGAGCAGTGGAATTGAAAGCCACAGGGCCATTCGGGCTCATCGGGTCAAGAGATGATTCAGGGTTGTTCTTCCATCCAATTTGCCAATTCCGGAGCGCGTTCTCGAGTGAAGACACGTCTTCTTGACTGAGCTCTCCAGGTCCATCAAAGCGACACCTTGCTACTTGGCGAACGAAGAATATGTGTTGAATCAGCGCGTGTATTAGTGCGTAATTCCCCGAGCTAGAATTCCATTCCGTGATATCCCGTCCGTTCTTAGAGAATAGCTTCTGTAGGGCATCTTGAAAGAGAATCTCAGGGGCACTTTTCTTCCTAGCTTCTTTCCAAGCAGCGGCTGTGGATGCCTTGAATTCTAGTGCACTGCATGGCAGCGTAAGCTTGACTTCGGAGGTTAGGATGAATGGAGGTATGTTATAGACGATACAATGAAGATTCGAAAATCCGTAGACAATGAATTTTGTTCTTTTCGTTGTTTCCCGCCGAATCCAGTCCTCCCAGGATATTTCTTCCTGTAAAGGTTCTAGCTGGAGACCGTCGTCTCTTATAAGGGTCGCGAGAATGCTTTGAATCGCCAATGCTTCCCGAAGAATCTCTTTATGCTTTGCCCATGTACATAGTGCCATAAGCAAAAGAAGCGCTTGCGCAGTCTGCATGAGGTCTTCTCCGATATGGGAGACCTCTGATTCGGATGGCAGACCTAACGGTCCGACAGTTGAACAAGTGCGCGGAGGACTTCTGGTTGCCGATGCGCCATCGACGTCATGTGAAGAGGATCGATCTGACTCCGCGCGACGATGAAACTCGACCAGACGAGCATCCCTTCTTCGTATTCGATAAGTCGCAATCGCACGACTAGCGTTAAAAAGTTCAACGCCTTTCTCTCCTTCAAAGGTATACTGAGCACCAACAGCAGCGATTGCTAGAATGAGCTCAATAGAGCAAGTATCGACTGACATCGTGGGGATGTGCAAGAAAGGCATATGCTCGTGAAATCCGTTGATGTATGCAGCAATGTAGCGGCAGAGTGCCAGTCGCGTGGGTAATTTGAAGTCGGCCGGCAGGAAACTAGAGAATTCATTAAGCTTATCAACGATTTTCTGTCGGTCCTCGATCGAGACTTCAGCAAGGGGGCGCCAGCTGGTGCCTTCATCCTGATGAAAATCCTCCGGCTGTAGCGAAGGTAGCCGGGACCCAAACCGTGAGAACGAGTGAGGCTCATCTAGATGATGATGGCCGTGGTTAAGACCTGATCCTGCAGGGGTTTCAGGAGGAGGAAGGAAATCATGACCATAGCTGAACGACTCGGGAGAAAAAAAGGGCATTGGTTGTTCAGTGTTGATTAGTGAGGAGAAGTGGTATGAGGAAAGGGGCTCATTGTCCAGAAAAGAAGCTAAACTATCCAATGATTCGCCGAGGCTCGGGCCATGGACATGAGTAGGTGCTGTAGGGATGGAGGGTTGTTCCACTGTGGTTGCCATGTTCGGATCTGGTATTGGGATCGGGGCTTGGAGATCATGATGCGGAGTGGTGCCATTGGTCAATGTCCCATGCATCGACTGGTACTCGGCGGCCATAGACAGAGCAGCTAGGGAGAATTCATCGTTCTGTGGACCACTCGGAGCCCCAGCAGGGGTTGGCGGTTGAGGTGGCTGCGGGTGTGACATGTCAACATTCATCGTGCCTGTCGGGGCTGCAGGAGTTGACATCATGCTGGGTATCTCCGGCACGGGTCTTCCACCATCAAAACTTGTCCGCATGCGTTTCTGCGGCCTTGGTTCCGTAGGCGCATAGCTACCGTTGGAACCTTGATGGGTCTTCTGGCCGTTCTCCTTGTGGTGGGTCAATCGTTCATGGCGAACAAGCAAATCACTGTTCAGGTTAGTGAGGTGCCTGACCTGCACCAGTATATCACATACCTGCGAGTGAAGGAGTAATTGCACTCGGCGCAACTGAAAGGCTTTATGCCACTGTCTTCCGGGACATTAGGTGGGAAGAACACGATCAACATCATTGCACTTACGAATCCGTTCGTGCCGCTGCAGGTGCTCGAGACGAGCGAACAGACGTTGGCAATGCTGACATTGGAACCTCTTCTCCTTCTTCCCCACCGGGGGAGGTTGGTCAGTCCCCGTGCTTGACTCCATTGGGAACAGGGAGTAGGGAGGAGCAGAGGCCTAGCAAGGAGAGAAGCTCAGGCCATCATTGGTCAGATAGGAGAGCGCATTAACGGTTCGGAGTAGCATGAGGAAACAGCACAATGCTTGGAGTAGATTCCAGGTAGGGGGAAACTAGGGATTGGGGGTGAATTGCAAGAAAAATGCGGAGAGGGGGTTGAAGAGTGCGGAGACGGGACAATCACATGTGGGGACGCCACCAACTGACGGCGGGCCTTGGCAGATGCGGATCGCTCGTGCACGCGTCATGACATGGATTCAGGCGAGAGACGTGAAGAAATTGAATTCTATTGAGATGGTTTCTTGCGATAGATTGATGGTGTTGAGGTCGAAGGCACCGTTGTGGGGCCTCGCTTCACTTGCTCCTGATGGTCGACTGACAAGGACCGTGCCACCCGTACCCAAGCCGTGTTGCGATCTATGGTACCTAGGTATTCTTCTAAGCCTTGTCGCTCTTCTGGGACATCTCGCGCGCCATCTCGCCCTTCTCGGCCATGTCGTTGAGAACCTTCTCGGCCGTCTTCATAGCGTCGACGCCGGCGGGAACTCCGCAGTATGTGGTCGCGTGGAGGATGGCCTCCCGGATCTCGAGCTCGGAGAGGCCATTGTTTCGCGCGCCGCGGATATGGACGGCCAGCTCGGGCGCCCGATTGAGGGCCATGAGCATGCCGATATTGAGCAGACTGCGCTGCTGCTTCGAGAGACCGGGTCGGGTCCACGCGTAGCCCCAGCACCACTCAGTAACCAGCTCCTGGCCCGCCCTGGAGAACTCGCTTGAACCATTGGCCAGTGCTCGATCGACATACTCGTTGCCGACCACACTGCGGCGCATCTTGAGGCCCTCTTCGAAGAGCTGCTTGTGGAGGTCGTCGAACTTCCGGTCGGTAGACATGATGGGCGGTCCTGATTGGTGGGATTTCGCTCGGCTCAGGGGATGCAGTATATTCAGACTTAGAAGCCGCTCGAAATGAATTCAGGCTCGAGCAACACAACTTGAAGAAGTCAAGATGATTTGGAATTCACGACGAGAACACTCCCACAGACATTCATCTACCCCTCCATGTGGGCCGCCGACCTCGGTGTCGGCGCTTGGAGATGGCACTCTTCCTTCCCCAACTTCCCCAACCGAACTCTGGACTTATTGCATCACCGCAGTACATTGCAGTATGGACCATCTACAGGTTGACGAGGGATTCGAAATTCTATCAGTCTATAGGAATGGGGCACGCAGCAAACGGTACGATTACGAGCCATTGGGCCTCTCTTGCCAGTCCTCTTGGCCTCCCAGATACCTGTACACTACACGAGAGTCAAGATCTCGACATCGAGCATCCCTACTAGCACCGTCATATGTTTTCAATCCAACCTCACCAAGAACATTCTTCGAGCCAACACGCTTTGCCATGTCTACTGCCAGTGAAAAGTCCTTGCGCATCAGTTGAACCTTGAACCCCTCTTTATATCCTTTTGATGAAGGGGACTCGGGGTAAACGTGTGGCACGGGGTTGAAGCGATCACATATCGTATTCTGTGCAGTTCCCGCTGCGTAGACCTTTGCCAGCGTTCGCGGGTCAAGACCTGACCGCATTCCCATGTCCATTGCCTCCGAGCAAGCAATCGCAATGATTCCTGAGAGATAGTTGTTCGAGAGCTTCGCCGCAAGCCCCAGGGATGGACCGCCACAAGGGATTACTTCCTTGCCCATCAAACTCATCAGATGTGTCAAGCGCTTTACGTTTGGATCGGATTCCGCACATCCCAAGAAAAAAGCTATCGTTCCTTTTATAGCTCCAACCACGCCTCCACTAACCGGCGAATCGTAGAAGGACGCGGTGGGGAAATTCTGGGAGATGTAGCCCTTCACAGCCAGGCTTGTCGCAGTGTCTATTGTCGAGCAATCGATGAGCAACTTGGTCGAAATGTCGGTACTGCAGATGCCGTTTTGCGGATCGAGATAGACGGACCGAACGTGCGATCCTTCAGGAACCATCGTCACTACAATTTCCTACTCGATTTCAGTTTCTACTGCCTTCATTGTTTGTTGGGCACCTGTTACCACTCGCTGCGCAACATCTCTCGCGCTCGAAGCTTTTCGAATCCGGTCGGGAAACTGCGCGCACAACTCATCCATAACCTGCGCAACCACGTCGAAAACATATATGCGCGATTCCGGGGGCAGCTTATTTGCTAAATGGACAACCATGGGTTTCCCCATGGCCCCTAGGCCGATGAAGCCTAGGGTCTTGAACTTGATTATCTCGCTCATTGTGGGCAAGAAGCGCCAGAGGCATGGAAATTCAACAATTAGTTAACTATAAAAGTGATTTGAGGTATTTCATGAAATTATTGACGATGCGCAGTCTACCATTCTTCTCCGTCAAGTTCAATCCGAGTTCCCGGAGATGCAGACCCCAATCCGCCACCTCCACCCCACACTAACACCGGCGATGGCGCAGCGGGGAAGGTCGCCTTACACTTGAACACCTCGATCTTACCCCAAAAAGGTGGGTGCGGAAACCCATGCAGGTGCTCGGTACTCCATCTCCCGCGCCAAGAAGGAAATAATGAATGTCCTATTCAGCCTCAGGTAGCATTGCATTGCGATGATGTTACCGTCTGACTTTCCTCACCTGCTGTCTGCCTCACTATTGGCATCGCCAGCGTGCTCCGCGTAATGTCTTCCTCGGTGTTTGTCAGACAAACTGGACCGCCATCTCCACCCCTCGAGAAAGCGACTGTATCAGTATACGCACTTTCATGTGGGCATCTAACACTCCCTGAGTATCAGTTCGTTCACCCGGTTTCGCATACCGCGCGCAAGACCGTCCCTTCACTTGCCTTTCTCATCCAGCATCGAAACATTGACAATGGAAAAGTAACGAATATTGTATTCGACCTTGGTCTAAGACGAGACATCAAGCGATATGCAGAGCCTATACAGAAACATGTGGCTACAAGACAGCCCATGAGCACCGACCCTGATGTTGTGAAAAGCTTGGCCAAGGGTGGATTAACACCTGAGGACATTGAATATGTTATATTCTCTCATGTACGTTAAATAAATTTCGGGTTGGAAGAACATCTGGCTAACGGGATCACAGGTGCACTGGGATCACGTAGGGGAACCACGCGACTTCCCTACGTCCACATTCATCATCGGCCATGGCGCTATGGCACTATTGAACGGCACATCCTCGTCTCTCCGCGGCGGGCACTCATTCTTCGAACACGATCTGCTTCCCGAGAGCCGTACTATTGAACTCTCTGACCCCATCGCAAACATTCCACAGACTTCATCAATCTTTGAACAGAGGGCCGGAAGCCTTAACCTTAAACAGGTATGGCAACCTCACGACTATCTTCCTCAAACGCTCGATCTATTCAACGACGGCTCCGTGATCATCGTCAATGCTCCGGGCCACTTAGCTGGCCATATCAACATTCTCGCCCGAATATCAGATAGCCGTCAAGTCTACCTTGGGGGAGACACATGCCACGACCGTCGCATTCTGACGGGCGAGAAAGAAATTGGAGAATGGAACGATGCGGAGGGTCACATCTGCTGCATTCATGCAGACCGAAAGACCGCTGAAGGAACGATTTCACAGATTCGGGACCTAGAGAAGAGTGGAGTTGAGATAATCTTCGCACACGACGTTGAATGGGAGAACAACCCAGCGAATGCAAGCCGATTCTTCGGCGCCGAGGCACCACAGGGCCGCATTGTGTAAGTTGGGAGTTTGGAGAATGGGTAGATGGAGGGCTCAATATTTCCTTTTACGGCCTAGCTCAATAATGGCCTTACTGTCACTTAACTCCCCACCCCCATTCCGTAGCTCGAATAGATGCGCAATATTCCAATTTCATACACCAAGCACATGAATCAGAATATTTGCTTCGCTCCTCCCACCTTACTCGCATTGGCCATCTCAACAAACCCATCCCTGCGCTTCCTCCGCACTAGTTAGCTGTTGGAGAATGTGGGGCTCCACGCCACCAATCAGGTCGATTCTATCTGCGACCCTCCAAAAGCTCAACCCCCCATGCAAGATCCATGAATAGCTATGATGAATAACTTGCAACTGTGATTATTAACATTATCTCAATACAATTCTACTCAACAGGCCTAGCTCTTCTTACCCCATAGCCACGCCTCAGCCCGTCACCCATCTCTCCTCAGACATCTGCTATCCGCAAAAAGCACAATGACACTCCCAGCCTCTCAGAAGTCCCTCAGAGCGCGCTTCGACACCGAGCTCGGTGCCACAAACTTCGATAACTCCTGGTCCCGCCTCCTCACCCACTCCCCTTCCATGTTCGCAGCCACCATCTCCCTAACCTCCGTCCCCAAGAAAAAATCCCACCTATCACCTAAAATCCAAGCCCTGATCTCCCTCTCCGTTTCCGCTGCCTCAACACACCTGCACGTCCCCAACATCCACCGCTACACAAAAGCTGCTCTACAGGCCGGCGCAACGGAAGCTGAAATCGTCGAAGTCCTCTGCTTAACCAGCACGCTCGGTATCCATGCCTGCAACATTGGCGTTCCGATACTCTTCGAGGTGTTAAGGGAGGAGGGCAGAGAGATGCCGAAAGGTATGGAGGGTATGAGCGAGAAGCAGTGGAAGCTGAAGGAGGAGTTTGAGAGGAAGAGGGGGTATTGGCATGCATTTTGGGAGGACTTTTTGAGATTAAGTCCGGAGTTTTTTGAGGCGTATACCGAGTTTAGTGGGGTGCCGTGGGATGAGGGGGAAGGGGGGAAGGGAGTGCTGGAACCAAAGGTGCGTGCTTGTGTGTTTGTGCATGTGAACTTCATTACCTCCGTCGAGACTCTCGTCTTGGTTTTATCATCGCTTATCTGTTCTAACTTGTGCCCCTGGGCTAAGGACCTGATAGATTGTGACTTGTTTGCGTTACTGTAGTAGAGAAACTGACAAGTGTTTAGGTTAAGGAGTTAATATACTGCGCCTTCGACGCTGCTGCCACGCATCTATACAAACCAGGACTCAAACTCCACATGAAGAATGTGCTTGGATACGGAGGCACACCGGAGGAGATTATGGAGGTCCTGGAACTGGCGACTTTGTTGAGTACTGCCACCATGGATGTAGGTTTGGAGGTTTTGGAACAAGAACTGGAGGCTAAGGGAAAGGATTAGCTGATCCTGAAGGGGCGGGAGAAGTCGGAAAAGGGTATGTAAGCGAGGGCATTTTGGTATGAGACGATGTATTTTAGGTGTGTGGGAGATGGTGGCATGATCCACCTTACTCTATCGAGTTTGTGAGCTCCGGAGATTCCATGGTATCACCACAAGCCTAGTTTAATGTACTTATCAGGCAAAAATGTTCCAGGAAAACCAGCCAATTGATTGTGAAATTTTCGTTATGTAGCCACCCTTCACAGAGCTGAATGTTGCAACTGATATCGAATTCACTGTTTGATTACGGAGTAGCCCATAAGCCTGGTGCAATCCCTAAGCGCTGAAATATGCATTCCCCGGTCGTTGAATGCCTCCCATTCTTGTCCCACCCCATTTCTGACCCCTATACCCGCACCCCTTTTCTACTACAATTAAATCTGATACCTAAAATCCGGCTCACGGTCCGTATACATCCCCACCCCATCACTCCTTACATATCCCCTCTCTAACTTCCTATCTTTCCTACCCTCTCTCCTCGTGTAGATAGCCCTAACTACCCACCACCCGCACCACGCAAACCCCAAACACCCCAAACTCCACGCATGCCCCAACGTAAACTTCGGCGCCGCCGTAGTCCGATAGATCTGTCCACTCACCACGCCGCCAATATTCGTCAGCGTAAGGAGGATTCCCAGACTCGCGGCGCGTTTCCCATCAGGGGCGCAGTTGCCGGATAGCCAGGCAATGTTGCCCCCAGTACAGAGGAAACACGCTGTAGAAATGAGGTAGGTTGCGAAGTAGCGGACGCCGGCTGATACAGGGGAGAGTAGGATTGCATATCCAGCGATGCCAATGGGAGCCATGGCGATTAGAGGAAGGAAGCGCGTGCGGTAGCGGTCGGAGAGGTAAGCACCAATTGCGTAGACAACGGCACCCCAAAGGTTGACAGGGATGACGAGATATTGGGCCTGTATGTGTTGTTAGGTCAGAGTTTCTACATATGTTTTTCATAAATGCTTCTCTGTTGATGATGAAGGAAGGTACAGTGGATAAAGGATGCTGTATGCCTACCTGGACTGTAGAGTACTGGAACCCATCCTTAATAATAATGGGCAAGAACGTCCCAAAACCATACAAAATCGTCACAACTGCAATCTGAATGACCCCATGCACCCAGCTCTTAACATCTTTCGCCGCCTCCTTGATATCAGCTTTCGTGTAGTGTCCCCGTCCACCAGAATACGCTTCTGTGCGCTCGGCACGTTGCCGCATGATCGCTTTCTCGGCATCGTTGAGGAAGTAGGCAGTTTCGTAGTTCTTGGGAACTACGAAGATGCATATGAAGGCCCAGATTATGGTGATAATGCCTTCTGAGATTAGTTCAATCTTAGGAGGAAAGGAAGTCGGTTCTTTCACCTTCAAGGACGTACAGCCATCGCCAGCCAGGCCATCCCGCTGTGCCATCCATATGCAGGATTGCCCAGGCGAGGAGGCCGCCGAACGCGCCTGAGAGGGCGGATGCGACTAGATGCTGGATTAGAGAGGTGTATAATTGACTGTGACTAGAGAGAACTAGAGAGAATTACTAAAAAGATAGGCGACCCTGACGCCGAGCTCTTCACGCGTGTACCAGTTACACAAGAAGATCGTCATGCTTGGGAACAAACATCCTTCGAAGAAACCTAGGAAGATACGTGTGGTAACTAAACCCCCGAAGTTCTGGACGAAGCCGGTGCAGAGACAAACTACTCCCCAGCCGAAAGTAATGGCGGGAATGACGCGGTTGAATTGGAGGCGTTTGACGAGAATGGATGTTGGAAACTACCAGGATTTGTTAGATAGGATGGAAGAAGGGAGATCTGAGCTGTTTACCTCGGCGAGAATGTAGAAGATGTAAAAAACCGATACCGAAGTCTACCAAACATTAGAATCAAGTCTTTACGTATGTAAGAGCTAGGCTAGATACTTACATTCAACTGAGTCCCCTTTAACCCAATGTCCTTAGTCATGCCCTGGGTCGCTGCAAACCCAATATTCCCCCTATCCAAATAGCTAATTAACATCAAAAGCATCATTACGGGTGCTACGAAGCAGTCCAATTTCCTAACAAGCGCAGCCTCTTGTTTCCTCCCCTCAATGCTTTCTGGAGATTCATCGTGTTGAAGATATTCTCGAGTGAGCTGCTGGTTTTTTTCTTCGCTTATGGAAAGCACTTCTTTGTGGTCGACGTCTGCCATTTCTACAACTACAAGGAGTGGGTTGACGAGGAGAAGGGGGAATGAGAAAGATAAGGGAATGGGAGGGGAAACCACGAAGCAGAGGATGAGAACGACATGTCGTCTCGAATCGTGTTTTGATAGCTGGGAATAAGACTACTTAGACATGATTCGTAACAAGGAGCGGGGATATATCCGGGGTACATCCCGAAAAGTTGGTGGTGAAAAGCATCAGCAAAGGCCCGAAACAGTGCCCACCAAGCCTGTTAGCCATGCACGCGGCACTGAACGGTCTTGGGTGGCGATTACCAATAACCGAACTCCAAATGTTGGAGATGTTAAGATGATGATCGAGTCATTCTTCTCCAAATGCGGGGATGTGGGGAGCTTCCGGTGAGGGGTCGAACTGTATCGGCGGCCTTCTCGAAAGTCTGTATTTCGGAAAGGCACAGGCACCTTCGGAAAGAAAAAGGCTGGAGTAATAACGCTCGTACTGTGGCTGGCGAAGCTCGCTCCGAACGTGTCCACGACCTCGAATCGTCACTTGTTAGATCGCTTTCGCAAACTTCCCTCTTCGCAAGGCTGCATCGCACGAACCAAGTCCGCAAGCGTACACATAACGAAGAAGTACGCATCCACCGTCCATCATCAAATATTGAGAGTGGTAGTCAAAATCCATTCATAGAAACATGACATCGCCGGATAAAACAGTGGCCTTTGTGGGTACGCTCAGGACATTCAAACCTCGCTAGAAAACCGGGATGACATGTATTAGGTCTGGGAGTAATGGGCTACCCCATGGCCCTCAACCTTCGTAAAGGCCTCGGTCCTGACTACACTCTCCTAATATGCGACGTTGTGCCGGACGCAATATCACGATTCCAAAAGGATGCACAAGGTGAAGGGCCAGTAGAGGTAGTAAAGAGTGGAGCAGAAGCAGCGAAAAGAGCTGTGAGTAGCAGATAGGGTGTCGTTCCTTGGAAAGAAGGGGTTGGGCTAACCAAGATAGAATATGGTAGTGACAATGCTACCTGATGGCGCCGCTGTTAAGGAAGTGTATTTGGATGCATTGAACGGCGTCATTTCGGGGGTTGAGGCCTCCATCAAAGCTTCCCCACAGAAGAAAATCATCATGGAATGCGGGACGATTGAAACTCCCGTGATACTCGCAGTTGCAAAAGCGACGGAAGCATCGAGCGTTTCATCAAATCTAACCTTCGTCGATGCACCGGTATCAGGAGGGCCAATGGGCGCGCAAGACGGGACGTTAACATTTATGGTGGGAACAAATAACAAAGATGTGTTCCCAATGGTGAAGAGTACACTCGCACACATGGGGAAGGAGGACAGTGTTTTCCTGTGCGGGGATGTCGGAGCCGGGACTGCCTTCAAAGTCATCAACAACTACCTTTCGGCCATAACGTCGCTCGCGGCATCCGAAGCGCTCAACATTGGCGTGAAAATGGGCCTCGACCCCAAGCTTCTGACAGATGTCATTAATGTTTCCGGAGGTCAATGCTGGGTAACGAGTAAGAGCAATCCAGTGCCGGGAGTGCAGCAAAACGTTCCAAGTTCCAGAGACTATGAGGGAGGATTCCGGATTGAGTTATGTGCAAAGGTTTTAAAGATGGGGAGTCAACTAGCGGAGATGGTTGGTGCGAGAACGATATTGGATAAGCCGACGTTGGAGGCGTTTGATGAGGCAAAGAATGATAGTAGGTACAGAGGAAAGGATGCAAGGGTGGTGTATAAATGGTTGAACGAGAGCGAGAGGAGGTAGTTTGACGATGAATCATGGATGCGGCTTCGGCTTGAGATATTTTCGTAGAGTTTGCGTGGGTGGACGGGATGGTGGGTGGGTGGGTGGGTGGCTGCAGGCAGAACAGAACTATGCCCGAAGAGGGGAATGCGGGGCCGAAGTGTGGCCGGCCTGGGCCGAGGCACCGAGCGCACACCTGTGAAGGCTCCTGGGCGGCGGACACGGCAGTGAGAAACACTTAGGTAGTCTACGGGGCCCCTCTTTCTTCGCTCTATCCAAGTTTCTCATCTCTGTCCAGCGCCGTGCTCTTCGATTATTTGCGACAAATAGGAATCCACCATGGCCGAACTGCCCCCCTTCGAGCACACGCCCATCGACAGCATTGCGAGCACTGTCAATGGCATTCGCGCAAGCTTCCTTTCGCACAAAACTCGCCCGCTCGAATTCAGGCTGGCACAGCTGCGGAAGCTGTACTGGGGGCTGTCAGACAACAAGGACCTCATCATCGAAGCATGCAAGAAGGACCTGGGCAAGCCGACGTTCGAGACGTACCTCACCGAGGTGAGCTGGTGCATGAACGACATAGTGTTCATGTCCAAGAACGTAGCACGCTTTGCAAAGGACGAGTCGGCCCAGGACATCCCCCTGACGAACAGGCTGTTTGCGCCCAAGATCAGGAAGGACCCGCTGGGCACGGTTCTCATCATTGGGTGGGCCATCCCTCGCAGCTCCCAGAGAGGGGAGCAGCACCTACCTGCCGACGCTGACTGCTCCTTCCCTCTAGAGCATACAACTTCCCAATCCAGCTGTCCATCGGCCCGCTCATTGGGGCCATCGCGGCCGGATGCACCGCCGTGCTCAAGCCTTCCGAGAGCTCGCCCAATGCGGCAGCCATCATGCAGAAGATCATTGCCGAGTCGCTCGACCCCTCGTGCTACACGGTCCTCCAGGGCGCTATCCCAGAGACGACGGCACTGCTCGACCAGAAGTGGGACAAGATCTTCTACACGGGCTCTGCGAACGTCGGGACAATCATCGCCAAGAAGGCTGCTGAGACGCTAACTCCAGTCACGCTCGAGCTCGGCGGCCGGAATCCCGCCATCATCACCAAGCATGCCGACCCCAAGCTTGCTGCGAAGAGGCTACTCTGGGCCAAGACCCTGAATGCCGGCCAGGTGTGCGTGTCCCAGAACTTCACCCTTGTCGACAAAGACATGCTACCACTCTTTGTGGAGGAGATGAAGAACTCGCTCCAAGAATTCTACCCCCAGGGCGCGCGGAACTCTCCAGACTATGGCAGAATTGTAAATTTGAGGCAGTTCCAGAGACTCAAGACAATGCTGGATGAGTCTCGTGGCAAGATTCTGCTTGGTGGTACAATGGACGAAAGCGATCTCTTCATCGAACCTACAGTTGTGCAGGTGGACAGCCTAGACGACAGTTTAATCGCAGAGGAGAGCTTTGGGCCACTGCTCCCTATTCTCCCCGTAGCAGATCTAGACGAGGCCATCAAGATTGCCAACCAAGTGCACGACACGCCGCTAGGATTGTATCCATTTGGCACTCAGAAAGAAATGGAGAAGGGTATGCTCTTCATTCTACTTGTCTACATGACTATGTCCAGTATCTTGCTGACACCTCTTGCCTTCAGTTCTCTCTCAGACCCGCTCTGGTGGTGCTTCTCTGAACGACGGCTTTTTCCACGCCTCAATCCCTACCCTGGCTTTCGGGGGCGTCGGTTCCTCTGGCCAGGGTGCGTACCGTGGAAAGGCCTCTTTCGATGTCTTTACGCATCGACGATCTGTTACTAAGACCCCAGGCTGGATTGAGAGCCAGCTGGACATCCGCTACCCGCCATACACCCTTAAGAAGCAGCAGAAATTCGCAGGTATGAACGAATTGAAACCAAATTTTGATCGGGAGGGTAGGACCCTTGGGTGGATTGCTTGGTTGAGGGGCTTAATTGGGATGAAAAGTCTCGCCACCTTAATTGGTAAGTCTAATGGATCGTGACATGAGTATTTTGCAATGTTCGTTGGATACCACAAAATCTGATGTATCATGCTTTGTCTTCCTTGCCTGCCCTGCTGCATCTGGCCTCTCAACCCATTGTTGTATTTGCATGTCATTTTGAGCCCTCTGTTCGCCAGTAGGGGTTTTTGGTTGGGAAATTGACGATAACCTCACTATCAATTGCTTCCGCGTCAACAAAGACTGACGTGTCGCAGTTGCGGTCGGTATTAGGTTCTACCTACAGCGGAGAGCGAAACTATGAACTTTGCCACAATTGGCATGCAAAATCCTCCTCTTTGGGGACTGATTCTCTTTCCCCTTTGCCATGTATATCATGATTTGGTTCGAATGAGGAATGGAGTCTTTCATGACTGTTCTGCATGTCCTGGAAACTCCTTGGGTCAACAATCTTTAAGACTGGTTTGCGCGTGTCTCTGGGAATTGCGTCCTTTGTATATCTGAGATGTCTTCTTTCGCAAATTAGGGAGTGTGGAATCAGGGTCTGAGACATTGTATGGAAGCCGCGATGTTTTCCTCGTCCCGGCCTTTGCCAAAAATAAATGTTTGTTCCAACAATCTTCAAGAATCTGAGACGAAGACATTTCCCCAAGCACTCACCATGCATCTCAAATCTTCTACATCATTGTGTCTCAATGCCATGTCTCCTGAGAATTATTTGTGCGGCATGAATCAGTGGGAGGCCCAAGCCATTACTCTGATATGCCTTGCGAAGCTTCTCCTAACGCTTTTGGAGGTCTTCAACACGGAACTTGCTTGTCCATCAAAGAAATTCTTGTTCCGGGCAAAGGCAAACACGCTCGTTCAAAATGCCCCTATCGAATTTATCAAACATCCTGCATACCTTCTTTCATTATCGTATCCAGTAAGAACAATATAGATATAAAAGTGCTATCGTTCAGTGTACTTTCACCATCACTACTCCACAATCTCATCAAGACCCTGGATAGAGATAATATCCCCACCAACATTCTCTTTACATACACCCACGTGGCAATACCAACCGCTCCAACATCTCATCCACTCACCTTCCATCCAAAATGCCGACAGGTTTCCGCGACATATCAACCCGCCGCGCCCCCATCTATATCGGTGACAGGAACTACTTCAGCCGCATCCGCAGCCGCGGCCCTCGTGCCTGCCACAATTCATCCTGTGCAGGTACCTCCAACTTCCAGACTTCCGAACCCTCATCCCGCGCCCGACGTGATTCGAACTCGGACGATGGTGCAGGTGCAGGTGGAGGTGTCTGGGTCTGCAGAATGATCCCGATCCCGGCATCGGAGTTCAAGCAGAGGATGAGGATTGCAGATGCGGTACATGCGGAGATTATGCGGGAGCGGGCGGAGATGGAGAAGGGGGGTGAGCACGAGCGCATCTTCGACAGCCTAGTCACTGATACTTTGAAACAAAGGCTCGAAAAGAGGAAGGAGCGGGAGATGGGTAGGGATCTCGCGGGTTCCAGGACGGAGACACTGGGGCGCGAGGCTGGGAAGATGAAGGAGAAATGGAAGGACAGAAGAAGAAAATGAAGGAGGATGAATGGGTTGGATTTGGGGGCTTTGGGCTTGCGGGGAGGAGGTTGAGGGTGAGGAGACAAATCCCGGTCGGTTGGTATGGGTTTGGCCGGGATGGAAAGAAGAGGGCGACTGTGGAGAAAGTGTGGGGATTGGGGCGATAAGTCACTGAATTTCTATCTTTTCGTTTCTTTTCTTTTCTTTGGAGGGTTTAATTTGGATACATTAAAATTTTGGAAGGGTAATATGGACTTTGTTTGATAAGACAGTATTGGAATACTATCTTCGACTTGTGTATGTAGAATAGAGTTTTGCTCTTGGGACATACTGAATAGTAAATCCCCTACGACCAGGAGCTGGTTGGTTCAAGCGTGCTCCAATCTGTCGTAAGTGAAGCAAGTGCGGAAGAGCTTAAAATGAACCTGGCCATGTTGCCGTCTTCCCAGGAATATTCTTAGCCTGTTGCTTTGGAGGCCCTACCCAATGTAAGCGGGGGAAAACAACTCTGAGCTTCGAGTTCCTAAGCTTGTGTAGGGCTCCCTCCAAACTTCTTGAGTTGTTCCTTTCTAGGGTTAGTCTCGATTGATGATTTGGAATTCCGTTGATGTATCTGATCATATCGAAAAGAGGGCAAGTTAGAGGCTGGAGACGGAGAGTTTTGAAATGGGCTGGAAAAGCGCAACCCCCCTTAGCGATGTGCCTTTGACCGCGATCATCCGCGTCATCCACCAACAATGTGTTTGGACGTCATGGTACAACAGCTTTGTTTGCCGGCCTGCACACACAACTTGGGGGTCGCAGCGCTAGTTTGATTCGCTATTTCTGGCTGAATGGCATGCTAGTCTTTTCTAGAATCGCCACCCAGCACGAGAATCGTGCTCGCTTTACTGGGGTATTCTAAGCGGCCTTGTGATCCTGAATGCTAGGGATAGGTCATCAAGTGGGATCAAATACAGAATGTGTCTTTCGATGTGGAGCATTGGTATACGTGTATGACTCGTTGGAGGACGACTTCCGGCCCCGGAACCAAATTGCGGCTTATTCTTCATGCGAGTCCCTGAAGCTATTTACATTGATCCGCGGATGCACGAATACCGGGAAATTGTCGAGAAATATGATTATCGAAGAAGTATGGAAATAGTTACTCACCGGTCGCTGACTAATCACACCAATCGGCCCCCTGATTGGTCACAAACGTTCATCGTTGATCCCCTGTCTTCCCGCCTCACGAACCGCATTACCCATTGCAAGCCACATTGGGGCCTTTCACGCCTCGAAACATTGGCTCTTCAGCCTCGCAGGCGGAAATCATACGTGGCTGCTCCCGAGCGCCTGCCAAGCGTCCGGTCAGAGAATGTTAAATAGGGCGAGCCTCCCCGTTGGAGACGTCGTCCGGAAAGACCCAGATGGAGACCTTTACCGCCTCGATAGATGGCCCGGCCGATAAGAACTTATATCCAACGAAATGCACGATTCTTCTTCATGCATGTTTCAATGCTTGCGACAGTGTGGGTGAAGGTGTTGAGCCCCGTTCTGTTGTAGGGCGGTGCGTATCAACAGCTTCATCAGTCTGTTAAGATGGGTGCCTAGAGTCTCGGAGGATGACCAGGGCTGATGACACAGATTCTTCTAGGTAGCTACATTCCAATGAGAACTCAATTCCTGCTGATCCAAATAGCAGCCGTCAAGACGCGATACTGAGGCATCCTTCTTAGGACGCTTCACTGATCTAGAACTTGCAAGTTGTCCAAAATGCAACAAGGAACCGCCCCCAATGAATACGCCAGAGGGGCTGAGTATGCCTTTCGTTGGACTTAGGATCCAATCAAGCTTTGCTCCACCCCAATGTTTGGGAGGCCATTGCAAGACAAGGCATGCTCTGTCGAGGAGGTACCCCAAAGCATTTTGAAAGTAGGATAGATTCTTCAACCTCAGACGGCTCTCCTTCAGCCTAGGATAAGGCGAGGCACTGGCTGCAGGACCAAACTCAATGCCCAAGGAAAGGGGCTGAAGATCCAAAAGCAACCTAGGCTAGGTACCCATTATCGTTGTATATCACGTGCCACTGGACCACAAATGCCTGGGCTTCCAAGTGTAATGGCCGCCATTACTAGATGAGAACCATCAAGTAAACGGCTTTGCGACGTCGCCAACTATAGCTATGGACGAGGTTGGAGTGAAGACGCCGATTATAGGAATAGTTTCTGCCTTTGACCTTAAGGTGAGTTAACACAAAAATCACGGAATAGCCAATATACGGGATGCATTTTCAAGAGGGGAACATGATGATATTCGTATGAGGAGCGAAACGCACGAGAGGTATGAGCAAGATGAAAAGGCAAATTTCAAACATCCGACCGATCCAAGACACCCTTCAACTCCTTTTTAGAAAAGCAACCGATCTTCAGTCTGGGAAACAGGGAAAGAAACGTATAGTGAGGAGCGGGGAAGAGGAGTGTAACGTATGTCTTCAGCCTCCTTGCTCGATGATCTTTTTGCAGATCATGCAATGTGCGACGTATTGGGCCCCGGCGAAAAGAGAAATGGAAATATAAGCGAGACTGAAGTCACATTCGATCACTACTACTCTGAATTCCTGGATTAAGATGGTGGAAGCACGGAAAGTCGCAACTCATCCACTCCTCCGTATCCTCTGGGCCACAGCAACTGGTTGATTAACGAATACGTCCTCTTCGTTGGCTCTCCGCGATTGCTTCTCTTCGTAGTCCCGAGATGATTTCTTGAGGTCGTCTATTTGTGCCTGGGTCTATCAGAATTATGCTCACTGGAATATTTTCATACCTATCTACCTTCGTCAATGCTGGCCCGGATGTCGTTAATAGGAATCCATCTCGGCCCTAAGGATCATATCAGCCTTGCTGTATACACGGCGATCACGACAGAGATGACTGCTCATCCTACCTGATGAGTATATGGTCTCACGATTGCATCGGGTCCGCAATGATACCGGATCTCATTTTGGATAACCGCTCGTGAGATGCCGAAGCCAGGAAGAAAGTACGAATTTGCGCCAGCCATGTTTTAAACGTATGAAGGACAAGAAAAAGAAATAACGTATAGCTTGAAAAAGCAAAGCGAGGGCTTGGCTCACTAGACTCGCTGCTGAATTCGTCTACTAGTCGCTGTGGAGTTCGAACGTTGGGCCCTTTTGATCTTAAGTAATTTCTCTACCCTCATCATCTAATAGGCTTGTACGCCACAGACACACTAGAATTAGAATACAGGGTTCAGCCTGTCAACACGCGAGATCTTGCGTCGGGCGAAGAGTAAGGCGAAAGTGAGGCGGCGGCCCAAGCGACGCAGAGCCCAAACCGCGCCCCAAATTGACGACGAGGTTCCGCCGCCTTCCAGCTTTCTCATTCTACGACCTCCTAAATGGATAATGTGAAAATCTAGTTGCTACTCAGCCTAGCCTAGGGATCTCACAGAATTGACAGCACACCCGCCACGCTGGCACGATCCAAGACGGATAGGAGGAATACCTTATATAAAGTGATGCACGTTGCCACGACTACAGAAACTTAGGGGTACTACCGACATTGATTTTTTGCCTCTACACTTTCGCAAAAGAGATACTTTCGTGCCACTAGTGTGTTCCTTGGGTTTTCGCTATGCCGAAATGTAGTCCTTGTGTGTGAGGCTTGACGATTTGTGGGAATTCATTAGGAAATTGCTTCGACGATCACCACTCCTACCCAAGTCATCCGCCTCTCTATATCCTCGGTGTCCAGAAACGGCGATGCCAGAAGTCCCATTCTTAGCGTTGGGCTTCCTTCACCGCCCTCGAATATCACTATCTGTGAGCGTTTTACGATCTGCAAGGAATACCCCTAACGCACGATGAGATGTCTAGTATCGTCGCTAACAGGGCATGAATGCATCTACGAATTGTGCGCTCAACCCAATAATTAAGGTATGCTTGCAGCATCTATTATGTACCCTTGTGCCTTTGTAGCTTACAAAGATTAAAGTCCCTCGAGCTTGACCGACTACTCTGGATTACGCTCCCGGCCGGGTTTCGTCAAAGATTGCATTGATAGTCTTGCCGAAGGCGTACCAGGAATACCTCGTCAATTTCTCCACTTGACTACTTCTCGACACGTCGCATATGAATGGCGAAACATGGCAGAATGGTAGTCCAGATACCGGAAAGGAGAAAGTGTGATACGAAAAGACGCCGACCGAAAAGGTGCGGTATTCGATACCAAAGAGTGAGGCGGACTGTCGCCATGGATCCTTTTCTTCCTGGGCAGAGACACGAGGATAAGTCGGTACTACCACGACAAGTCTTGCAATGCAGGACTGATTTTTGGGAGGTTTCGAGCGCTGTTCTGAGGCATAAGGCTTCAATATCAGGTGTTACTTCTTCACTTGAAATGGCTGGTTCCTCGTGCACTTTCGTGCTCTGTGGCTACTTTGTGGATATGTTAGAACTGAAGATACGATTCTTCCTTCGTATTCCGAGGCTGGCCCGCCTGCAACGCCTCCCGCACCCCAATTATTCACTAACAGTTCATTAAAACTGGGCAGATGCCCGATTCTTCATCTCCCGAGTATCTGGAGCCGGTTCAAAAACGGGTCGCTGGAGTCCCAAGCAGTTGCCCGCCATGGTAATCTCTGACCGGACCTTTACCCCGCAGTGCTCAATTTCCTGCTTCAGAATAGTACAACTCACCCTGTTCCCTCAATTTGTAGGCTGGAATCTTCACCGAGAATTTCTTGGGTATTCGCTGGCAGCGGACACGTCGTTATCAAGGGCCGCTGTTGCCGACGATCAGAAGAGCGACGATGTGTTGGCGTGGCAACATTCCGAATCACCAATCCTAGAGTGGATATATGTGGCTTCAGAGTTTCTGTTAACGTCGTGGAGGTGCTCCGCATCTCCGTCTCAGCTACGAGCATCATTGATCGGAAAGCAACACCCGAAGTATGTTCCACCCAACAGTCCGCGTGTCAGGTGCGACGTCATCCAAATCCAACTCTGGGTCTATATGGACAGTACCTAAGTGGAAACACAAGTACGTGGCTGCCGCTATGCCAGTGCCTTGTCTCCAATGGTTTCCAACTTGGAACACCTTTAATAATACGAGACCGAAAGCTTGCTACTCCCAAGAGCACTAGAAGCCAAACATGGATATATTAGCCGCAGCTGGGCAGCAATGCCGTATAGTGATAGTAGCGCAGTCACCGGAATGTTTTCCCACGCCGCACGTCGCGCTCGGGGAGGTTCTCTGGATGGCACCACATCTCGTCGCTGCACACCCCGAGTATGGAAATAAGGCTGCAGCAGATTTTGTAGTGCTCGAGAGTCATTTCATTCTGGCGAGAGCGCACAGAAGTTACCGTTGAACCTTGCGGTCGGTGTCGATATCTGGAAACGCCCGAAGCGCCCTCGTGGGGAGTATGAGCTGACGTCCCACTTTTGTACCGTATACCTGCGTAACTAGCGGGTATGGTATGGGCAATGAGGAATTCATGGAAGGCCTTCACCGGAGGCTTTGAAGCCTAACACTCGGTCCACCGTGCCCTTGTTCTCCTTGAGTTCTATCAGTGTCCTGAATATATCGCGTCGAAGAATATAGCCTATTCCATGTTCGGGAAAATAGTGAGTCGATCTTCAAGGAGTTTCCCCAGCATGAGACCAACTTTTCCCCAACCTGGACACAAGTTGGCCCTTCCGATGCTATACCTTTTAATCAGTATCCTCAAATTCCCTCGATAATTCTGAGATGAGTCTTCTCGTGCGAGTTTGGGACTACGACAACTTTGATCCTTGCACATACATCGACTCACACGTACCCTTCCGCTCTCCCACGCACCCTGAAACGAGATACTAAGAGCGCAGCTACAACACCCAGGCGAGAGGATTCTAGATTTCTATCGCCCCGTAGGAACAGCTTTAAAATAACAGGGCAGCCAGTCCCAGGGCTATACCCCAAGTCTCTGTGGTAGAAGTTGTCTTACCCATCAGTTCATGACGACCTCGTGGTATCCTGGTAGTGAGAGCCGAATGGGCGATATTTGTAAGTGTGGTAACTCCTATCCCCACCTATCCGCCAAATGGAGTTGGTAAATGACTCTTCTGAAGGATTCATGACCACCTAGCAATCCCACGACCCGGCACCTCCGGAACATTTGCGCCCTATTACTCTGGTCTCTGAGTGGGGTCCATATGTACAGGCACGGAGTACCCTTCCACCACTGAGTAAAAAATGTCCTCCATCTTGAGTCAGAAAAAAAAATTGTGAGGCTGCAGATGCGGTCGGAAATGCCGCATCAGCTGCACCATCTCCTCGTAGACGCGGAGGTGCACCATCCGACCACCAAAACCTCTCACCATATGCCGGGGATATGAAAAGGGGTGAATGGAAAGTAGGGCATCCAATCACAGCATTTCTCATAAAATCCTTGATGGGATCGTCGCAACTAGGGTCCATAATTCGGCCCGTGCCGCTTGCTAACCAAGGCACAAGAGCCTCGAGATGCGTTATCGGATGGTTATCATGCCAAAGTGAGTGAAAGTGAGCATCTTTCTTGCGAATCTGCTAATCACCGTGAGACTTATCCCTCTCCCACGTATGCGCGTATACGCGTAACCGCAGCAGGGCAACCTGGGGAGCCTGATCATCACAATGCATTGTAATACATCAAACGATTGCATCATTTTTGTATACAATGCCGATTGTCAGTTTACTATAGGCAAAGTCATGTATCTTCGCCGGATAATCCCACAAATAGCTCAAGTTGTTCAACTTCATTCCCGCATCTGAGTATTGTCAAATGGTTCTAGTACTGTATTCCTTGCAATCATCCTCAAGTCAGAGTTAACAAATATCCAATAGGATAATCAGGCCAGCAATTTTGCACTTCTCATCCCGTCTGGTACACTAGTCTAGTCTAAAGGATGTCCTAATTTAGCCTTCAGTTCCACCATGTTTGTCTGTAAAGCCTTCAGGTCGGATTTAAGTCCTTCAATCTCTCGCACAGCCTCATCCAGTCGAAGATCCCGACGTTCGGACTCCCTTTCGAGCGCTGCTATCCGCGATACATGGGAGTCGAGGAGGTTGTACAATTCGGACGGTGATGGTTGTGGCCTTTGCGTGGCGAGAGCTTGAGGTAACGTTATTACCCCAACATCGACAGCTCTTTCGTTGCCAACTGAGTCCACTTCCATCGCTTCCTGGGCAGTATGGTATGTTGTCTCTGTGGGCGAATACGACTGCTGACTTGGTAGCACTGATGAGGGGATTCTCCACATCCGAGCAACCAGTAGAGGCGAAGCAGGCACCTCAAAATCTATACCACCATCTTCTTCATTTGAGTCCATTTGTCTGGGTTCTGACACAGTGTGACATCCCATTCCTGTATCTGGGAATGGCTCTTTAGTCGAATGCAGTGAGTCCCCGGCTGACTCCGTTGTAGCGACGGGTGTAGATAGTGGTTCTGCGCTGTTTGATCCTCGCACGCTAACATTTCCACGATTTTCAGATTGTCCTGCTTTTGAAGTTTCGGGCGCAGAATGATTGCTCGTTTGGGTGGCTGAACGTCGCCGTTGAGCTGATCGTGACGGCGCAACGACCGTCTTGATAGGATTAACTAGTTCGGGTGCTAACAACGGGATCTCTCCTCCTGAGCTCTCAGGTGTCCCTCCAGGCTCACTATCCGCCATCACTAAGTTGGCCGTAGAGGCTGTGGTCTTCGAACTTATGGCTTCGAATGTTTCGGGGCTGGTTAGATGCTCCAAACTCTGGCCTCCTTGACCTGGGCATACGGCCCGGCACTGCAATAAGACCTCTAAACCTGTGAGAATTAGTCGAAAGTCTAGTTATTTAACGAGCGAGTCATCCTTGCCGATCAACTCTCTCGTCGCTTCACCATATTGGGTCGCAGCTTTGGGCCCCTTTGCAAGCTCGCGTAGCATATCATCGCTATCTTGACGTGCTAGGGAAGGCCGATATGCGTCCGGCACTACCAAGGCTTCATGAGGGTTTGCAGGTACATTCCTGAAGATCCTGACCATTTCATTCCTTCCAAGAAGAGTCAGCGGTCTCCACCTTCTGCATTGCGTATACAGTGTACCCTACCATACCTTGACTGTAGAGCACACCCATATCGAACTCCAGTTCTCAGAGAAGTATGAATAAATTCCCTCAAGTCTCCTGTATTCTCGAATTGGAAATCCCAGAATGAACGCTCCTTATCAAACTGACCGAGAATCCGGATCCGCTGCTGATAGTCACTGAAGAATGTGTGAATATCCTCGCGGTTGAAGTTGCCTTGAAGATACCACATTCGTTTGGGGCGTGTCATTCGGTTGATGAAGAAAGTGTTCCCAGCGGGGCTGAATGATAGAGTGAGATCGGTGCCGAAACCCAATCGGCCGTAGCGCTGGACGTTCCATGTCGAAGAATAGAGGAGTCTCCAGGTCACATATATATCGGCGACAGGGATGGAATACCTTTCGGTTGGTAGTTGTGGCATTTCTTGGAGTGTATATTGGTGCGGGAAGAAGGTAGCGAGAGGCTGATAATAATTGGAGACTGATCATATAACTCTCTCCCGGTAAGGATGTGTTTGCTTGCCTAGGTAGGCGGTGAGTGTATTTCTTCCTAGTGAGGTTGTTTATTTGAGTGATTTGGAGGGAAGGGGCGAGAAGTCTCTCTTACCGCTTTCGTATGTCAATCTCTCCGTACACTTGTTCCGGCCACATGTTACAACGGGAACTCATGCGAGACTCTCTCTCTAGCAATACAAATTTCCTTAGGTAAATAATATTCAATGCAGTGTTTGCTACCCCGCATGTTCCCAGTCCCTCTTATCCTCTTTCCATAGCTTTCCAATGCCCCGTAATAGTCCCCAAGAATTATTAGCCCGACCAGAGGGCGGGGGCTCTTTAGTCAACTGGCAATCCTTCTCGAAGAATTCTACGGGTAGGTAAGCAGCCCCATTTATTACAAAGGGCTTTACTATACTTTAGACGACAGCGCGGCGCTTTTCAGGCACTGCCGAACAAGCTTTCATGTGTCTTTCCCTGCCTGATTTCGGTATCTAGGTTGCATAACGTGGTCCCCAAGTCGCCCTCTTGGCTTCATTACCCATCGGACATACAGTTGCAGTTTCCTTCTTCTGGCATAGCTTTGTTTTATCAATACCTGAAACCAGCAAGGCTAAAGGCCCTATATTGACTGTGCATCCTAGGCCGTCGAGATACCCTTAGCAGAATGTAACTCGAACTTCGCGGTACGTCTTGCCAGATTCTCTCCGCTACGTTCATGTCGCTGCCCATGGCGGTGGTGCATATAATCCAATGTAATCTGTTGTATTCTCACATAAACCTCTCCACTCTAACCTCCCCACAATATATTTCATGTGTTCTCAATACACCAATATAACTCCGAACCATAAAAAAATACCAAGCCGAACCGGTGGGAGAAGTCGTGCGGAGGTGAATCTAATTCAAGAAACCCAAGCAAAGCTCAAGCATGGCTATGGAGCCTTCGAATGTTTGATTTCTCTGGTGGAGATGTAGTGAATACCAAATGCGTTCGCGATAGTCGTCTTCACATACCAATCAATTGTTACCAACCGAAGACCGTTCTTTCCCCTCCATCTAGCCTCTGCCCTTCCCTCCTCCAATTGGCCCTGCCCTTTGCCGAAGACCTCTATGCTCCATCTGTGCCTCAAGCGGATATCGTTGGCAGCCTCCCAGGGCGGGGGTTTAATTGACGACCATCTAGAACCACTCGGCAGGATGCACCCCAAAAGCCTTGAAAGATATTACTGCAGCCGCTTCAGCAATCATCGCAGCCAATCAAAAGACAAAGCTGGCGCCAATGGGCGGCGAGATCAGCATTGGCTGCTCAGCCGCATCTGTGGAGTCCGCCACACCTTCGAATATGGGAACTCTTCGAGAGGGCTTGGAACACGTGGAGTTAGCGAGATCTCGGTAGTCTAATCTGATGAAAGACGGCATCGTCTGGTACAGCCGTGATTGGTTAGCTGGCGGGATAGTGTCTTGAGAGTTGAGAGGACTTGCAGCCACGGACACGGGAAAGAAGGAAAGGAGGACTCAAGATCCCCTTGATGGTTCTGTGATACTTGAGTGATGTCTGTGTAGTATAAAGATAAGACAAGTCTTCAATTTGGAGATCCTTCTGCTTGATTAATTTTACTGGTGTTCCATACAGTTAATACTCCTTCGAGGCCATTCCCTTCGGCTGCTCTGGAGACTTGGTATTGTCTTTAGACTTTGTGGAAGAGGAGTCGCCGTGTTTGGGAATGGTGAGCGGCGTGGCGAGAAGCCGTGCGAGAGACACGACCAATATCTTATTCGTAACTGTGTGCGTTGTTGAGAGGTAGTTTACAATTAATTTAACCAATCGAAAGCTCCTCCTCTGTCGACACCACTTCCACTCCAACCTGTTTCGAAACCTCGGTCTACCCCCTGACGGGATGTCCCCCTGAAACGACTACTTCAAAGTGGTAAGGAAGCAATTGCAAGATTGTCGGGAAGATAAAGGTAATTACGGCATTTGCGATTGGAACGAGTTGTACAAAGGTTAGAACGATGTCACCGACGTGTGATAATCATGGGGGTGATGGAAAGTGCTAGATGTGAAAATGAGGAAAGAGTCTGGGAGGAAAGGATCTAACTGGGAGGGTCCTTGTTATGAGTCGGTGTCGCTGATTTGTGCGAGTGCTTTGTGGAATGGTTAAAATGATAATGATGGGGGAGATGGCGAATTCGCTAGATGTAATGTATTTGGGGCTTGGTGATGCCCTGCCCCTATTTCTACGAATAAAGTGTAAGGTGGAGGGTAAATGATAATGATTTGCAAACTCGTATTCCTTAGTCATGTCGCATGTGCTGGAACTGAAAGAGAAGCTGCGAGGGCGCTCGCTACTCAAATGATGCAAAAGGTTAACTCAGAGTATAAGTCGCTACAAGGGCCAAGGTAGTTCGGCAACGTAGAAATAGTTAAACAACCATGATAATGCGGAATACATTCCTGGCTGAGAGGATATTACTTCATATATGGCGCCAAAAGACCTGACAGAGACGGCTTATCTTACTAGTTAACTTCATTCGCGTATGAGCTCTACAATGTCTATCGTAGCCATGTCTAATGCAGACTCCTTTCAGTATTCTAATTTCCCTGCGCACTTAGAGAAGAGATGGGTTGGACATTGGTCGTGTAGTAAAATGAAGAATATCTATCACTTTTCCTCTTTCTCGTACAAGAGTGCAATGGTAGTCGACGCGAGAATGAGTTCAAGTTAGGTTATTAAAATCTGTTAGGTAAATCCTGCTTATGTCTTTCTCGAGCTGCATGAGAGCCTAAAATATTTGAGATACTTACGCAAAGCAATATACACATTCTTGGCATAGATTTTAAAATCGCCTCTTTGCCTATGCTAAACACCCTATGGATGATGTTTATGAATATTACCATGCATTGACTAGCCTAGTGACGTGTTGATTTAGCCTCATTTACCTACTTTGGAAATCTATTATTCGAAGGAACGACATAGAGAAAACGGTAAGCAAACCATGGTTCCCTGTTTCTTACCTTCATCGTTAGGCGTCTTGTAGAAGCTAGAAATTGCAGCGCTCTACTCACCTTAGAGTCAATAATCTCCGTAGAAGCGTGAATATCATGGCATCGCTGCCCCACCCATCGAAGCCAGTGCACTAGTTCTAAGAATACAGTATGAGAAGCCTTTGGCTTACATAATCAATGATACCTACATAAATAGCGCCATTGCGGTACGTAGCTGAAGCTGCGGTTAATGAATGAGAATCCGCACGTGTTGGAAGATTACTGAAGGAAAATTTGGGTGACATCATTTGAGGTCAAGGCTCTCATTCCTACTGTATGCTCAATCTTGTAATTCTTGCTTCACCTCAGCCCACATTACGACACAATGTAGCTCCACCAACTCACCACCCTCCTCTTCATACAAGTCTTCCCTCCTCCTAATGAAGGCCCCACACAATCCCGCACTGCCCACCATCTTCAATCTTCTCATCCACGGTCGCCGGGTTTCCAGCAATAACCAATGAGATTTCTTCCAATTCCGGTCAGATTTAGCTGAATGTTTGGTGGACAGGGATGCTTATCGGGATCTCCGGACGGATACTTTTCTACTTCCGGCTAGCGCTAATGACCGTGCACTGGGCTGCCACGTGGAGAACAAGTTAAGCGAGCTCGGGGAATGCGAATGGCGTTCTTGGGCAAGGCGACGCCGACGAGGGTGCAAAGATTGAATATTTCGTTTTTGAGTGGGGTCTGAATATTGTTTCGGGGTGAGCGATAGCGCGTCTTGCTGAGGGCTTGGAGAGGACTTAGAAGCGAGAAAGTGGACATGTTGGAAAAGGAAATAATGGCAATGGTGGTGTGGGTTTGAGGCAGGGAGCTCGAGGTGAGAGCAGTAGTTTGGACACTTTCGCAAGAGGAATCGATTCTCCTCCGCACCCACAGAATGTTTCCGCTTTGGGGAAAGATCCATCGAGATGCAAAGCTTATCCTCGATGTTGAGCCTAAAAGAGATCCAGTATCCACGTGTCAAACTAGCACGGCGGGACCCACTTTGAAGGCGCGTTGCTGCTGAGCGCGAGTCAAAGTTGCACGAGTCGAGAAGGCAGTGTCGTATAATAGCACCATCTCAGCTGAGGTTCTGGAATCTGGACCTAGATCGAGCGCTAATGCATTCGAGGACTGCACCGGGTGTGCTACTATCGGGAGATGGGCAGGCATATGGGAGCCGCTCGAGTGGTTAGGTGGTGTGGTGTGGGATCAAGGTGGCTAGCTCGGTTATAGTGTGACTGGAGGATGGAGAGATTTAGATGTGCAAATGGAAGTCTCGGGGACAAATTTATGAGGAAATACGAAGGACCAGAAATGACACTGCCAAAAATCTATTCACATTGAGAAGAGAATCAAAGAGATTAAAACGAAGGTCCAAGAAATAATTGAAGGGAAGCCTGTTGATTCCAAATGCCATATGACCGTAGCCATTCCACTACCCGTGCCCATTTTGCAGCTAATATTCCCAGGTTTCGCTTAAACCAGCCCTGAAGTCCCTAGCCGAGTGCTCAAGTCCCAGAAGTATAACGCCCCAACGCCAACGCCAACGCCAACGCTAAGATATCGACGGAGAGTGTCCAAAGAAGAAAATTCGCTGAAATCGTGTGAGTATATGCTTTTGGGGAAATAGGGCCGCTGGCCTGCAGAGGAAAGAAATAGAGAAACAGATCCGGGGAGGGTTCTTAAGCCAGAACGTTCGACGCACAACGCTTAGGGTCGTGGGTAGAGCCGTAATGCAGATATGGAGTGATTTTAGCCGTAATGATTGAGTTCGTCGCGCTTGGTACTGTGCTGAAAGGACGCCAATGAGGGTTAATGACGCGTTGTGAAAGTTGTCGGGGTATCGCCTAGGAAAGAGAGAGAGGAAGGAGATGCAACCGGGGCGGTGTAATGGAGGACATATGGATTCATCGCCTCATCAAAGTCTGCTGGATCTGGGATAGTGTTGGATCCTCGGAGAGCCACTTGCCCTGGGATGCGTCCTGGGAGCGAAGCGTATTCTCGACGTGGGCATCAGTGATAGATAGGAGTTCCTGTTTAACATGCGAATCAGTAAATGCTCCAGCATATCAATCTGTGTCATCTGCTGATGCCTAGTGAGGGTTTGGTACATTGTGACGTACCATTCTCAACGTGCTGTCAGTGGCCTGCAGTGCCTGAAGATGGCTCGCATTGGGCTTCTGGCCTCGCAGAATCGAATTCCTGCTGTTCATCCACCGTAGTCCCGCATGCGCCCTCAGATAAGCTCTCTGGCATTGGAATCGGCGCACCCCTGCGTCAACAATAATTCTGTCTCTGACGTCAGCCTTGCAACTTCCAGCAGTAGCAACCTTGTCCATCATCGGACCGCGCCCTGCGGTATCGTGCTGATCAGAGGGTTCTGAATAGGAAAATAAGGAAGCCCTTACCCCTTCAGTTGCGCCTTTTCACGCTCCGGATCGCCGCCCGGGGAGGTGGTCCCAGCCGAGAAGGGGGCATCGAGAATCGCCTGCGCCTCCAAGGTGCACTGGCGAAGCAGAGAGTAGCCCTCGAGATAGTACTCCTCGGCTGTAGGCGTGGCGTGCAGCTGGCTGAGATAGTACTGCAGGTTGCGGAAGTCCGTCATGATCTCCGCAATGCGGATGGCGCGAGCGTCGTTGACTGGAAGTAGCAGTATCTTAGCATGTGAACTCGCTCAGGAAGGCGCAATCTTGAGCGCAGAAGGGGGAATTTGATTTGATATGAGTGGCAGCATGATTGTGCGTGGGAGGGAGTAGGGGAGCCTTACGACCGTCGGACATGGTTGGTGGCAGTGAATTGGGATGAGGCTTGCAAGTTGGCAGAGAGTGAGTGAAGAATAGGGCTGTGGATTGGACTACAGTAAGGCTTGACTGGTGAGGTGGTATGGTGATGGCGGCGTGGCAACCGTTATATAAGGATGCTCAACGGGCGTTCATGAGGATTCTCTGTGAGGTATAGAGGCTGGATAGTCAGGGCTGCTCCCGCCGCCAGTGTGCTTGTGCTTGCCGAGTCCCACATTCGGGGCTTCCAGCTGGCACCGCTGCACCATTCAGCATGGCAAGGAGCAGTAAGGGGCTATGATAAGGTGTAAGAGTAGCATCGAGGAGAGAGTTGGAGGGCGCAAATCTCTACTCGGGAAACGTAAAAGCAAGCAGCTATTTTCTCAACCGTACCATTACAGCTGGACTGGGAGAGAGCGAGTGCTGTGCTGGACCTGCCAATGGGTGCTCAGCTTCCAGGCGGGCGCCACATCGCCCTGTAGGGCCTAGCGGCACGGCCCTATCCGGTAAGGCGCTGAGCCAAGCTTTGCGTCGCCGCCTCATCGCGGGCTGGTATTGGCCAGGAAGTATAATTAGTTGTTGCGGCTTTCGCGTGCGTGTGCTGAGAGTGAGAGTCCTTCGTGAGGATCTGGTAGGCCAAGAGTAGCCGTGTGAGGTTAACCCGAGTCCTCCACAACGCTCGCCGCGACCGTAACTCTACCCAGCGTCAGCCACAGCACGGCTATGCTGCGCCGCTCGGCCAGTCAGATGACGTCGAGACACTGTTTGCTACCAGCCCGGGGGTGCGTCGCAGCTGGTGAGAGGATATGGCTGTCATTTGAGAGGGCTAGCGGTACATACAAACCGTGGAGATGCGGCTGAACACCAAGAATATTTCCCCCGCCGATGCCAGACCATAGTGCGCTTATGCAGGAGGGCACCTTCTAATCCTTGATACAGCGTGCTGTGAACCTCCCGCCCTGACGTATGAGAGGCAGCTTTTCATAATCTGGAGCCTCGCGACGACCATGAGGTGCCTGTCTCAGCACGCGAACCCGTCGTCCCGTCCCAGGAGCCTGTCTCCGCTCAGTCTTTGTCTGCAATGGCTTGCAGTCGTTCGTCGATTTCCTCCTCAGTGAGCGCCCTGAACTGGGGGTCTGTGCCCTCCTGGCCGTCCGCCCTGGGGCCACCGACAATGCCTACCTCCAATTCGCCTTTCTTGAAGTCGACGCTCAGAACCGTGCTGAGGGTCGCGATGCCGAGCTCGACGACGTCTTCCCAGCTGCCCTCGGCACAGTCCTTGTTCTTCAGCTTCTTTTCCAGGAAGTTGAGCGCCTCCTGCGTCTTTGGCCCTGATGCCGTTGCCTTGTAGCCTACATAATACCCAGCCGGATCGCATTTGTAGAGTTGGGGACCGAACTCTGAATCGACTGAGATGAGCGTGGTGGCGACGCCAAGGGGACGCATATAAGCCTGCAAAAAAGGTCAGTTCAGTTGCGCCTGAGCATGTGGACCTTCAGCTGATGACAGCCTTGCTTACTCGTTGCGTGTAGACTTGGCTGATATTTGCTACCCTCTTGGCCAGGACGTCGCAGGGCATCTCGTATCCATACTTATAGCGGAACTCAGCGGCCTCACCTCGCGCTCGATTGACAGATGCGCGGGCGTCGGCAATGGATCCGGTCATGACACAGCCAACCGACGGGGACAGCTTGTAGATGTAGGACACGGAGGAAGGGTCGATGAGTTTGTCCTGGGTGGTGATTGGATTAGCAGCGAAATGGGAAGCGGGGCGCTCTTGCTACATACGGGGACCTTCTTCTGTGAGATAACGACGGCACAGCTCTTGCCTCGCACGCCGACCGATGTGATGTTCGCCGCCGTGATCGCCTTGAATGCATATTCTGTGAGGACACGACGTTAACCTAGCTCGGGGCAGCTTGTTGCAATGATGGGGTAGCATACCGACTTGGTATAGGCGGCCCTGGTCAGAGAAGATGGTGATATGTCGGTCGTAGCCTGCACTTCCTGCACGAAGGAAGTAACTGTCAGTTTGCGCCTGCCGAAACAAGACCTTTCGGGGGAGACTCCAACGAACCAGACATGATGGCGGCGAGAGTATATGAGCAGATGGAGAGCTCAGCTTCGTCGGCAGCTTCAGGAGATTAATGGTAAGCTTGAGCGGCGTCGGATGGTGATGGCGAGAGATTCCAAGGTTGTTCGCCGTCGAAGGATGCCGTACGCGTTTCTGGGGCAGCCTGGAGCTGTCTCTCTCGGACCTAGCCGTGGTTGTTGCCAGCACGCACGGACCATACTCATCAGCCACAGCTCCGAAATTTCTTCTCTCGTGCCTGCCATTCGACCTTTCAGTACTGACAAACGCGGCCCTGGAAGCTGATTCGGGCATGAGCGATGAATAAGGACCGAGGCATAATATGAAAGGATCTCCATTTACCTCTTTGCCATGGACCGACCCGGGAGCAGTGTTCCCGCCTGGCGGAGACTGGGTCTGAAGCTCAGGACCACTGACCAATCCGGAGACGCCGTACCTGAGTCCAATGTGCCCAAGAGCGTTGGAAAACAGCCCGAGGACTCTGGAGGGAGCTCCAGTGGGCGGAATGGAGTCCTTTCAGAAACCCATTCAGGCCATGGACCTACCCAGAACGGAAAACCGTCGAGACTTGGCAAACGAAAAACTCAAGACAGACCAGCTGAAGGTCATGGCCATGCCTTTAAGAAGAGCAAGAAGAGCGAGGGGCACGAGCAGCATAACGGAGGCCCCGCACGTACAGTCGTGACCACTTCCAGAAAAAAGCATGAGGATCCAAATCCTCGACCCAACCCGGCATTGGCGACCGAGATACAGCATCCACAGGGTGACCCTAATTACAGGAAGAAGAAGGGTCAGCGAATAAGTGGCCATCTGCAGAAACCTCCTGCGTCTGACTATCATGCAGATGACGCCCAGAAGGAGACGACAAGTCATGAGCAGCTTATCCGAAAGCACATTCGCGGCGAGGGAGGCCATAAGCAGCCCCGCCAAAAGAGTCCTTCACCACGCGAGATAAGTCCGGGTGACGATGTGGCAGTTCTGCGAGTATCTACTGAGAACGGCTTCTCCGCTTCACTTCCGCCAGAGGGAATACAGGCACTTCTCACGACCCCTAGGGCTCTAATTAAGAGCCACAAGCTACTTGGAACCTCCCCACCAAGTTCAGATCGACGTAAATCTGTCACTTTCACGCCTGACACGAAGACTGCCGACGGTAATAGTGCTACGACACTGTTCAAGAAGTGGGTGTCAGAGCAAGGGAATGCCAGTGCTGAGTTCTCACCAGCTGAAGTTGCTCTATTCATTCCACCACCCAAAGTTCATCCTGCCAATGACCTCCCAACTTCGCAAGTACGTACTGCAAAGGATCTTCCTCCAGGCCAGGCGGCAGAGAAGGAGACCAAAAATAAAAGACGGAAGAAGACTAGCTCCCCAAAGTTGATCGATTCCCAGGGAAAGGTGTCACACGCCCGTCAGCCAGCCATAACACCGCCAATTCCTTCTGAATCGGCTTCCAAAGGCGGTAAAGCCGGTGTTGAATCAAAAAGCGGTTCTCTAACGTCAAGAAGCAAAAAGAAAGACCCCTCTGTTTACCTCGATTATCTCTTACAATATCACAACCACCGAGAAAACTGGAAATTTAACAAGACAAGGCAGAACGACGTGTTGGACAACGCTCTAAATATTTTCCGTATAAGGGAGGAGCACTCTGCGGCTCTGCTTCAGTATATTGAAGGCCTGCAAGGTGCTGGGGTCATATCCAGGCTTACAGAACAGTGCAAAATGAGGCTCAAAGAACTGGACGAGGAGGACCGGAAAGCTATGGGCACCATGGACAATGCGGAGGATCGCAAAGCAGCAAAATATGAAGCTCTTCAAGCACGGCTTGCACAAGAGAAGAAACGAAGACGAACACAAGAGGATATCCAAGGTTTGGCTGAATCAGAAAATCCCGATGGCTATATTCGTCGCCTGAAGCGCCACCGCGCTGAAGCTCTCCTCGTTACACTTTCACGTACTGCGCCACTCCATCCCATCCCTGCCACTAAAGCTAGCACTCTCAGTCAATACCTAGCCCCCACCGACGCTGACTCAATTATCACCCGACGCCCTAGTCGAAAACGCAAATCCAGGACGGAAATTTCTAGCGATGATGATAGTAGTACTATCAGCAGCAGTAGCGACGAACAAAGCTCTTCGGACAACGACGAGAGTGAGGATGACGACTCAAATTCCTCCGAGCCGAGCGACGACGCGAGAGATTCGAGCGATGCAGAGGAAGACTCTGATGAAGAGAGCAGCTCTACCAGCACTGCAAGTGTCAAGAGTACTAGCAACGGAAATAGTGAGGATGATGAGAGTGATAGTAGGAGTAGCAGCAGTAGTAGCGATAGTGAATGAGGTATTCGAGGAGGCCAAGGGCCCCCAGGATCTGCGATGTGTGAAGCGTTTGCGAGATTGTGGATATTTGACGAAGTTCTGAGGACTCATAGAATAATTACACTAAAGTAGCGTCACTGCAATCCATATGCATGGTCCGTTTGGAATGTAGAGGTGAAATCAGCAGCATGCAATTAGTCTCGGCTTGTCTTGTAACTATCTATTCGCTCTTTGTTTTCGTTAATATTATTCGCTTCTAGCAGGCGAATCGACCGCCACTCTAGGCTCCCGCCAACCCCAATGTCTGCCTTATAATTGCTGCCTCATCGGCATGCTCGCAGCATGGCTGTCATAGTGGGAGTTTCCCCGCATTCTCAGCCTTCGTCACGGCCACACTTCCAACTTCAGCGACCATCCAACCTTTTCACACCTCAATTCAAGGAACAAAACGCTTGCGGGACCGGTCGCAATGGGTCTAGCATCACTCCCGACCGAATTGGTAGAAACCGTCGTGAATCATCTCGATCTCCCTGCCTTCCAGTCCTTCCGCCTCATTTCACCATCTCTCAACCAGCAATCGCTGCATCTATTCAAAACGCGTTTCTTCCGGACACGAACTATTTCCTGGACTGTCGAGGATTTTCGTTGTCTTCTCGACATCGCCTGGCATCCAGTGTTTGGAGGCGCTCTTCAGGATTTGATTGTTGACGCCACTCCGAAATATGCGATCCAACTATGGGAGGTCAAAAAAAGAATATACGACGCTCAGCATGACAGCAAGCTAAAGGATCTCTATTGGATCGAATACGAGCTTCTGAATGAGAAGGCTGCAGAGTCGTATAGGTACTGGAATGAAACGCGCCATGACCAGAAGACTCTGACAGCCATCTTTGAAAGACTGAAGAAGCTGGACTCTATTTTATTTTGCTATAACGGCATGTGCCGATCGTATGGTAAGTTTAGTCGCAGGTACTGCGAGAGCAGCCAGAATGAAATGAGTCGGCCTTTCGTATCGACCCTCGCTGCCATAGCTGTGTCTGGCATCATTGTTCACGAAATCTCTGTCCATCCGCAGCGACGACACGGAGCAATCAGCGTGGGGCGCCTCGAGTCGCTGTCACCAATTCTATCCAGGTTCGACGCCGCATTCGAGCATTTACGCGTACTGAAGCTCAACCTGCGTGACTGGAGGCACCCTGACGAAGGATTCGAGCCACCTCCGGGCAAAGTTCCATTTGTAGTGCGATTCCTCTCAAAATGTCGAAACCTCCGTGAACTAGAGTTCTCCTGGTACAGCTTGCTTGAAAGGGGTATCTTTGTTCAGGTTGCGAGGCACTGCCGCTTCGCCTCGCTCCAAGTTTGCAAGCTTGAGTTGTTCAGCATTACTGCGGAAGACGTAATGGCCTTCTTACAACCGACGAAGAAAACCCTACGAGATTTGACCTTCACTAACGTTATCCTGCGGGATGCTGATTCAACCTGGGAGGTTTTGCTGCCTCTTCTCACAGCCGAATTTGACCTAGAACATCTTTCGCTACAAGATCTGTTCACCAATACAGGTGGGATGGTGATATTTAGATCCTACGAGCAGAGTGCTGCCACGGAAGTTGCTATAACATCAACTGCTCCAGGAATTAACGCGAAGGTCCTGCACCTCACCGACCGCCTCGCTACTGGTAATTTGGGACCCGCATGGAGCCATGGGTCGGTCGCGTACCCATTCATTGGAAGATTGTGAGTGCCAAATTCTGAATCACGCCCACAGCCAGCTTCGCAAAATCGACCCTCATCCTATGGTCTGGCAATCATCAACCTTTTGTTGCGCATTCATTCTACCGACACGAGCCTACTTCGAACGGCCCAGCATCTTCTTCAACAAGTCACCCCATGTTCGCTCACTCCGCTGCCTTCATGATCCTGTTATTCAAATCAGTGTTCCACGTACGGGCGTTGGAAAAGTCAAGAGGAGGCTGGGGGCTCATGCATCTGCATAGCTTGAACCAATGAATGCGGAGACCTGCAACATCGCGTATACACAATCGGACCACAAAAGAGCCAGAAGTCTGCCCTACGATTTTGACACGAGTAGCGTACGCTTCGGGCCGACGCCACACCCTTAATTCGGATCGAGTGGTCACATTTCAATCTTGTTTCTCAAGTCCGTAGGATCTGTTTGCGCAACACGGAATTCTGTGATTGGCCAGATATGGGGGCGCGTTTTCTGATACGTCGGGGTTCATGCACGCCTGGCACTCATTGGTGTGTTTACGAACCGTTCTTGCATCCAACGGGATCCAACACCATGTTTCGACGAATCCCCAGATATTGAGTTCGGCCTCGCTTAAGCATACCGCAATCCTTGGGATTTCTGTTCATGTTACATGCAAGACTCCGCTGGCCTCTTGGGTCCGTGATTCAATCCTTAATGTCCGCTTGCGCGTTAGAATATAGAACCAGCATACCCCACGAAACTTACTGGTCCCGTAGCCAGGCTTCTTCGTCCTGGCCCCTAGAAGCTTGCTCGATCTCTCCCGCTATTCCTCGATTTGCATTAAACGAAGCCTGGAATGTAATGACTAGAGCAACGATGCCGGCAGTACTCGATCTTAGCAAGCCCGCCGCTCTCCCGCCCCCCGGGGTAACAGCCAACTTCGCGAACCCTCCAAACCATGCCATTTTTGCATACTCGGTCGTCAGCGTATGTATATGTATGGTGACATTCTTCACATGGTTTCGATTCTCCGTGAAACTGTTCATCGTTCAGACACTGCACCTTGAGGATTGTAAGTTGCCTTTGATCTGTGGAAAGCGGCGGTTCTGAGTTAATTGCCTGTAGATATAATACCGTTTGCTTGGGTACGTCCTGAACACGTCAATCTACCTTCAGATAGGTTGTCTAGCTGAGGACTGTTACTGACTAGATTTAGCTCGCCGCCATCGGTCACTTTGCCGTCTCCTTAGTCATATTCGATTTTGCTCCATTGATACACACTTGGGACGTAACACTTGAGACACTAAGCCATTGGCTATTCGTGCGTCTTCTCCGATTTCTCACCTAATCTGCTGGCTAATGAATGTAGTACTTTCGCCTCAGTTCAATTCTCTACAATTTTAGCGTCCTCCTGATCAAGTTCTCAATGCTAGTCCAGGTACTTCGCGTCTTCGTTCCCCGCGGCTCGCAGTCCAAAACGTTCTACATAATCCACACCCTCATCGTTACAAATATCATTTTCTACATCACCCTCATCTTCAGCATCATTTTCAACTGTACACCGATTGAGAAAGGCTGGAAGCCTTGGCTCAAAGGGACCTGTCTATCCATTACCAATATCGCAATGGCACAGGCCATCTTTAACCTGGTGAGCGATTTAATGATCCTTACAATCACGCAAAAAGTTATTTGGGAGATTGTGAGGGTCAAGAAGAGCGAGAGAATTCGGTTAAGTGCGGTGTTCTTCGCTGGGATAATGTATGTTTTGATTTCGCTTCCTCCTACTAAATGGCAACCCCTCCCTTCCCGTGTTTTGCCTCAGATCTATCTCTTCGCACGCAATTCTTAATTTTTTTTATTTTTTTATTTTTTACCCATCATTGAATAGAATGCTAATATTGAGACAGCCCATGCGCCTTCTCTGGAATGTGTCTCTACTACAACAATAAAGAAAAAAAAGGCGTCGACCTGACCTACAACGCTGCGTTAATGAGCATGGCCTGCTATGGAGAGATTGTGTCCGGAATGTTTGTCCTCTTCCTCCCTGTCCTCCCACGCTTCTTCTCCCATATCAAGGTGAAGCCACTATTCCCATCACTGTTCCGCTCGAATACTCGAAGTGGTAACTCCCAAGACTTGGACTTTGTAGATGTGGGTGTTGGGGCCAAGAGAGGAAGAAGCGTATGGCATATTAGTTATACGCAGAAGGAGGGGCGAACAGAGAGGGTACTGACGAAGGACTTTGGTGGTAGGAATGCTAAGGAACTTGATTTTGGGAAGAGTAATGGGACAAATATGACAGAGACTGTGAGCTCGGTGTACTCGCAGGATGAGATTGTAGGACCGAATGATGGTTTGTACAGATGAGGTTCTTGACATAGGGTTTTGTATGTGGTGGGAATGGCGAAACATGGTGTTTGAAGGATGTGGTGGGCGTTTTTCCTTCGGTTGAGGAGTTTTGTTTATAGGAGGAGGTAATTGGCGTTTGAAAATGGCGCCAGGATCCAATTTGGTGGGTAATACACCGCCCCCGAGGTTCGCAGACGGGATGGTCCACCGGGTAAGGTTTGTGTCAGTTTTCGAGCAAGTTGTACATTCTGTAATTCTAAGCTAGATACCAACAATCTATGATCTATTCCCTCCTCTTTTGATCCAGGCTGGTAAGAGAAGGTGGATGAAAAATCTGTTTGCAGTTACGGCGCTCTCTGAGGTCCACTACTACCTCGTCGCATTCACTGACCACAGCTACCTACCCTACGAGTAGTTACATGCTGCCTGCTTTAGCACCATGCTGCCTAGCTCACTACTTTGCATTTCCGGGCCCTTAGGAACCGTCTTTTAGTAATTAACTCAGTACCTCATGACCTGTGCATGTTTAAAGGTTTCACAAATTCTGGGTTGGGAGAAGCTCAAAATTTACGTCGGTCAAAAATTCAATAGTGTGCAACTTTTTACTACAGCCCAACTGGCACGCGATTAAGAATTTGTAAGTTCCATATGCTGCGCAGAAGTCAGAATACCTTGGTAACAAAGAATTACCGTGCGTCCAGGGACGAGATTGAGAAGTGTTTGGTATCTTACTCAAGGTCGCATCTACCAGACCCTTTCTGCCAATCAATGCGGTTTCAAGATAACCGAAATTAGTATTTTCTTACACCCTCTGTGCAAGCCTTGATCTAATCGCAGCCAATCTTCACTAAGAGACTGATTTTAGTGCGTCACAAGGGCCTGATAGCAGTTCCACGCTAGACCAGGATTAAGAGGCGCTAGCGACGCGACTTCGTGTACCACGGAATCGTGACGGGTCACATCGAGAGACGTTAAGGAGGCACTTTGTCCGAACTTCGACTCCTCTGCAGCTGCTCGTTATTCACTCCATTTCTTACTACCTTCCAAAGTTCCGGCAGAGCAGGGCGAGGCTAGCGAATATCAGTTTCCTTCACGGCTAACAGGCTATCTCCTTTCCTTGTACGGCCGCCTGCGGCTTCAGCGCGGCTCATCGCACGCGCCACAGACAGAGAGGTGACCTGCTACTCCAATGGTCACATTGTTGGGTTGTCGCTGAGATCCTGGTCTAAACCATCTTCGATTCATCCCCGCTCACAGCCCCCGACTCTTACACAGCCTTTCGATCAGCAACAAACTAGCGTACGAGTTTGTGGTGGCAACCCCTCACAAAGCAATTCGATCGTTGCTGGTCATCAATCCCTCCATTTACTTCAGTTTCGACCTTGACCCGACTTCATCGATGTTACAATTTTCGTACGGCGTTCTATCCTCTTAGTCAATTTTTTTGATGGTATATATTGTCGTCATAGGACCACACTATCAGCTATGGCGACCTGGCACGAACGCGAGGAGTCCACCTGGGTTCAAATCCAAATGCCGCCCCAATCAGCCGAACTTTGTAAAGAACTAAGGAAGTTATATGTGGATGCAGATTTGGCAAAAGGCACACAAAGTCATCTTCCGTAAGTCAGATTCCTTTTGCCTTCTGTAATTAAGCCAGGCTATCATCCGTGAATGTAGATTACTATTAGGCTTATTCGCATGACTTCCAGTTTTCAACTGCGCTCACTAAGTCTCATACGCAACGTGCTAATTGAATTGTAGATGGGAGACAATACACCTTAAATTTTGCCACGGTAGTGCACGTCCGAGGGTCTTTCCGATAGACCTAACTAATCCAATCTTGGAGAGTGCAGCGGCTGCTTTAGTCGCGTACAAAGACATTCTTCAGGGTAAATGGACCTCGGAGCCTGAAGATCCTCTAGAAGAGAACGACCGAGATTCTGTTCTAGGGACGCAGAGTGTGGATGGCGACCAAATGGAACCAGACGTCGGCGACGATGAGGTAGACGTCTCACAGATATGGGAAGATGTCAAGGGCATGCTATCGACTTCGAAACTAGAACGGTTTGTGGATATAGCGAAGAAGCATTCTGTTCCCTCGGCGGGCTCACAGCTGGATTACCGCTCATGGGAACAGATGATCCCAGAAAACGTGACAAATGTGATCTTCGAGGTTGATGAATCACGGGTGACTGAAGGAGGCAATACCGTCGAAGAAATTGCCAACAGCTTTCCACGCGTCAAAGTCGAACCCTCCAAGACCTCCAGACCGAAACCCGGAGTAAATAGTAACCAAAAAGAGCTATTGGTAACAGCCTCAGAGGCTCGGTTTATGGTCAAGCCTGTTGCGGACGATTTGGTCCTGGAGGAAGCAACTCTGCCTTCGGCTGCAAAGCCCCCGCCCAACTCTAGCCAGAGCGGGAGCAACCAAAGTGCACGACGAATTCCGCTAAACCCTACCCCAGGGAGCAGCGCTGCGAGGCCCGACAAACATTTCAGTGATCTCACGGCCTTCCTCAACCATCCTCCTACCGACAATGAGTTTGGTTACAGGTATCAGATTAGCCATGCCTGGGACGACTTGGATCCCTCACGAAAGTTGTCAATTGCACATGCGCGATGCATCCAAGGCAAATACGGAGAGAAAATTGATGATTTGCTGACGTGTTCACATTGCGAGAAGCATGGATATTCATGCAAACAATACCACTCCTCGTTTGATTTCTCGCCGGCTATAATTCTTGGAAGCGCGTGTCAGAACTGCAGGGTCTGGGACCAAGTCTGCGACCTCACATCAGAATCTGAAGACGTCGCCAATACCCCTTCAAAGCGTGAATCTACTGCTAGAGCGTATCACACACCCGGCAGCAGTACATTCCACCGGAATACACCTTCTCTCTCGCACTCTGAGCCAACGGGTCAGCCAAAGACCTTGAAAGAGCGGATGTCAAAAGAATTTCGAATTAAGGGAGCTGCCGCTGCCGCGGACAACCATTCCTCCCCGTCTTTTGATGAAGAGAGCCCGGGGAGCCCGAACTATACATTAACTGATGACATTGAAATTGGCACGATAGCGTCATCAGAGTCTCCGGTTCACTATTGGAACGCTCGACTCGACCTGCAAATACGCCGTCCTGATGTCGTAGAATTCATGTTCAATACTTGGGTTAGGCAGGCTGAGCTCCCTGTGAAAATCAAGAACCTACAGCATTATTATGCCAATCTACTAGACCTTGCTATCATTGCTCATCACAGCAACGATAGTGATTTGGAAGAGAAGGTTCTTTTCAAATGGCAGGAAGCAAATTATCTCTTCAACACAGAGATGCCGAACATAGAAATCGCAATAAAGGCTTTTAACCCTAACTTCTTGCCAGCCGACTCCGCGCTCCGGGATTGGATCACACAGTCTTTCTCGTTCCTCTGGAGTACAGAGGATCATGGTGATTATGGCGAGTTCTGCCGTGGGCTGAATCTCAGGCCTACACCTTCCGAAGCATTTCTCTATGGAATTGCGCGAGTCCGCTGCCCCTTTGCAAAAGGCGAGGATATTGCCGTGTTGAACTACTGGTGCAAGGTGCATCGGCATGGGGGAGGGCCTGAAGAGCGGGAGTGTAAAAAATGGAGAGATAAGGTTAGCAACCAGGCTCTTTATCATCTGCTAAAAGAAAAAGAGGAGTCTAGGGCCAGCGAAGCTGAGGAGCTGATTAAGGTGAAAGGCGGGGTTATCGTATGGAAGCACAAGGGTATTGGATCACCAATTCAAACCCCGACCCAGCAGGGGAAACGGAAAATGCCTGCCTCGGGAACTGTGGCTTCAAGGAAGAAGAATAAATCGGGTGGTACCTATGGCTCTAGTAGATGATGACTGCGTACTTCCCCTGAGGACCCTCGCATACCCTTGATTTACTCTTGTTCTAGTATTGTTAGCATTTTATTAGTGGCCCGCCCAGGCTTAGTCCAGCTTATTTAGGATTTTGATATCACTATGGATAGTCTTCGGGCTTGATTTTGACTTTTGGGCTTCGGCCACCCTTTTGCACATCCATCTCAAGGCCTCTTGAAATGTGAAACACAAACGAGACGACAGGCTGGCTATTGAGGCACGCTAGCCTCGCTAAATTTCGGACCATCTGGTGTTATCTCTCGAGGCTCCACTTTTCTAATTACCTCAGATGCCAACGCTGATAGGGCTACTGATTCGACGCCTGGCGCTTTAGCCCACGATGGCTTGGAAACATCACTAGAAGACCCTTCAGCTCGCACCAAGGGGATGTACGACCTTTGGCTCTGAACAGGAAAACCGACCATGCCTCCAGTCCACCGATCGAAAGTCGCTAAACGGGTCCTAACCGTCCTTCAGAAGGATGCGCAAATAAGTTCTGGGAAGACCTCTTTTTCTATTAACATATCTTTTTCTATAACCATACCTTTTTCTAAAACCATATCTTTATCTAACCATATACGCTCAAGGCATTCTTTGTTTGTTCCACCATTCCGCCCTTATCTCGACAAAAGTTTGTGGGGTTTCGCTAAGTTCTAGTTAGTGCAGAAAACACTTTTCCATGTCTAGAACCTACACATATGGGGCCCGATGAAGGAACACGAGTCCCGTGGACTGAATTTCGAAAAGGGTCTAATGCGGACTTAGTTGGCTCAGGTATGGCTGTACCCAAAATCGAGCGTAGTCGTGCTAGGTAAGCTGCCCACGGAGGGGGCTTGTAATGGTGATTTCTTGAGTTGCAGATTACTTTGCCTATAGTAAAATGGCTTTAGCCATGGAAGCGAGGCTGAGGCGAAGGACGACCAGGGTAGACGAGATGAGCTCCTAAATATGCCGAAGAGATGGAAAAAGCATTGGGATACCTGCTTCAGGAAACAGAACAAGCTAAACCAGCTCATTGAAGAAGAGTCAGGGCTTCTAACTAATGTTATACTCAAGGGGTAAAGCCAAGGATGACCCCTCAAAGGTCTGTAGTTTTAATAGCATACTAGTTAGACCAAGAGACTTTCTTAGGCTAGATTGTAGCCTTCAAGTGTAATAGTTACTGCAGTAGTGAATCTAAAAACTCTGCATCAAATTCACTCGTTACGCAGATTTATATCACATGTTCTCATTAGTTGGCCTGTGGTGTACGCGGCATGTGTATATATGTCTTTATGCTACAAATCCAGCTGCAGCACTAACGCTAGCACCACCACCGAGGAACAGCCCTCTTTCACGGCGCAAGTCCGCAGTGGTGTCAAAGTAGAGACTGGCTGATCGGAGGCAATCGCATCGCGGAAGAGATATATCTAGGCAAACCGACAACCAAAGCGAGAGAAACGACAGAGCCATCGACGGGAATGATGACAAGGGTGCAAACATGACGGACAGCTTCTACACAGCAAGGACGTCATAAGGCTAACCTAAGGCCGTTGTAGTTCTAGAATCGCCAAAGAAACGAACTAGCAATCGACAATCCCCTCTCCAACACACTTACACCCACAACATTCTTTTAGCTAACCTCTTACAGAAGCTCTTTGAGAAACAATGCATACTTTGCTCTCATCTTTCTAGCCCCATCTTCCAACTTACCAACCTACTTCTTCTCGTCCACCACAATCAACCTCCAAAGCTACGCCTCCAACCCCGACTACTCCAACACTTCAAACAACGATATCTTCGTTCCTAGCTGCGGCGGCTTCATGCACTATCCCGGCATTCCCACAAACCAAAAGTTGTAGTCGCACAATCTGAAGTTCTGAAGCGTGAAGGATTTGGTAAAGGGGACTTTGATGCCGAGGAGTATATTAGAGGGAAGTTTAGGGGGATAAGGAGATAGTCGAAGACAAAAGCGAGGTGAAGACGCAGTATAGGGTAGGGGCAAATCTATCGAAGAGGGAAGAAGGTTAGGTCATGATTGTATAAGTAGTACAATTCTCAGGAGCCAAAGGATGACCTGTTGCTCTAGCTTCACATATTGATTGGTTAATTTTGGGTATAGCGTAGTCTGGGGTGTAAAGAATACTAGGCTAGACGGGACTACGCGAATGGGTGTAGCTTAGACGTAGAATTGGGTCTTCCATAAATTGATGCACTGCAGTTGAGTTTGCTAGTATCCTGGAAGTCGATTATCCTGTTTCTTAGCACGCTAACGTGGTATTGAGACAACTGCGGAGCAGTTCCGGAAAACTCTGTAAGAATCAGAGCTTGACATTTGACTTCGACTTCGAAATCTCTAGATGCATGAGAATTTGGATACTCTCCCTCTCAACCCCTGTAGTCTTCTTGCCTACGCTGGATTGTCACGGCATTTATCGTCCCACGTTATTCGTGGTTTGGAAAGCCAAGCATATCGGAGCTCAGAAAGTGAACAGCCACTGGCTCTAATATACCATCCCAACAACTTGGTAACCTCATGGGCCTGAGTGTGCATTCGCTACTGGGTATCGTAATGATAAACAGGAAGAACCGACCGGCTCATGTTAAGACACTTGTGTCGCTACCGCTACTTCAATGTAAGCCTTCAGCGCCTAGACGCCCACACCTAAACAACACCTGTCTAAGCACACACTTAAAAAAAAGGATCAAGGTTATCTCGAAGCGCCTACTATGCTCTCTACCCAGGTCTCGGGTGTCGTATATGTAGCCTCAGGTATGGATGGCTGTAATCCGCAATATCTGGCGAGCACCAGTATGGAGCCAACCGATCAGTAACGCAAGTGGCAAAAGTTCAATCTTCTATCACTCTCATGGTACCTGCGCTCTAGTGGGCAAAGGAGGTAACAAAGGCATTCTATTCTCCGTTGCAAAGTAGCTTCTCGAGATTGTGAGCAACTAAACTGGGATGCTGTCGGTCCTTAACGCGAGGTGGGCCACTGATTGATTACAAGAAACCCACGAGGACTTCCTTAAGAAGCGGAGGTAAAATTGGAACACACTAAACTCAAAGAATGGTAAGTTTAGATTGCCCTAAAGATGATGAGATCAATTTATAACACCAACCAACTGTGAAAATAAGTAGTATTTCTATCATAACTTCCTTCAAAAATTACGTGTTCCCCAAAAAGCTTGCTGGTAAAACGGCTGATAACTGTAGTTGCTGCAGTGTATCAAAGCATGATTTCCGACAAAAGTCCTCGGTGCCAGGCTACTAATCGCGTATATCCAAGAGACTCAGGGCCTTACCAGCTCATCACAACTAGTGAGACTAGGAAAGTGTGCTTAATGGAAACCAAATGGATCAGTATGGAAGGTATGAAGACACAGCTAGCATTGAGATGAAATGCATCAGTATCTCCAGTCCTCTATCATTTCACCAGTTCCGCGGATGGCACGGTCTCAATATTAATTGAATAGCTAGGAAGGTAACACTAGTTGGACTACATATATACTTACAGGCCCTTAAAAAATAGCCTAGCCTGCCGCGCTATGTTCATCTTTTGGTAGGATGGAAGATTGTATCATAAATATACCAGCAACAAATATTCCGTTGGAAGGTTTGGGCTGATCTGTTCATGGTATGGAAGCTAATATTAGATATGCACCAGCCGAAATACTGTGACCAATCTGGCCCGAGCAGCATTCGTTCGTTCATCTTCATCTGGTGCTGATGTGTATAGTTGTGTTGTCAAACTCAAACATAAGCTTGACGACTGGGGATGTGAAAATAGATGATTTGATGGGAAAGTGGGATAAAAGAGATAAGAAGGTTAACGAGCTCCGGGACAAAGCCAAAGAATTGAAGGGCATGTTCATAAACCTCGTCAAAAGGTAGACTTGAGTATAATGCAAGTGAGAAGAACTTGAAAAGAACATAGCGATTACCGATTGACTCATCATAGGTCAGAAAGAGCAGCCTAATACACCGTAACGGTAGCATCCCCGCTGCTGTTATTCCCCTCCGTAGCTACAATCATATAATTCATGCTGCCGGTCTTTAACCCTGCATCTTTCCATGCCTTAAAGTGATTCGCCACAGTCACTTCCCCGCTCTCCCTCAAATCCTCCCGCACTGAAAAGATCTGCCTGAACGTCGTCGTTCCCTGTATACTTGGCTTATTCACCCTCATTTTTGTGCGAATCCGATACATACTGCCATCGCTCGTGAGATTACCTTTTTCTTCGCCTTCGGGAGGCGCGGCGGGCTCATGGTCAGGATGGTAGTTTTCCACAATGTAGAATTCGATTAGCGGGTTGGTGGTCCAGCCGTAGATGGTGAGGTAGGAGTAACCATTAGGATTGAAGTCAGCGGTGTAGTTGATGACCCTACACATAGTTAATCGCTCATGCTTTAGAATTATTTAAGAGGCTGGAGCGCATTAGAGAAAAGGAAGAAGGTCGTTTACTTGCTGGCTGAACCAGGATTCCACCCTTTGCCCCCAACGAAGTTTCCGTTCCCGTCCCAAGTTACGCTGTACTGGCCTGCGGGACCGTTCTTGTAGGTTACCTTTGCTTTGCCGTCGGTCCAGAAGGAATTATAGAAGGTAGCTTGAGTGCCTGCGGAAATGCTCTCCTTTCTTTGATTAATTTGGCCTGGAAATCCAAGAACACCAGCAAGGGCGGAGAAAGTTAGAAAGAGGACTGCGAACATGGTGAGAGCGATTTCCCAAGGTACCGGGGAACTGTCTTCTACTTGTTCCGTAGGCTGGGTTTGCGCAATGATTTTAAGGTGTTGCTCGGTAAAAGTGAAGCAACTATATTTACCGGCATGCCAAACTGCCGCGCATAATCTGGGGAAGCCCCACTCGAGCATCGTTTATTTTGAGTTCGCCGAGCCAGCGCAATAAAACTACAATCTGTCGTTAGCTAGATTGAGAATCCAAGGCGATACTAATCCTCAGATATTGTTTGTATGTCGTGGACGAGCAAATCGTGGGAAGGCTGAAGGGATGGTGGCATTTGGAAATAGTTGGGATGGGCAATGCGAGCTCACTATGTAGTGGGGGAAGCCGGAGAGACTAGTGACGGATAAGAAATGATGAATGTTTCATTAATGAGAGAAAGAAGATGTTTATATATGCAAAGTTCAAATCAGCCCTAATCCACGCTATGCAAGACCCATAAAATGCAACAAAACACCCGCGTGTAAATGCAAGACAACCATCTTCCCATATTCCACCTCACTCCATGCTCTTACTCGATTATTGAATCGGAGCGCTTAAACCTGGCACTGGAAAGTGAATTCGTTAAGGAGAATAGGCGTTGCAGCGTCCTTGTTTCCATCGAGGTCGGCGAAAGTCTTGTCCTTGCCGTTGATCGGGATAATGAGATCTCCCTTATTGAAAGAGCAAAAGACGTTTTCGACGAAAGTGACTAGTTGGGCGCTGGAAGCCAGGATATTGCCATTGTTGTCGAGAGCCGTGCCCCCAAAGAGCATCGGAATTGGGAAGACGGTGCCATCGGAGGGAACAGTGACGGCGGCACTAAGGCCAGTCTGGTCGTTGATGACGGAAACGGTGATGTCTGGGAAGATGACCTGGCGGGTCTTTTGGATGCGCGGGGCTGCCGTGATGGCAGTGGCGAAGAGAGTGGAAGCGATGGCGAGAGTAAACTTCATTTTGATTGGATGGTGGTGGATTAAAGTTGTGGGTTGAGGTACAGAGATATATTGAGTGAATGACTCAAGAAAATATGAGAAGAAACGTAGATAGAAAATGAAAAGGAAATAGAAAAGAGGAATGGAAGTTGTTGTGATGTAGTAGGTGATGATGAAAATGATATTCGGCGGCGTTGAGGACGGCCTTTATACCTCGAAACATGAGCATCGGCCGTAGGGTGATTGTGAGATTACCTAGCCCTTCCAGAAGATGCTCAGCCTGTTCACAGATCTCAAAGGCGAGAGGAAACTCAGCTTCCGCTGGTGATTCAGCTTAGCCATTTCTTGGAAATCGCCCTGATGCTACCTCACGAGTCGGTGGGAAGATGACGAACTTCGACGAATTTCTGACTTGAGCAAAACTTGTGGCGCAGCCTCTGATGACAGAAAAATATAAGCTTATGTTTAGCCTCGCCCGCGCCACTAACTTTAAGAAATCTTCCCCAATTGGGCAGAGAATACGAGCACCCACCAATCAGGCGCATGCTGACAACACAACAATGAAAAACAACATGTTCTGTGCTTGCTGACGCCAAGATTTGAGGGCCGGCGGACGAGCCGTGGAAAGGCGGAGAGGAAAAGAAGAGATTTTTGCTATTTTTGCTGGCGGATTGATAAGATAGTCTTGGGTTGGTTGACTCAGATTCTCCAACCTTATGACCTCTTCGTTTCAAGACAATCTCAGCCGAGTTGCAACCCCAATAGGTAACCAAGTAATGCAGAGCCCGAGAGCCAAAATGCCTGGGGTGAAGTTCTCAACAACCACCGCGTGATTGTTTGATGTATTGACTTGGAAGAAATTGCATGTCTTGGATGACGGAGCAGTATCGCGGAAGGTCAGGGGCCGTTGTGAATACGATACAGGCTGACGGCGTGGAAGGAGAGGTCAATATACCGCCAGTTATCATGACCGCACTCGCTCGAGTGGTATCATTTGTAGAGGCTGTGGCATGGAGGAGTGATGTTCATCCTCCAGCTTACGCACCACAATTTCACTCATCTACACCCTCTTTACAGTATCCTGTATCATGGGCGAGTTACGGGAACAAAATTTAGCCGCATCTGTCTTACTGTACTCATTTCGGTTTATCTGAAACAAACGTAGACTTTACGGGGATCAAAGTGATAAGAAACATGGGTTTCGCTGAGCGAACGAGCGGTCAGACTCGGCGGTCGGCACCAAGCCAAAACTTTCGGAAGGAAAACTTTGCGTATCTCAAGGACAGAATATTCCAAATGACTTGCAAAAGGAGCGGAGATATAGCGCATGAACTTCGGAAGGACAGTACCAACTCAGCCCCGTGACGCACTCTTCCACTTCCTACATTTGCTCACTGGCTCATGTCGAGGTGAACTTCTCAGCGTCCCACAAATCCCCTCTGCTAGCTCCTTCAATTCCCTGGTTTTACCTCTTGGCCTCGATTGGCATGGCCACACGTCTAACACTTCTTCCATTGGAGATGGAGCAGCATTGAGAATTTCGTGTCTTGAGTATCCACGCCTACATACGAATCCTTAGAGCAAGTCACCACAACTTGCGAGTTGACGTTGAAGAGAGGCCCGGTGACACCGCAGGTTGCCCAAACGAGAGATTCCGTCGGAACTGATGTTGTCATCCGGTAGTTGTTGTCCACGGGGCCTTTGAAGGTGAGCATCGATGAAGCCTGTACCTTGTCAATCTCCAACGCCCCCTTGAGAATAAGAGACAAAAGAAAAATATAAACCCTAAGACGGAAGGGCAAAATTAGAACAGCAATACTTACATCATTCGACTGGCCCGAGAAGAAATAAGTCGCTCCCATTTTAGCGGAGCATCCGGACGGGAGCGACGCATAACCTCTAAAGTCCGTCGTAGCAACGGTCCAAGACCAACCTTGCGGAAAGTGCAGGGTGATGCGAACGTCGCAATTCTTGCGAGCATCGGAAGCTGCCATGCCAGTTCCAGTACCGGCCACGTACTTGGAGAAACCGAGAGAGACGACCGTTGCACTTTCGGCAAGTTCGGCGGAGGCGGAGCCTGGTGGGCAGCCAGTGCCAACCCAAGATACTTCTATATAGAAGTTAACAAAGAAACTTGATTGAGATAAAAGGGGATCCAAGAAAGGATGGATGAAGAAGGGAAGCCGTACTTTCGACATAGACTTGGTTGGGATCAGGAGTGTCCGCGCGCTCAGCGTGAAGGACTGGCGAAGCAGTCGCCAAAGCCGAAAGGGCCGCGATGATGGAAAGAAAGCGCATATTAGGATTCAGATCTCTTATGATATCAGATGGTTAGGGTACTTTGCTTATCGAAATATCCCCTCATCTCCTCTCCCTGGCCTCCTCTTTATACCCCTCCTCCGCCCTCCCACTCCGCCCAATCTCATGACATTCCACACACCCGTCTCCTCACCTCCCAAACCTTCGTATTCATCTGTCTCATCAATTTCCCTCTCTCTTGCACCCTAAGTATAGAATCAACCCACTTCTCTCCTTCCCTTTCTGCCCATCACCCTCCCATCTCCCGACTCCGCCTATTCTTTCATTCCAGGCCCTCGCATGGCCTTCGTCGGAGAACTCAAACGCAGTATCTCCATCCACAGTGGGGCGGACGGCTTTCAGCCCAACTGGTATGGGGAGCTGAACCAGGTGTCGGCCATCGGAAGTGTGATGCGCAGTACCGTAGTAGTGTGATTTGAAGTCCTGGGCGGTAGTGTAACTGGCGAACGCGAAAACGATCTCGGTCGGATGGAGAGCGACATATGCGAGAAGAACCTCAGCTGGTGGCTTGGGAAAGTTGGTCATGAGGTGACTGCCAAATGCGGAGGGGAGTGTAATGTCTGGTGTGGAATGCTATCCTAACAGCTGAGCGTCCCAGCGGGGTCTTACTTTCCTATGGCCCACCTTCGTTCGCACCAATAATGTAGTGAAGCGATCGGAGATACCTGGGTTGGCAGCGGTAATAGATGAGAAACGTAATATGTGTTTGATAGGGTTCTCGTGTCTCAATTTACGAAAATCTGGAGGCGAGGTGGTTCTGCGTTAGCAGATCTTTTGTGCTACGGATGAGGTGGTGCTTATATTTATCATTTCTTGGAATGTGGAGTCGAGGCTGAGGAGGTGTCTGGCCTATATATTGACGGCATGATCTATACGAGGTGGTGTGACTTGCCCAACACAGCCATTCGTGGAAGGTGTTAACGGAAGAGGAGAGATGAAAGGCTTGGAGGCGTCTAAATAAACCGTTTATTCTTCCTTTCTACATGGGCCCATTTTGGTTCATTATGCAGAATCGAAAGTGAAGGGCTGTATGTGGGAAGCGCTGGGATTAGTCACGTGACAAAGTCGCTTTTCACGTCTCGGTTGTAGAATTGTCCAGTAAAAGCTATTGGTTTTAAAAACAGGCAGAGTGCGGCGTAGAATTAAGCAGAATATATGTCCTATACTATGTCCGGCCTATTCTACTCCGGTGTAGCTGCCCCTTTCTTCCATAGCCTGACTTTCTGTGCAACACGGCCGTCTCCGAACCGATCTTGGAAGCATAGAGCATACGTAACAGTCTCGTGAGATTCTTCTTTCCTCGAGGCCAGAATGTCTCTAGAATAAATTCCACAATTTACTCACTCCCTCACCTACGCAATCTTCAAGCTACCACATTTTTTCCTCATCACACTTACCCCAAACCTCGCAGCCATCAAAGTGTCTTCACTACTTGTACACGCTTGTATCCCCAAGCTTAAGTCCTCAGATTTACCCTCGCTGCCACCACAATTCCGCATCAGTGACACCCCAAGCCCTCCAGCAGCCATTGCTAGTGTCACATCTTCCTTGCCATTTCCGCACGCCTCCAGCAAAGGAAGACCAAGAATACCGGTTTCCGTAGAGTATTCACCCGAAGAGCAGGAGCTTGTGAGCGGTAGGCCAGCGGCTACGATATCTAGTCCATCCTCCCCATAGCCACATGCAGAGGCAAAAGGAAGTCCAACAGCAATAGGCTCTACACCGTCTTCGCTTGAGTCACAAGCTGAGGTAAATGGAATGCTGAGAGAAGGAACATCCGACATTATGGAGTCTTTGCCTAACCCGCAGGTTGAGGTGAGTGGGATGCGATATAGAAGCGCTTGGATTAGGGAAGAATATCCGAAGATATCCGCCTCGATTCCTGTTCTAGATGAAACACCAGCCTAGTAGACATTATTGAACCATGCGGTTGCAAAACCGAGCTGGCATATTGCAAAGACCGTTGTCACAGGGATGCCGAGCCCGCGAATGCGAGTGATGTCGGTGCGTAGAGCGTCAACAAGGACTCGGATGGACGCACTCATACCCAACGCAGCTGCTCCAGCCTGACGAGTGGATATGCATCTTATAAGAAGCATTCCAACCACCGCTCCGAGAGCGCCAATATTAAGAGCTGAAGAGACAAGCGGAGCTATAATGAGATTCCTGGCTCCGCAGCAGCCGCCAAAGTAGCACCCCACTCGTCCAACGGCTTCGCCAAGTAGCATAGCTATAGAGGCACATGCAAGTAGACTCTCTCTATCTTCTCCGGTCAGAATAGAGTAAGGCGAGAACAAGATTGTGGACATTGCGGCCAAGAACCCAGACAGAAACCAGAAGCCGGTGGTGGATAGGAACCCGCGAGGCGTGAGACCACTAATTCCGTGACGAAGTAAAATATCCGGAAGTCGGGCACCAATAGAAGCAGCGAGGAACGCTTGGCTGATGAGTCGTTTTGCGGCGGAATGAGAAGTTGTCCAATCGATTGTGGAAGTAATAGCAAACAACTTGAGAGTGAGAGAGGTAGAGAGTGTGTATGCCATAGTGACGAACAGTCCATAGGCATGTAGCGTCACGCTAGCAACTTTCACAACCACTGTCCCGGTTTCTGTTCGCCGGGTCGTGAGGATCTGCAATCTCACCCACTCATTAAACACCATCTTTGCGATGAAAATACCATATACGGTTAGGATTCCGGTACAACTCCAGAATTGTCTTGGTTCATTCAGTTCTTTTAAGTAACTCAGTGCATACATCCAGGCTGGTACCCGAAGAATCATCAAACCCCAAGCGTTGCATTTCTGCACTGCTATCGCCACTTTGCTATTCTTCACGTGGTATCCGTGATGGCTAAGCGCACAGCTCGCAGAGCTAAACAATTCGGTAGCAAGACTGGCATAGATTATGTATACGGGTTCCATCGGCAGACTAGGCGTGGAAAGATGGTAGACCAATTCCGCGAGAGCGGCAAAGTGATGATATATGTACCAAGGAGAATGAGAAAGACGGCTGAACTCAGATGCCCAAAGTGTTCCTCGGGAGAGAATGCAGATTTGACCGGGGGCATTGCTTGATAGTGGACCTGAGATGGAAGATGCTGCGAGGCATATCGGTGTGGAGCAGAGGGTTATGAGCCAGCCAATTAAGAATGCGAAGTAAGCATTGTCTTTTTGTAGGGAGATTTCTTTTGCGTAGAACGTAGGATTAAATATTTTGTGTGCGGAGCGGAGAGCGAGCTCGACTGCGAAGTACAGGGCTAGAGCTGTGAGAAGCGTTGGGACGGAAAGAATGCTAAAGTCTTTAGACGAGTCCATATCTATGAATGTTGCAGAACGGATGTCGAACTCACACGCGAATTCTAGTACCCTAAGGTCATATAAGAACCGAGTATATCACACGACGGATGCAGACCTGAACGCGGGGCGTGGAAGGCGGCGAAGTTGTTGAATCTAGGAACAAAAGCTATGATGCGTCAGCATCCCGACCAAGCTCGGACAGGGGTACCAGTAAGCAGTAATGCAGGTCGGCGATGAAAGGGGTAAGGTCTTCTAGTGGACCGTCGTAAACCTTCTCAAAGAAGGCAAAGAGAATGTACTCGTCGGAAGTGTACGACGCACACACCTGCTTACACATATACCATGTAGGCGATGCCAGCAACCGATATGATTTGGGGACCTGAGACAGGCCATATACCTCTCCACATGCTAAAAACATTCGTCACTGAGAAGAGTTAAACTCAAGGAAGCTGAAGATATTTACAGGCATCGGATAACAGGTCTCAACCCTATCAATCAACATATCAGTCTACTACCAGATCTCCTTCAAATTAAATTCTCCGATGATTCGCGCTCTCAACCATTTCAGAAAGCTCCTCCACACCATACCTTAGCGTCGATCATCGTCTTATTCTATGTGAAAGCCACATTTTCTATCCCTCGGTGGTTTACCACTCTCCGTAAAGATAAAAGATCCAGGATAAAAGGCCGTAGAGGACCCGTAAGTGACTAGACTGGTGGAATTTGTGACTAGAATCCTAGAGTATAGGGCTGGATAATGGCGAAAGGCAAGGCTCGGTGGAGGTGCGCGATCTCGTCAAGGTGCCAAAGGCCGTAGCGCTGGAGTGGTTGTCAGTGCCTCGGAATCACGTGCCCGGGCCTCGGATGATCTAAAGGGCGAAACTGAGTCGCGCAACATTCGTCGCTCTTCACTCTTCTACCTAAACTCTTCATGCTACTTCCTTAAGAGTCCAGATTTGACTATATATACTGCTCAGGGTGTCTACGTTTAGTCTTTCTTGCTTTGGAATTTCGCAAGTCGAATTACTTGCAATTGAAGCATCTGATATCACTCAATGCCTCCAAATTCACTATGCATGTACGCACAGGCAAACTTGAACCTCATTCGGTGTCGAAAACATCCCCGCGAGGTTCTTGTTAGATCCATTCAGAGCTGAAAACCCCGATTGGGAAGACTCTCCTTCAATGGCAGATTTCTTTCTCTGCATCGGAAAATGGTGCTTTTTAATATGATTCAGATGCGTTAAAGGGAATGAATTCTTTGTTTAGACTTGAGGTACCATACTGTACGTGGATGCGCAGGTGAAATCCTTCCAATTTTGTTAGGTCTGCCTTGTGCAACTTCGTAATTAATGTGCATATATTAGGCCTGTGAGGGATGCGGAATATTAACACCCCCACCACCCACCGCTTCCCGCGGACCGGGGCCCCACGGCCTTCTAGCTATGATTACTCGAACTGTTGATTTTAACGTCACGGCCCGTTTCTTTTTTTTTCAGTCCAGTCTTTCCAGGTCAGTATTGCAAAGACCCAAATTCGTGTTACACTAGCACAGCAAAATGAGGACAGAGCGGCTCGTTCTTCTTTCTTCGGTGTCGTTCTTTTCATCGACATGTGCCTTTCCAACTAGCTCAGCGAGACTAGTCGTGGAAACCTTGTCCGAAACCCATTGGAAAGATGTTAAACGTTAGTCCCATCTTCAAAAATTCCTAGACTAGTTGAGCGTTGTTCAGCTAATTCCAATACAGGTCAAAATTCATACCAGGATATGATCTGCGAACGCAACGGAGATGGTACCGACAGCATTGGTGGCTACCGTACAGAAGGCTATGCGATCGCAGACTTCCTCGAGAAGCTTGGTGGCGGAAATCAGGACTGCACGCTCGAGCGTCCTCCTAACAGCGGAGCAGGCGTGGTTGCCATGATCGGGGGAACAGGTGGAACTGAGGTGAATATGTATTTCACAGAAAGAAATCAGCAGGTATATCGGGCGACATTCAAATGGTTAGTAAATCTAGGGCTCATTGAGCGTGGACTGATATTAGAGTAGCAAGTTCGTGGCTACAGAGCTGCGCGAACTAATACAGACGTGCACAAAGAACACGAAGAATCGCATTCGTGGTAAGCTTCCCTTTTCAGCTTTGCTTCAGTGTAACGGGGTGTTGACCGTATAAAGGACGTAGATGGCTTCCCAATTGCAATGTGACGGCACTGGGATGGACAGGGTCAACAGAGCCATTGGAAGAAGGTGGGGCTATGCTTGAGATTGCTGAAACTGGATATCGTTGACCCTCAGCGACGCGCATATGGGACGGCTTGGGATGTCGGTCATTGGGCATTCAGGCTTCAGTCATTGAAATACACCTTTGGCATAGAATCTACCAAGGAAGCACGGAATCGCAACTATTTGCTACACGAATAGTCTATTTCGGGCTCTCGCTTCTGAAAACTGTCCTCAAATTGTTCATTTTTGCCATCAGCCTAGCTACCATTCAAAGGTTGCCACTAATATGATTCCTTCACCTCCGTGATGTACCCTGAAGGGATTTGAATCCTTTTCAATCCAACTCAAATTGAAATCACACCAGTCCTCGCATAAAACGCATAAGGCTATCATAAGCTTTCATTCTTTTCAACCATGAATAGATCCCAAGACCGGACGTCGATGATGTACCCACAAGTTCATAAGCTCCAGATCTAGGCACAAAATTATACGATACTGTCTTTCGCTAGTACATAGGATATGAAAGACGTGAATTTGATCTTGTTTAGTAGCCAGCTGGAACCCAATGTCTACACTGCCCCCCGCACTAGCGACCCCGACACTTCACATTTCTTAACATCCCTACATCTGACACTTAGTAAAGTCCCTCAAACGCGAATTCCAGGGTTGGAATAAGAAGTAGTCAGCATAAACGATGTACTCCCACCATTTCAGCATCAACTGCGTAATCATATGCTGTCCTCTTTTGGATTGGATTTGTTCGGAGCCGTCTTCAGAAGTACTGGTGATAACGAGATTTTTCTTTTCGTGCTCCACCGTTCCAGTTGCTCCCATTTAACACATTTACGCGGGGAATTGGAGTGAGCGTTCAGGAAAATCGCATCCGGATCGTCCGGCCAGCTGAACGTATAAAGACTGAGATCTGCTGTGCACATTAGAGAGATTCGAAGGACCTCTATGCAATGATCTGTCACCACAGTATCAGTTGTTTCATTCATATAGCTGAGAAAGTGGAATCCTGACCTAAGTGGTCTGTCCAATAATCAAGGGCAGTTTGCGTGACGTTAGGCATAGAGAAGCGATCGTAAAGGAAGTATCGCAACTTATTCTAAAACGGAGAGAGCATTAGTAACTGCAATAGACATTCAAGAATCTTACTCACCAAACAATGAAGCTCGTGGTACACGCCCAACGCCGCAATGAACCCCCCGTCCTTAACCTTAACCGCGGTTTCGGGTCGGATACCGGCATGTTGGAGCTCTAATGCTGTGGCATTGAAATATAATGCTTTGCGTTACCTTTAGCAGCCGATAATATTCCAAAGTCACGGAAATCTTACGTTCAATCAAGGCTTCCCATGCAACCGCATTGACATCATTCGGTGGGCCTGAATATGCGCTGTACTGGGTGTGATTTGTTGCGTGCTCGAATTTGACGGTATATTGAAGCGACTGAAGTTCGGGGACTTGGTGAATATGCGTTAGCTTGTGGTGGGCAATTTGGGCACTTGGACTACCTACAGATGGTATAAGGCAAGCTATTACGCAGGCTCTCTGTCGCCAAAGAAACCGCCACAGCAAAGCAGCATAAGAGGAGAAAATGAATTGTAACAAAGTATGCAGTGAGCCAGGGAGAACGATTTGAATTGTGATCCGATATAAGAGAAGTGTGTGCAACGTCGGACTCGTGGTCTAGGAGATGCTCTTCTTCTTGTTTCATGCTGTACGGCTGAGTGGATTTACTCACACATTGTCAACATAGGATATCGTGGCTGCACGAAAATATCTTCAGAAGATCTTCTGCCTCCACAAGCCCTCGACCTTTTGGAAGGAGTATGCCGCCAAGGATCACCGGGGTATACGGGCCGAGAGACTAGGACATATATTTCGCGCATATATTTCGCCCCCACCACCATTCTCGATCACTTCGCTTGAAGTGCTTCGCCACTGCAAGATCAACACGGAACCCCGAGTGTATCGAAAAACCAAGGCAATGCATGCGGTGCGCTTAGATTCCCCACAATCATGAATGGCGTGTTCAATGCGCTGCATATATCTACTCGAGGCGATCGTACGTACATGGCCGACGCAAAGGTCACTGCTTCGACTCCTTTCCCGAGACATCCTCCTCATTCCATCCAGCATTTTCGGACTCCGCCCGGTTTCTGAGATATGCTTCCCCTATGTTTGCTCCTCGGTATGATGGCCGTTGGATTGCCAGCCACGGCAGCGCCGCTGCGAGGTAAGGGCCGCTCCGCCATTGAAGTCTTCCATTCTAATCAAGGCAGTTCGGATGGAGTATGAAATTCACACCGCAAACGATTGTGAGGCGGTCAAGCATGGTTAGCTAGGCTGCGAATCACATCTGAGTATCTTCGACTAACAACTTTGGTAGTCACACGTGGAGAGGAGATTCAGATGGGAGGAAGGTGTGCATTTTAAAAGGGTTTGCCATATAAAAAGGTACTATACCAAAGGAGAGATTGCAAAAAAGGGTGGAGGAAGTGGACGATTCTGATTTGGGTAGCGGTACCTGGAGAATATCCGCAGGCAATGCAAAACTCTCGACTTGGAAGTAACTTATTGCCATGCAAATCCACGATAGAGTCTCTACCTTCTCATGGTACCCCGCCTAGTCGACCAGAGATGGTAATTTACGGTTCGATTGACAAAGTTGCTCTCTCGTAATGAACAAGCAAAGTTGAGATCCAAATGTGGTATTGACGCTGCATCCCTGCCAAGACAGATAAAGTGCACTCTCCAAACTCGATCCTTCCACTTTAGTCTCGTAAACCTCATGTCAGCGTTGCAGAAAGCTCTCCACACTAGCAAAAATCCGCCTCGTGAACCTTGGAAGTTGTTCGTGGTAGTCCATCCCCTTGGGGGCGAAGCGCTTAGAATCTTGATATAACACTTGACTTGGAATGGGGGAACTCGTAGATTGCTGGTACCGGTGCTTCAACTACGAAAACATAGGCTATCTAGCATTTCGGTAGTCAATCTTCATTCACTTATTCATCGCTTCGAGTTGTTTTTCTTCCGCTATGTTGACAACACCTCCCCCACCGAAGGCAATATGGGGGACTGTTATTGTTCTCCTGGTACTCGACATAATTGCTGTCATTCTACGATTCGCCGCACGACGGCGGCTTAAGCAGAAGCTTCAACTAGATGATTGGCTTACGGCAACAAGCCTCCTGCTAGTTTTCGGTTGCGCTTCTATAATGCTCTATGGTAATGCTTTCGAAGTGGGAGAAATCCGAGCAGTGTGGTTAATCGACTCCAGGTCTGGCAACCAAAACGCTAGGGTATCCTACCCCCGTTGCCTCTGAGCTTCAAACCCGGTCTGCGCTCGATGCTAGCAACTGGACAATAGAGACAAGTAGAAAGGTAAAACTATCTAGAACAAATCAGCACCATCCAAAACTAATTATCCCCAGCTCGAGTACTCCTTCCTCTGCATAGTCGCCCCCTTACTCGGCGCTATCAAACTCAGCGTCCTATTCTTCTACCGGCGCCTCTTCGTCGTTGACAAGCACTACAAAAACTCTCGCAACATCATCACCGTTGCCATGATCACCATTATCGCCTTATGGGCAACCGGGTCATGTTTTGTCTTCATGTTCATGTGTGGAGTACACTTCGAGGCAATATATTCTAGTGTAGATGATGTGGCCACAGAGGGAATGTGTATTAACGGATTAGACGTGGGATATGCGTTTGCGATTGGAGATTTCGTTACCGATGCAATTACGATTTTGATTCCGATACCTTTTGTAAGTTGGCATTGAGTAATATGCAGGATTGCTGGGGTTTTTGCTAACTGGTAACGCGATAGGTTTGGAAACTTCATTTGTCATGGGGACGGAAAATTGCGGTTATGGGGGTGTTCCTCCTTGGTATTCTGTACGCCACTTTCTTGAAAGCGCTGGGCTCTCCTACTCACTGATTGGTTTTTAAGGGCAACCTGCGCGTCGTTAATTCGACTCATTGTTATGATTTGGATCAGACAGATTGGATACGACCCCTCCTTTGACGAAGAACGTAAGTAGAACACCCCATAACCCCCAAACCCTTTTCACGTGTTCTGCCCATGTTCCCAGCTAACCCAAATCTCCCGAAAGTCCTCCTCACAAACGAGGTATATTACCTCACTCTCGAAGCCACCATCGCAATCATCGCATGTTGCCTCCCAACCCTGCGGTCATTATTCACACAGCGTTCCGTGGACAGCGTGGTGCGGGGAGTCCGAAGTTTGTTCTCACTTCGATCAGGCTCGTTCCCAAGCTCTCGGAGCGACGATGACAGTCAACTGGCTCAGCATAACGAGACTAGCTATGACAAAATGAGTAATTCAGCTAAAGAAGGTCTTTCCGTTAGCGGAGGGTCGGTTGCATCAAACAGGCCTTGGACAGGAATTTGAGAATTTGAATCTTATTTCTTTGTGTTGTGAGAGGGTTAGTTGGAGCTTGTTGGATTCAAAATAATTAGAGGAGAAATAGATTTTGCACCCATTGAAGACATAGCGAGTGAAGGAATGATGATGTATTGGAGGGGGAGGAATACCTACTAATCTGTGTTAGCAAAATATTTGACATTTCCGATGCTTTCAGTGCTTCTATCTAGCTTCCAGTATCTGCCTGGGGCGACCAAACATGGCACCCGTAGCCAAAGACCCTCGTCTTGTTACGTGGGGCTAGAGATTAGTTTGAGCCAATGATAAACCTTAAAGGTGAGTTCGGATTTTGAGGTCAAATACACTCTAAGGAGTAAGCGCACAGATGTAGCACCCGAATTACCCTCAATCTCTTAGTGGTAGGTAGTTTGAGATTCAGGGGTTTAAACTCTCTTAGAGATTTGTCCAGAACTATGAACTTTTAGGAAATGAAATGAAGTTTGGTTTGCTAAATCCTCTCTTTTTAATAATAGAAGGCAGCGGTTCAGATTGCTAAATTGACGCCGGGGTTGATGCCCACCTAGTGAGAGCACAGCCAATGAACGGCTGAGAGGACTGAGAAAAGGAACATCACTTGTTCGGAGGTTCTGCTCACCTTCCCAGAGTGCCTCGCCCCGTACAACTCCGTGAGGAACTGCAATATTAAGAAACTTGTGGCATAGCTATTAGTTGGGATTTGAAAGGCAAGGAAGTTTGTAAATTTCTGCAAAATGTAGATGTAACATCATTTCTCTTTCAGGGGGAGATTTAGAGAGAAATTTCTTAATCCTACACAGGGGCAGATAGTGTATCAAAGATTCTTTGAGACTCTTTTAAGAACTGAGAACATCTCGTCGTTCCTTGCTAGAGGTTTAAGGAATAGTAATAAGCTACTTATCCCTGTGCTTGAACATGCCTTCTGGGACTCTTCAAAGGTTTTTTAAGATATATAATTTTCTTTAGTAATAGCCAACAGTGCGTTAAAAAGCTATAGAAATAGCCTTAAGAAGTTCAGGATCTGATACATGTCCTATTTTTCTTGGTAGAGATTACTGGAAAGAACATAGCTCACTATTTTCTGCACTTTAATGGATTTAACATTCTTTTCTTAGCTGTCTGGGGCTTCCAGTTTCTTCAATTCTTTTCGAGGGTGACTAATTCTTACTGCATGTAAAGGAGATATTGTACAATGAGCATCCCGAAACGCCTGAACATTGCAATTTCTAGCATAGTTCCTATTCTGCTGGTCAATTTCGGGTATCCTTCGCGTAGTCCAGGGAAGAGATTTAATGGAGTTGTTGCGGTGACGGGCTTCTATCCTACTGTTGTGGTTGTCACTGTCGGGTTCCGGCTCCTGCAGCTGCAGCCTGGAGGTAGCTACTGGGGATCCGGAGGAGGTGGATTCATTCGCTGGATTTAAAATGATTGATGTTGCCAATTCGTCAACAGACTCTTCGGAATAAGATTATAAGATGGAGGAAGTTCTGGGATTGAGAAGTAGGGAACGACTGAAGGCGTACCCTATGTCTAGTCAAAATAAAACAAGCTGGTATCCCCTCTACGACGACGCACAGCCCTAATGTTAGGGAGCTCATGGTAGCAACGTGGAGCGTTTAGCACGAATCGAATCGAATCTTATAATACCTGCTGTGACAAAAACACCGCCGCAATGAGTGGTTCTACGACGTGCAATCTACGCGTAAATGACTTGTTTGGCACCCTGTGGGCATAGCGATCCATTAGCTCTTTTCCAAGTCTCCACTAGCTTCAGAAACAACATACAAATGCGGCTCGAAGCGTGATTTTCCGCAATGAAGAGAAGATTAAGTGTAGGCCCGCTTAAGATAAGGAAAAGAATTGTAGTCTGCATAGGCTGGTATTCCCTTCTTAACCTAGATATCTATGCTTGCGGGATCTCTTTGCGTGGTTACGTCCATTGAACCTGCAATAAAGCCGCTTTCGAGCGCATACATTATTAGTCCCAACGGATTGCAGGTTCCGCCCCTGCAGGGATGCACATGCAAGCTCCGCGCTTTTACCAAATGAACGTGAGAGCCATCGCCAAAAGAACGAAAGAACCTAGCCTCCACCTTTCTCTTTGCAATTGTCCGCTAACTGGTGGGTTGAGACTGAGGAAGGGACCTGGCACTCAAATCTGAATTAGGAGAGTAGGTAACACTATGACGCAAGATCTGTTCTGATATGAAGAATTGTTAGAATTATTGCATGATTGAAAGGCAATTACTGCCGTCATAAGGAATAATTCGTTGAACGTTATAGTGCTAAAGAGTGCTAATACGAAGGCCTTACACCTTGTGGGCCAGAACAGAGAAAGGGGCAAGGATATTGCCCTAAGGGTTGTGGCAGCAATATCATTCTTTAAGCGGTCGACAGTAAACCATAACAGCTTTATTGTGTTAGCTTGAGCAGCCTGCCAGATTGTATAGTCTGGGATTGCGATAATGTGAAGGCTCTAAATATCATATTCGACTCGAATAAGTTAGGGAGAGAATGAGAAGGCGGTTTTCTTAATCTGATGTCTAAGAGAAATCAGCCCATGCTTATTGCCTATAGATCAAACGTAGAGAGAATCAAGTTACATTCTCAAAGTGCGCAAAATTTGCTTGCAAGGCACTAAGATAACAAGGAACTCGAACCCATGTAATGGACTGCGGGAGGGTTTAAAATTTGATCTGGATTAGCTGCCAAGGTGTAAAATTAAAATCGGGAGCGTGTGGAATATTTACTAATTTAGGGTGTTGTTGATTAGGCCACGAACATGCTTTTCGGATAGGGTTAAGGAGGATGACCCCCGGTTGGAGTCATGGAAGTAACCAATAGCTAACTGGTCAATATGAACACGCTGAGGCATAGCAGGTACGTATCCCCATCACACCATGGTTGGTAAGACCACCCGGCCCACTGCCACAAACTGTATGTCACATCCTTACCCTATTTTTCGTGTCTTTCGTGATGTTTGGTTAATCAGTGGATTGTATCGGACGTCTCCCCTGCAGCCACCGTTAACGAAACCCTCGCCGCCAAGAACGCAGGTACCCTCTCCACTTTTAATTGTGAATTATGGTAGGCTAACAATAAATTTATAGAACAGGAAAAGAGAAGACAAAGAGGAGGAGAGAGGGAAGGACGAAGAGAAGAGGATAAGAGGAAAGGAGATGGAAGAGGAGGGGGTGGGAGAGAAGAAGTAGTAGAATAGTAAGTTGAAAATTTAATATTTTGCTGCCTACACTGCCTACAGCGCATTTGTACACATGTACTGGGGCTGCATGGCTGCCAAAAGAGCTACTGGAGGACACATGTTTCGAATGGAGCAGAGTTCGGGGTAATCAAATGCACTTGCAATTCGACGTCAATGCTTGGAAATTGTATCTCAAGTTGCGCATCGTAGTCTGGGAAAGAACTTTTAAATCCACAGGCCCGCTCGAACGTTGCCGACGTCTCCGAAAGAACGAAGACTCGAAAGTCTATCAGGCCTTTGAGGGTCGTACTCGGAGTTGGGTTCTGCCGTGTTCTTGCAATAATGAGTTCCGCAGGCAATTGAGAAGGAGGATACAATGGCCCAGAGAACAGCCCGTCGACTCAAAGCTTCGGGGTGGGTATCGATTTCCAGAACGGCGCCAACAGCATCATCCTTACCGTCTAGATCTACCTACATTTTTCTTCGACTTTTTCTAGCTAACTAGGGGGTTCCCGTCCACAAATCAATGCTTCAATGCTTCTGTGATTTTGATGTTTGCTCAGACACCGTATTTGCTTACAGCGAGGACGGAACACAGACTGGGTGTGATAGTAGTGGCGGAATGACGAACGGTTCCTCGCATTGATTGAGAGTGTACCATCTGCATGTGATGGTGAACAATGCAGCCTCCTGGTTGAGTTAATCGACATCGAGGTATGGCTTCTTTAATGTAGATGTGCGCTTGCAAGAACATCTGGATTGGCAGTGCTGGGGAAAAGAACCACGAGGGCTCTGTGTGGAGTCCCACGCGGCATCTTTAGTTCCACAATTTCCCTCTCAGTTCCACTCGCAGTTCCACTCTCAGTTCCACTCTCGGTCCCACTCTCAGTCCCACTCTCAGTCCCACTCTCACCGAAAAGAGTGAGGGTGATTCAGCAGGTCCCATACTAGATTCCTGAAGAACTTGGAGTTGGTTCGCTATCCCTTCTCACCGCTGCTTGCTCTTCAAGAGCGATGGAAAACTACCCCACCTGCTGCTGCGTCTTAGTCCTTCCCCACCATATCTCTTCTGTCACTGTCTAGCCGCCTTCCTCACATCCACGGCTCTTTGGTACATATCTAAATCAACATTGCCCGCACTCCAGACCGTGACAGCTTGCACGCCAACACCGTGGGACATGCGGGCCTCCACGTACCCAATGACATTGAGCCATGACCCGACGTCGATTTCACAGCTTTTGACTGACTCGAGGACATGGTCGATGTTGACCCGCGCTATCTTCGGGGGAGAGGGGCCAGGATAAGGGTGCTTGAGGCAAAGCGTCGCACTCTTCACAACATATTCATCGACGCTGGCACCTTCTTAGCTGGGAAAGAGAAGGCCCCAAGACAGCACATACCAGCCTAGAAACCGGACCTTTTCACCTAGTGCGCATTTCTCCAGTTCAGACAGCAACACGAGTCTCGATGGTAGCGGACCGGACATGTTCGCGTGAACAGATGCCTCCATACAATCGGGTTCACCGGTGAAACCCTTTCTCCGGCCCGGACAGCGCCAAGCCACGCACGTGCCAACGGCCCGCCGACATCATCGGGCCCCTCCATCGGTGGGCCTTGAACCTCTTCATCCTCCAGGCAACCCCAACAGGTGCTCCCACCACAACTTCCTGCTAACGAACCATATTGTGTCAGGTCGCCACTCACTGTGCTCTGCCGCCGACATCTTCCCACGCTGCGCTCATCTCACATCCACCACCTAAAGGTTACCTGCACCCTCCATCTCCGCACTCGATCCTGAAGGCCCTCCGGCCTGTTTTTATACACTCATAATGTCTGGCTGGGGCCTAAACTGGTTTGGGGGGGGTGGCCAGAAAACGAAAGAGGCGCCTAAGAAAGCGATACTCCAGCTTCGAGGACAGCTAGAGATGCTGAATAAGAGGGAGAAGCACCTGCAGAACCAAATGGATGAGCAGGATGCTCTAGCGCGGAAGTATGTTTCGACAAACAAGAATGGTATGTCTGGTCACTTGTTAGGTCTTGCTACTCAGACTAATGCGTTACAATGCCAGCCGCAAAACAGGCGCTTCGGCGCAAAAAGCAGTTTGAGCACTCCCTAGAGCAGACTTCAGCGCAGATCATGACCCTAGAGCGAGAAATCTACTCTATCGAGACAGCCAACATCAACAAGGAGACATTAGATGCTATGAAGAATGCCGGCAACGCCATGAAGCAGATCCACGCTGGCCTGACTATCGACAAGGTCGATCAGACAATGTACGCAACCTCTCTTAACCCCCATCGCTCCCTATCCACCCCCCCCTCTCCCCAGTCCCAGCCTCCCGCTTTCCGAACATGCAGCTTCATTCTCAACCACTTCAAATTCACTACGCTAACGTTAGTGTTCAATCCATAGGGAAGACCTCCGCGAGCAGCACGCTATTGGCGAGGAGATCAGCGAGGCCATCACTCAGTCTGTTGGCACCCAAGGTGTCGACGAAGACGAGCTGGATGAAGAACTCGAGCAACTGCAACAAGAGAGCCTTGACGAGCAGATGCTGAATACCGGGAATGTACCTGTGGGAGATAAAGTCGGGCGGCTGCCTACAGCCGCACAGCACGAGCCAAAGGGCAAGCAGCGCGAGGAAGAGGACGAGGAGGAAGAGCTACGGAAGCTGCAGGCCGAAATGGCCATGTGAGACCATGTGCTTCGTGGACTCTAGGTCGAGATGGTGCGGTTAATGCATGGCATTTCATGTGGTTCAGGTATTTCGACAGCATCACGGCATACGGTTCGGGCGCGTGTGGCCTGGTGCGGTTGGTGCACTTCGACTTCGACTAATTCGGTTTCAACTACAGCGGCTCTACCTCCTCCCTCCAATGAGCGACTTTCAACTCCCCACTAAGCCGGTCCTCCATCCTCATCCGCCCCGGTCGAGCAACCTTGTTCCACCGACGATAAATTCTCCATTATCAACGCTATCGAGAAGGATCGGTACGGCATAGGTGGACGGCTTACGGATCGGCAGCGGACTTCAACTACTGTGTAGATCGGATTTCATGCCACAACTTTTCTTTTCCTCCAACTCGACTCGATTCTCTACACGGTATTTGGCGTTCGGTGGTCTCGCTTGGTCTCTTGCTTCGCTGTACTTGGAGCAGCTGTCTTATCATGTAGATTTCTTTATTTTTGGTTTCTGGCTCAGATCACCTCAATATACCATGTTCACTTCGTCAAATCGCTACTGCATCATCACCATCATCATCATTGTGTTTAAAGTAATTTGTCTAAAATCGTGTGGGTTAGACACTACCTCATTCACTACAGGACCTGCATAATTCCATACACAGCCTGTCGAAGTTGACCCGGTCCAACTCCTCAAGGGACCAAGCAACGTCTGAACCGTGATTTCCCTGGCGCATCACTGGGACCGAGCCAAAACAGGAATCCATCCATACCGGCCTATACCAGTACTGAATATATATCCCAATTGTATACCGCTCCATCCCATCCCATATGTTAACCGCACACTCTGAGACCAAGAGTGTAGGGAACGTCTGGTCTGTTGTGTGCACAGTGGATAACATAACAGAAAACGCCATGCTCCACATAATATTCCAACTCGATCATGAAAATAACTGCCGAAAATAGTGCGTGCGTAAGAAGGTGAATGAAAACAAGCTTTTGTTGGGAGCGGATAAGGGATACTCTAGAGTATATGTATATGCGCCACACCCGCAGAGAACAGGTTATAGAAACAGACTCCACAAACAGACAACAAGAGTAATATCCGTCGTTATGACCGTGCCACGTAATTGTGCCCATGATAGCGCCGAGGAGACTAAGTTTTGAAAGACCCAACGAGGTGGACTTTTGTGACTGGCTCTTCTGATTCCCTTTCCTTTCCGTTGGCACCTGCACCTACATCATCGTTGCGGGAAATCTCCTCAAAAGAGCGCTTGACACCACCACCCGTTGTCGGTGTTACAGTGGTCGTGGTTCCGATCGCAGGGCTACCTGGGACGGGAGTAAGGGGTTCGACACTGGGTCGTGCGGCGTTTTGAGGCGTTTGGGGCCGGGTGATGGAGAAGGATGTTGAGCGGGGGAGGCCGGCCATGTCGGGTGTGAATTTGTGTGGCTGGGAGGGCCACGAGGGAATGTCGATGGGCCAATTCGAGGATGAGGTAGTCGGAGACAGATTGGATGCCGCCACGACGGCCGCGTCGCAAGCAGCAGTAGTAGCTGCGGATATCTGGGCAGCAGTCGTCGTTAGCGCATCCTTCATTTCGATGTCAATTGCCATTGACTGGCTGCTGCCCCTGCGCTCCTCCTTAATAAACGCGGCCTGCTTGTTATCCTCCGCCCTGGGAGAAATGAAAGCATCTCTTAGTACCGGGATAGTGAGCAGGCTTGCCAAAAGGTTCTTTTCGTCAACCGCGAGATTCGCTGCTTGATCTGGTCTTACGAAGCCTTTGATTGTGTTGTCAATCTTTCGAGTTGCATGTGTTTTGTCAGGAGATTCCTTGATAAAGGTTTTTCGGAAGGCCTCAAGTTGGTGAATTACTTCTTCGCTGATGTCGAGCGGGTATCGACCAGAGTTTCGGGGGTTTGGCAGATGGTTAGGGCCTGATACATCAGTCTGCTGAGAAGACTGATGTGGCGACGAAACAGAGGTAGCCTGCGGAACATTTGGTGATGAACTCGTGATTTGGGTTGAATTGTAGGGCCGACCGGAAGCGCTAATATAAGGGCTTGCTCCCGCCGTAGCGTATTGGTTGCCATAGGGACTTGCCGTGGAATATCCGCCATAGGGAGTGTACGGGCCGCTCGTCGGCATCAAAACACCGTACTGGCCGCTCGATGCCGCTACTGAGTTCGCGGGAAGAGATTGTGAGTTGGCAGTGGGATATGGATGCGGAGGGTTCGAATTCACTTGTCCATCGACGCTCTTCCCTCCTGCCCACGGCGACGCATACGGCGACGCGTGGGTGTTGGCTTGCGGCGCGGGCTCGGCCGTAGTATTACGCGCGAGGCTAGGTGGAAGGCGAGGGCCGGCATTTGGAGCAGGAGCTTGTGGTACGCCGTTGGGAGGAGCTACAGGTGGGGCCTGTGGATAGTAGGAATTTGATGCGTATTGTGGATAGCCATTTGGATGAGGGTAGTAGGCTTGTCTTTGTGCTTGGTTCACAACTGGCGGGCTGACTTGCCTCTTCCGCCTCTCCTTTTCAATGGAGACGTTGGGATCGAGCTTCCACTGATAGCCCTTGCCCTCCTTATCCCCCTTTACAAAAGCGTCATGGCCAATAAGATTGTGCCTTATACTTGACTGCCATCCAGTTGTCGACGTCCTGAACTTGTAATATGGGTAATGCGTCTCAATGTATGTGTAGAGTTGCTGGAGGTTCATGCATTTGTTGTCAGTGCTGGATATTGCCTCATGAATCAGCACGACATAGTTTTGGCTAGGTCGCTGCAGCTGCTCTTCCGTATAATCTGATTCCTTCTTTTGGGGAGAAGGTGATTTCGTAGGCTTGCTGGGTTTCGTAGCCCTTTTCTCCTCAGGGCTTGCAGCGCCCCCGGTCTTCTCTGTTGTTTCTCTGATATCTCCATCGTCATCCTCGCCCAGCGTCGAGTTTTTACGAGGGCGTGCAGGCTTTGGCTTGGTGGTTGGAGTGGATAGCTCCGTTATGTCGAGACCCGCGGCTCGTGCCTTTTCTAACTCCTTGCCATACTTTGCAAGCTGAGAACGCTGTCGCTTCGACATCATCCCGTCTTTAGGCGGCCGACCTGGACCTTTCCGCTTCACCAAGGGCTGCCCAATCAGAATGTCTGAAAGACCATGTCTTGCAACAAACTCTTTCGTAATAACTCCTTCCTCAGCGTCGGAGGAGCCTTGTATTTCGATAGCTGGCCTCTTCGGTTGGGTTGGACCGGCGTCTTTGACGACCTTGGTTGGCTCCAGTTTCTCTTTAGCTTTCTCCTTGGATGGTTCTTTTGCGGGGGCCTTTGCCTTCTCTTTCTGTTCCTTGAGAGTCTCCTTCGGATTTCCTTTAGGGGCTCTCGTAGGGGGTTTTGGAGGCGAAGGAAGGCGGATTGCCTTGCGTGCACGCTCCGTCTTTGCAGGTTTCCGAGACTGCGGAAGTGGTGTTTGCGGTTTAGGCTTGTGTTTAGGCATCTTGAACTTCAGAGTTTGCTTCTTACGGTGAGGTTCTGGGGTAAAAGGCTCCTCCTCGTCTTCGTCACCATCCCCAGAATCATAGGCCTGATCAGGCGGGAAGTGGAACACATGCTTTGGATTGGCGTAAAGCTCCTCACCGTCAGAGTCGTCCATGTCTTCCTGGCTTTCGGGTTCTCCCTGTCCGTTTATGAAGGCGAAACTCATTGGCCGAGACGATGAGTCTCGCCGGTCGCGTTGATCTAGAGCTACATCAGGGAGTAGGAAGTTGAAGTGGACTAAGCCGATGATAATGTTGTCGCCATGATCCAGGGGGGTAGTGCTCCCCATTCCCCGGAACTCGCCCTCATGAAACAAGCCATTAGAACTGAGAACCTCGAGCTCGAAGCAACTATGCTCGAAATTGTAGGCAATCTTTGCGTGTTGTCGCGAGATACCTTTCGGCCCTCTTGCACCGGTAGGCTCAGTGATGCGCTGGGGGTGGATAGGTACTAGCGGACATTCGTTCGGATTTTCAGGGACTTCGCTATTAAGCTGCTCCTGCTCTGGGACTTCGGAGAAGGCCAGAAGAAGCTCATCCTGTGGCGCATGCTCGACTGGTTCCTCCTGGCCAGGGGAATCTTCGTGGCGGTGAGCAGATGACCCACTAAGTGATTGAGAGGCAGCGCTCTGGCGGCGCTGCTGGTACGCTTGGGGCATAGCGGCCATCGGGGCGTTGACAATGCCGCCTACCTCGCTGACGACACTGCGGGCTGAGCCAACTACCTGCTTCCGTTTCCTACCTCTACCCTCCAGCGCGGCGCGTGCGCGCTTGTCGTCGCCCTGTTCGTGGTAGCGTTTGGCCAAGGCGAGACGGCGCTGGTCTCTGTGGGCCAGTGTGAGATTGCGACCCAGTATAACCGAGTAGGTGTGCATGTAATAAGAGCCATCGGGGAATCGCAGACGCGCAAAGGCAGACATATTGTTATTGTTCAGCAGTGGCTGGTGGCCGGGAAGGGGGCCCTCTGGGAGGTCGTCTATAGTGGGGGTGGTGTTGTGTACGGGCTGCTCGAGCGGGGCAGCCGCGAAACCAGATGGGTAGTCGACGGGGGGGGCGCCTTCCATAGTGTCGAGCTTGGAGGGAGTTTCGGTGTTGGTGGTGGCAGGCGCGATGGCAGAGTCGGAAGGCGCGACATGGTTATTCGCAGGCGCATTGCCACTGTGCTCTGACAGTGGGTCGCTCACGTCGTCCATGCCGTCGCCGTCATGGTGTAAGGCAGAGCTGGAGCGGATGACGAAGTGGGTGTGGAGTTCGAAGTGTCCGTGGATGTGGCCCTTGCAGGTGTTGAAGTCTGTAGTGGATGCAGTGCGATCTATGCAGCGGTCAGGAGTGTGGCCCACGCCTCCGCGGGAGTGGCACTAGAGAAACCTACCTGCAAAATCAGAATAACTCCGAGGGTCACCGAATTGGTCGTAGTGATTTAGCTGGTCGAGCGCGAAGGGGTCGGCGATGGAGATGTCGAGGTTGTTGGTCGGCGTTGTCGGCCCATGCAAGTGTTGAGGCCGGGAGGCTGATGCTTCCGCACGCGGCAAATCCCGGCCCAAGCCTACGGCACGTGCGTTTGCGTCGCTACCCTCAACTCCGAGGGTAATCGGCATCCCGCACTCAGCCTCCACCATCCCGATTGAGGTACTCTCCGTTCTAGCGATCATCTGTTCATCGTTCTGATACATAACCACACACTGTATTGGATTACACCAACACGCCAAGTCCATCTTGTCGAAGGTAGAGTAGCGAAAGTCCCACGTGAGGGTCTTAAGTGGGAGCGACCGGTCTTTGGTGAGAGTCAAGTGTCTTGAGTGGGATTGAACGGTCTTGAGTGGGAGTGAAGAGTTGGGTGTGAGTGAGAAGACTTAAGTGGGAACAACTCCCTGTTTTTGCTGCCAGACTGATGAACAAGTGTTGGCCTTCCTCTCCCATGGTTCAGGGTGATGTTTAGAATACTCACTGGTTTCTGGCAGCATCTTTACACGATCCCCTGGAGCCGCTGTCACTATCCACAGTCTTGGTATCACCATCCACGGGCTCTATCCACGAACTCTCAGCATCACATCGCGTGATTGGTCCTGCACTTTTGTCCTTTCTCACCACTGGCTTTGTTGAGGTTTTTGAGAGTGCATCTGACTATACTTATGAAAAATGGCACCGAAAAAGAAGGCCAAGCCAGAGTCTTCCAAGAAACCAACGCCACCGCAGCCGCTTGAATGGCCTCCATTTACCCCATTAATCCCAGAGTTGGACATTTCACTACAGGAACTTCTCCCCGGTCAGATCATCACCATCTCAAATTTCTGGACGGCAAGCCTATGCAAGACCTATGTCTCGTTCCTCTCCTCGCTGCCTCTAACAACAACCCCTGGCAAGCCCAAGAAAGGTGATGCGGTGCGCGTAAACGATCGCTTCCAGATCGATGACCCAGCGTTTGCGGAGAGACTATGGAGCGAAACGGCACTGAAGAATCTCATCCTTGGCGGCAATGAGGACGGTAGTCTAGGCTTAGATGATGTTCGACAGAAGGAGCTGTGGGGCGGCGAAGCGGTAACACCATTCCGCAAGTCTTGCCCCGTTGCTGACCGCTAACCTGGTGATGAAGATCGGACTGAACCCTAATATTCGTATCTATCGATATACGAAGGGTCAATTCTTTGGTCAGCATTGTAAGTTGCTTGGTCAAACCGGCTGCCATGTCCAAGCTTACGCTCATGTGTGTAGTTGATGACTCTAATAATGTTGTGATTCATGGTTCAATCCCTGCGCGGACCACATGGACCTTGCTGCTGTATTTATCGTCACCGACCACGGGATGCATTGGGGGTGAGACGGTCTTTTACCCCGACCCTGAGCCCGCAAAGAAGAAGAGGAAGGATAAGGCCCCTGAACCTTTTGTAGTTGGACTTGAGGTAGGCCTTGCTTTGCTGCATCGACATGGTGCAGATTGCATGCTTCATGAAGGGCGTGAGGTGCTCGATGGTGAGAAATGGGTTATCAGGAGTGATCTTTGCGTCCGGCGGTAGCAGACCACTGGGATTTCGCCCCGTTTTACAGTATCTCTGCACCATCGGGTCTTCGCTAGTAGTTGCGGGATCCGTGTGGTGATGGATTACTTGATTCCCAGGCCCCACCGTTTAGTTTGTATCGGTTTCGGATTTCAGGTGGCCACACAGGAGCTCCGGCAATGATTGACTACGGGTTTAATTTCGGGCGAGGACCAAAGCACATATGTCTTCGCTTTTACAGACTTACAGTTATCCGCTCTTTGCTATTCATTTAGCATATCATGCCCTCAACTTGCCTCAGTCACACCGGGATGTAGAAAGCAGACATTAATCATGCACTCGATGATATTAAATAACTAATACGTGACACTCTATCCATTTGCTGCGCTTTCGCAGATCTGCGCCACGTACTGACGAGAGAGAGAATACATTTACTTCCAACTGCAAAAGCAAGCTAGAATGACATAATATTTCAGCCAGAAGCGCGGCACCCTTCACGTAGGCGTATAGTCGTCCATCCCTTGTAACTATATACCTTGCCACTTCCACGCTCGCCTTTTGTCAGCTCTAGCACCTTGTTGCACCACTGCTCTTTCCATTCACTCCACCGCGACCGCCTAATATCCCGTACCAAGTCAAAAGGACTACGAAACGCTGTTTGCTCGCAGCAAATACGCTATACTATGCCCAAATGCACGGCTATCCTGGTTCACCATTCGGGGTATAGGCTTCTAAAGCGTCCTTGCACGGCACCATTGCCCTTGATAACCGCCACGCTCCTTTTCTGCAATCTCACTGTTCAGTACAGCACCCGTTTTATCTCCCTCTAGCCACTCGAGGCTTACATTGTATAACCTATTCAGACACTCCATTGTCTCATAGTAATGTCTGTCCAATTTACTCCCGCAAACCTCCATATCGGCCTCGAATCGACCAATTCAAAAAACAATGCCGGGATACTATACGATAGCATCTAGCGCAACCCGCTCCGTCCTCAGCAATAGGGCTCGGAGTTTACCCGTTCAAGATTGGGGTTTATTGGCGTTAGTTAGCACATCGAAAGACGTCGGCTTTGGCAGGTGAATTCAGTCGGGCCAGGCCAATCAGTTTACTAAAAGTCTCACCAACTGACAACCCACTTATACCTTGGAGCCCCAACGCGCGCACAGAGATAATTATAACCCAGAGAAACTCTCTCTTCACTGAGCCCAATCCCCTTCAACACTCTGTACACTTGACTCGTTTTAGCTTAAATCGCATTGAAGCGATGCACACTTCTCTCCTTGAACCCCTCCCCTAGATATAGTCCGTCTTTATTATCCTTACTTCTGGTTTGGTAGTCCAAGGGTGACTGCGGCATGATTCATAGCTTTGAGAGTTCCGCAACAGTGGCCAATATTGCGGTGATATCTCTCGGTAACGCCCACGATCAAGTACACTATTTTCTTGAGCTCCCTGCTACGTGGACATCCTTCCATCATCTCCACGCTCTCCACACTATCCGCAACCTATTCCCCCATATCCACCCAACTCTATTATAAGCCCCCGGGCCCATCGTATACGAAACATCCTTGCCATTGCCCTTAGTCCAACCTGCTTTTTCTCACGCTTCTTCGTCAGGTATCCCAACAAGCCGAAGCACATTGCTTACGCTCTGCTACTATTGGACGTTCTTCCTTCCACACATTGTCACGATAGAAAGAAAGAGCTAGAGGGAACGAAAATGAGCAAAACATGGAGACGGGTAAAGATGCCGATGAGGCTAGGGCTGAGAAAGTTTTATCAGAGCAACGAAAGAAAGGAAATTTGGACGTCCTAGGTGAGTAATCATTCCGCATATTAGTAGCCGGTCAGAAGATGAAGAGGCCATTTGATGCACTTTAAAGGGATCAGCGAATTTTAGGAGACTTTCCTTCTCAAGATGGGTTTGCAACCTGGTTGACGTCTAATGGAAAAGCTGCAAAGGGACTTTCTAATTGGATTTTATCGAAGGCCGGTATTCCTGGCGAATGGACATTGGCACCTCATCGTCTCGGATCCGTAAGTTCGCCAGCTCATGAGAATGGAATATCATAAGCAGTATTACCCTTTTGGGTAGGGCCATATATAAGAACTCAGAGAACATATTTCAAGTTTTCTCCTGGCATTGACCCTTGACATCGAGCTCCGTCATACCTAGGTAATTAAAATCGCACCTCGGCCATTAAAATCTTCCATAATACCTCTCACCTCTTATTCAACTTCCCTAGGATCTGGTCTCTACCACCGGGCTGTGTGGCATGCTCTCGCTTATAATCCGGCCAACCCTATATAGGAAAGTGCCAACCCTAATTTAGTTCTAGCGTTCTTGAGTTTGAACCTCGTTCCAGCCAACATCGGCCACGCCACATTTCCAGCAACATTACGACCAGTTTGACCCTATCTCCAAAAATCTATCGGAGTTATAGCATACAGACTTCAGTTAAATCTATCCCTATTTGACACCATTGAGCAATCTAAGATTACCAAGTGTCTGCCTTCGCCTCATCTCAGGAGAGGCTCATTTCAACGATTGGCCCGGGATCTGGGAAATCAGTGGTTTAAAGGTGAATATAGGGAGTTTCATAGATATTTTTAAGATAATAGAGACTGAATCCGTCCTAACCCAAACAGCAATACCGTATTACCTTTGGTTCCTGACTGCTCTTTTTTTCGTAGCGGCAGCGTTAATAGATACGGAAAAGCCAACTGCGCAATGCCCATTACTGAGTGAAGCAACATCGGCGGGAATACTATAGTAAGAGGGCAAAAATATATCAGGCCAAGGAAGTGTCTCGGGGGGTGGGAGTTTGCGACCGGGAATGAATTCTGGTTAGGTGACACATTAACGTCCTAGCATCATAAATTAGCCATAAAGCTATATACCGTAATGCTAAGATTATACCAAATGGTGTTACCAAGTTGCCTAACCGTAATCATTGATCGAGCCCGAAACGAAGTAAAGTAAATCATCGCAGACTTCGGAACACACCAGTAGTCAATTGAATTTGTTAAACCTTTTCCTGAAATTAGAGAAGTTGCTACAAAGAGGATGCTGAAATCCGTCTTAAATCACGCCCCCGCCGTGTGCCATCTCCCATGAAACACGTAGGATATAACTCCACCATCCCGAGATAAAACGCCTCAACAGCCTTTGACATTTACATTTTTGCTGGCGAGCCTCGCATTCCTGCATCTACAAGCAGCTCAAAAGATTTCTTGGTCGTCGTACGCACGCACACTCTCGAGGTAGTTCCGTACCGCGACAGGGTCTCTACATACTACTATGTGTCAGTAAAATAAATACGTTTGGAATGGCACAGGGGCCAAACTCACCATGCTTAGAATCCCATCCGTCACTACCTCCGTTGTGGTCTGGGAACGTAGTCTCTAACCCTTCCAACGACATATCCGCACTACATAAAATCGCCTGCCTCATGTAGTCAAAGCAGTGGATCATATGCCAGTGGTGGTCTTCCGGCAGCTCAACATTGCTTGTTAACCCCGAATAGACTTGCACGACCGCGAACAAGCAGTGCAACTGATGCGTCATTGACGTCGTAAAGACAGTCATGTTGGGCCAGATAATAGGGGTGGGGAGGTCGTTATATTTTTCGGGGTCAACAACATGCTGGAATCCCATCCCACGCGGCATCAGCTCGTTCCAAGCTTGCAGAGTTTCCGGTTTGAAGAAGTCAGAAGTGTTGTACGGAGCGTAGGTTTGGTCAACGTGGAAGGTTTGGATTTGGGTTGGAACTAGAGGACGTCAATCACTTGAGACGGCTGTATATGCGAAGAATTCCATCGCTACTTACGATGCGGTCCCCATCCGGTAATATCACCTCCAACCTCCTTCGCGCTGGTCGTCCGGGAATTCCACCACACATTATGGAACAACCCTTGATCGTGCGCCAACAATCCGATCACCACGAGTTGCAGCCCGATCACAACGAACCATCTTGTTGTCTTTAGAAAAGATATGCAAATGGTCCTCTTCGACCTCCGTGTTCGACTCTTAAAGTTCTCTGAAGCCCACTGTTTATCGAGTCCTACGAGCGATTCAACTTCGGTCGACGAATCATCTTCATGCTGGTGTTCTGTATGAGGGATGTTTTTATATTCGTGCTGTGGCTCCATCATTTTGTGCAAAAAAAAAAACCTACTCAAGAAAGAAAGACGCCAGGCCTACGAGAATGAATGAGCACAATTGAGAAGGAAAGAATAAGATGAGCACAGCTAAAGAGCAAATCCATGACCGGTGGCTGCGGTTAAGCAAGTATACTCTTGTTCTTCGTTGTGTCATTCGACCCAGCATGTCCATGTTGCGACTTGAGTTGTTTGAGAGCAACCATGAGACTGGACGACACACAAATCTGGGCTAAATGCCGCCGGATACCAACACACGACTGGTTGCTTGAGAAGACTACAAGGCAAGCGCACGCGGATAGAGGACGCTGAGACGAAGCGTACGTGCTCCACCAGCGTGTCAGACATCCCTGTACGTTCGATCGCCAAGATCAAACATTGGTGAATCGCCAAGAGTGAGACGCTAGTCCCATCCCGTGCTAGCGCACAACCCATACCTTCAGCCCTTTCGTCCCATACTCTGTTCATGCCTTCTTACTCCACATCGTGCTTTTGAAAATATTGCACAGAACTTTGCAGATGGAAAAAGCGAAGACTGCCAAGCCAACGGCATGCTCGAGGACTGAGATTCGGATGGTTCAATATCGCCCTTTGACAGAAGAGAGAGTTTTACGGTCTCGAAGAGTTTGCTAAGAATACGTTTTGGGATGTTTTGGAGGAGGATGAAGAGCACTCTGTGCATGAAGCAGACGGTCGCCAACGTAGTGAAGGTCCTTTGTGGGATTGTATACAATCGTAAGCTTATCCACATCATATTCAAGTCAGACTCATCTGGGCATTCCCCTTTCAGAGAACTCGCATCTCGATTACTTGGACTATCAATCGTCTCTTCTGAGAGCTGTATAACACAATGCTACCGCTGAAGCCGATCCCATATTTTGCTCCGATTCGGATGAAGCATCGTCGCCGAGCGAGGCACCCCTTCGAAATTATGGTATTATCCGCCTCATGTCGCCCTTTATCATAGTTCTAATGAATTAAAACAATCATGAGAGAAGAAATAAGGAGGATGGGATTGTATCTTCTAATGTTGGTTATAACGTCAAGTATTTGCCTCAAAGCGCATTCTAAAACCCCTGTTATCTCCTTATCCTGAATACCTAAGTAATTGACCAGTCTGATACCTTACTTTACGCCAGATACTACTTCTCTAATTGAGAGCCACTGGAAAGACCCATTTTAGTAAGAGCTCCCCGACTGCCCCAACAGCGCTCTCCCTAGCTCTGAACATTATTACGTGCTCTGAATGCTCCTACGTCCGCTCTACTCACTGCTCCCACTGGCTCTTCTGTCCCGCTCAGCAATTTCTAGGGTTCTTATCTAACAGTGAGGTATTCGGTTGCACGGTTTTATCGGAGGACATTCACCAATCGAGCCTTGAGTTCCTCTAACATTGACGTCAGTATTGATTTGCACGAATCCTCTGTGTTTAAATAGCCCCCTTGGCCATGGTGTGCTGTGGTTCCTTGTTCGTTTTATATTTTATCGCATTTTTCGCTGATTCTGTGAAATTTCTTTCTCAAGAGCCTATGTTTTAGGAGTACGGGTGAGTCCCGCTTCTCTAAGATTCTCCAACTCATTAGACACTTCCTGACATGTTGTATGTCGACTTCTCCTGGATTCCGGGTTAGATGACATTTGCACAAACCCACCATGTCACTCAGACTGCCAAACTCCGAGTGCAATACGTCCCCAGTCAAGTCGCTACAGCTACGCCTTGTAGCATGAAATCGTGCTCATGGAATAGAGTGACCCTTTACAACTTACGAAAATTAAACATAGAGTGACAATTTTTCAATACTCTTTCCAGGAATGGATTGGGGCCCTTAGCAGGAAATATCTCTGCACGCCCCAAAAAAGCCCCAAATCCAGGAGGAATGGTTCTCTTTGTTAGTGCGGGATAAAACTTAATCGTTAGCATCACATGAACGGATCGAAGGAGTTACATGACTACCGACTCTAAGGATTTAAGGTGTAAGAAAGCCGGGGTTGTAGATCAGGGGCCTCCTAATATTTTGATTCAGTGCTCAGAAGGGCATATCGCTCACATTGCTCCTAGCTTTCAACCACTATCTTTCAGATTTCAATGTCCGTCCAGGATGTTGTCGCGAAAGGGAAGAAGCTGATCTTATTACGTGTCAGCCCAGAATGGAGATTCACTTTCAGCGCCTCTTGGATTCCCACCATCTTTGACGATAATCTGCATTATGCCGAGTGTTCCTGCGGGGATGCTCAGCCCTAACACTGGAAATAAGACAGCATATCTTTAGGAAAGTGTGTCCTACCATACAATGGTCTCAAATTCCCAAATCGTATTCATAAGATTTTCAAAATGACTATCCATGAGTCCTTGAAAAGAAAAGGAGGTCAAGCTTATCCTAGTGACAGCTTCTAGATCAAGGACTACCCTCCCAGAGTCCAGAATTTCAGTGGCTTCTATAAAGCTGTCAATCATCCTCCAATATCAAATACTTTCAGATTTATCTCAAAATCTTTTAGGCTGTATGCAGAATGCGGTATTTACTCCAGATCTTGAGTTTAGGTATTGTGGTGACCTCTACATGGGTGGCTACCGTATCACCTGATCCTATCTATGAACAAAATCATGAGCGGTGTGACGCTGTACAAGATGGACAGCTTTCTTATGCGAAGACAATGTTTTCAGGTATCTGATGGGGAACAATGACCGGCATTCTTTTTACCGCACTGTCTCCCTCTGTTCGGTGTAGACTTCTCCTAGGAAGCTGCGAAGACTTGCTAGGACTGGCAGTTTGACAATGGAGTCGAAGTCTCACATATTGCCGGAGAAATGAGCTAATACAACGGCAACATTAGGATGTGGCCAAGCAGGACAAGTTCTTCATGGTGGGGGACGAGTAGGAGTCGAGACCACCAGGACATATTTCAAATGCACCGTGAATATTAAGCTACATTCCCGAGCGTGAAATTTAGAGTGCATCCAGCCTTCGCTATACTAGACACTCAGAGATGGCACAGTTTCTTTGATTGTGAGCATTTGATGGTCAAGCTTGAGAATGTGAGATAAGCCAAGGGGTTGTTCAGCTGAGTTGGCTGCCAAGAGCGCCACTAGCAAACCCCGAGCTAGTTGCCATGCATATCCCAGCTTGCTATCGATCGGGACAGAGGCTAATCTATAATCATTTAACGAGAATCTTGATGTGCATCGAGCACTTGAAGACGGAGGCGAGGCGTGGAAATTTGACCGTGAGAGGCCAGCGCTAACTAATCGCATGTAGACCTTCCAAAAGTTCGGCTACCTTTTTCATCTCTCCTTTCTATCATATCTGGTGACCTATATTGTTGATTGATTTTCGGCCCTTTAGAACCCTCTAGAGTCTCATATATCTGTCCGTAAATGCGGCTTGATAACACAATTGAAGCAAAGTATTTTATTACCGAAAACGAGACAATTGAAAGAACAATTTCGCTTTATTTAGAGTTATAACAATGCTAAAAAAAAACAAAGGCAGGATGTTATTTTAGGTAGATAGAAGTGATCTGTCTTGGAGATCACCCGAATCCTTGGCACCGTGAATGTGCTGTCACGTGACGATACCGGCGATGCAGGTACCTTGATGACTGCGAATGGCAGTAGACGAAGGGGCAACTTACTAAGGTACTCAATACAACCTTAGTGTTCTTGTCTACCGAGTCGCTAAACTGGACGATCTTCGCTTCCAAATGAGGGCCAGTCGTGTGGACGCCCAGAGCAGTGCTTTATACTCAAGCGTCTTTTCAACCCTAGACTCGGAATTTCGAGGCTACTCATCTTTAGTATGGAGAAAGGCTGGAGCGAGTGCACACTGCTAGCGGATAATTTTTCGGCTCCTGAGATGCTGCCAAGGAAACTATGCTAGCTGGGCTGAAGCCATTTCCCATTTTTGACAAGAAACGAAAGGATTTTACAACGATCATTATTCCGTCTTATGTGCCACATCACCACATTCCTTCCTCGGAGAATTTCTAGTGCGCGCTCGATTCCCTTCATTCAACCATTGGATTAGATCAATTCTTCGCTGAACCTTTATTATATGTTACAGACCCGTACATTCTTGTCAGATGTAGCCGTGGAACCAAGAGCTCAGCTCACCTGTAGGAGTATTTATTATCTAAATCTCCTTCAATTCGCACACACACTCTACAGTTGCTCCCACCACATATATTCTCTTATTATTTCCAGATGGCATTTACCAACGCAGCGGATAGGGTTACAACATGGTATTTTCAATTTTACCGCGCTCTCCGTTTCATCGCTACTTGTCTCACGGTCGCTGCGATTGCAGTTGTTACGCATTCCTCCCAACCATACTTCAAAATTGTTATTGTTACAGTAGGAAACGATCTCTTTCCTCCGTCCATTTGCTTACGTTCGATCCAGCTCACTGACAATTGATGAGCTAGTGCGCGGCAAATTATATTCCCGAGCTTCTCGCTCACATAACTCTCCGGGAGAGTGTCGCCAAGAAATTTCAATCCGTACCGCAATTTATCTCGACATTGTGGGTCGTAGTTTTCGGAGGAATATCAGCATTATGGTGTCTATGTTTCCTGCATTTTGTGACGGCATATGGTCATCTGAAGAATGATCCAAAGCCGGACCCGAAGGTCCATTTTAGCAAATCGAAGTTGAGGTGGGCGGGTGCTGGGGTGGGGTTTTGCATGTTTTTCTTGTGAGTGCTGCCGATTTACAATTCCATGGCATGTCATAGTGGAGCTGACGAAGCATTTATAGAATTGCTAATGCTCTCTCTGTGCTCTCTATGTTCTTTGGGACTATCTCGTTGATCGTGGCAATAAGAAAGGCAAAGAAGGCGCTCGCAGTGGCTGAAATGGGGCGAGAGGATGTGTGAAAAACGAATAGTGAATATGGGAAGCGCAGAATCCTAATAAAGACACCAGTCTATGTCCTCTGAATGCTCAACCTCATTCATGCGACGGCGTAGTTCATGTTCCTGGGACGGGGCGAAATGCAGAACGGCTCATAGATACGCGTCATAGGCGGAATTTTCCTTCCTCACTAGACATCGGCTCCATTCAATTGGTCCCCAATCTCTAACTATGTTATTATTTGAGACGCTGATTCAATTCTGCAAGGGCAGGGTACGAGGTCATAAGCAATTATCTTGCTGCAAATAAATAGAGCATTCAGAGGATACAGACTCTTCCACAAAATCCGACTCGAATTTGAGTCATGTTGGTTTCGGAAGCCTTGAGACCAAGGAAGGTAGGGCGGCGAGAGGAAGTACGACGTGATGGCCAACACTGAGATCACCCTAGCATTTACCCATCCTACTGAGGTATGTCTGCCCGACACATATAGCTTAAACTGGGTGTATATTAGCCGGAGTAGGATCTTCCAGGATCTATCGATCAAAGAGACAGCATAGTTGGAAAAACTGCATTTTCAATGCTAAAATACCCCAAGTAGCTTCCATAAACAATACTATTTTAGCCTCCTAGACCTGTTTACAGGCTTCTGGGATCCGCTAAACAGATACTGCCGTCTATGTTCATGTATAACCGTTGTGCGACATTGCTACTGACACCTGGTGCATCATGTTCGCGTGGGAAATTACTGCCATTTGACGGCAATCGGCGTTGGAATTCTCCGCATATATCCATGTGAAGGTTCTGGGTACGTACCCAATAGAAATGGAACGGTATTTAATTGTCCAAGCGTGGGGCTGTTTTGTTGTATAGTGTTTGGGTGAGTACCTGGGTGCTACAATCGGCTAAGGTTTTGTTTGGGTGTGGAAGGGGTTCCATTGTTGACGGTGGGATTAAAGGATTGCGAATTTAGTTACAGTGGTCTTGATTGTAGTGTTGGTGGTTTGGAGGCATTTATTGAATTGGGGACGGGCTACTTAGCGAAGAAAGAATTATTAGGTGAGGTGGAATGTTCTAGGACGTATTTGGAACTATAGAGGGGAGATGAGTGACTTGGGCCTTTGTATTTGTTGATTTATATAACAAGGGCAGTATGGGCTCAGTACCCCTCTTTGTATGAGTGCGTAGAACCAATATGTAGACGCGCCGCACTGCACGACACCTCAGTTGTAGGATGGAAAGATTTCCGCTACGTATGAAGTAGCTAGATGCTAGACGCAGTGTATTGCAAAGACAAGACCACAGAGTAACGAAACAGAGAATATGAAACAGGAAGGCCTCCCCATTTGAGAAGAAAACGTTCTTGGTACAACTGTGGATGTTGAATATCGGGGGATTAGTTTGTCAACCTTGATGCTGGGTTAAGAGGTCTGCGTAGACGACGAGAATCCTGTCATATCCGTTGCATGTGCCAGCATGCCGTAGCGAGAATGCAGTAATGAGAATCGAAGGCCTGCAAGGACGTGAAGGCCAAATGTGAGGTGACGTTTGCATCCCTGCCGTGGATCGGCTCTCCAACATCGGCCCGAAACGCTTGGCGATTCACATCTGGGGAATTGGAAATGCTCCACGGTTGCCCTACCCGAAATTGCTGACCCCCTCCACCCTTCACGAAAAACTATCCGTCAAGTGAGCTGACATTTGCACCTAGGTACGACAACCACCGCCCTGAGATGCTAACAAGCCGCTCTAGGTGGTGATTGCGCAGCGATTCTACATCCACCCAGGACTTGCGCACTTTGCTTACCTACGTGATATTGGTGTTCAGCGGAAGTATAAGTTACGAATGCGGCTCACACCGTAGTCGCGTACCTGCATCAGATTGGAGGCTTGGCCTTTTCGGCCTACTCGGGAGAGTGTGGGGAAACGAGTGGAAGATCCGGAACGCCTCACCGCGGAGAGGACTACTTATGTAGCTGCGCGCTCGAGCATGCTGGATCCAACGCCCAAACTTCTTCAGCCAGGTGCAAAACGGGCTCGCCTCCATATCATTAGAAAATTGTGAGCAGGAAAATCCACCAGAAGACGATTCATATATTTACGATGGCATCATTCATCATCCGTGACGTCCAAGTCTTCACAGGCGAGGAAATAATTCCAGAAGGCTTCGTGTATGTCCAAAATGGCAAGATCGCAGCTGTTGGACCTGCCTCAAGTATCCCGACAACCTCTGTTAAGGTCTATTCTAAACCAGGTCACACGTTACTCCCCGGCTTTATCGACTGCCACATCCACGCCGACATGGCAAATCCCGTCGCGCTGCCCCAGGCTCTTAGGTTCGGGGTCACAACAGTCTGTGAAATGCACAACGAACTCGGAAATGTCCAGAAGTTGAAGAAGCAGACCCAGGAACCAGATACGGCAGGATATAAAACGGCAGGCCAAGCGGCGACTATTGAAAATGGGTGGCCGATTCCCGTTATTGTAGCCCATGATAAGAGTGAAGAGACGGCGGCGGAAATCGCAAAATGGCCCAAATTGAGTAACCGCGAGAATGTGGTTGAATATTTGGAGTGGTGTAAGAGAGAGATGCAGCCGGATTATATCAAGTTGATGCATGAGTCAGGTAAGAGTTTGGGATTCGAGTTGACATATCCAAGCGTGGAGCTGCAGACGATGATTGTGACGGAGGCAAATAAGAGGGGGTATTTGACGGTTGCGCATGCCCTATCACTGAAAGATACACTGGAGGTGTTGGAGGCGGGGGTGAATGGGTTAACGCATACCATTTGCGATCAGCCGCCAACGCAGGAGCTAGTGGAGGCATACAAGAAGAATAATGCGTGGTTGAACCCGACTTTGGCGGCGATTGGGAGCTTGACAACCGAGGGGCAGGATATTCAGGAGCGGTTTGCGCATGATACGAGGGTGGAGGGCCTTATTGGAGAGAAAGAGAAGGGACAGTTGTGCAAGTGCATGGCTTTTGCGGTGAAGACGGGCAAGGCAGAATATGCGTATGAGAGCGTGAGGATGCTGAGGAAGGCGGGGATTGACATTGTTTGGTGAGTGACTCCGCTTCTTTTAGGAAGAAAGCGTCCGTTCCTCTTGGTGGATGTGGCTCGGGAAGTGGTAAGACACTCGGACTAACACGAATAATAGTGGGAGCGACGCAGCCGGTCCAGCAGTAGGGACGGCATGGGGACTCTCTGTCCACCAGGAGCTTTACCTCTTCGTGCATAAGGTTGGAATGACTCCGGAAGAGGCTCTGCGATCAGCGACGAGCGTCGTGGCGAGGAGGTTCAAGTTCTCGGATCGTGGCAGACTGGCGGAGGGGTTGAACGCGGATCTGCTCTTGGTTGAGGGAAACCCTTTGGAGGATATTGATGCCACATTGAATATTCGCGGCGTCTGGCGCGATGGAGCGCTTTGCAGCGCGCACAAGTCCAAAATGGGTAATTGAGAGGCATAATGGGCAGAGAGGAATGGTGCAAGGCGCTTGACAGGGCATTTCTATGCTCAAGGCAGAATATCGATGTATTTTCAGTCACAATGAGTGTAGACATGAGGAGACGGGGTGTGCATTAAATTGTTCCAATTGTTCCAATTTGTCCAATTTATGTTTTCTTCCCCACATTCTTCAGAGCCTGGAGGCGTAATCCATCTATTAGTTGCATTAATCAGCGGAATTCCTTAGCGATTTTGCTTCTGTCTTTGTCCCCACACAAACCTTATAGAAATTAAGACACATTAGTAATACGCCCTAAACTATGCTAATATTATTATAATATTATAAGATTTAACTACTTAATTAGAAATAAAGTTAAAGCTAACTCTTTAGTGTTAAGAAGGCCTTACTAGCATCCTACTATAGCCTGCAGAGGCACCTAACTAGGGGCAGCAGAAGCGCCTCTAGCTAAGTTAATGTGTTTAAGTACTAGTACTGTCTAACAGCTTACTGCTAAAGTAGCTGCTTAGTTATTAAAAAAGCTTAATAAGCAGGCTAGTAGTAGTAGAAGGAGAGAAGAAGCTGCAGCAGCGCGTAACTAGAAATTAGTTACTTAGGTTAATATAAAAGAGCCTCTTACGCTGTTGCTGTTGCCTACTATTATACCTGCCCTAATTAAAATTCTTAAGTTGCTACGCGTTATGCTAGATCTACTGTTGTCGCCGCTGCTACCCTAGCAGCCCTAATATAATATAGATATAATGTATATTCTCTATGTAAATAAGGTTAAAGTAGTAGAAAATTATAATAACTATAAGCGTGTGTTCTTTTTAATGTTATTTATAAAGGATAAAGTAATGTTGCTAATTAATAACCTAGCGTTAATAATTAACAGCTGTAGGCACTGCGTACAGAGCTGCAGCGTTAGCTTCTGTCTAGATAAAAGAGGTGCTGCTTAGCAGTGTGTACTGCTGTTAGATTTTAGTACTATTAAAAAAGTTTAGCTATTTAAGATAGTTAATTATTACATTACTTACTTTAAAAATATATTACGCGTGGAGTTTAAAGTAGAGATCTGTGTTTAGGTTAAAGCGCTATAAAAAGCTTTTCTATATAATTAGTTATTTAATAAGGCTTTATCTAAGCTAAGTAATAACATCCTTGTAAGCGCCTACTGCAGTAAGCAACTGCTAAGGAAGATAAAGGCTATAGAGTGTGTAAAAGACATTAAAACAGCTATAGATTACTAATTAATAATCTACTAGATATAAAAGTACTACATTAATCTTTATAATAATAGTAGTTAATAGTGTTATATCTACTTAAGTAGTGCTTACTATAAGATTAAACTAATTAATGCAGAAGCTTAGGCAAGGTTTATTATTATAGGCAAATTATTAGCTTTATATCTAGCTTATAAAATAGTTAAGGCTTTAAAGCTGTAAAGTAATAAGCTACAAGTAAAGCCTTATAGTTAAAAGGGTAAAAAAAAAAGGTGTAATTTATTATCTAATTTAGATAAGCTAATGCTAAAGGAGCTATAGAAATAGGCAAAAAAGCAGTAATTAATAAATTAAATAGTAAGGATAAAGGAGAATAAGGCAGCTTAAGCAGAGCAGCAAGAGTTTTAGTAATTCTAGATGCAGTAGATAAGGCTTTAGCAGATGCTAGCAGCTCTGCTAGCAGCTCTGCTAGGCGCCTTCTTAGGTGGGCAGCTGCTGCTACTGTACTTATTGTCTTTTATTATAGCAGCGCCTCCTTAACTAGTGACCCTATTAATGCTACGTACAGTAAGTCTTCTAGTTCTGTTGTTAAGCCTAGTAGCTAGAGCTAGTAAGGTGGATACCTGCGCAACTGTAAGAGAGTTCTTTTTCTAGCTTATAAAGCAATAAAAGGAGAAAGAGAATAATATTAACTATATTACTGCTAGTAAGGTAGTAATTAAGTAGAAGTAGATAATTAACAACCTCTGCCTTATGTTAGATCTAGGTAATAAGCTTTATACTGTTGCTGTTAGCAGGTTTAAACTTAAGGATAGAGTAGTTTAGCACCTCTGTGAGGATCTCTGTCGCTTTAAGCAGCTATATTAAAGAGCAAATGGCTTTGTAGAGCTTAGGGGGGTAGCAGGAGCAGCAGGAGCAGCAGGAGCAGGTGGTGAAGTAGGTAGGAACAGAAGTTAGATAGCGCATAGAGTTAACTAAAGTAAATTTAAGTAAATTTGCTGTTTATATAGGCTCTCTAAGCTCTAGCTGTACACAATCTAACTCCTCCTGCTTAATATATAACCCTCTAGCAGCATACTAAAAGTGTTTCCTAGCAAATCTATTGCACCTGCTCTTACAAACAGCAGCTGCTAGGAAGGCCCTAAAATTACTATTAAAATAATGCTGCATAAACACATAGTTTCTTTAGATCTATGCCTTAAGTACAGCAAATGTTAGCTTAATTAGGTTATAGTTAGGCAAGTATAGTAGCAGGTAGTGTACTAAGTAGCCTGTGTCTTAGATAACCTAAGTAACCTTATTATTTATATAAATAGCAACGTTATTAAGTACAATAACTATGTGCTTAGGGCTGTATGTTGCCTAGAGGCAGGGGATAAGACAGTTTTAAATCTAGTTAAGGAAATCCTTGCAATTATAGTAGCCCTTTTTAATAGCTGTATAAGGCAGGTAACTGTGGATTGTATATGCTAGCAATATTGCGTACGTACTGCCTCTAGAGATGCTCTGCGCGTACTAGGCAGCGTAACTAACAGGAGCGTACGCGTAGTGCCTCTAGCTAGTCTTCTTATTAAATATTAACTTATCTAAAAACACTATATTATTAGCAGCAAACCTCTTTATTAATTAATAGTAACACTTATAAAGCTCCTTACTATAATTAATAAAGAAAGGCTTTAAAGTTTAGCAGCTTTAACTGCACTTTTTTAAAAACTTAGAGATAGTTAACTTATCTACCTTTACACCTCTTTCTACTAGCAACTAGTGTTAAATTTTATCTAGATACATCTACTTTAAGCAAACTAGCTTTTTAAACAGCGCCTTTGCGTTGTTCTTACTAATCTTAGGTGGCTGCTCTAGCCTCTTGCTAGCAGGTTTCTATACGCTGCTGTATTTTCTTAGATTATCTAGCATGTTGTACACAGCAGTCTTGCTATAGTTCTTGTAATTAGCAATTAACTAAGGCTCCTATTTAAGCTAAAGAAAGTAATAAATATTTAGTTAAGTTTAATCTAAAAGGCCTTAACTACTACAACAACACTGCGCTAACAGCGCTTAACAGGGAAGGCAAGGTGGTAGGCAAGATAAGACCCTATAAGCTTAAAACATGGCAACAGTGGGCGCAATAACCTAAGAGAGACTTCTATAACACTAAAAGTTAGCTTTATATTTATCCCTAATTAGGTAATTAAAATTTTATAATATAACAATAATTTTAGCTTAATTTAAGGCGCAATATAGGCCTTTAGGTGATTTGTTTAGGGTATGTTGTTAGGAGAAGAAAACATGTGGATGTGCCAAGAAATTCCGCCGATTAATGCAACTAATAGATACTGTGCACGTTGAAGGCTCGCTTAAGGCTGCTAGAAATGTGGCCCGAGTCAACCTAGCAAGCGTCAAAGGGCAACCTCCAACCCACGACGCATCGGAGCACCTTCGATGCCCTATCAACTTCCCACAGACCCTTCGATTCTAAATAGTGATCCTCTTGGTATTCACGATAGCGACGACGCCCGTCAATTTGAGGTCCTTGACACGCTCCTCGAGACGGCCATTATCCGCATCACCTCAAATACGACCGCCGTCGATATCATCCCAGGCCTCGTAGAAGATATTGCCTACACGATCCATGGCAATGGCACTCTAGACGCTTCGCACCTCCGCGACTACCTCCTCTCAAAAAACAATGCTGACTCTGAGAGCTTTGCCTTCCTGCTGTCAACAGCACGAAGCTTGTCGGAGCACTTCCCGGACCATACCTTGGATACTTTGAGCAAGGACGGGGACGAAATAGCATGTAATGGAGCGCAGGTGAACGCCCTTCTGGCACACCAGTTCTTGGGGACGCTTGCTCGGCCTGAAGGCACTTCGTGGGGCATACCCTGCTTCACTGACTGGTTCGCCGGCAACCCAGCACATCGGCAGGCTGTGGACGGCTACCTTAGCACAATTCTTGATCACTTTACCCAGGGAGGCTATCCAGAGACGATGGAGTTCACTTTCTCTATGTATACTGCAGACGGAATGCCTGATCCCTCAGCCTGCGACAAGCTCCCGAACCTCCACCTCCACGTCGTCTCAGAAGAATCTGAGCCTTCCATGGCCACCGGCGAACCCTTCGTCCTCGTCGCTGCAAACTCGCAGCCAGGACCCGGTGCCACGGCAACCCAAGAGGAACGGCTCCAGTCTGCCTCCCCCGCTCTCAGCACCTCCGCCCTTTTTACGCCAGTCTTGCCCGACCAAGCTGCCGTGGTCACCTCGGTGTTTCCCGTACATGCAGCGTGGAAAGGGCATAATCGCGCTGCGCGGCTAGAACGTTTGTTTGGTGTTGAGGAGAGGCCATGGAGGCACTACATCCTGGCCGACGCTCTGCAGCTGGATGACGCCGAAGAGGAACATGACGGGCTTAATGACCTACAACTTGGCAGAGTAGAGAGGGAGGCCAGGAAACTCTTTGCGGCATTTATAGGTGTTAGGAAGATGCAGGACCGTTCATCAGCAGCAAACAACACTTGCGTTGTTGAGGCTGGGGCATGGGGATGCGGTGCATTCGGGGGCAATGTGCTTATCAAGACTGTCTGCATGATGATTGCATCCGCTATCACTGGTGTCGAGGTGCATCTTACACTTCTAGAACAAAGGGATGTGGACATCGACGCCATCACCGCGCTTTTGGGGAGTAATTTTACGGCGAGAGAACTCTGGAAGCGCATTTCGAGCCCCGATGTGCGGAGCTGCAGGACGATAAATGACTTTATGCATCATCTTGGCCTTGAATGAAGTGCCATGTACGGAACTAGCTACTTCATTCAACTTCTAGAAGAGAGCATCATCTACTCCAACAAACTCACTATCTCCTTGTTCACCATAAAACCAGTCCAGAAATTTCTTCCAAAGAAACTCGTCCGTGTCTACTCAGTCCTGAATCGCGAATCCAATCTGGCCATCACCCATGCTAGCAACTCTCCTGCTGACAAAAACTACAGCAGCGCCCTGCAGCTAAGCCTGGCACAGTGTCGCAAAATACCAACACCCTTCCAGATGGTTTGGCTGGAGTGAGGACTACGAAGACACCCCCTTCCACACATGAATAGTCTAAAAACATGTCATCCCGTGCTTATATGCTCGGCTGTGGATAGCCACTAGGAATCTCATTTTGATCTCTACATCCCGGATCGCCCAGCGCGCGTAGACATTGCATCACTCTCCAAAGCAATGGTAACCATCCGGCTCGAGCGAGTGGTTTGCCTCTACACCTTTTTGCGAAGACCCCCCCCCCCCCCCACTTGTATCGACAGTCCAGATTTAAGCACTTCAGAGCGAACCTCCCGGTTCACATGAACCAATAATCAAAAATCGCCGTGGAGCATACTAGCAATTTAGTGCAAGCTTTGCACACTAGGAGCCATTCGGTAGCAGGGCTCGTAGTCGTCGATATGATTGCAGATCCTCGCTCTGATCTCCTAGAGCAGATTGATCAGAGTAAATGCTCTCCTCTCTATTTGATCATTAAACCCACCATGGGCTTTTTCGGCGTCTTCACACATACGTTCGTTCATTGAGATCGCTAAAGTTTTTGGCATAAAAATGCGACGCAATTCTTTGGAGAGGTTATGTTGTTTAAGATACAGTGTTGGTCTTACCAGACCTTTACATTATCGCTAGAGTCAATATGAACTGCAGTCACTGTGAATGCCTACGACATAAAACTACGTTTGCCCGGCTTGTCGCGCTCTCCAAATACAGCATCGTATCTAGGTACCTGTCTCGTTGCAGAAATTTCGGTCACAATATGAGAACAATCTGCTCGATGACATACTAAGGTCGACACAATACTTAGTCAATGTTTATATCGAATCCTGTTTGTTTGCCTCTTCCTTGTTCTGGCACATGGGAAGTTGTTATACCCACGAGTTTCTGCAACACATTCGCCCCTATTTTTCATGTTGTGGCAATCAAATGGTCGTTAAATTGCTCGACTAAAGGAACAACTTGTCGCACTTCTTGAACACGTTAATGTCTATTTCTTTTTGCGGCATCACGACAACCTTTCATTCCGGGTGCATTTCATTCACATTACTAGACTCCCCAGAAGCCGAACCACATCATTTTACTCCTGGCCGGTAATTGAGATATAGTAACCCCATTGTTGGCTGCTATCCCCTTTTCGGTCTTTTTATATCCTGGACTCGACAAGGACATTCTGGGTCAAACCACACAGGGTCGGATGCATGTAGAGGTCTACCTTGACCCTGAAACGGGATTCTTTCGGCACAAGATCGATTTGTGCGAACAGAAGCTGCACATACGAGACCTTCATTAAATTTCCAATCCTCGGCTGAAAGGGTAATCGTGGACGATGATAGAAACTCTTCAGATACTCCCCAGACCAGGGTCCTGCTAGAATTTATAGGAATGGAAGGGAACGGAATGTTAGTCTCCTTTATTTTTGTCGTTCGTTGCAGTGCACCTTCTCCTCTCGCATCTCAACGCCGCTGCCAGGGACCGAGTAGTGGCTAGCTTGGACTCGCAGATCCGCTTGATCCTACTCTCAGCCAGCCACGAGGGATAACATATCCGCCCCTGCACCTGACTATCAAAATCTTTTATCGAAGCTGCGAAACAGTGGCAGATTCTGAGCCCAGTGCTAGGAATGTTGGAGGCTGCTTATCCGTCCTCCCAAATTGGTAGGAGCTGAGGAGATATCGACCGAGTTTACGGCCGTCTTTAGTTCAGATGAAACAATCACGATGTTCGTTAGAATTCTTGCAGCCCTTGGCAATAATACAGCCTTCCACAAGAATTCAGAATGGGCAAAGGTATATTTCGTTCATTTAGCTGAGGAGGGGCTGAGCAATCCGCCGAACAACTCGAGACCCTGCATTCAACCGCTATCGTGCCCAAGACTCACTCCAGCCCAGCAAGTTTCTGCCATGCAGGCGGAGCAAACACCCGTTTCGTTCCGTCTTCTTCCAATTTCATTTGCGGAATATAGCGCTGGCAAGAGAGATCAATGCAAGCTCACGGCGCAGTCATGCAGGGGCAGCGTAGCCCTACAGGGGTTCATCGATGCAATTGCGGAACACCTCCCGGCGCGCTTAGGCCACAACCTCAAGGATGTGGAAGGAGGTTAAGTGCCTGGCCTTGTATTTCAGTTCCGTAAGATGACCGGACGGCTCACTGTTGCTTTGACTCCCGCCCTGTCGGCCTTGAGCGAGCAGGATACCTCTCATCAGTCACAGCGAGAGCTAGGATTCCTTCAATCATGCCTCCTTCATCTTTGAAAGAACACGGGATCCACTTCCGAATCGCCGATTCTCCGGACAACTTGGAGAGTTGTGACAAAGGCTCAATTGAGTTATTCACCCTGGTCTTAAATATCAAAGACCTTAAATATACGAATTTTGGAGGCTCCGCGACCGTTGATAGACGGCAATATGAGAAGGAATTGAAGAACGAGGCCGAAGTCCTAAGAGTAACCTGTACCGATGTCAGTCGAGCTGATGATATGGAGGAGGAATGGCATTAGAATCTGAGACCCCTCGTTTTCAACCGATTCAGCAGAGAAGATGAGGAGAGTTATCGGCGGCCCCGACATCACCACTGGTTGGTCGTTCCACGGTGATCTATGCACCTGGCTTCACTCACTCGCGTCCATTAGCTTCCAATGTCGAAAACACTTCCCTAGTCGTAGTCGACCGGTACTAAACCGAGATAGCGAGAGGATTTTGACCAGAAAGCGACAATATGGTCAGCAGACAACCCTAGAGACTATTGGTGAGTTTACAAGGCACAAGTATTGCTGGAACGAATGAAGATGGTGTTAATGGTCAGTATTTAGTGTTGACCATTTCAGTTTGCCAAATTTCAACCTCGCCAAACTTACGTTCCCGAATTTCGAAGGCCAGACGAAGAAGACTCTAGATCTAACAATTGGCCTTCTCTCTTCAGATCCAGGGGAGTGGTTTGGGCTACCCAAGGTAGAAATGCTGATGGACGATCGCGTTCGGATGTTCAATCCCAAATTGCTTGCTAAACTTAGTAAGGTAAGCTCCCTAGAATATCCATTCCAGTTACGAAAAGGCACGCGCGTCGAACATGTCCCCCTTGCCTTCCACTTTGCATTCTGGGAGGCCAAAAGCTCAAGTCAACGAGCAGCAGGTCATCAGGCCGCCAAAGTGCAAAGTGCATTGAAAGTCAAACTACTCCTAAAATGGCAGAAGGGAGTGAGCAGTAACGCAGGCGTGCCGTGGCATCCGTTGGTGTGGTATTTTATCAGTGCCGGCTCTAGGTGGGAGATTCTGGCGTGTCAATTCGAGCAGAATCGCACTGCGACGGATGAAATTTGCGTAGGTTGTCCTCCTATTTAGTCTCAAATCTCTGATAGTTCTAGGTTTACCAAGAACTATGGTCCGGCGACTGCACACGTATCGACCAGGCTTTACAACTTCTATACCTGGTCGATCTCATCGTGTTGTGGGGTCAGCACCAGTATAGCCATTTGCGGGCGCGTGTGTTCGACGTCTGGAGGCTGAAATGCGTGGACAACCATGTCCAGCGTTAACAGACACCACTTGGAAATACAAGCTAGACACTAACGCTAAGACATTTCCGTGGCTTTACCCAGGTCAAGAAAATCAACAGTTTGCCACATTGAATCAGCAAGAAAGGCCCCGACGGTATCGTTCACAAAGCCATTCGCGACTTGAGGATCCCTTGCACCAAATAGGACGATTATCTTTAACATGCCATGAGAAAGAATACCATATACTAGAGCGCGATGATTACATCTGGATCCTCGATCGAAGCTCAGAAGCGGATGACTTGTTGATTGTGCGGGTTGATGTGGATGGGAACGTCTTGGCTCCGTTATTTGTCTTCTGCTCTCACATGTGGGGTCGCAAATACTTTCTACGTTTCCAAAAGGAAGAAAAGCTGAGACAGCAAGAAGGTGTCCTGTCCGAGTTCAAATGCGACTAGAAAGGACGGTCTTACATTGAGAGTTGCATTAATAGCGCCAAAGGTCACGTTTGTAAGCCGCAATCTCAGTTCTGCGTCATAATTCCCATGAATGGTGGTCCTTGGTCCAAATCCCGAAATGGAGGCTCAGCTTTTGAAGATTTTGAGAAGCGCTTGGGTCTGCCTTCTTTGATCGAAGCAGCGGAGAAAGCGAACGAAAAGTGGTGCACATGCCAAGCGACCTACAATGAATTCAGCCCGAGCATGATTCTATGTCAGAATATGAAGTGTTCTGTTGGGTGGTACCACACCAGATGTGTGGATCAGCCTGAGGGTTTCTGCGATGAGAATTGGTTTTGTCGCACGTGTCTCACGCGATATCATACCCATGTACTGCACTATTCACTCATTAGGCATAGCTCCTTTCTCGTACAGTATATAGTCAGCCCAGAGCTCTATCGAGCTCCTCAGACCTTACAATACACTCGTGCAATCCACTTTGTTTGGATCTCAGTACCTTGTTGATTCGCTTACCATATGACCCCTTCTCAGCTCATGCAAGAGTTATGAGCCCGGCGCGCTTCCGCTGCGCCATTTGGCTACCAACCACCAATTCTCGGACGGCTGGAAGCATGCTATGGGGATCGAATTCAAAGGCCTCTTTCCGATAGAGGTCCGTGAATTCGATCCCCATGGCATGCTTCCAGCCGTCCGAGAATTGGTGGTGGCGTGCCTCATAGTAGGTTTTGGGCACAGGAGGTAGATGATCTCGATGGAGAGCTTTGGGAGCGATGGTAGCGGGTTTAGCGGGGTCTTTCATGAATGCAGCAGCGTATCGTCGACGCCTTGTTCTGCTTTCTCCCTCTATGATGTTTGATTCATTGATGGCGGCCGCGCTTCCAGCAGGGCCTAGTCTGGTGGAGTCCTGGAGCCATGTGCGAGGGACGAAGTCGGTTCCTTCGAAGATGCCATGAGACTCATGATCGATCGCAGCGGTGTGCCGAGTGGTTCTGGCTTGCTCAAGATGATCGTCATCGGCCACAAACTCTAAGACCGACGACGATCATCTTGAGCAAGCCAGAACCACTCGGCACACCGCTGCGATCGATCATGAGTCTCATGGCATCTTCGAAGGAACCGACTTCGTCCCTCGCACATGGCTCCAGGACTCCCAGACTAGGCCCTGCTGGAAGCACAGCCGCCATCAATAAATCAAACATCATAGAGGGAGAAAGCAGAACAAGGCGTCAACAATACGCTGCTGCACTCATGCAAACCACCACTAAAATGTCTGGCTGGTACCACGCCTTCGCATTAGGCTTTATGAAAGACCCTGCGAAACCCGCTACCATCGCTCCTAAAGCTCTCCATTAAGATTATCTACCTCCTGTGCCTAAAACCTACTATAAGGCACACCACCTGTGAGAGCACTGTGAAGCAGGAAGCAGGAAGCGTAGAAGGGGGTACAGGATAGTATTAATAGACGAATCCTTGAGGAGACTCAGGGGTTCGTGAGAGGATATATATATATGTGCTGGGGCACGTGACAGGACGTTATGTGCCCAAGGCTAGGCCAAGGGCTCTCTAGGGAGAGTCCAAGGCATGTCTAAGTTAACTGTGACACCACCACTAATTCTTAGACAGCTAGAAGCATGCTATAGGGATTAAATTTATAGACCTTTATTGTAAGGCTGAGATGGCGCTTATGTGCGACGGGTATATATACTATTCTATCCTGAAAATCAACCGTTGGTTGATTATTCGCACCTTTTTGGTTGTATTGGCGGAGTAGTGCGGAGCCCTGTCCATATATATAATACTAAAAAACAGTTTACTTTACTATGTAATAATTAATAAAGTATATAATCTATAGTAAAGGATTTTAAGTTTAATACTAAGCTTAAGCATATTAATATTTACAACTACTAGCTCTGCTAAGAGGTACAAAAAAGAAGGATTTACATATGCTATATTTTTACTATAGACATGCTAGCTAATAACGTTACTAAGTTTTTACTTTAATAGAACTATTAAGTGTTTATTAAATAACTAGGCCTTATTTCCTTAAGTATGTCAGATATGCGCACCTACTGTCAAGACAGGAGTGTCACGATTGTGCACGAGTAAGGTTATAGAGCTTCACAGAGGTCTAGTTTAATTACTACGTAAGGTATTATAGTAGGTACAAGACGTTGTGTAAGAAATAAAAAAGTTTAAAAAAAAATTAGTAATTAAATACTTAGCTTAAAAGTCTAAGCACTTTAGGTATAAATTAAGCCTATTCTAAGTTTAGTTAGTGTTAAGGTAGTTTATACTTAAGTTTATATCTATGTTATATTATATTTATGTTAGACGTGCACTAATAATACTCTAGTACATATCTAATATAGTTATGTCTAGGATCTAGAGAGGATACTGTAACAGTACCTCTTCTTTTATTAAAAAAGGAATTCTTTACATTAGTAGTTCTAGCATTAAGTTGTCTTTATTAAAGTATAGGTTTAGTTTAGATAAGTATTAAGTGTAGAATTAAGTTACTATAGAGTTTTTTTATAAGGCTTCTATAGGTTTTTATAACAGTTTATTATATCTAGTCTATTTTATAAAGTATTTATAAATATATTTTTTTTATTAAATTAAATTTATTTAACATCTTTTATAACATATTTTAGTTTATTATTTATAATAATAAGTTTAGGTAGCAGGTTTAGCTATCTAGGTAAATAGTTAAATTTAAGGGCTACTTAGCGCAGTAATAATATATAGAACATAAGGTGTATCTTTATGCTGTTAGGTAGGATTAATTAGTAAGCATATAATAAAACTATATAGGCTACTATAAAGAAGCTAAGGTTCTTTTAATTAAGTTTCTTTAATTATTAGTTTATTTAAATATTTCTAGTGTCTAGCTAGACCTTCTTACTAGCTGCATATATAAAGGCAAGAGTTTAAAATTAGTTTATGTACTCTTATTAAAAAGCTTAAGCCTATATAAGCTTTTTATAAACATATTTAAATATATTTTAAATTTTATTAATAAATCTATTTATGTTTATTACTTATATAAATTAATAAGTTAGTTAAGAGGTATTTAAAAGTAGTTTAAATCTTATTTAAAAGTAGTATTTTTAGTTTACTAAAAATAAGAATACTTATATTAATTTAAATGTTATGTTATTAGCTTTAAACTATGCTATAGCTAATTATTTTACCTAGTTATTTTACTAGTAGTTTATATACACTTATAAAACTTATTTTATTATAGCATTTACATTCTTAGTCTAGCTGTTAGTCTTTAGGTAAAAAGCTGTAAATAAATAAAAGATAATTTAAAGCTATTTATAGAGTTTGTTTTAAAAGGCTAAGACAAACTGTGTACCTTTATCTAATATAATTATGTTAGGTAGGCTATAGTAAACTTATACATATTAGTAGAATAACTAGGCTATATTAGGGGTAGTTATAAAAGAACATAGTATTAAGTGTTAATACTTAGTTAAGTAATTAATAACTACTATAATATTTATGTACCCTTTAGATAAAAGTAGGTTTATAATAAAATTAATTAATATATCTTTTTAAGCTTATTTAAGAATTAAGAGTAGTTTAAGTAAGCTATTATACCTTTCTTAAAAAGCTTTTACTTTATAGTAAGTATAGCAACATAATACATATTAGCGTACAGTATAGAACATGTAGGGCTAGTAGTACTCTCTCTGTAGTAGGTTAAAAGTCTTTCCTTTGCCTAGGTGTTCTTTAATAAGCAAGTTATGTATAATTTAGAGTAGTTTAATTCTTAGTTTATTAGAATTAAAAATTATAAGTTAGTTATAGTAATATAGCTTACTATTTTAGTTTTTATAGTTAGCTAGTGTTACTTTCTTTAACTAACTAGCGCTATTTTAAAGTAAGTTTAAAGTTTCTTAAATAAATTTATTATTTAAATACTTATTAGTAATAATTTAATTAATTATCTAATTTATTTTATTTAAGTTAAGGTCTAAAAATAGCTTAAGTTAAAGTAAAGTTTAGTGTTAAGCTTTTTACACTTCTTTTTAAGCAAAGATGTTTTAGAATTACTTTATAAAAGTATCTAGTTTTTTTTATTTTAACTAAAATAATAAGTAATTTTAAAATTAAAATAAAATAAGTATTTAAACTAATAAGCTTATTAGTAGCTAAGTTATTTTATAGTTGCAAAGTACTATAAGTTCTTATAGTTAAATAAGACTTATATTAGATGCACTGCATTTTCTAGTTTAAGTTGCTATTATTTAAAGTAGTGTACTATAGTAAGTAATTTTTTATTATAGATCTTATAATTACTTTTTACAGAACTTATTCTTTTTAAGAAGTATGTAATAGGCTTAATAGTCCTATCTAGCTTAGTCTAGAAAAGAACTCCTACTACTATATAGTCTAAGGCATTAGCTTCTACAAGTATTAGTAGTTTAAAGTTAAAGTAGTAGAGTGTCACAGTATCCTCCCTAGATCCTAGACATAACTGTATTAGACGCGTACTAGAGTATTATTAGTGCACGTCTAACATAAACACAACATAACATAGACATAAACTTAAGCACAAACTGCCTTAACACTAACTAAACCTAGAATAGGCTTAATTTATACCTAAAGCGCTTAGACTTCTAAGCTAAGTATTTAATTACTAATTTCTTTTTAAACTTTTCTATTCTTTATATAACATCTTGTACCTACTATAATACCTTACATAGTAATTAAACTAGACCTTTATAAAGCTCTATAACCTTACTTATGCATAATTATAACATTATGTTATGTTAAAACCCTAGCTAAAAATAGCCTCTAAATTTAATTTAATAAGCTTAGTACTTATATAACTCTAAGCTATTAGAGTAAGCTAAAAAGCCTTTTAAAAAGCGCTTACTCTATAAAAAAGCTGCTATGTTATAAGCTTTAAAGCTTTTTAAAAAAACTTTAAAGAATAACTTTATATTATTAAGTAGTTTATTTCTGCTTTAACTTTTATTATAGTAGTAAGA